GATGGAAACAGCACGGTTCTTGCGGTTGTTGTCGGCCGACTCCTCTGAGACGAAAGAGCCGACGAGCATGACAGCGAGCGTCACGGCAGCGCCAGCGAGAGTGCGGAACTTCTCAGGGATGGCGTTGTAGATGACGAGGGCGCTGTGTTGCCATACGAACTTGATCGGCCGGGAGATGTAAGAGCTGGAGACGTAGAAGAAGAGGAGGCGCAGTGAGATGCAGAGCCAGACAAGGAACGGAATGACCCAGTTCTTGTCGTTGCGATGCTTAATGAGCGAAGCGATCCACCAGCCTGTGAAGAGGCAGAAGATGAAGAGGTGGAAACCCCACTTATAGCGGCGGTAGAGGGTCTTGAACCGGGACGGCTTGTTCTCTTCCTCGTCGTTGGATGCTACGACACCTGTCTTCTCGCCATCGTAATCAGGGGGTCCGCTGAGCTTGTCTCCCTTCTCAATATCGTGGGGTTCGACGGCATGCTCGTGAAGGTGGCTCTGGTGCGGAACAGTTGTCTCTCCAGTCTGTGTATAGGTCACATTGTCGTCGTGACCCTTGGCATCGACACGAGCGCTGTGGTGCAGATGCTGATGCTGGTGCTGGTTGTGGATTTCCAGCGCCGGATCCGAGCTGCGACGGGGTGGCGTGCTGCCGGCGGTGGCGGTGGTTTGGCTGACCTCGGTGACTTGGGAAGCCATGGCTGAAGAATATGCTTCTTTGGAGCGCACCGACAAAGAGGGGGACGATGGGGAAAAGTAGGGCTGGAAGAAGCGATGAGCTACTTGACAACCAGTTCTTTCAATGGTCTACCAACGAGGAGACCGTGGGCCACACAGTTGAAGGCGCCCTGGCGTACTTGGGGGAGGTTGACGTCGAGGAACTCGAGAAGCAGCTGCACGAGATGAGACCCTTCCAAGAAAAACCTCTGGAGGGGAAGCCCTCTTTAAAAAGCCCCAGTGCGACGATCAAGAAATCCGAAAGTAGTGCCGACACTAGGTTAGGCAAGTAGAGCGACTACGACTCGTCGACCTTATCAGCACCCAGGGCGGGATGGATGGAGTTCGCCGCCCTTTTGGTGTGGAGGAAACCCTGATGCGGTTCGGTGTCCATCTCGGTGGATTGACCCAGATTCTGGACGAACGCCTAGCCAACGAGGGATGCGGGATGGGATGGGCGACAGGGTTCACGGGTGTGGGATTGACGAACAACTGCTGCACCAGAGATACTGGCAGGACAGGGTAGCAAGGGAGTGTGGGAGGGGAGCAGGTCCGGAGGACTCCAGAGCGAGAATCAGGGACGAGATGGACGAAGGTTGGAAGAAAGACTAAGGCGATATCTCTCGGGACAGAAGACAGTGGCAAGCCGACCAGTCTGCGTGGGCTGGCCGCCGGCTGTCTCGTGGAGTGATGGAATGACGGTCCCTACGGATGGATGCTCTGAGTCTATCAACTACCGTTACGACGCTACTCTGAAGTATTGGACCCTTGGTGATGCGACTGCCGGCTACTTGGGCCAGACGGACGGTGTTGTGACGGGAAAAGTATCTGTCAAGCAATTGATACCAAATCCACTCGCGGGTGCCAAGTCCCACAGATACTCCAAGTCGACGGGGTTGAGATACCGGATGGGTTAATCAGAAAGTTTAGTCCTGGGAACCCTTCGATGGTTGCTTGAGCCTTTGTGTGCTTGCGATAAGGAAAGGAATTTTTTTGCATTTTGGCAGTGGCTGGACAGGGATAGTCGCCGCACCCAACGGCACAGACTCTTGATCAGAGCCGGGCCAAGACTTTAGCTCTCGACGTGAGTGGCAAAGCTAACGGCGTGCTTCCGGTTCTGGAAGGTTAATGGAACCATGGATACACACGGTGGAGTCGACAGAGATTGGAGAGACAGGACTGGACGTGGGAGAGATGGTCTAGGGCAGGGCTAGCGCGAAGGTGTGAATGGTTGCCGAGTTCATCAGACAGACATTGGCGGTCCCGGCAAGGATCGAGTCGGCCGGGTCTACGCACGAATCATGGCCCTTGAACCATCCCAAGCTGAGATTTCCTCGTTCCTCCTGCTCCCAGGAATCACGTCCAGGCAGTAGCACCGAGTAGGTAGGAGTAGGTACTCATTCAGAGCACTGTCATCTAAAGGATTTGAGACTCCGGTGCCGCCAATGATGCGAGGCAGTGTCTTCCGGGGCTGGCGTTCTACGTCTTTGACTAACATCATTAACAGGTTCCTGATAGGCTCAAGACCGGGCCTGTTTCTGTACGATGGAAAGGTGTGGGAGATCCTTCCGCTCTGTTGGCGCAAACATGGCCAAGGGGCCGACGCCCAAGACCCCAATAGGCGCACGAAGTGACCCCCAAGCTGTCAGAGAGACACGGAGACATGCGGAACATCGGGACTGGCTGGCTATAGCTGCATCAGCCTCCGCGGCGCCACCAAAGCCATGGATCGAAAGCGCCGCTAAGGGCCGATGAGCACACACGCACATTGGCGTGAGACGTGATGCGATGCCTTGACACCTGCTCGACATGGACTATCAATGTCTGATGCTTGATTGAGGCACAGCATCTTGGTCCGCTGCCCATATTACGATAGGGGGTGGTACCGTAAGACGGGCGATAAGAGAAATCCCTGCCATGTTCCTCTCCGTACGGATAGTCAATCGGTGTCTCAGTACGGATACTATTCTCTTCCGCAGTGCGCAATGCTGAGGCAATGAGGCGAAATGAGAACTCCAGATTGGCGAGCTAGCCCTGTCATTCGTAATTGCAAGCCGTAAGCGAGCCCTAGAGGTCGGATTCCTGGACCGGACCGCACTCTTGCGACTTGAGTTGACAGTGCAAGTGTATTTTGTCAGAGTGTGATAGTCTGATGTGATAGTCTGATAGATAGCAGCAAGCGGCTCAATACCAATCTTGGGCTTTTCCTAGCGCTTTCTATCAGCATCCGGCGATAATAATCTCCCAGTCCCTCGGCTGGCCCTGTGTCGTCGGGTAGGGCCGAGAGGACAGAACCTGGGGTGGCCAGGAGCAGCAGACTATCAGAGAGAACTCCAAAGTTCCCGAGAGCAAGTTGACCAAGCTACCAACACAAGGCCTGGGCCCGTGTCCCCCCTCCTCTCACTGCCATGCTTCAACATCCGCGTCTTAGTGCGCACTAACTTCTAAGGGTGCAGGGCGGGCACAGGACATGCTCCACGCCACCCTGGGGAACATGAGCAAGGTTGGCGGGCCTGTTAGGTTGCCGGTTGCAGCCGTCGTATCTGTGTGCCCAATCCAGTCAACGAGCGCGTGCGACTCGGCTGTCGAGATTGGCCCAGCACAAAAGTGCCATGCCTTTCGCTTTTCAGCTTCGGTCGGCTCCGCCATTCCAATTGAGTCTGTTGGCTGGGGACTCCAGCATAGCTCTGTGCCATTTGCAGGCACGTGAAGAGATCCGATGATAAGCTTAAGGTGAGCTCCGACAAACGCCGATGCGAAACTAAGCCTGGCTCCCAGACTGTCAAGCTTGGCACTTTCGCTGTTCTCCGACAGCCATCTATCTACAGCTGTTTCTTGCGCGCGCGCGAGACTGATCACTCGATACCTAAAATGGAACATCCAAGGGATCATCATCAAGAAGAGGCAAGTCTACTTACGGAGGCTTGACATTGTGATAGCGTCGACAGCACAGGTAAGCGAGTAGGAGAGAATGTCCGATATCTCCCTTCGGCTGCCGCATTGAGAGCGGAAATGACTATCGAAGGGCTGGTCAGCAAACGACCGCGGATCCGGATACGCTACCACGTGTGGTCTCCGCCCCCAGATCCAACATCGCGGACCGCCGCAGAGTGGCAACGACATCTGCTTAAGGTAGAAAGTCTCGGACTGAGCTCCCCACTCCACTCCCGGGCATGCGGATTACAATCTCTTGCGCAGCACAGGGCGGACAAGCTGGGTCTTGGCTGCTAGGAAACCGAGTAAACCTTGTTTACCCAAAGGCACTCATGCATGACCAGTCTCTCATTAATCTGCATCCGCCGGCTCCGTTTTCCGAGCATGGGTACTGCAATCCCTGGGAATCTTGCGCATCTTGGTGTCAAAGCAGATTAATGAACCTGCCAACTTTCTTATTAAGATATCGACACTCCAAATGCCATGATTGTTACAATGACTTTGTTTAAAGATGCTTAGTCTACGCCGACTCGTTTTTTTTGTAAGATATATATATTAATATTGCTGGTATGATGCCGTCGGTAACTGCTACACATGTGCGTTGGTCACGTGGAGCTCAAAGAGGCTGTTTTTACGTGTGTAGGCTTCTTTCCCAATACAGTACTCTTGGAATCGCATCATCTCATCTGCGCTATTCTATGTACTGTTTGAAACATCGCCGTCGCTCTTCGATTCCTTATTAAATAAGTGAGAGTACAAATTCAAGATGCAGGCAACATCTCCCGCGCCATATGCACATCTTTCAGAGAGACGGGGAGATATACAATGAAACAAGACATGTTCTTTCCTAGCTTGCCCCACGAGGCATGGAGAATTTCTGGCTATCTACCACACACGTAGACTGATCCCGGTCAAGGCCTCGGTCTGGGTGTTCCCAGGAGGTCGTAAAGAAGAGCCGAGGCGGTCTCCTGTTGATGACGTTTCACGGCACATAGCTGACACAGTGGCTGCCTGCTCTCTTGACCATCATCTCTAGTGCTAGGACTGGCGCGGTTCGGCGTGATCCGTAGGGGGTAGCCAGCTCTGGGAAAATGATATCTCTCACTCACAAACATCCCTATCAAACTAGAGTCACTCATTTGAGGACATATTTATAGAGATGTGTATTACGTAAAAACTCCAGTCACCGAGTGCTTTCAATCCGACCCGGACTCAATGCTAATGAAAGGTGACGCCGGAAATTTTCAAAGCGCGCTTGACCCCTGAAGACAGCCTTGCTTCCCAACCATCATTCCAGCAGATACATGTATCTCTTGGATGCTCCCCCTTTCTTATCTGCTACTTCATTCTACTCGCTCTATCACTCTCGAGTGTTTTTGTTCCATTATAAATTCAAATGGTATTGAACAGGTAACATGGTCACAAATATAGCAGACTCTCCTCACCTGCCCATGTATCGTTTTGAGATTGCTACCAGCCATCGGCCAATAACTCTGCTCCAATTGAACTGAACTTTAGCTACGCAACGCCAAGGATCAATACACCATGTAAAAAATTAATGCTGTTCCGCAACTGCTCTTTGGCTCTTCTCCTGCACCTCTGTTTTGTAGCCCCTGAATTTCCGTGCTGGAATCTGCTTGATAAACATCTCATCAAGTTCCTCATACGACCTGCCGGCAACCTCAGGTTGGTAAAACCAGAGGTAAATGGTGGACAGCACAGAAAACCCGCCAAAGATGAAGGCCACCTTAGCACCGAGGTTGGCCTGGTCGGGGTTGAAAAGGAACGGGATAACGAAAGCCCACATGGTCTAGAGGATAGGTGTTAGTTCGCATGCTGAGGGAGGCCATTGTTGGCAGAGATCGACCTACAAAGAGACTGTTTTGCAAAGCCAATGCCATGGAGGCAGTCTTGGCACGGAGACGTGAGGTTGCCACCTCGGTCAAGATGGAGTACGCCGTGGCTCCGATGGTAACATTGTAGATGTAGCAATACACCAACAACAGTGCAACCGTTCCCTTGACGGCACCAGGTGTCGCAGCGACAGCAAGACCACCAGTTATCATGAGAAGGACAGTAAGGGTGCACATTCCCCAGAGAGTGAGGCCACGGCGACCAATTCGGTCAATGAGGAACCACGCGGTGACATTACCGAGCATGGACATGACCTGTTGCACAATGGCCAGCGTGAAACTTTCCTTGGTGCTATATCCAGCCAATTGCTGGTAGTAAGTAGAGTACGATGCCACGAAGAAAACGCCTGTATAATGTCAGTCCAAAGTGAAGGTTTGCTTCACACGAAGGACGTACCGCATAGAGCCTGGATGCTCAAGGGCGCGACAGAAATGATGGTGCGGCGAAGATTGGACTTGCGGAAGCACTCTGCAAAGCTGGCGCCCTCCGTCTCTTTGCGCACCTCAGCGAGCGTAAGGGTAATCACAGATATGCGCTTCTCAACCTGGACGGCATCATAGCCGAGACGGCTCAAAGACTTTGCAGCCTTTTGCATTTTGCCCTTGTTGACCAACCACCACGGCGACTCGGGCATAAAAAACAGCAAGAGGGCACCAACGCCGCTGATGCCGTATTGTGAGACGAAGATTGTGCGATAGGCCCAGCGGTCGGTGCGGGTTCCAGTCTCGTTGACGACCAGAGAAACGATGAATGGGCCAATGGTGAAGGCGATGGCTGCAGCGGCAGTCAAAATACCACGAAGGGCCAAGGGTGCAATCTCGCCAATGTATGTCATGCTGACGGTAATGAATGCGCCGATGGGAAATCCGGCAACAAACTTGCCCGCGAAGAAGATCTCGTTAGTGGTGCTGATCATTTCGAGGGTGATGCCGACAAAGATGAAGATGTAGCTGATGAAGTAGGTCCACTTGCGGCCGATGCGGTCAGCTACCCAGCCGGCGCCGAGAGATCCAACGACGGCACTGCGAGAGAGAATGATATCAGCTCATGATCGACAACTCCAGGAACATAGCACGTACGATGCCACAGGGGCTCCGCTATAAGCAGATTGCCACTTAGCAGGGAGAACATAGTTCCCGTTGAACTCGGATCCGAAATCTTTGCGAAACTGAGGTATTCCAAGGACGGTTCCACCCGCCTGGTTATCAAAGCTGGTGAGAATAAGGACGTAGATGGCATAGATACACCACGCAAACGCCCATGGTTGGTTCTTGATGGCCTGGAAAACAGTTTCCTCGTGATCTTCCGCAGTCGCCACGTGGCCAATCTCCTCTACGTGTTCGCCCTTGGCGCCCGCGATGTCGTCCTTATCAACGATGGACGTCGGGTGCGCCTCGAGGTGTTTGTCGTCCATGGTCGCTGTTGCTATCAACTCTGACCGAAGGAGGTATCGAAGGAATTGAAGAGTGTGGAACTTAAAGTTAGAAGAAAACCTGGGGAAAGCACCGACGATCCGGGGAATTTGAGGAGACCGCGACTGGGGAACTGGGGCAAAGTGTGACATAGCCGGGAATGTTCCCGGGTTCTTATTGTCCAGATGGTTTCGAGAGCTTTCCAAACGGAGGCAGTTGTAGGCACTTCTTCGGATCAACGTCGTCTCAATGATCGGCCGACAGTAGCCCATAATGCAAGCATCTTACCCCCTGGTGGCATTCCTCATCAGGTCCGAGGCCAGGCGTGATCTCTTCTAACGTATCCGTAGACCCCCTCCTCACCCAACCATTTGGTTAACTTTTGCGGGGGAGGGGCTGGTCAACGCCAATGTCAGATGCTGTTTGCATGGTGGCATTGCGTTTCACTGATGGTTTGGCCATGCTGCCGGCAACTGTTGACCAAGGGGCTTGTCAATAGCGTGGTACGGTAGTTGGCCACTTGAGTCAGTCTATGTCCCGAAGAATAACCCAAGGGCTTTGGTTGGTTGTGATCCAATGGCTGCTAACCTAAAGAGTGACAAAACGACTTAGCTATGAGATGAACTTGGACTTGGTGCCGATGCCAGTCATGCCAGTCGCGGTCAGTCTGGACTCTGGCCTGGCCCAAAGCCTTCAATGACCCGCCGTTTCGGTAGCCCAGTCTGGGGACCCCACAGACACGGCTTTGTCATGGCTCGTGCATGAAAAATGCAGACGAAGGATGCGGGGATCGAGCTGAGCACCATCAGACTCGTCGTTTGCCCTGAGTCTCTGGGTACTTCCGCGCTCATTGTAGGAGTTTAAAATGGAGAGACATTTTGTTCCATTAGACAATCGGCAATACCCGTTGTTCAAGATGGAGTCCGATATGGCCCCGTGTTTATGGAGCAGATTCGATCTTCTTCTTCTGCTTGACGCTTCGCAGTCTGGCATCTGCGCGAAGGAGCGTCTTCAAGTTCCAAGACCGTTTCTCGGTCTAACGAGCCCGCGCCAAGGAGTCAAAGAGTTTGCAAAACCTGATCTAATTACGGCACAAGACTCCTTCAACCCACCCGCAGCTCATCCGTAGTTCTGCCGTTGACGAACCCTCTCTTCCGTCCAGCTGACCTTGCCATTGGAGTTCCAGACGCTAGTCGATTCAGCTTCTCAGCAATCCTGACTCTTCCTCGGTATATCCCCGCACCGACCCCAGGAATCGGCTCCACGCCGACATCGCCATGGGTCTAAAAAGTCCCGATTGAGCAATCAGAAGCGTCAGCCACATTCCCCTCATCTGAGCTTCGGTGCTTTCGGTTGCCCTTCTCGGGTGGTTGTCACACCGAAGCGTTTATGGATCCTGTTTGAGATCGTGGCGTCTTCAAAAGCATGCCCAACGACCTGGACCTAAATCCATGCTCTGCTGGCAAACACAAACAAACACCCTTCAAGTTGTTTTCAGCCCCCAATCACGCACATTGTCCGTCGAGTACTGCAATAGTCTCTATTTGTCGACCCGAAGCCATCCATCCATCCGACAAATATGTCAGATGCTCCTGAGGACATGGTCGAGAGCGTGCTCCCAACGCGCTGGAACCGAGACTTTGAAAAGATCGCCAATGATCTGTGCCCACAGCTGCATCGATGGACACGCACACCTCAACGCGTCATCAAGTTCAACAAGGACGAAAGCCATTATTTCGGTGTTCGTGCCGTGCCCGCGGAATACACCATTGACAAATTACCATCCAAGACTTGGGGGAAAGGAGATGACTTCATTCTCGACTTTGGCATTCACATGGTGGGATATGTATCGATGAGACTAGAGTCCCGGGGGTCGCACATGGATGCCCCATGTAGATTGCGCCTCACATTCGGCGAATCTCCCCTGGACGTAACCCTTGGTATGGACAACGTCAAGACATGGATTAGCACCAGCTGGCTTCCAGACGAAATCATCAACATTGACATGTGCCCTGAGCTGGTCTCTCTATCCCGACGTTACTCCTTTCGCTTCCTAGGCATCGAGGTCATCGACACATCGCCCAAGTACAAGGTCACATTCTCGAACGTCGAGTGCCAATGTGTTAGCGCCATCAGCCAGGGCCACTCCTTGGAGGCTCTTCAGGTCAACGACCCTCTCCTTCGGCAAATCGATCACGTTAGCATATCAACACTGAGAGACTGCATGCAAACCGTCTTTGAGGATGGCCCTCGAAGAGATCGCCGGCTCTGGAGTGGAGATCTTCGGCTTCAAGCGCTTGCAAACTACAGCACCTTCCGGGACTTCAACCTCGTCAAGCGCTGCATCTTTCAGTTCGCTGCTGTTGTTCGCGAAGACGATTCTGTGCCAGCTTGCATCTTTGAGCAGCCTCAGCTCACGCCTTCGACAGACTACATTGTGGACTACGACGCGCTATTCGCCGCCATCACCTATGATTACGTGGTGGCATCAGGTGACAAAGCTGCTGGTCTCAGTCTCTGGCCCACCGTCCTCGGTTGCGTGAAGCGGGCACTCACACATCTTGACGCTACCACTCACCAGTTTGATGAGTCCAAGGGCGAAGGTTGGAAGTTCCTTGACTGGCAACCTGGACTGGAACACAGCGCAGGACTGCACGGGGTCCTCTTATATTGTCTGAAAGCAGCAAACTCCTTGGCATCGCTCCTTGGCAAGGAACCCCCCTTTGTGGATCTCGTGGCTCAAATGACCGAAGCCGCGAAGGTGTTCCTTTCTCCAGACAATATTTTTGTGTCTGGACCCAAGTCACAGGTTAGCTTCGCGTCGGCGTCTTGGCTCATCCTCGCAGAGGCCTTCCCCCAGGACGTCGCCCGCGCTGCTCTGCTCAAGACGCTTGCACACCCTGATGCTCTCAAGCCTCTTACCCCCTACCTATGGCATCATGTATGCGATGCTCTCGCTACTGTGGGCCTGTTCGAAAAATGTATTGAGATCATGACCAGCTACTGGGGTGGCATGGTCCGCGCTGGTGCTGATACCTTTTGGGAGTGCTACAATCCTGAAGACTCTCGGGCAAGTCCGTACGGTGATGCTCGAAACAATAGCTTCTGCCACGCTTGGAGTTGTACACCAACGTACCTACTGAGGGGGAAGCTGAGAGATTTTATCGACGTCAAGGAAACAAAATCAGTCACAATGGGCCACTTGGACGAAGTTTGGATCAAGTCACAGATTGGTAGTCAGTAAGATAATAGTTGGGCCATGATTGGAATAATTTGAAGTAATCACCACGAGGACCGAATCAAGTGACAGACGCCAGAGGAAATTGATCATCATTTCCCGAATGATATATGCAGTTTGGCTTTTCCAAGCAGGAATATACAGGAAAAATGAAAATTGGCTCTTTCTTGTCGAGCCAGGGCCTGTTTGCTTCATGTTCATGAACCTCTCGCGTTTAAGCTGCGCCAGCCAGGGCTTTGGCGGGCTTGGCCCCAGGGTAGAAGGTGGTGGGTAAGGGGGGGATGTCGATGGGCTTGGTGATGCCGAGTCCAGCGGTGATCTGGCCGGGCATGGTGGGAGCGGAATAGGCGGTGACGGTCTTGGTGGTAGCTATACTAGTGTAGGTCCCAGAGCCGCTGCGCATGCAGTGACCCTTGCCGAAAGCGTTGTTGCACTTGTCGACGATGGAGGAGCCAGACTCGGTCCAGATGTTAATGCCAGAAACGTCGATGTTCTCGCAAGGGGCGGCGGCGGCGCAGAGGGCGACGACGGGACCACGAGCGGCACCGTTGGTGGCAGTGCCCTTCCAGTTGGAGAAGGTCAGATTCTTGTACTCGACACCGTTGCCGGCAACCTTGCTCTGGCCGGCCCAAGCGGAGTCGATCTTGAGGGAGTAGGCGTTGCCGTGGCCGATAAAGTTCTCGAACTTGGAATTCTGAAAGACACCGTCACCACCGTTGTTCTTGATCATCAGCATCTGGTTGGAGCTCCATGTGTAGACATTGCGGTAGTAAATATCGGAGATGGCTTAGGCGCGACTCTTGTTAGCTTCTTCTCCGTCGTGATGTGAGTTTTTTTTTGTTTTTGTTTTTTTATAGTTTTTTTTATCGAAAAAAAAAAAAAAAAGCTGACGTACCAGTGTCAGCACCGAGGGAGCCAATGCCGCAGCCGCCGGACCAGTTGCAGAAGATGTTCTCAATGAGAATGTGGCTAGACTTGTTCTTGACGGTGACACTACGAATTGTCAAGGACTTGTTTCAATGGGATAAAAAATTGGACAAGTCGGGTGTGACATACCACTCGTCCTTGTTGGTGACAGCAACATCGTGAACGTGCACGTTCGTGGCAGCCATCAAGTCGAGGCCGTCAAGACCACCCCGGTTTCCACCACGAACGATCATGTTGTAGACCTCTCCATTAGTGACGGTGTCCATGACGAAGTGGAAGGCCGGGGAGTCGACCAGAGCGATGTCGTGAACGCTGAAGTCAGTGATTGAGACGAATCTCAGGAGACGGGGTCCGTAGACACCGGTGCCCTCTGCGTCGTTGTTAGCATGGTGTTGTGGCATCTACCCTGGTTCCAATTGAAAGACGTACGCTTGTGGAACTCATAGCCATAGCCCTGCATGGCACCCTTGGAGTTGCCGCTGTAGAACTCGACGTCGGTAGACTTCTGGACGATGATCATGTGGCCTCCAGCAGTCCCAGTGCGGTAGATGGTGCCCTCGAGATTGATCGAAACACCAGTTCCGCCGGAAAGCGTCTGCCAGGTGCCGAGGCCCCATTCACCCGCGGGGATGAGGATCTCGCCTCCAGTCTTGCAGGCGTTCCAAGCGGACTTGAGGGCCGCGCCGATGTCCCCGGTGGCACCGGTCTTGGCGCCGTAGCTGGTGATGTTACATGTCTTCTTGGCGGCCTTGGCAGCGGCCTTGGTAGTAGGTCCAACGGAGCCGGACAACTGGGCGTCGGCCAGTTCCAGGAGAAGAGCGCCCAGCGCAAGGAGTGAAAAGGAAGTGAACTTCATATTTGTGGATATTTGTGGATTTGAACGAGTGAATACCGACAGAACGTCGACAACTACAATAGCAAAAAAAAAAAAATGAGAGGCACCGGAAAAGGAAGGCGGAAATGAATAAGGGAACGAAAAGCTAGCATCTCTTTGAGAATGGGCCTTGTGGGTTGATAAAAGGAATCCTCCCTCCGATTCCCCTGACTTCCTCCACTACTGGGCCCAGCAGCGTTACCTCCGAGTCGCCATTTGCAGTGTCCAAGCCGCTCCCGCCAGACCCCACGATCCGTCCATTGTTTGTGGGAAATTGAACGGAACGGGTGCGGTGGAAAGTGGCTGGTTGACGAATCGAAAATTGACCCTCAGCACCGGGATTCTGGCGCCGTCTTAATTAAAAGAATAACACAACCAGGGGGGTTCAAGAGCGAGCTCGCTTCGCCCAAATGCCGTCCCGAATGGGTATTAGAGGTATGAAATAAAGTAGATGGTGGCGTTATCGGGGCCTGGATAGTGGCCACCAGACCATTTTCCTTAACCCCCGGTAGTTTGATCAGGGGTATTGCTTGTCAGACTGCTTTAGCCCAGCATCCCTACTCTGCAAAAACGCAAGATCAAATCTTCTCAACGAAACAGGCCTATCAGGGCCCTACCTGGAGGCGCAGGTGTGAACGTTGGTGAAACAAAAATAAACGGCACAGATTAGCCATCATGGTTGCGGTTCGTCCCATCATGGTCAAAGTATATCCCTTCTGTTTGGCACACTGGAAGTGTGTTATATATATGGATATGCAATACGGAGTAGTTGGCCCTTATGAGGGATAGGAGTAGGCGCAGAGATGATGCCCACGGCATGGGCCACACCCGCGTCTTCTGCCCATGATGTTAGAATTGTCTCAAATATCATCCCGCATTTTGGCCAGTCAAGATCCAGCCGGGGCTGACAACTGATAGTCTGGACGCGGCAGAAATTCCGTCCAGCGTCATGGCACAAGGCACAACCAGGAAACATCAAATCGGCACCCCACTGCCGGGTCCAAGTTCGAAACGGCCTGGGGAATGTCTCCCCAAGTCCGCATTTTGATTACGGGCGCCCGCAGCGGCCACATCAGATTCTGCGTGCCGTCGGAGAATTCCTTCGCTATCCTCATTTCCTTTCGGGCCTTAGCTCATCGCGATTCATTTCAGCCTTTTCAAGGCTCTAGAGATGAACCCACAGGTGATCGTTCGATAATCTAGACGAAGGTTTATCATCTTGAATACTAGTACGGATAAAACCCCCAATTATTGGCTACTGCCGGTACTTGACTATCCCAGGACTCAGGAGAGGCCACAAAATGCGGGGCCGAACCTCAACTTGTTAGTTCATCAATGATCACGGGTTTTAGCTTTGAGATACACGGCAGACACGGCTTAATCAGCGGTCTCGCTTCTTATCAACGCAGATAATGACAGCAGCACGACGTTGGCCTTCAGAAACAGCTTGAACAATGCGTCTCTTGTACCTTAGACCGGCTCGTACATGCATTGGCACTATGACGAAGCTGCCAAATGAGCACTCCGCCATGCCGAGATACATTTCTCTCTTCTTGTGTCCCTTTTCATCCATCTTCCACTAGGCCCTTACTTTGCACGGCCTCTCAAGATCCCGTGCGCCAAGAATCAGCTTACTGCTGCAGCGCAAATGGGCTGGATGTCAGCAAAGGGAATACGACCAACAATGAGGTCCAGAGTCCAGAGATCCAAATGAGACTATCTGTGAGACCCAGCCCTCTGGCGTCTGACAACTGCAACTGCGCCGCCGCCTCATGGCCCGGCTTTCGCCTTAACTCGAAGCATTCTGGCCACCAATCAGGCCGTGCACCTTAGCCCCAAGACGCACACCTATCAGGTTTATTTTACGGGGCTGACGGTGCCTCAGCGCCTACCTTGAGCTTCTGTAGCCTGCATCCCCAGCTCCTCCATTGGCTCGGGAAGGTCCCAGTCCCGGAACAATGAAGGATTGTACAGATGCATGAGATGCAGATGTCCCGTCCCATAGCCTATTTCACACTCTATTCCGTAGGGCAGCATGTCGTTAGCTTCGGGGATGCAGTGGGCGGTGCATGTGCGCCCTAGACCTCCAATGTGCTTCTTGTTTTACACCAAGTCTGGCTTCAGGTGAATTGCACATCTTGGTCGCGGCGATGGCTGGCGTGGCGTGTAGTTGCAGCCTCTTTGCAGGATGCCTCTGAAAAATATGGCTGGCTGTAGGATAGGCTAGTGATGAAAATAGTTTCCGAGTCTACGATCCGTATCGCGAAGTCGAAGTTCGATGTGTATAAATCCAACTCGAGTCCTCCAATATGGTCTCTACTTACTTTCCTCTCATCATCATCAAACACTTCAAACAGCTCATCTACAGCTCACAAGTTTCCTTTTTTCTCTTTTTTCCTTTTCTCATTTCCTTATTTCCTTTGTCGGTTTCTCTTTCCTTGGGACAATCGCTCAACACTCAAATCTTCACTTCATCACTTTCACAGACGCCGACTTCTGCTTAATCTCAGCTCCATTCCAACACTCCAAGCAACAATGCATTCTTCCATCATCTTCACCTTCGTCGCCGCCGTTGCAACTCTTGCCACGGCAAGCCCTTCCCTCGACTCCAAGCGCGACGATACAATCTGCGCTCCTGGGACTGGGTTCTTTCAGTCCTGCGCCAACGGCTTCCGTGGATGTTGCAAGGAGGACGCCTGCACCACTGGCTACTGCCCTTCTGCCTCTGTGAAGCGTCAAGATCCTACAGTCTGCGCACCTGGTACTGGTTTCTTCCAGTCTTGCTCAAATGGTTTCCGCGGCTGCTGCAAGTCTGATGCTTGCACTCTCGGCTACTGCCCCGACCTCGCCGTCGCCTCGGAGAAGCGCGCCGTCGACCCCACAGTCTGCGCCCCCGGCACCGGCTTCTTCCAGTCTTGTGCCAACGGTTTCCGCGGCTGCTGCAAGCAGGACGCCTGCACTATTGGCTACTGCCCGGATGTCAAGACCTTTGAGACCGTGACCAAGACCGCTCCTCAGACAACTGCCACCCCTACACCCGCGACCACATCCAACACCAACGCTGATCCGACCGTCTGCGCTCCTGGCACTGGTTTCTTCCAGTCGTGCTCCAACGGCTTCCGCGGGTGCTGCAAGTCTGATGCTTGTACCATCGGCTACTGCCCTTCCAACTAAGGGATCTGGTGTTCATAGGAATAGACGGGCCGGCTGGGGTTTGCGAGCATACTGGGATAGAAGATGGTATAGATAGCATTGCATGGTGGAGTTTTGTCATAGCATCAAGGGGTCTGCTCTTTTCTGATTTCATCACAACAGTGCTTTCGGTTGATTAAGTACCTTTAAAGATAATACATCCACGTTCCTTTACAATTCTCTTCCGCTTATTGATGGTACAATTATCACGGTTTGAACACGCCACCGTTGATGGATGATAATATTTAGTTGATGTATGATAGTATCTAGTTGAGTTGAATGAAGCAAAAGTGTTGCTTGTAGGCTTTCACTACCTTAGGTAGGAAGTCAAAAAGTTGTCGAATCTGGCTAGGCATGTATTGAAGAGGAAAGGGGCGAGCGTTACTGATAGGCTAATACAAGGTAGGGTAAAATACGTGTAATTGCTAATGGAAACGCGAGGCTATGCTTACAGGCCTCAAAAGGAAGTGAAGTAATTTGTGAAGAAAAAAAGCTAGAAAGACTTCCCCTTTTGCGAGTCAACCCTGGCCCAGTACTGGGCCACAATTTCACACCAGCCTCCCCTCCCACCTTACTCAAGTCCCCTGAACCGCCGGTTGAACTCCTCCACAGCAACAGCCACCATCTTGTACAAAAAAGCACGACCGCTTTCGTCGCCAACAGGGAGGAAGGGGCCATTTGTGCCTCCTCTCAGGGTTAGGCTCAGACCAGTCCGCTCTTTGGCGATGGTCTGGACATCCTTCAAAGGCACATCCCATTCTGATGTCAGACGCCGGCTGCGAATAAGCAGGATCCGAGCGTACGTGACCATGACAACCATATCCTCGCGTGGCAATTCGAGATGAGCAATGTAGTTCTCGTTGAAGTACTTGCCATTATCAACCTGCTTCAACCAGGATTGGCCAAGGGCTTCCCGAGCATTGTACGGTCGCACGATACCATCAGAAGGTACGAACCGAGCGGGACGGACACGATCGAGCTCTGAACCGTCAAAAACGGTGGTCGTGTTGCGGATGCCTTCCGAAACATTTGAAGCCATGTCTAGAACGCCGATGGCGGGTTTGGTCGCAAATCCGACAACTCCTTTGCCGATTCCCTTGAAGAATCCAACAGCTCCCTCCTGCTCAGCACCCTCCAACGGTTTGCGGACAAGTCCTCCCACACCAGACGCAGCGCTTGTGAAGAAAGAGTTGGCGCCGGTGGTGACACCGTACAGAGCATGCTTGGGCCGGTTGCGCGCGCGCGTGATCCGACGGCGATCTTGGAATTGCTTATCGAGAGTCGCAGCTGCAAGGCCCTTTGACAAACTACCAGTGAACTTGGAGAAAGAGTCACTGAAGCCATAGACAGACTTTTTGACAAGTGACGCAGCTCCCTTCGCAACTCCAATACCAAAGTCCTCGGGCTTGTCTGAAAGAATCAGGCCTTGGTAAGGTTCGTAGAACACATCTGTGAGACCGGAGCTGATATTGTTGAACAGACCGACGGGGTTGCCAAGGAAGTCGGCAGATCCGAGGATTTTGTGAACCTGATAGAGCACCTCTTGACTGTAGTGACTCGTGATGTTTTGCGTCAGGGCTGCCACGGACACGCGAACGTTGTCTAGCATGAGAGCATTGAGGCGAATCGGCGCATCGTTGATGTTTCCGATGGCCATCGTCATGACATTGAGGAAGAACATGAGAGGGTTTCGGGACGACGTCTTGTCCTCTGCGTTGACTCTTTCTGTACGCATGAAAGAGAGATCGAGCTGCATGGGCTGGATGTTGAGCAACTCGAAGTAGATGTCCTGGCCAGATTGCTGCCGCTGCGGCTCCGGGATGTCCAGCTCCTCGTCGCAGAGCTTGCCTTCCTCGTTGGTGTCCGACCAAGCGGCTCCAGGGATATTTGAGAAGTCCAAGACAGCATAAACAAAGTCCTCGTCAAGCTCAATGGTCATCTGCTGCATCAAAAGCGTAGCGTATTTGATGTACAGGACGCCGTAAGAGTCGTCCTTTACGCGAGTGACCATGGCGTGGAGTGACGGATGTGCGTCGACCTCCTGGGCTCTCTTCGGGACAACGCTGGGGTACAAAATCATTGGGAACAGACCACCGTACAGCTGGTTGTCGATTTGAATCCACTTGACAGACAAACTGATGGTCTGGTGCAGAGGAGAGTCATGGTAGCGTAGAGAAACATCTCTGAAAGTGACGTAGGCAAGTTCCTTGAGTTGAGAGTTGATGAGTGATATTCCAATGCCCGAAAGCTTTAGCTGCGCGCGGAAGGTTGCAGTCGTCTCTTGGTCTTTGACTTCGAAGCCATCAGTGCTCGTGCGAGATCCAGACTTCGACTTCTGTCTGTACAGACTCTTGGATTGTCGGAAGTTGGACAGGATCATGGTTTGGGTAGGCCCATCAGCGGCAACGTTGATGTCGATGATCTTCTGTTGTCCGGATGTTGTCGCAAATTTCATCGGAATTTGATTGCCAATTTCCGCAAGCTTCACATGTCGCTCTTTGCCATGCGCATTGATAATGATCTCACGGAACTTGGCAGCCGGGAAATCCCATGCGTACGGCATGATGCTCCTAGGCGGCAGTCTATACTTGATAGGCCTCCAGCCAGATCTGTCTTCGACTCCATCGTCATCTAGGCTGGGATTGGCCTGGTAGAATGTGAACTCTGTATCACTCTCGTTCCGCATCTGATAGGGCCAATTCTTGGTCTCCAAGCTGAGGTGCAGGAAAATTGTCGCACCCTCCATCAAAATCTCAACGCGGATTAGACGTTGACGTTGGCCTGCTTTGGCGATCTTGACGTGAGTTGTTCCGATATCTGATATATTGAAAGGAGAGGTCCATTGATTGTTCATTCCCGGGTGACACAAAGAAATTTGCTTGATGGCGGTCTTCTGCATGAAGTGAAGTGGCTCATGAGCGCCGGGCTTCAATGTCATGAATCCAGAAGAGCTGGACTCTCGAACATTGATTTCCTCTCCAAGCTTGTTTTCCAGAACGAATCGCGGCGCGAGGGTAACGACCTTGGTCATCTTGTATTTGCCTTCTCCAGCCTCCGTGGTGATGCCAATGTGCACCTCAGTGTTCCTGGATGGCGAGGGCAGCACCACCTCGGTTGTGCTTCCGATGGCGTCGAAACTCTGCGGCTTGCTCCATTCCGAATCAGCGATTTGCAGCAAAGCTCGGTTTCTATGATCGTCATTGCCGTAAGAGAACATAAACGGAGTAGCCCTAGGGCGGCTGTTGCCAGATCTGGAGGATAGGGTCGACTGTCCAGCTGCGGGTCGTGCGCCTTGCAGGAAGCCTTTGGCTCTGATCTGTAGGTCAAGCCCAGTCTTATTCAGGATAATGTAAGGACTGTAAACCGTGACTCGGAAAGCTCCACCGCTGTCGGGTATCTTGTGATAATGAAGCTTCAAGTTGAGCTGCAAGCCTTCTTCGTCCTTGCAAAGCAGTCTGTCTTCCTTCTTGAAGTCGTCCGAAGCCCCGGAGTTGATGATAGCAAAGTCGCTGGGTTTGAAGACAGTGTCTTGCATATCGACGCTGAGGAGGAGCAAGTGAGATAGCTCTACAACGTGCACCGGGCTGAGTCCACCTTTGCGAAGGAAGTTTGCCCAGTCCTTTTTGGTGTTTTTGTCGTAGATGCGATACTTGAAATCGTAAGGTAGCAAGTTCTCAAGGATGACCGGAGGCGACAGCTTGATACGCATGTAAGGGTAATTTCTGAGAGAGCGGTCAGTTGAAGTCCATGACAATATGGTAGGAGACTTACTTGGTCAATGGGTTCGACCTGTCAAACGTGGCATTGAGCTGGAAATAGAAAGGGTCCCCGTTCTCCCCCTTGCAGACCATCGTCCGTGTTGGCCGCTTGAGGAGATCTCTCCACCACAAAGTCTCAGAAGACCATGCGTAGCCAAATCCAGAGTCGGGCCGCACCAGCAGAGATTTGAGGAACACGGCTCCTACCGGAGCCGGTCGGCTCTCGCCAGGAGCAATCTTCTCAATCTTGAGCAGATGACCCTCTTGGGCGTCGTAGACACCAAGTTCAACTGGGATCTGGGTGAGGTTGTCGACCACAAGAGGCGATCGAAGAGTGACATATTTGACGTTATCCTTGCCCAAGGTGACCTCGACAAGCAATCGGTGCAGGATATTGTCAGTCTTGGGCTTCAAACCGTAAATGGCCTCGCCCTCGCGGTTCAACCTGACGTTCTTGACCGGGTCAAAGCCACTGCCCTCCAAATGAATGCCGACACTACCTGTACTACTCTCGGTCGAAAGGTTCTCTCGCATCTTCTCCCAAGGCTCGAAGCTCCAAGGTACTTCTTGCCCATCTTCAAGACGGGCGGTCATGTTATCATCTGTCGTCATACTCTTCGACTGTACTACTACGTCAAATCCAGTGTAGTTCCGAATCCGGTAAGGGGCGTCAACACCACGCGGCTTGCCGAGAACATCCTCGTCCCTACTGAGGAAAGCGAAGGATTTCGATGCCAAAGCAATGGTAGCTGTCGTGATTGTGACATCGAAGATCTTGTTGGAAGCAACGTCAATAGACAAAAGACCTGATTGCTGCTCTTTCGCAATACCAAAGCCAACCTTCCAGGGTTCTAGCAGAGGTTCCCATGCTGACTTTGAGAAATTGTACACGTTCGTATAGATGTCAATTGCAGTTTCAGCCTTGAGGTCCGAAGACCAGTCTTCGGCCGTGGCGGTGAAGTTCTTGATACCCAGGTCCAGGATGGGAAGTTCGTGGACGTCGCCAATAAGGACAACACGGATGCCCTCAATGGTTGCCGAAAGTTCCTCGTGTCGCTTAGGCTGATTTTGAATGGCTGTGCTGTGAGAATCATCTTGGGCTTGCTTGGCTTGAGATGCTGCTACCAATGCGGTCTTGGACATGATAGTCTTGTTCGCAATCGTAGACGGGCCCTTGCCACTGGCTGTCCGCTGTTTCAGACCTGCTTGACGCAGCTTTCTCGCCTTCTCGTCAGCGGCCGACGCAGTTTTTCTCTCCTTCTGGTCCTTTTGCTGTTGATCTGAAAGCTCAGTAGCCTTGCTTGCGATCTGCAGAGCGAGCAAAATATCTCTCAGGGACAGCCGCAGAATCAATGGTTCGATGTCAGCATGAATGCTTGTGACATTGGGCTTCGAGCTGTCCATTGAAATCTGAACTGAAAAGTCGTCAATGAGTCGCAGACGGGAGTCTTCGAATCGATCCATCCGGCAGAGGAACATGCCGATTTCGGAGACCTGGAAGGTCAGAGCATGCTGTTGGGATAGCAAAACTTGCTTGGTACCCAGAACAATGGCTTCAGAACTTGCACTGAGGGGGTTGGCGATCAAGATGACCTGTGCGTCCACGATGTTTACCCTATACGCAATGCTCAAAGTGCTCTTTGGCTTCTCCTCGGCATCTCCCTGAGGCTCTTCCTGACCCTCTGTGCCACTCGTCTGGGACTTGGCCTTGTTGGACCAAGTGACTTGCATCGAGTCAGCATCGTCATCAGGTGTCTCAAATAGCGACTCTTCGTCTACAGGGGAAGGCTCCTCCGGTTGCAGGCCGACCATGACGAAGTTCTGAATGGCGAAGAGGTAATCAAGGGCAAAAATGATGCGTGGGCTATCAACGGTGACAATCGCAATTAGGCTTCTGTCTTGGCCACCAGACATTGTGATGCTGGCCATCAGCTGCTGAACCTCCTTGTTCGAAGAAGTCATGATGCGTCTGAACTTGTTCGTTTCACGAGGACGGCTGTCGTAAATCGTGAATGAATGGATCAGGAATTCGCCCTCGAGCGAACCGTCGTTGAGCATTCGTGTCTTGAGCTTGGTGACGTCCAACGAGAAGCGGGACAGGCTGGCATCTTCAAGCGTGCCCACCGGCTTGTCATCCGGGGCAAGTAGCAGTTCCATGCCAATAGTGTTGACCTGGAAGACGAGGTCGAGCTTGGTCCATGCCTGGTCCTTAGGCGATAGCTCGGGGCCGAGATCAACCTGCTTCTCCTCTTCGTTCGCTCCTTTGTCGAGAGGTATCGACCTTGCTCTTTGAAGCGTGTCTTTGTCTACTTCGCGCTCAGCTTCCTGATCTTGCTCTTCTGAATCAGCAGCAAACGCAGCTGGGACAGCCTTTGAAATCTCCATCAAGAACCTGAGCTGGTACTGAGTGAGCTTCAAGTTGAAATCAGACATGCTTCCTTCAATTTCGAGTTCGGGTCGCTTCGTGCCGTCCTGGTGCTCAGCGTACGTGACATTGAAGCCCAAGTCGACCTTGTCAATCAACTCCAGCTCCTCGGAAAGGTCGCCGGGATAGTTGAAGTCAGATGTCAGACGAATATTGCGGATGCCCGCAGAGATCTTGGTGGCGATCTGAGAGTTCTCCGAGTCGTCCAAGGGTGCGAACTTGTTCTGGGCGTAGATCTCTCCCAAGTAGGCGGTAATGACATCCCGTTTGGGCTGGCCATGATTGACGACCCGAGGGAAGACGACTATCGGGGTCTTGACGACAACGTCGTACTTGAACTTGCTCGTACTTTGCTGGATTTGATTGGCTTGAGACGCTGCTGCTTGGCGTGCAGCGTTGTAAATGGCTTGCATCTTGCCAAACTTGACCAGGAACTGAATGATCTTTCTGAAGGGCTCCTCGAGGAAGTTAAGCTTGACGGAACCAGCCCTGAGATAGACTGACGAATCATATCCCGGATATGTTTTCTTGTTGGTAGCATCGAAAGTCTCGTAGCGGAAGTCAGCGAGTTCATCGCCTTGGATAGAGATGAGTTGCCGTAAATTGGATTCCTCAGAAACACCTTGGTTGATGTCGTCAACCAGGTTGAGATTGCCCAACTTTGCATTGACTCGCATCGTCTTCCCAAGCAAGAAGACTCCAACATCGGCATGATTGAACGATAGGGTTGCCAAGCGGATCCCATCGTTATTCAGGATGAGCCGGATACTCTTCAGATCGACTTTGACTCGAATGGAGCCTGCGTTCGCGGGTCCATCCTCTGGAGGAGATTCAACGGCTATTTCGACACCTTCGTCGTCGTCTTCCGAGTCTGATATAGCTTTTTGTTCATGCGGTGGCGCTGCCTCGTTGTTATTTCCAGTGAAGGTGGCCAGAATGAAGTCAAGTAGGGTAAGAAGGGTCTTCCTGGTCACAATGAGGTTGATAGTTGATATTGCTGCGGTAACATTCGTCTCCACACCTTCATAGACCGGCATGAACTCTGGTGACAGTCGATTAACCTTGGTGAACTTGACACTGACAAGGCTACGATTCTGCTCCCGATCTTCCATGTCTCCGGATGAAACAATTGATTTGAACTCCGCCGGGGGATTGTCAACGAAGTCGTCCATGGTGACGGAGCCTAGTGAGACTTCTGCAGACATGTCGTAAGGACGTAAATAAAAGAGGAGGTCAAAGTTCTCAGCAACCAGTTCGACGAGAAGCTGATCAGGCTTCTTCTTGTCAGGGTCGCTCCGGTATAGAGAACCCTTGAGGGTGTCGACCTTAAACTTGAGCTCGAAAGAACGCTGCTGGAGCTTAAGCTGTTCTTTATTGCTCCTACCACCATCGTCGGCATCCTCAAATTCGTCTTGATCGTCGTCGTCTTCGTCAATGACAATGGCAGTTTGTTGCTGCATGAAGGGGAATTGGGAGGACTTCCGGCGGCTGTTGGTATCCTTGCGAGACCGCGATCGGTTGGAGGTGGTGCTCAAGCCGCGCGGGCGAGTCGTCACCGCCTGACCCTGAGCATCCTTGATTTGCGTCTGTTGCTGCTCTTGATTGCCGAACTTGGGAATGGCAACATCGATGATCCGCATCAAATTCTTGTACTTGGAATCTGATACGGTGGCGTGCAGCATGGGCAGGTGGCCAGAGACCTTCAGTTTGGTCAAGTTTGGCGCCTTGGGCAGAATCGATGTCTCGACCACAAAATCAACATTGATCTCTTCCACCACGTGTAAGTGTTGTGTGTCGTCCTTGTTCGAAATTTGAGCCTTCGTCGCCTCGATCGAGGGACCTATCAGCACCTGCGTGGAGGAGAGCTTCACCAAGAATTTGTCGTACATGACAGACTCCAAGCGCTTGAAGTCCTCGTCCGTGTAAGATTGGCGCTGCTTCGACTGAATCTGCTTCATGGTATCCTGATCCACCAGCTCGCTGTTAACGCTGATATGACCGGCATCTAGAATTAAACAAGTAGATTCTTTGACATTGATGCTGACCGGCACGATGATCAGCGGGGCCTGCAGGTCGAGCTGAGCGTTGATGGTTTTGTGTTCCTCAAGAGCAAACTCCAAACCAGCCCGCGTCTGTTCTCGGAAGGTTTCTACAGTGGCACCGGCTGTCTCCATCAGTGCCGTTATGGACTCCATGTGCCGTTCTGGTGGTCTGAAGAAGTCCGCTACACCAACAATGAAGTTTGGATTCCAGACAATCTCGAGTGGTTTGAGGGACCCACTGAGTGCAATGTCTCCTTCGCGATCGATGGGATTCTGTTCGACCTCGAAGCGGAAGAAGGGTTCATCGTCATTGTTTTCCAGCTCTTCGATAGTTAGACGTTGGTGGTCGCGGTTCTCAGGGGCATCCTTAACTCTGACAATCTCGGGGAAGAGGGAGTCTGGCGTGGTTCCATCATTGACACGGAGCCCACCCAGGCTGAGATCAGCCAGGAAGGAATCGGGACGCTGCAAGACCTTGGCTTTGAAAACGTCAAAATGCAGACTCAGGAGGTCACTCCGCTTGCCGTTGTGGCTCTTCTTCAGCGTGAAGCTTCCTGTGCTCAGCCACGCCTCGACTTGCATTTTGATGGAGTCTCGAGGAACGTCGACCGACTCTGCCAATGCAGTCTTCTCATCAAATTCAATAGCATCGTAGAGCTCTTTGCGCTGCTCCTCGGTGATTTGCGTGTTCTCATCATCCTCGACATGGTGCTCCTGCTGCTTCTGGCCACTGCCCCAGGCCCATGCTAGCCAACCTTGTTGCTCCTGCTTAGGGGGCTGGTTCTTCAGAGCAGCAGCATTCTCCTTCTTAAGCTGGTTCCGTGCCAGAGATCGCCAGAACCGCAGATCCTCGTAGTCAAGCTTGATCTCGAGCTTGTTGATGTCCTCGTTCTCCTGAGCACTGAGCTGTTGCTGTTGCTTGCGCTTCTTGAACAGTTCGGTGTAGCGCTTGCGGTCATCCCGTCGTTCTTTGAAGTATTCCCATGACCATCTACGGTTCTTCTCGTGGATCTTGCTGAGCACTGAGTCACCGGCGAACTTGAGCCATGCTCTCGGGTCTTCTTTGGGTGTGACTCCTTTGGGCTGAAATTTCTTGTATTCTTGGTGGCGGATGAAGTAGTGGAAAAGGTCAACCATCATCAGGCCATCACGGTACTGGTCGTCATCGATGACGAGTCCAATCTCCTCAAAGAGCAAACTGGCCTTGGCCTTGGGAACATGGACCTCTCCAGTCTTGTCGAGGACAATCTTTGCCTTTCCGTTGACGGGTCGCAAGATGAATTGGTGGTTGAGCCCTGTATCCTCGGTTGAACCTATCAAAGTCTTGAACTTGTCAACCATCTCGTCATGCGGCATCGGAGGTTTCCCGCCCGTGTCGACCTCTCGGCCAGGGCCCAGCAGCTCTGTATCTGTGTTCCAGTAGACGGCAAGGGCGCCAAGTGTTGCGAGCTTGTGGGTGCTCTTAGTCGAGTCTTGGACAAAGGTCGGCTTCCACTGGCCGTCAGTGCTGATGGCGCTGAACTCCTCGAGAGTTACGCCGAGTGCAAAGGGGTGACCAGGAGCCGAAATGGAGTCCTCGTATCTGATGTGGATATTCTTGATTGTGACTTGCAAGTTGTCGACAATCTTGGTGACCAGACTCTGTGTAAACGTCTGGCTCTTTTTCTGCTCTTCCTGGCTCAGGCCCTCTTGAGACCTCTCCTTGAGAAGCTCGGCGGAATCCAGTTTCTCCATCTTGATTCTTTGCTTCCTACGCTCTTCCTCTTGCTCGTCATAAGCGGCCTCTTCGCGGGGGGAGGCTAGCAGGAAGACATCCTCGATGAAGACCTTGACGGGAGCGCCACGCAAGTTGGACCATGGAATGATAAGTGTCAGCTCGCCGAGATGGCCTTCCATGACATTGATGGGAAGCTTCAGCTGATCGAGGGCTTCCCTCCGAAGCTCGAGGTTCCGTAGCTTGACATCACCAGACCAGATTCCAACCTTGAGCTGTGCAGGGTCGAAATTCTTGACGTACATGCCCAGAAACCTATTGAGCAGGCCGGCGACAAGTCCCTCCAACATCTTGTGCGTATGCGGCGCCGTTACCCTGGCGAGGGAGGCTCACGTTGGTGTTCTATCGTGTATCGGTGGTGCGAAGCATGGGAAGGGAGAGACTCGGGAAGTCGGAGAGCTCGATCACAACGGGCGCGGCTCAAATCAGTAGCGAGAGGGTTTCTGCCGTCATCAGAGTTGGGCGCGCAGTGCAGGATGATATCGGGTATGGGGTCGTGATGATGTTTCGTCTCTTTTCGTAATTTTCTTTTGTCGTCAAAAAAAAGGCTGGCGATGGGTATTTTTGGGTATCGAGGGGTGGATTTCGTTTTCTGGGATGGCGTGCCGCCGGCCGTCTCTCCGGGACGTGGTTGGTGACTAGGTCTGGGTAGGGAAAGAAGGTGCCGCGTCGCAGACTTGTCCAAAGTCAATCTTTGCCAGCTCGAGTTTGACAGATTGCACACTCGTCGAGGTGTCGATGTTGTGCTGGTGCTGGGGGTGGCGTTGGCAGGGTTGGTTTGGTCACAATGTTGGGGTCTGGACTGAGGGTGGAACAGTTTGACTGGGCGGATTTGTGCATGATGACGCTGCCTGATGGTTGAAGTGCTTCCTTCCCCCGCACCAGTGCCAAAAACAGGCCAACAGCTCGGCCCAGACTGTGGCTGCTGAACGTCGTGGTGGGCCCGTTGAGCCACGGTAGGGTGGGTCTACTGACTGCATCATATCTACAATATGAGGTAGCCCAACAAGGTACAGCAGGCACGTACTCTGATCTTGGATCATCAAAACATGGAGGACAGACAAGTGTCAACCGTCCTTTCTTCTAGAGGGCAGACTCTTTGAGACGCATCAGTATGAATCACAGTATCTATGCCTTTTCAGCATCTTCAAATCTCTATTATCAAGTTCCTTCAAGACATGATCATTGAACAGGGAGAAAGAGCTCCCACGTGCCTCCCTCAACTCAGCATCGCATCGGCACAAACGGGAGAGAAGCTTGGGCCACTCTCCCCTAGCGCCACCCCACCCAGCTGCTGGTTCGTCCAATGCGGAGCCTCTGGCCCGGGCGTGGACATGGGCGAGGTCTCCACATTACGTCACCAACCGGCAGCTAGAGCTCTGCCAACCTCGATGGCCTGGCTGCGATCTGATGGCCACGGAAATGTGAGGCCAGCCGTGTATCCGTTTTCTGTGCCTTGATATTCTAGTCCTGGGACCGGCCTTACATCAACTTGAGGCAATCGGGATTTTCAATTGGATCTCTTTGGCGACACCAAAAGGGGGCTCCAAGCCACTGTACTCAACTTCTGCTTCAACATACACCACAAGCATTAATACCACCGACTACTCAAGGGAGAAGAATACATCTACCTACCTTACAGAGACTCCCTTGAGAGCGCAAATCCTTTGATTGAACGTACTCAATTTCAATTTCAACTTCAAGCCGTCTCAAACAATCCTATTTTGCCTGCCTACAGAGGCCGCAACAACCGAATTCTTGCACGATGCTTCGCTCTTCGCGCCAACTCATGCGGTTGGCTCCGCGCAAAGCCGCAGCTCCCTCAGCAATCCCCTCAACATCATACTCGACGAGGGCTTCACCAAATTCCCTCCAAACCTCCAAGCGACCTGCTTCCGCCCTCCAGTCGCGCCTGACTCCTTTGTCCCTCCAAGCGTGGTACACAAATTCGCCCTACGACAAGGTCGACAAGAAGGCCGAGCAGGAGATTGCGAAAAAGAAGCTCGAGTCTCGGCCTGAAGAGGTCTCGACTGAGTCGTCTAGAATCCACCTCTTTGAGCCGGAGCCCGCCAAAACACAGAAGGAAGAGGACCTCACCGAAGGACTCAAGAAGGAGTTGGTAAGTCTGCATTGGCTTGCCTACCCCAGCTAGATGAGAGAAATTGACGTCCTGCTGGTAGAACATTGTCAAGGACACCTTCAATCTGAGCGAAGTGCCAAGGGAGCCCTACCTGCTCGGTCTTGCTGGTACTCTTCCCTACCTTGCAACATCGCTGAGCACTCTGTACCTGAGCTGGGATCTGAACCTCGAATGGCCCTCGACTTCAAACTTTGCAAACCACATCTACATGAACCATGATTCGGCGCAATACTGGCTGAGCCTCCTTGAACCCATTCAGCTCGGATACGGCGCCATCATCATCTCCTTCCTGGGTGCAGTCCATTGGGTGAGCTGAAGTCACTCCGACCGTAGTCAAAAACCACTGAACTGACACAATCACAGGGCATGGAATACGCCGAGAAGACGCCTCATCCCCAACGAACAAAGTTCCGATATGGTATGGGTGTTGTCGCGCCTATAATTGCCTGGCCCTCCCTCCTCATGCCCGTCGAATATGCCCTCACCTCGCAATTTGCCGCCTTCACCTTCCTATACCTCGCCGACATCCGAGCCAAGAACAAGGGCTGGACCCCCCAGTGGTATGGAATCTACCGCTTCATCCTGACTGGCATTGTCGGCGTCTCCATTTTTGCCAGTTTAGTTGGCCGCACCAAGATTGGCAACGCGCAACCCCACATCGGCGAGGGTCTAGCCGAGAGCATGCACCTAGGCAAGACAGACACCTCCAAGAATTGGGCAAAGCTTGAAGAGGAGGAGAGGAAGAAGCAAAAGAAGGAGAAGGAGGAGGCTGAGAAGAAGAAGAAGGAAGAGGAGAAGAAGCAAAAGGAAGTGGAAAAGAAGAACGCCAAGAAGGGTGAGTCCAAGGACAAAACCAAGAAGGACGAAAAGAAGGATGACAAGAAGGGCGGCTCAGAGAAGAAGGAAGACGAGGGTAAGGAAGAGGATGATGAGAAGGAGGAGAAATCCGATTCTAAGGACGAGTCCAAGGATGATGGCAAGGATGAGGGCAAGGACGAGGGCAAGGACGAGGGCAAGGACGAAAGCAAGGACGAAGGCAAGAAGGAGAAGAAGGAGTAATTATTCTCGGACTGAATTCTATAACAATCTGTACCTAGTTACATCGATTGATCCTTCACATGTCCTGTAGTTATATTCGCGCGGGGCAAGAGCATCTTGGCCGTGTTGAACGGGCAAGGCGTTCGGGGCATTGATATGTACTCTATTCCAAGCAAGCTATTGCTTATGTTGACGATGCATCTCTTGAATCGGATCAACTTGATGGGCTGGATCCAGTAACTACAACTATAATCACGTGATTCCCTGTGTGTCAGAGGCTCAACAGCTCCTCATGGGAATGTCATCGTCCAGGCCCATGCGGCCTCATCAGGCCCCGACACTTACCCACGTTGTCAACGGCCGTGCCGAGTCTGCTCCCCGTCCCTTCAAGTTCGGTTCGGGCCACGGATACCCTCAAAGGGCCACGCAACCCTGAGCAAGTTTCGAACCAAAATCGCGGCTCTCAACCTCCCAACCAAAACCAGAGCCTGTAGGCGAGGCCGAGCGAGGTGCACACACCCGAACCTCGCAAGTTCACGTCGTCTCCGTTCGCTGGCCCAAATCGTTTTACCATTTAACGCGCGGCTGAAGTCCCCTCGGATTCGAAACGGCTACAAGACCTCCTGGTGGCAGGAGCGTGCCCGAGCACCGCCGGACATTCCCCCTTTTGAAATCCCCCGACCTGTAAAAGCGAGTAAACGGGATTGGGGTTCGGGAGTGTAGACGGTTGACGGTTGACGGTTGACTTTGATCAGAATCAAGACGCGAAGTAAAAGTCAAACCAAAGATTAGAAAAATTACAAAGCCGAGAAAAAGCCCGAGGCAAATTTCCAATGGAGAAATATTCGCGACGCCATTCCGCGACGCCATTCCGCGACTCCCGAACGGCAGCCGCCGGTCCCGCAACCCCCACTTATCCGCCCGACGGGCCCCTCCCATGTCCGTTGCGATCCCGTCCAATCCGGCCGATTGCTGGGCCGGCCTTGCAAAGTTGGAAAAGAAAAAGTTGCATAAACTTCCCCCGGCCGAACTACCCGATAATCCATAGGAAACCAGATTGAAGCAACAAGAAGAACCCTCTCTGCCTCGCGGCATTTCCTTGGCAACATCTGCCGTCTTGTCATCCTCATCCCGCCGTCCCGCAATGACCTCACTTTTTTTCCAGTCACCGGCCCCGCTGGACCGTTTTGCCGTGATCCGTTTCTCATGCCCCGGGAATCTTGCGGTGCGTCGCGAGTAGATTGAGGCACAGATTTTCCACGGGAAAGCTTTGGCGTTCCTATCAGCTTCGGGCAACGGTAACGGCAACGCAGAGCACAGCACAGCACAGTCACCTTTTCCTTCCGTCGCAAGTTGAGGCGAACGAACCAAAGAAATGCATAATGCGAGGCGGAAGAAGAGGTCCGAGGGGTAGCGTTCCCCCTTTTCCCGCTCCCAGCTCTCCCGTTTTCGCAGCTTTCTCGTCCCTTGAGGTGTATTGCGATCCCGCGACTATTCCCCAAAATCTGTAGGGGCGTGCCTGGTTCGAGAATCTTAAAAAAATTATCAAGGGGGCCGATGAACACGAGCCTAGCAGTGCCTCGTCCCGGCTTCAAATTTGAACCGAACTCTACTTTGATCAGCATCTGCACCGTCAGCAACGCCTCGACATCACGAGGTACTGCCACGAGGTACTGCTGGACACCGCCCCAGGCAGTAAGTCAAATCCAACATGGACAACATGAAGTTCTATGTGCTCCCGCGGAAAGCGTAACATGTCGCTGCACAATGCGATTCAGCAACTTTAAAGGATCATCATCGGTGACGTGGGGGGTTGCAAAAGAGAACGTCACCCACCTCACGCAAATCTTCCGCAAGCAATGGAGCCAGCCACATGGCAAAGAAGCCTCCCCCCCACAGGGCCTTGATCTGAAGTGACAGGCGTAGGGAGTTAGTTACGTGATGCAACGAAACTTTGTCGCAGGGCGCGTCTTAGCTTTTTTGTGTAGGCAATAAGCGATAAACTACACCCCGGTGCCCTGAGAACCGTTAAAACTCTCCCAGGACTCCGGGTTCCTCGCAGTCCGCTGCATTCCGCTGCATTCCGCTGATACGGTTCAGGTACTCTATTCATGAAGCATATTCTATAGACGGCTGTCTAAATGCCTTGCCGTGTCCTTCTCCCGGCGAAACGGTTTTGTGGTAAATATTCTTCTTCGCTGATGTCATTCTCCGCCATCGCCGCCACGCCGCAAAGCTCTTCCAGGGTCCCGTATGAAAGAACTGCCAAAACATTCAACCCCCTGAAAACGTCGCTTCCGAAGCGGACACGATGCTGTCACTGGTTCTTTTTGCCCCCCCCGGGGCGCCGCCCCAAGATACCTTCCACAAGGGCCGAATTGCGGCACAAAGCTTTTGTGCGCGCGAGTGGGCGTGTGTGCGCGCGGGGTTGGTCCCTCCCGAGCAGGAAACCCAAGCAGCCGGCAAGGATAAGAAGAAGAACCCCTCCATCGAGCCTTGACGTCATTGCCACGACGCTAGGGCTCGTGCTGCGTCTTACTTGATGGAGAAGATGGAGAAGTCTTGACACGAATTCCATCATCTATTCCGTGGCGAACCTGTCAGTTAACTGCCTCCCTCTGTGATGCTCACCGTCTTTGTGCGTTGTGATACCATGAATCAGACCCTTCGTCTCCGTTGGTTTAGCTGATCTGCTCATTCCGTTTCCCACGGTTCCGTCTGGTTGATACATGTAGCCTTCAAGCTGGACGGTCCGGTGCGGTACAGTGTCAGCCATGTGGTGTGGTTCAACCGAATCGCATCAGCAAGAGACCGACATGAACACCATCCACACTTCCATTGTCAACTTGCGACGACTCGCGCATTTCAACTCGTCGCAACATCATCCCTTCACATCCGGAGCTTCTCCGCCGGTAGCAGACCGACGAAATACTTCGCCCGGCTCTTGTCAAACAAGGGCATTGTCTTTCTTTTGCACATGTTTCGCCGCCGCGATCGGTCTTTCTGCACCTTATGCCTTACTCGGTCAATGATGTGCGCTCTGCAATAGCTGAACCAGTGAGCGGAGCCGCCAGCACTTTCGTGTTTCCTCGGCCGTATGTAGATCTTTGGTACGACTTGCGGGGGCTTTTCCCCCGAAGCATGTACGATCGCCGTCACCGCAGCCAACACGCGAAAAATACCCCGAAGGCGGTATCCGCAAGTATCAAAGTCCCTTTATGAATTGGCCGCAAAGTAGAATAAGGTAGAGTGTGTCGCCGCCGCGCCGGCGGCGGGTGTTGTGCATAAACCACAATGCAGCAAAAATGTTTTTGGGTGAAGTGAGCATTAAACATCCAAGCCTTCATGAATGTCTGGTCCAACATAACGGAGAGCGAACCAGTCACATGGCGTTATCGGCCAGCGCGGCGCTTGTCATGCGGAATGCCACAACTGGACAAAGGAAGCCTTGGCCGGCACTCGATTTAATCACTACTCACGGCAGCGGTTGTGTCGTCTACTGGATATATGTTTTGCGGCGTTCCAGCAAGGCTCTGGTCCTCGTGACAGCTGCTGCCTCTTCTTTGGAAACCATGATCCCCGCCCCTTCACCGAGGATTGGTTGAACAGATGTGAAGCTGGTAATACCTCCCGATAAGCCGCAATCGAGATCTTCCCTCCCTTGCTTCTCTTGACAGTTTTGACGTGTACCCCCCCGCCCGCGGCGGCCATCTCCATATGGCGGGCCTCACCGACCGCATTCCATGCGTCTGGCGCGGCTTGTGGCGGTAAAGAGGAGCGGATTCATTGCCGTTACTTGAAGCCAGCAAAGCAAAGTTGGCACAATAGGCATGAAGTAAACATGTGTGTAAACGGCATGTGCGAAGATGATAGTTCTTCTCTGGAAATTCTAGGTTTTCTGTGGGCTGCCATGCAATACAGCGGATACGAGGTACAATTGACTAGTCAATCCTCGACACGTCGTGCCTTACTCCAGTGAGCCGGCCCCAAGAAACACCGAGGTATTGTCGTTGCCGGAATTGGTCCGAGGATGGGAAAGCATTCTTCTCTTTGTGACTCCACTGTGACTGTGGTCTCAACAAGCGTTTTCACGTCGTTTGGAGGACGGTTGGTGACATGACTTCTTTGCCATGACCGCGAGGAGTTGAGCTGAGTCGAAGACATACGTAGATCCCGCGAGAACTGATTCAGGCCGTTTCATACGGGGTGGTGCAATGTGAGTGAATGAGTCGGTGCTGCTCGGCGATGCCCAAATCGGTCAGTTGTACGGACACGTATCCTCATTGTCGCGTGGAAGTCGGTGACTTGAGACGATTTCCTGTATGTGCTCGAACCGTACTAAACATTAAAGCGAGACTACTGCACACCTACACTCAGTGTGTTCCTCGGATACGGCAGGATTCTCCGAAGGCCAAGGGACTCTGCAACGGAGGGTATTGATGGGTGGATAGATGGCCGGCCGGACGGTCAGCGGTCCGGAGTGCTTAGTTCTGTAGCATCTGAGGAATGTTGCTCAGGCAGACGCGCACAAGGCGGTGAAATGGCGCCGAAGCACACCGAAGCGCGCCCCCTCCATCGTGGTCCTGGCGGGTTATCGTTCTCCAGGCTCGCTGCGAGTTTCCATCTTGCCGTGGCCTCGGCGCCCCTCCTCTCTCGACGCGGGGTACCGAGCGATCGCCCGGCCGCAAAGGACCCTGATGCACCAAATCCGCTGTAACCCGACTTACGTTCCGTGGAAAGGCTGCTGGGCACCTAGAGTAAGACACACAATGTGTCTGTGGATTGCATCTAGTAAGCATCAGCCACAGGCGATGTTCCATACATGACATGACGGGTCGATACGTGTGCCGCCATTTGGACCAGATCTAGGAGGGAAACACGCGCTTTTGCTGGTAGAAAAGTCGGGGAATTACTGACGGAAGGACTGTGGCACAGGCAAGCAACCCCGTTTGAGCGGCCCAACCAACGGAGAAAGGGCCATGTCGTGCGTCTTCGGTACCTCGATCTGGGCTCCGCACTGGCGGGAGATGCGGCTACGGAATGGGGGGGTGGGAAGCGGGTGACTGGCCGGAAAGTCACGAGGATTTAGTTCGCCGGACTGTTGACAAGACCAGGTGAGCACGCCGTGATATTGTCGCCATGTTCACCCGTGACCGATTTGGGCAGGAGGACATAGGCGAGTCGTGGTGGGATGCCATGTAGACGGTCCGGCGGCTACATGTGAGGGAATAGTTGGTCGAAGGTTACATCCCAACATCTGGCATCTGACAGACCACCGAGCACACCTACTTAGGTGATGAGTCGTAAGAAGGGGGTTTTGGGCACTTTTGGGATCCGACCGAGGCCACAAGAGGCCACCGAGGCCAACGCGCGGGAAACGATGGTAAAAGCCAAGGGCACAAGGATGACTGCGGTGCCACTGTTCAGTTGCGTGCTCTGGTACTTTGTCGTACCACATCCCGCACCCAACGCGAAGACGAGATCCAAAAGTCTAAATCGAATCCCCAACGCAGCCCATTTGTCGGGCTTGCGAGGGGGTTACACGCGAGTGACAGGTACGAGACGTAGCCTGGCTGTGTCTGCCATGAGGAGGGCTCAGCTACAGAAACAACAAAAAGTAAGTCCGACTCATCTTCCGTTGGGGCCAGGCATACAGACGACCCAATGGAGGGGTTCCAAAAGCAAAGCCCCTGGGATGGACTTTGGGCCATATTCCATGGCCAAAGCATGGCGATTGGGTGCGGTGTCGCGGGCTGGCTAGCAGCGCGGGATAATTCGCACCATGGATCTTTTAGTGTTGGGTACGAAACTAGGACAATGAACCTGAAGGTACGGAACAACGCTTTCGAGGGCGCCATCCGTCTCGGGTTCTATGTACCGTAACTTGAGTAGGTCTGGCTTTCTTTATTTGAAATGCATGGGGAGATGCAGATGGCGGGAATGGCGAGATGGCAGGACTCAGGAGACCTTCGTGCGACTGGTGGATATTGCAAGTGTTGGCCGACTGCCCGAATAGGAATCCCTTTTTTTTTTCTTTTTTTTTTTTTTTTTCCCCTGTTATCGCGCGGCTTCCCGCTGGCGTTGGCAACGGCAGATGGGACGAGACCGTGCTCTACTACCTAGCTAGGGGGTTTATCCATACTGCGGCAGCTATTTTGATAATGGCTGTTTTGATGGAAATGAGGGGACATCTGGGGTTGAAAGAGGGGGGGAAATGCTGGCGCGCCGAGGATCCAAAACGGTCCAGGAAGAGCACGGATAGCGGCTTTAGAGATTGGTTCCGCTGTCAGGTTCTCCGGCTTCAATCAATCTGACCAGAGGCAGACAACGAGCATGGGGCGATCCATCGGCTGGCGTGATATTATTCTGGGGATTAAATGAGTTGATCGTGGGCGATAAACCCGATAAAATTGCAAGTCGCACACGGATGCTCGTATGCCCCCAGATGCCCCCAGATGGCGAGATGACAATCGGCGGTTCATTATTTCTTTGATATCCAGATTCAAGGATGACACTGACGGGAGCCCTGTAAAGTAAGCTGTGGACTGTGTAACCGTGGTTCATCATCCGAGGTCCCATTGAATCGAGTAATATCCGGACGGGCCTTCAAGGCAGAACGGGTAGCGTCCGTATTTGATTGCAGGGTTGGTCCTTTGGCACAGCCCGCCAAGACCCAGGAGGAGGAAACGATGTCGGCCACAGACCAAGGGGCACACGGGCAGAGGAGCCAAGCCAAGAGATGGAGGGGAAGATTGTGCCGTCCATCCACCCCGTATCGGTTTCTTTGACGGAGCGTCGTCGACTTGTCTCGAAGCCTACCAAGGTTGTCCGATGCTTCAAAAGTACGAGAGGATGAATACGCAAGCGGAACGAGTCAAGGTGCCCCAGAGTGTTTTTGCCATGTTGGGCTATGCCAATCTCCTAGTAGGCGGACCGATGTCGTCGTGGTGTTGAGTATTTCTTCGACTCAGTCTCGGGCGTCTCATCCGTCGTGACATGACGTGTATGTCGGCCAAGGTCCGCCATAGGATCTAAGAGGCGATACACATGCTTGGCTGGCGCACATCATTTTCCGAGTCAGGTATTCGAGGCTTAACGATGCTGCGGGTGTACTCCGTACAGTAGAGTGCGAAGTACCAGGCATGCCGTGTCTGCGTGTCTGGCAAAGGACAAGAACCAAGGTCTGGAACTTGACATGATCTGCAGCGGCCCTTTGGTCTTGACTCTCAACAGGGGCCTCGGGAGTACTGATGAGGAAAACGATCAACAAAGGCGACGACGGGCGGGAATACTCTTTAGGGGTAGAGGCGTCTGGTGGACAGGATCTGTGAGGTTCTAGCGTGCGTTTGGTTGAGAAGAAAAGATCTTATTCTCGGCGACTCAGACCAGCGGGACTCGGGAGCCAGTGACTGGAGAAATGCAGCAGACTGGTGTGCCATTGGCGGGTTGAAAATTGGCTCCTGTTCGACTGCTCGAGACATTGACCTCTGGGCGAGATGCGAGATGGAGGACGGCGTGGGCAATTGGACGGTTTGCGGGTGTCTGTCAGTGTCAGTGTCAGTGTCAATTTGGAAGGAACCCCCCCCATCTTTTGGATGGAGACATTGGTGGAACCGAGGTGGTCGTGGTGGTGTAGCCTTGCAAATTAGGGGACCGCAAGCGCAGGTACAACGGGTAAAGTACGTATTCGTCGATTCATGCTGTGTATCCGTACCTTACGAATACAGCAAGTATCTCCCACTGAGATGCCTTTCTCACCTTCCTTGCCGCCAGCCCGTCCCGTATCGTCCGTATCTTATCCACCTCAGTCCTGGACGCCGTATCCGTGTTTAAAACCTAAACCGACTTCCATGGCACCTTATCCAGAGTCCGTCACGCTTCGTCGTTATCTCAACGGAAGACGGCCGACCCGAACAGCTCGCGCCTTGTCCGCCCGAGACGCCGCCACCTCTTCCTTTTCCCCATTTAGTCTCTCAAAATCCCCTCGGCGAAAAGATGGGATCGCGTCCAAGGGCCTGGTTATTCTGCCTTTTCTGCCTGCCATGGCCGAGACGACCTGCCTTCCAGGATGCCTGACTCCCGCCTGAGGAGGTAACCTGCAGCCCGCGATGCACCCGTATCCCCTGGCGGCCATGCACCCCAAGGTTTCCCCTCCGTGTAAGAGGTGAAAGGGTCGGCATGTACCTCTGCAGATCAAGGCAGTGTCGTGGTACTTCAGCCACGGACGGACGCCCCTGGGGCTCCCCAAGAGCGGACGTCTTCCGTTCTCGGCCACCCTTGCCCTTGCTCAGTGTGGGCAGCTCGCCTCTGCCCAGTGCTTACAGCGAATTATCCGCGTCATTACAGTACCGTCATTACTCGCCGCGGGCTCCGGGTTTGGGGCGCTGTATCATCGCTGCAATCCTCGGCCATGTCGTTGTCGAGTTGCCCTTGTCAAGTTGTCGCTGTCATTCTGACATTTCGCCTCCCGTCAGCTCTGATACCGCCCGGTCGTGAAGCCGCTAAATACGGATAAAAAGAGTGGCACAAGATTATGACATGCGGCTACACTACAATGGTAGAGTCTCCGTGAGGATACAGCTCCGCCTTTTTGCCATCATCATCCGTGACACTAGCACATCTTCATCTGCTCTTGGTCTTCTGCTTTATTCTTACGTTTCAAACGGAACTTGTGGCTTACGGCAGAAAGAAGAAACAACAAAAAAAACAGGGAGGGATGGGATTTCCTAGACATTTATCGATATCCTGATCTCAGATCTATACGTAGTATCGCGACTTGCTCCGTATTCGCGTTGTCTTTTGAACAATCACCTCTCATGCCGCCTGCCTCACCTGTCCAATGTCTGCGTGCATTTGCGTCTTGCTCCGTCACTCTGTATCCTCACACATGACCAATCTTCTACACGGGTATCCCGTTCAGCTGTCGGGCACATAGACACCGGTCAAGACTTGCAAAAACCCCCCCAATCGCATCGTCGTAGTCCGTGATCCAGACCCTCCAGACCGCCCAGGCCATACAAAAGCAGGCTGCACATACGCGGTTGCAAGTACCCCAAGAGTCCAGACCTTCGTCTACCTTAAGCTTCTAAGGTAGCCAGCCCTTCGTTTTGGACACCGACACGTCGGCAGTCGACTTTACCACAAGCCTTCGGCGGAACAGGCTTGCGCCGGGCTAGAGTTGCAGCCACGTCGCCGACTTACACGGAGCGAATGAATCCTGCAATAGTTGAATCATCACGACCGGAGCCGGCGGTATCTTGAAAGTACACTTCCTCTTCCGGAAACCCCCGCACCACCACCCATCCAGCCCTCCCGACTCTGACTCTGCCTTCACCTCCCGTTCTTCACTCACCCAGACCCTTCACGGCCTGCTGGGCCGAAACAACGCCGCATCAACAGTCTCAATACTCGACATCGGTCTCGCCATTAGCACCAATACCGTTCGTCTCGGCATCAGCAGCGGGGTGTGGCACTGGTGCATCTACTACCCAATCCAATATCAGGCTCACGCACCTCAACTCAGTCAGCCTGCCCCCCCGACTATTGACTGCCCCCTGCCTCCGCCATTCCGACTTGCTGCGCAGAAGGAACCAGCTTTGAGACAAGAGTCACCGAAGACGCGTCCTCAGCTGAGAGGTGTAGCCAGCCGACCACGTATTACATGTACCTACCAGCACAGCTGCTACCTTGCTATTGATGCTGCGGCGGCGGCGGCGGCGGCTGCTGCTGCTGTAAAGTCCCTTTCGGTCTGATCTATTTACTACGTAGGTTTGTTGACCTGGGCTTAAACTGGCCCGACATGCGTCCAGCTCCCCCGGACTTTCACATTAGGCTTCCTCTGCCTTGCTTTTCGGTGAGGTGTGGGTGCGTATCACCATTAATACGGACACGGACGGCATTGGCATAGCCGTCTCACCGTTTCACTCTCCGTTTTCCGTTTTCCCCTGTGCCCTTTCCTGTTCCTTCCATCCACCCCTGCCCGGTTGCCCTACCTTACTCGGGCTCCACCAGGTCACCCACTTCCTTCCCACCCGCACAGACCGGGAAGCCCCCCCCTGCCTCCTCCTTGTCACTTTTGTCACTCCCTCTCCTTCCTCCTTCCTTCCGACACCCACACACAGCAACATCGGTACCTACAGTGCTTCTTCCCGCCACGCGAGGCCAAACCGAAAGTATTACGGGGAAAGGCCGCACCCTCGCACTTGCTGCCTTGCAGCCCACAATCCCATAATCCATAATAACCCAGCCTTCGCCCGCATCCGCCCATCGTGAAGGCCTTCTCCCGAATCTCCTTCTATCTCCTTCCGCGACTTCACACCTTGCCTTACCGCAGTGGCCGTATACCCAAAGCCTCGACGATCTCCCAACAAGCCTCCTCCACCGCCTCACATCAGCCTACACACATACCCATCTGCTCACTGCCGGCCCCCCGATCGGCCTTCTCCTCGATCCAACCCACACCGTCTAGTGCTGTCTCGCTCTGCCCCATCCTCACCGGCATCCGAACAAAGGAAATCGAACAGTTCCTACACTTCCAGTAAATCCTTTTTCTGGACCCTTGGATATCCGAACGCCCGCCCGCCTGGATTCTTTGTCGCTTTCGTCGACATTTTGAGCACACTCTCCCGTCATCCCGAATTCCAGAGTCCAGACTTGCCTGGCGCCCGGCCCAGCTACTACTCAAGGGTCCCTGTCTTGGAGGCTTAAATAACTCCCGCCGCGATCATCCCGGCTTTTGCAAAACACCACCAGCCACGCAACTCATCTACGCGAAATCCAGCATCCCGCGTCATTTACGTACACATAAACAAGCATAAAGAGGCCGTCTTTTCTACCCCGTCTTGCATTCCTACCCGCCTTTGAATCCACATCTAGCCGCCACTACCAAACTCCACACAAAATGTCACCGACACAAGACCAGTATTACTACGTCGTTCCCAACGCCAGCTCCATGGACCCCAACGCCAGAGAATTCGATCTTGCTTCACAAGGTTGGATCCAAGCCACCATCATCGAGGATGACGATCTCATGTTCGGCGGCAAGTCTTTGAGCACCTGGTATGAGGAGGAGAGAAGACGTCTGAGCAACGGCTCTTCAGACGAGGAGGAGCATCGCGGTCGCCAACGGGTAAGCTACGATGCCTTATGATGCCTCTCCACGAGACACCATTAACGTTGTCTAGGTCCGCAAGCACCACTCTTCCCATAAGCACCACCACCACTCGTCGAAGCAGCACTCTGCCGGCTCCGACAAGAAGCACTAAGCGCGCCCATCTCCAGCTTCTATCTCTTTTGGTATAGACCGCCATCACCGCGATACCCTTTGCGAGCGCTTGAATTTCATACCCCTCTCACGTCGACTTCGCACCTCCAGGATGGACATTCGGATCGACTTTCACGCCTCCTTTCCTCACCTCCTCAATACCCCTCCCTTGTGTGGCATTGGGTACACCGGCGTTTGTTTTTATCAGCGTTGCATGTTTCGGCTGGGTCACTAGAACGGCTTCATGTCCAAAGAGAGGACAACAACCAGTATGGGAACCACGGGAGCCAAAGCAGGAATACGCATTTCTCCGGCACCACCTTTCGTTTTAATTGTTTTTGCATTGATCGCAACGGTCTGCGACAGCGTCACGATTCGCATCTAGATGGTTATGGGGCATCATCATCAGACACTCTGCGACTCTTTACGTCGAGAGCTGGCTTGTTATTTTGCATGAGGGGATATATGTCAACTCGGGGGCTTTGGTGCAGCGGAGGCTTCATACACGTACTGTACCCCGTTGCGGGACGGCGTGGCTACAGGTTAGCAAGATGAGACTGTTGCGAGGCAACGAAGGCGAGCAGTGGAGCTTCATTTTGAGCTGAGTAGCGGTGAGGACTGCACCTCGGCTCAGCGCATGGGGCCCACGAGAATGAATACAAATCAGTTAAAGTACCTAGTTGTGCCCGCTTTGTGATTAAGTGTGCGATGCACAAGACCCCTGTGGCATAGTGATGCATCCGAGTCTTTGACAGACATCATGGCCAACACTCCCCCATACTCAACGGTTGAGGCATATACCTAGCAGATTCCAACAGACGGGTTTTCGTCATTGGCATCCTCTGCAGGTCCAGCGCCGGATCAAAGATTCGAGACTAGAGCTGCAGCTGCCGCGCCCGCAGTCAAGTTACGCTTGTCCAGGGCAAACGAGACGAGAGTATGGAGAGCGGCGTTGCATACACGCACATGCATGCGCGCTAGTGTGCCTCTAATTGCCTATTCTCTGCCACGATTTTTCTGTGCGGGATGAAGGCCCTGGCTGGGTCTTGCGCGGGTTAGGTACCGCGCGGGTTACTGCCCGTGGTCTCGGGTACGGCCGGCGGCCGGTGCCGGGGATTTGGGGGGCAGAGTGCCAGAGTACCAGATTGGGGGGGGGGTCAGAGCCTGACTCGGAAGCACCTGGGTGGGTGTGTTTCTGACTCTTGTTGCCCTTTTTTTTTGTACTCGATCTTTTCAAGGTGTCCGGCATCGGCATTGAAAAGTTTTATGAGATGGTGTGAGGGCTAAAATGGGCAATGCCGAATGCCGTATCTCGGTTTCGGTGATCAAGGCACATCATATGGTTGTCGCAAGAGTTCAATCTTTGGGTGAATGACTAAGTTTGTCAAAGCTATTCTGTGCCTGCCTTGGAAACCCGATGTTGTGATCAAGGTGGCCGCGATGGTGTCGCAGTGGCATCAGGCTCACGCCTTTGTATTTCTATACCATGAGCTCATCGGCCACGGCACAAAAAAAAACCTAGTCTCGAATACTGATTGTTTTCTTCGTGGCGTCAACGGACTTCGTCTTCGTACGGAGGCAAGTCGACGAGTGTATAGAAGATCATCTTATCAGAAAGTAATTGCTAGAACGGTCAATTTCGCGCTGCCAATCATTGGTGAACAACCGAGAGGATGGTAGGAGTACCGGCAGCCATCTATAAAGCAGTCGCGGGACATATACGGCGCCAAACAGAATTCAACCCCGCCTGGTCACGCAACGCAACTCCAAAGGTACATGTCCTCGAGCGAGCCTCAAGGCTTCCTCTACCTAAGGTACCTAGGCTTAGATGTAACCTTCATGACCTTAATCATGTCTCGGTGTAAATGGGGCAGGTTCCCACATCGATGTCCTAGTGAAGTGAATTACAGGTCGTCCTCGTCACAAGTCATCCTCCGGGTACGAAGTTCAATTCTTTTCTAATTGCCGTCATAATTATATCAAAACCTGAGACCTTAACATGGAGCATCCCATAATTGCAATGTTCCTCGTCCCCGGCATCTAGAGTTGACACTGCTCTCGAGCATCCTCATAGCGAGTGCATCAGCTCATGCAATAACTGCGGAGGCCTGCCCAAGCTAAAGGCAAATTGTCTGGGGATCATGTCCCGACCTCAACAGCATCGAGCCCGTCCAATGCGCGAACCTGACGGTTCCGCTGGATTACACCTAGCCAGAATCCGGCCAGACGCTGGAAATGCAAGTACTTCGGATTCCAGCTGTTCTTCAGCCTTCCAAAGGGGAGTATCTCGTTCAATTTTGGTGGGCCAGGCGTACCAGGACGGGACTTCATGGCAGAGGCGCCGAGCAGCGTTTGGCAAGGGTAAGGAGTATCAGACAATATTCCAGTCGGCTCTGGAGACGATGCTTACTTTGCTGGCCTTGTATCACTGCCGACCCATGAGCCGACACCACGATCTCGTCACATTCGATCCACGGGTAGAGATCCCTGGCCTCGTCCAGGAATCAAAAATCCGCGTTCACAGCTGCAACAAATGAACTTACCTGCAGCATATCGAAATATAGCGGCACGGGCAACACACTCTCATTCTCATGCTTCGAAGACGAAGAAAATAGGGACTTGTTCTTAAGTAACCCTAAAGTTTGACACCCCACTGACGGGCTTTTCTTTTCTTGGGCAAGGTCATCCGACACAACTCTGGCCCGACTCTGGGCCATGGCTGAACTCCACGCCGACAAGTGTTATGAGAACGAAAAGGAGATCGGTAGCCTCGTTGGGACTGCTTTCGTGGCGAGGCATGTGATACAGATTGTGGATGACCTTGGTGACAATGATTTATTGAGATACTGGGTTACGTAGATATTTTTGGCTGTAGGTTTCGAGGAATCACGGATATGACTGCTTGGAATAGGTGGTTCGTATGTTTCTCTACTTGGACAAACGGCTGCCGCCATGTTCCCCGAGATGATCAACCGCTTGGTCCTTGACGGCAACATAAACCCCAACGAATGTTACCGTGGCCAGTAAGTCTCCCTCCACGCTATTCATATTCATTCATCCTCCGCGCAAAGACAGCTGACATGACCCTTTTACCAGTGACTACGGGCAGTTTGCCGACGCGGACAAAGCGTTGAGTGCCAGGTTCAAGTCCTGTGTCACCAACACAGCCACGAGTTGCGCCCTGGCTCGAAGTAACAAGAACACAAGAGCTACTCAGTCGGAAAAGATGGTGTATACTCTATTCGACGACCTTAATGACCACCCCATACCCTTCAATGACACCCTCATCGACTACTCCATGGTCAAGACCCGTATCTTGGAGTCCCTTTATAGCTCCCATTTGTGGCACTGGATCTATGAAGGCTTGGACACCCTGGCCAGGGAATCTCATCCGCTTTACGGAAAGCTGGGACATCTTGAAGAAACTTGGGTCCGGATCTGACCTCGAAGTTGAAGCGATGACTGCCATTTGGTGCGGTGATAAGAGTCCCAGGGTTGGATCGCTGGACGACTACCTACCCATCACGGAGCGCCAGTTCAACGAGAGCAGGTTCCTCTGGGATGTGGGTATGTCAATGGGGATGCTCTGCGCACAGCGCACAGCAGAGAATCCCCGCCAAGGAGCAGTATTCCGGCGGCTTCAATGTGAAGACGAGACACCCTATGCTGTTCCTCGGGAACACGGCTGATCTGGTCACGCCGCTCGCCGCCGCCCGGAATGTGAGTTCTGGCTTCGAGGGTAGTGTAGTAACTATGGTGTAAGTCACACATGCAGAGATCACCGTTGATCTTGCGGGCTGACGGGGGTTAAGCATGGAGATGTTGGCTTGTCCAGGTTTGGGGGGATGTGATGACGGCCTACTTTGCCAACGGGACTTCGCCTCGGGCGGGAACAGTTCGCGAATTGGACCAGCCCATCTTTCATTAACGTTTGATGCAGGGAATCGAGTAGTGATGAAGCCACACCGCCTCAATCCTATGGAAGTCAAGGCCACGGCCAGGCTCTCAAACATCCAGGCGGTGGTCTCATTTGGCGTTTGAGCTAGCTTTGAAAGCCGCTACTCCTATCATTAACCCATAGCTCTCGTATAATTGCTTCATCGCGAAGATTCCACAAATTCAAGCCGCCCTGCTCCCAGTATTAAAAGCTTTTGCATCTCCTACGAAGGGGCACGTAAAGGAACGAGGACAACGAAACTGAGCAAGGAGAAGGATGACTGAAGACCAGTTTTTTTTTATTCGGAACTAAGTTACTGATAGCAATCCACTATTGATGACTGATGTCTCATGCTGGGCTACACGCGAGCTCGCTGGACGTCCACCATGGGCGCCTCCACACGATGATCACGCCCATTGTTCTCGACCCTACTTCGTGTTCCACATACTCCCGTGTAACTCGAAGTGAATGCCGAGAATACCCAACGTTCAATCACTGAGGCTGTTGTCACCGGAGGAGTCGCCGCAAACTCTGCAGTAGCCCCTCCGGGCCCTAGACCCTCGCTCGTCTATGGGCCCTGTGCATGCGTCGCCTGCGCGCTTGGCTTCGCATTGAGTTGTGCGGAACTTTTGCCACTTGTAACACCTGTTGCACTGTTTGCAATATAACAAGCGCCATTGAGTGGTGCACATCTTGGCGAGTGTTGTCGACGACGTTCTGGTGATGGGAATCTGGTGATGGGAATGGTGGTGAGGCGATGAATATGGTTGTTTTGAAATTCGTTGATGCTGGTAGCGTTGATTGTTTGTCTTGCAATTTGTTTATGTGTCTGTTTGTCGGTGCATGTTGGTATGGGTAGAGAGGTTCAGTGATTTTCCTTCAAATAGACTGGAATCTGCTCTTTTATGTGGTGCCGCGGGAGATGCTGTGAATCATGCAGTCTTTTTTTCGAGATATCGTGGCTTATGGTGCATGGAAAGGTCAATCAGTCAAATTCCTTCCAAAACATTTTAAGAATGATGTGATGAAGAAGTGCTGCTTCTTGTTGATGTCTGATTCAGAGCTCGAAGCGACAGGTGCTATCCTCAATGGTTTTGCCTTTCCTGCTGAAGACTCGGGGGCTTCTTGCTGCGTTGATGATATGAATACCTCAGTGAGAGTTGGTTCCAAAAGCCGCCGTTCGTCCTTCCTCTTCCAGATTATATACTTTTCGTAGAAGAAGGAGAGGCACTGCATGTGTCCCGTATTCCCATCCATCTCAGTCCACGCGGAGTCCACGCGGTGATGATCCAGCGGATATCGAGGTCCCGCGTGTGATACCTTTGGCGGTATTTCTACATGGTCGGTTGGGACAGCTGATAGTAAGCATTGACCAACACGAAGGTCCTCATATTTGATCAGTGATGGGCCAAGTGGTCTCTGGTGCTTTCATAGTGACAAATTGAAGCATGTGATATCCCACATGATCCAACCAAGTCACTCTTCTGCACCACTCTCAACACATGGGATACATTATGGAACAATATCTGCGTAGATATTGAGCCAACTTCGTTGTTTGAGACAAAGTGGCTGTCTTGAAAGCAGATGATCAAAGGTTGTGTTGATGATTTCGGTTTGAAGCTACTTTAAATGAGCTGTGACTCTCAAACAGGCGTGGTCCTCTGGTAAAGCAAATAGCAGCACTCCGTGTTACCCTCCTCAGCCCAGTAACGCAGGAGCGCGGCTAATTTCAAGCTGGGGAGGGCTCATGCGACCAAGGTTGAAACCAAATCGCATTGGATCATCGATGTTCTGTTCGTTATGGGCTCACTTGATCTCGTATAAGATGGAACAAGTCTCTTTGCGTCTCAATCGATGTATGTAACCGCTCATACGTTGGTCATGTGCATTTTGTGTATCTTGAACTAATTTCTTGTGGGATAAAGTAAGGTGAATGACTGTTCACTACTGCTCATCAACAGCAGTCTCATCAATCCAGGTATGTTATACAGTACCGTCGATGGGGGTATATGGCACCAACCGCTCGAATCTTCCTAGGACAATGACCAAAGGTCTTGTCGACTGTATTTCTATTCTCTAAGAACCAAATAAAAGCGCCTAGTAAAGTTGCTCTCAGCGCAGATCAACCACATGAGCGGTGTGTCGGTTTTCAGGAGACACTATCTCGACAATGGCTAATGGCGGTTGAGTCCGCGTTCCGTCACGACGTGGGGAAGATTAATTGGAAGGGAGTGAACCTCAACTTGCTGTGCTTGGCTAATTATGTTTCTAATGATCCTTGTTGGACGGCCGGTAGAGAGAAGCCGAGAGGTAAGGACCTTGGACGCCATCCAGAGGGTGGTCTTCATACATAGGTTCGGAAAGTGCAAGGCGGCATAGATATCCCTTCAATTCGAGGGACAGGATGGAAATGATTAGTAGCCTTTTCAACCATTGAACCACCCTTATATAATTTGCACTCCACGTTTTGCTTCTCATCGCGGTCAAAGATTCGGAACCACTTGCTTTAAGCAGTGAGAGTGAACCTCGAGATATGCATGGAACCTGGCCATGTCACTCACAATCAACAGTGTACAATCTCACATGTTCATCATCTCATTGGCCATTGCTTCTATCATATCCTTGACAGTTATCGATGATGTATGTTTCAACTACTACCCTTGAGGTCCGCCAAGGGGAGGCCGGGAACACCACGACTGACTCCGGTGAATGCACAAGAAAAAGTGCTAGTCCCTGCATCATCTGCGACAGCGACCATTTACTTGGTAACCCACGGATCCTCTGTTTGGCTAGTGACAGTGTCTGTAATGGGCAACCTGCATCTTTCCGGGTGATGTTTCTCACCCGGAAGCGCAAGGCCTGGGTCTCACAAAGATGGACGGTGTCATCACTACCTTGTTCGACAGGAGATGCAAAGTCAATGACAGCAGCGGATGTCAGGGGGCTGGTGCTGTTTGTGACTCGATCAAGACTTCTCGTGGATGCAAAGCTCAGGTTGATGCACATAGGCGTACGTTATGGCAAAGCGCGCATCAAGAAACCTTACATTGCATTATATTGAGAGCGATATTGGACTTAATAAACATGCGACTAGAACTTGAGGCGCAAAGCTCTCCAAATAGTTAGACACTTCAGCCGCTTGCAACATCAAGACTTCAGAGTAGGACTTCATACCCTCGCAGATCTCTAGGCGGTGGGTTTGCCGGACATGTGTTGTCCATCGTGACCTCCGTGGCAGGGCATTGTGTGCTTTATCGGCCGGGAACGGGCTTGAAAAACGGTCCATTCCGCCGGAGCCGGTGTTTCCGTGGTCCGAGTGAGCCGCGGCGCAGCAAGGTCTCGCTGGATCTGACGTGTAAATCTACAAAGTCGCATCAGACCGCTGTAACCTTATATCTCGTCGCGAAGCTGTGGCGCCTGGGATGCCGATGAGACGTCGGTATAGCTGATGCACCAGAGAGAGACTTGGGGGTTCCGGTTCGTTTATTGAGCGGACATCAGCCAAGAAGTCTCCGTGCCGCCGGGATAGGACATCCTTGACGACGAGTCAGCGAGCGTTTAGTGAGCAGGACGCAGTGCCGCCGGCACTGAAAGCGAGGTAAAACAAGGTTCAGCCGGCGAACGTCTTGACTTATTGGCTTCCTTGGGGTGGGCCGTTGGCTCAGCCCGTTCGGATGCGAAGGATACTTGGATACCCGGATAGCGTTGAGGGCTGAACAGGGAGACGGAGACTTTGACAATCTAGACTTTGCGCTGCAATATCGTATTCGAGCAGGCTTTCGTATTGCGGCTATGCAAAGTAATTCGCAGACTCCAATGCCCAGCAACTCGTTGCAGCTTGCAGCTGGCACAGCTCCCGTTCCTCCCTACGCCTCGTGATTCTCGGTGCTCCATTTTGGAACAAGTGGGCGGGCACCATCTACGGAATGTGCTCCGGCCGACAGCCCCGTGGGTCCGGGGACGGGAGCTTCGAAAGCCCCTCACCGGTCGCAGCTTTGCGGACCGAGGAGCTGTGAAGTCTGCAGGCTTGCTTTCCGAAGACAGGGCTTGTCGATAAAGTCTGTTTGTGACAAAGCGATTGTGCGGGCGTCAGCTGCGTTGACAAATCCTCAGCCAAAGTGGCTCGGCGAGGCGCAAACAGCCCAAAAGATTTCAATGGCGCAACAGGCTGGACACTTGGCGTTGATAATCATGAGTGGCTTTGCGGGGTCAGCAGAGGAGAGGCCAAGGAGCCAAGCTTGGTGCTGTGGCTGAGGGCATGTGAAGATGAGAGAGGGAATGGGATGAAAGCTGAGGTACGATGAGAATATGGACGCATGAGAATTGCAAGATTGCGTCTCGATGACGCACCCTACGAACGAGTGACGAACTGTTTCGTGCTGTTCAAGCATTGGCAGATCAGCGCCATGCTCCTCCATCTCGTCAGCAAGGTCATCCATCCCAAGAGTCCAGGCCTCTTGGACGTCAAACCAAGCTTTGACCAGAGGATCCAATTTCGTCAGACTGTGGTCTTTGACTTTTGCTAGCAGTGCCGTCTGGTCATCTTTTAGACGGCGTCCGATGTGGCCTTCTCTGATGTGTCCACGGCGCCATGCAGAGCGCCACAGTGATCCCGATCCATCCTTGGCCTATTTCGAGAGAGGGTAAGAAACAAGGTAATGTAAAGTAAAGTTAGCTAGCGACCGGTACTGTCGGCTTCCGTAGTAGTCTCTTTTACACCTTTCAGTCTCATCTCGAATTCTTCCGCTCTTACGCACACCCTCGAAGAGACTTTGGCCTGAGTCGCCGCCCACTTGACCGAAAGTCGGGCGTCGACCAGAGAGTCCGGTGCGGAATCGGCCCCTGCACCACAACCCTTCTAGTGGCCCCATTCGCGGGAATAGACGGGAACTTTGAGATGAGGCCCGCCAGCGGTAAATGAGAAACGCAGCAGGCCCTGTGGGCTCGAGGGTTTCAAGCCTCAAGAAGGTTGGTTCATGGTTAGACCTGGGCAATCTTGGACTGGCGGAGGAGGGTTGTTGAAAGGAGGCACCGTCAAGACTCATCTGACATGTCTCGCACACCCAAACTTCCCGCGTCCTTCCCGCACCGTCACCGTCATTTGATCCAAGGTGCGCAAGTACCGAAGAGGGTTGGGGAGGGCGCATGTCTCAGTATCCAAGACACGAGCTAGCAACTGAACCCCTTCACCGCAGGTCATGAAGCCATTGAGATTGTTGCCCTGGCGAATCTGGGCCCTGGACGGTCGATTGTGGCCTTATCGCTCCATATCAGTGTGGCATCGCATCATCCGGTCACACTCTATGGTCGCCAGGGAGAAACACGCCCATCATTGCCCGTTGATAACCCACAACAAAACATTCAAAAAGTTTCAATGTTACCTTAAGCCTTATGCGTCGAGAAGAGAGAACACTTGACCGTACCCATTATCAACGTCGGATCCCTCCTTCTTGCCGGCAGGTGCCCATCCCGCGGCCTGGACGGATGCCACGGCCTCTCATCGCCTGACCACCGCAGCCACGCTCGTCCACGTCGGCCGTCTGTTTTCGTCCACTCGGAAACGCGAAGCTGACACCGCCATACCATCATGACACGACCAGGGGCGCTGGAAAGTTTCTTGCAGCGCCCATCCAGCTGCATCCACGTTCAAGATGCAAGGGGAGGGGGAGGGGGGGTCTTTTCCCATTCGCATGACACTTCCATAAGGTAAGGTAGTGTAAGTCGGGCGTGTATTGTACAGCACATACGCGGTTACACACACACAACGTACATTGTAATGTAGGTACACGAACAAGTACCTCGGGTCCTCGACACGAAACTGAAATTTGTTGACACATCGGAGAATTTCCATCATATTTTTTTTCCCTCGTTTAATTGTTTCTACTACGTAGGGACCAGTTCGATGTCACCAACAAAAATTCCTGCGTCGCAGGTCCAGTTCTTTTGCTCGCGTAGGACCCTTCAGGTTACCTGGCTCGGCCCTTTTTTGCACATTCTTCCCTTCGAAATCTCGAATTCTCAAATTCCCTTGAATCGATTCGTAGCTGGAAGGCCTCGTCTCCCCAAGTAGCTCCAAGAAGCAAGGCGAGAGAAGAAAAAAATTGCTTGGATGGACCCATTTAATGCCCAGTTCCGGACGCTGCCCGGGCCAGACGGAGCTCACAGCGCAACCCTCCCGGCCCCATCGTCATTACTCATTCTAGGTCGAATTACCTCAAAAGTACTACTTCTACTACTCCTTAGTCTCAGAGATATATGCGGCCATGGCTGGCTTTGTACCCTCAGCGCCCTGAGAGGTGTGCCACGAGTGCCTAGTGCCACACACACCCATCCCCCTTCCTTTTGCCTGACGGGCTGGCAATGGGCGTTGGCATGAGTAAGTATGGGTCGGCCTGGTTCCGTTGGGCGATGCCGCGGGTCTGATCGCCATCGGCTCTTCAGAATTTTAGGGCGTCTCGTCTCGAACGATCTGAGCTTTAGATTGGTGATCACTGCATAGGGTTCCGGCGCCCGCGGCTTATATAGTGGGCTTGGGTTCCCGTCGAACCGCTCTCTCGTCATATCCGTCAGATCCTATTTCTTGGTACGGCACTTGCTTTTTCGTCTGAACGGTTCCCCTATATTTACATCGGGCACCCATCGACACCTCACGTCAACAAGAAGCACAGACTCTTGCAAGACTACAAATACCAGCACCACGGTTCAAGCACACAGACATACCACCACATACCACCTTCATCTCAACATACACAACGACTCTTCTCTCACACGCACACCCGCAAACACATGCCGTTGCCCAACATGTTCGGCCGACAGACTCAGTTTCCCAAGCGCAGCGGCTCAGGCTACGCGTGGCCCGAGAGCGACAGCGAAGACGACATCGTCATCAGACCTTGCGCCACAAACGAGAAGGCCGATGCCACTGTCACCATGACCGAGTGCGTTCCGGGTCCGACGGCGGTGGAACAGGCTTCTCAACCCAGGCCCTCTCTCAGCGGCCGCCGCGCCTCTGCCGAGGACACCAATCTTCAAGAGCTCTGGGAATGCATGCTTGAGCTCCAGCAACAATACCACTGCTACAACTCGACGCGTATGGAGATTGCTGCGGACAGGGAGGATGCTATGGACATGATGCGTATGTTGATACCCACCTCCTCACTGCAAGAGCCCTTCACTAACACCATACTCAGCCACAAAGTATTGCATGGATATGCTCAATGACTCCATCGAGTCCCTCCCCGAAGAGGGTTGGAAGAAGCTCAGCAAGTTCCTCATCACCGACCTCGAGCACGCGCAAAAGTCACAGAAGTGGAAGTTCTGGAAGCACCTCTAGACTGCGCGCGCATGGACCGCCCAACTCTTGCATTCATCCTTTCTTTCAGCGAAGCGAATGGCTTTCGGCTCTGATTAGAATGATACCCCCTTTTTGGCCTTTTAAAAAAGTTTTGGTTTACGGTCAGGCGTCTCATCGGATATCCCCTGGTTCAATTATTCACATTTGGGTTGGTGGTTCTGGAGGCACGCAAGGTCATTTAGATTATTTAATTCATCACACAGTTCTCGTTTTGACACACTATGAGTTCTCATTACTCCATCCATGTGTCTTTTGTCATATGAACGCTCTCGCTTGACCAAAATGATGTCGTCAGGTCGTACGAGACCACACCTCATGGACTGCTCGGTGCGGGGTGCAGCAGATTTCGGCAGAAGCTTTAGGCCGCCGGCTCCGATTCCGGATCGTGAATGCCGATCGCGCGTTGGCGTGCTCACCAGTGTGACACGACATGCATATGCCATTACATCGCGGGGTCAAGATCAGGTAGGCCGGTGAGTCAGAGCGTTTCGGCGTGTGTACTCAAATGTGATGCTAGCTAAGTACCTCCTCAGCAAAGTACACAGCAAGTATCTCATCACGATGGTAAAAGTCAAGTCTCTGAATGGGGGAACTTGGGTAGCGTGCCTCGAGTCTAGTTGTGAATTCAGCTTTCATTAGCGCAGAACGTCAGTCATGAAGATAGTTGCAGGAAGATATTCATTGGTGTAAGCTCTCATTACAAGACAATTTAAATAAAACCAGAAACAAAACAATAGTCAATCTATACAGCCGCGGCCACTTCGACAGGTCCCTGTGGAAGCCGGCTGGCGGCAATGTTGCACTGCCGGAACAACCGCACCTCATTTTCCGCAAAGGCGCCGACCACAGAGTGAATCACCCCGCGGTTGTGGAAAATGACAAAATCACCCTGCTCCCAGTCGTGAGCGTACACGTTCTTGGGCGAGATGCCCGGGCGCTGCAGCCGGTGCACCGTCTCGCGCACCTCTGCCAGATCCTCGACTACCGTGCCGTCCGCCAAGTGCAGCTTCCGCACCGCCGAGGGGTGGACCTGCAAGGCCAGCCGGCCCGTGACGGGGTTCCGCCAGAGCATGGGCAGGATCTGGATCTTGTCCTCCTCGATGGGGGGCAGGTCGTTGAGCGGGACCTCCTTGCCCTCTGAGAGCATACCCAGGCCGGTGGAGCGGGATTTGGCGCTGCTCATCCACACGTAGGGGTGCGGCGCGTACTCCACCTTTGTCGTGCGGACGAACTCTTGGTCCTCGGGCGAGAGGTTATCGTACATGGCGTAGCCTGACACGAAGGCTGTGGTGCCCAGGGGCACTGTCAACTTCTCGTCGGTGCCGTCGTCGTAGCGGAGAGTTTGCTTGCGGCCGCCGGGCACGCGAACTGCCAGCAGAGTTGTTGCGACGGGTGGTGCGAGACCGTATAGCGCGGCGTCAATGTGCCAGCGGTAGAAACGTGTAAAGTCCAGATCGTCCTCTGCAGGGATGGTCGTGGCGTGGAATGTGCGGTGGTGAGGGTGTCTGAGCTGGACGTTCTTCAGGCCCTCGTACTCCTCGACGAAGCCATTGCCAATGACTTGGACCTGCGGCTGATGCGGGATGGTCTTCAGGTCGGGATGCAGGATGGAGCGCTTCGCGTCCAGCGTCTTGCCGTGACCGTAGTTCTCACCAGAATCAGGGTCGAACTTTTGTGTAATCTCAAATTGAGCCTTGGGGGATACGTGTCCCTGGTTCTTGATCACGAGAACTTGGTGCTTGAAGAGAGCTTCACGGATGACATCAAAGTCGGCATCTGCGAGCCGTCAGCCCCTGGTCCGAGTTGGCGACTTTTGTTGTGAAGCTTACCAGAGGAGGTTACCGATTTCACGGGTGTTCTCCCACTACTTGTACAACATCATTGCTTTCAGTGTAACACGCTTGCGTCATATCTTACCAGTGAGATTCTCAATATCAGCATTACTGACTGTAGCGCCAAAGTCAACAGCCGAGTCCGCGGCAGGGACAATGGGCTGGATGGTAATGCGAGAAGGAGTCTGTGATGAGGCCATTTCGTGATTGAAGTTCGGGCTTATTGTGCGATTCTTGATGATGTGTTGGTTTCGGTACAATTAGCAACAACCTTCCAATTTCTACTGAGAATGCGTGGGGTACTTCAGGGAATCTGAACAGGCTTTATGTCCTCTCAAAGACTAGGTGGTGGAGTCGTCGACTCGGATCCCGCCGATGCCCTACGGGTGAGTTTGTTATCTCACCCGCACCGGCCCACCCCGCACCTGAGTCTAGATAGTGGACTCCTATAGTACCTCGAGTGCTCAATAAGGTTGAGGTGTGGTGTGAAACACCGAATTGCGCATGTCCGGTTTACACCTCACTGGCTTAATTGGACGATGGCAACTGAAGGCGCTGTACAGGATGCATCTATCAAGTAGCGCCGTCAGCCTGTTGCTGACTGTAGTCTGATTTCTGACATCTGCTCGTGTACCCGAATGATAAGGTACTGAGTGAGTCCAACCAACATCGGCTTAGAGTCCCAACGCCGAGCCGCGAGTCCACCCCGCTACCCCGCCACTCCTCCATCCCACCTCCTCGTGCTCGGCTCCTAGAGGTACAGAATCCCGTATAGTTTTGGTTCTTTCTGCCACGAGCGATCCAGCAGGTGCTCGTGTGGCATACCCCAGTGCGCTCTCATATCCTCCGTCTCCTCGTTGTTGGTCGAACCATGTCGGTCTCCGCCCCTGTGCCGACTGAAGCGGACCGTGGCGTCGGAGGAAAGCGGCGGGAGGGTCAAGTCAACGCTCCGGCGCACTGTCTCTGCCAGAGGCAGGTTGTAGACCTGGGGGCCATCTCTCCCCGGTCAACGTGACTGGCTATGGCCCGTCTCGTTTATTGTCAAAGAACAGCGAGGGCGTGTCCGTAATGCTGTCGTTGCGTTTTGAATGCTGAACCTCACAATTGATATGACACGTAGACGGCTCCTCAGTGCTTCTTGACCTTGTCCATCCACTCCTTGGAAGCTTTGGTGCCGTCGTGAGCCTTTCGGAAAAGGCCTCGCTCCCACTCGTCTAGGCCACGGAGGAACTCCTCGCTCGAGCCCCCCACACCGTCATCGCCTCCTTTCCGGGCATGCAACGCGATCTCGGATGCGCGCGCTACAAAGGTCTTTCGCATGGTATCGCTGAGGTCGCGCTCCTCAAAAAGATCCAGAATGCGAGTGCCGAGTCCATAGAAGTGGGCGCTCTGGTCTCTGACTGGTACTGACCGCGCATCGGCCTTGAGTGCTTGCACAACTTGATTTGAAAGCGCGGAAGGGAGGTTCAACGTGACCGGAGCCTTGGAGTCTTCGGCGGTGCCCGTGTTGGCAAGGGCGAGCATCTCGGCTAGCCAGAGAGGGAGAGCAACATTTGTTCCTGCCTTTAACGAATGGGAGGGGTTATTGTCGAGGTATCCTAGGTCGGCGACATCGAGTTCGAATTTGCAGGGGACTTTCTGGGCCATTGTTAGCTATCGTCATCTATTGCACGAGTGTAATGGCAACGTGTAAATGGAGGAGAATCTCTAGGGAGCCACCGCATACCTCGGCATCTGTCAAAATGGCGTCAATATCGTAGTAGGACATTTTGGCTTCTCTTACAAACGAGTCTGCACCGTTGGGCTGTAACAGAGAAATACGACCAAGCTTGCGGGCTTTGGCTTGCGAAGCTTGACGCGTTCAACGCTGCCACAGACGCGATTCGACTTGGGCCCAGCCACACATCACCCCGCCATAATGCTACTATTGGTAAGGTAGAAGGCAGCCCAAGATGTGGCGGTGCACAGGCGGAAAACGCATCCAATAAGACGCGGCGGATTACCTAAGAACCATCCATTTTGGTAGATGACGACATCTCTCCACGTCTCTCATTCGCCAAAGCTACCTACCTTACCTTAAGTGGACGGGAGCCGCTGGAGCAACACGGGGAGAAGCGCAGAAGCGCTGAAGAGCGAGCCCGGCCAGCAACAGCTCGGTGGCCCGGGGCAGCTTTTCTGGAGATCCGAGCTCCCTCACCTAATAGCCGACCGAACCTCCCGCAATTGACATCATTCTGATATTTGCACCTGCATTTGTCAACTGTCAAGTCAACGTCAAAAGGTACCTCAACCCCCGCGCTCCTTCGCTGCCTTTCTCTCCAGCATCCCACAATCGTGAACAAAAGCCATTGGTACTGATCCAAAGACATAGAATACGGAAAATGTCGCCTACTCTCCTCCGCACCGCGCCCGTCCTCCGCACAGCTCTGCGAGCTGGCGCTGCTAAGCCGGCTGCTGCCATGGCCAGCACCAGCTTCGTCCGCGGCAAGGCTACTCTGCCCGACATTTCTTGTAAGTAGCGCCATGGTCTGGCCGTGTTCGTTGCAAGATGCAGACGCGCTAAACCCCTCCCTCTCCATGCAGACGACTACGGCGCTCTCGAGCCCTACATCTCGGCCCAGATCATGGAGCTTCACCACTCCAAGCACCACCAAACCTATGTCAATGGCCTCAACACCGCTCTCGAGACTGTCGAGGACGCCAATGCCAAGGGCGACTACGCCAAGGCTGCTGCCCAAGCTCCCTTGATCAACTTCCACGGCGGTGGCCACGTCAACCACTCTCTCTTCTGGGAGAACCTGGCCCCTGCCAGCAGAGATGGTGGTGGTGAACCCGATGGCAAATTGGCGGTACGTTATCATTTCGACATCACCCCCTCTTTTTGACTGTGAAATGGCACTGACACATTTCGCAGCAAGCCATCAAGAAGGACTTTGGCTCCTTCGACACCCTTCGCAAGCAGATCAACACCTCCCTGGCCGGCATCCAGGGCAGTGGTTGGGCCTGGCTGGTCAAGGACAAGACCAGCGGCACCCTTGGCGTCGTCACTCGCGCGAACCAGGACCCCGTCACCGGCAACCTCGAACCCCTCCTGGGCATTGACGCTTGGGAGCATGCCTACTACCTGCAGTACCAGAACCGCAAGGCCGAGTACTTCGACGCCATCTGGAACGTTGTCAACTGGAAGACTGTCGCCAAGCGCTTTGAGAAATAAACAAAATAACGGACACATGTACGATATGTCACTGTTGATACCTAGCAAGAAATTAGCATGTTCGATCGATATCATCCTGCCGAGCAACGGCATAGGAGGCTGTGATGGCCACCCGAATTTCAGCCACGAGAAAACTTCCGAAACCATTAATATATTTGTAGCTAAGGTAGTTGCGACAATGATATGATGTTGACTAATACAGAAAGAAACCTGACAAAATTAAGCACCGAACTCCTCGCTCTAGTCGTCAATATCTCAACTTCATCTCACGGTATTGGCAGGAATCCCATATCTGCCCACTTGCTACCATCAAAGTGGACATGCTTTAGCTGCCGGTTCATCTGAAAGAAGCAGTGACTGAGATCATGCGATGCCTCGAGAGGCACCTCCGGAGACGTTGCCGATGCAGCGGTAACACAAGCAAGATGCGTTGGGTTATCGGCCCCCTCAAAAACAGAATCCGTCTCCGGCCCCTTCCACCCTGTTGCGTCGTCCTCATACACATAGGAGATCTTGCCAGTCTTGGAGTCTTGATACAGGATCCACGTGTTAAGGGCATCCGACTTTTGGCCTCCGCTATCCAACCTAGCTACAGCGAAGCCAGCCATGGTGAAGTTCGAGTCAACAGTCACCGGCAGCTGGCCTGTCGAAGTGAGCTGCTGACCACCAGAAGATCGATCATAGTTCTGCAGATGGCCATCGGTGCTGCGGTATATAATACGGGCGCTCGATGAGGCTGTCTGGTCCCCGGCTGAATGAATCACTTCTCGGGGAAGAATCACTAGCGCCGAGCCGGGAGAGGCAGTGACTCCAACAGTCTTGGGCTCCTGGAACCTAGGCGACTTGTAGTCGTAGAAAACCTCCATGACGTCTCCGTCGCTGGCCTGGAGAATGGTGGACGGCCAGTACGATGCCATCTGTGTCCCTGTGTTGCTGATGGTATACCCGGCCTCGTTGACGCTGTCTGTCAGGCCTCCCCTCGAGAAGCCGTCGCGCCAATTGACGCCCAGGATTCTATCAGGCGATCCAATGTAAAAGACTTCAGCCTGCGGAATTACAGGCAAGGACTTCATGTGGCACCTTTAGTGAATGGACTGCCAATGAAGAGAAAAGGGGAATACGAACATCAACGGGCTTGGTCCAAAGCTGACCTGCGCCGAAAGGAGAGCCCACCTTGGGGGCCGCGCCAGCTTCCATAGGCGACGTCCAGTTTTGATAGATGGTCATGTATTGAGACCGTCTCAACGAATTGTCCGGGCCTTGAAAGAAGACTTGCAGGGTAATGTCGGATCCATATCGCCATCCGACAGCTGATAAAGCCGAGTTTTGCATGATCTTCGTAGCGTTCGTCGACGGCGTATCTCCGCTTACGGACCCTGGGACGCCCGCCTTCGATTGTTGGTTTCGGTTCGCCGTCACTCTCCAAGCGACCACGCCGCCGATAACACCTCCGAGAACCAAGACGACCAGAGCCACAATGATTGCGATACACCATGGGAATCGTCGAGCAGGCCGCTGGGTCTCTTGTCCTCCAACATGGCCTCCAACATTGCCTCCCTGGGCTAGGGAAGAGTAGCCATTGGCCAACGTTTTGTGCTCATCGTAGCCGGTGCCGTTCTGGGAGGGAGCTTGCCAGTGAGGCGTTCTATCATCGAGGAATATAGGAGTGTCGTCGTATTCGGAGGATACCTCGAGTCCTGGTTGAGCAGATCGTGCTGAATGATCCATCTTGGAGAGAGCCTGGCAAGTGAACGGCTAGGGTGGAAGTTATTCCTTTCTTCTGGAGTAAAACGAGTGTGGGAAAGCTTGAGATGTCAGAAACTCTCGGAACTCCAGGAGATCAAAACCAGAACAAGCGGAGACCGATGGTGGATTTCTTGCAGTATGTATACCTCAGCTCCCAACCGACCCCACGCTAAGGCAAGGCTTCGCTTATGTCGTCTCGACTTATTTGAACAACTCTCCGAAGTGACGGAAAGACACCGCAGGGGCTACCGCGCCAGGCTCGAGCCAGCAAAAGTCTTTTATCCTCCTACTCCACGATGAAGGCCACCTACATGTAACGAGAGGTCAGAACGGCATCAGGCCCAAGGCTCGACACCAAGACACGGGCCAAGATCTGCAGCTGTGCCATCTCACCAGCAGGAGACGGGATGCCAGGTTACAGCAGACATCACCACGCCCCCTGCTCCCCTGGTGTTGAGGTTGCCTCAAGAGAGTTTTTATTCGTTCAAAGGCAGGGGCTCATTTGGCGCGTATGGATCCTGAAGTCCACTTCAGATCAATAAAGACACATAACTGGGGAGACGCGGCGCCAAGGGGGGCGGCACAGCAGGGTCTCTAATCGCAGCCTCTTGCATCCTACAGCTATTAGGGCTGGGCTAACTGAGGTGATAACTTGACACGTTGAGTAATCAAACACCACCCGAGGATAGGTTGTTTATATCAGGATACCAAAGTCAATCCTTTTTCAGCGTTCCAACTTCCATCGCTCTGCTGGTTTCGATGAAAGTGAGCCTTGCGGTGGGGTTGGAAGCACCAGGCCGGGACCCCTGGCTGATCCACTCACAGGCAACGAGCTGACAAGATTGAATTAACCTTGTTCTTGAACGAAAACGGGTCTGGTACTGGATGGTGATTAGTGATCTCTCTTTTGAGAGTCTTTCTCCATTCTTAATTGAGGCCGATTGATGGATGCCGCTCTACGAAGTACCCTGCGTTGCTACGTCGACTCCCAAACTCCGGTTTCCCGGAATTACACCCTTTGTCTAGACGAACGCCAAACGTACAAGTGAGCTTTGGACAACATCAAAACTATTCTGGTCATTGACCTTCGTGACCGCCGTACAGAGAAAACCGCGGTCCTGTCATGCGTTGGTTCGAGGAAAGTGTATAAATGCACCATGGCGCCACCTCTGGTCGATCGGCGAAGGATTCGTCAAAAAGCCTTGTGGTACAAAAGACCAACTGCCTCATCATGTGGGCAGGTCAGGCAGAACCAAATGATTCGGATCGTCGGCACGTTTAGGCTTCGTCAAAATAAAAGATATACAAGAACAGCGGCTTCCGGCTACTTGAGTTCAAAGCTGCTGACATCGAAGTAACATATTCCTTAAGCCTCGACCAACCTACCTCGACCAACCTACCTCGCCCTCCTTACCAGTTTTCAATTTTGAAAAGCATCCGTACCGTCATCATGCCCCTATGCAACCTTTGCAGCTCCATCTCTTGGGAAGATCTCCCTCCCTTCCCAAATGAAGACTTTATGAAGACGTTGAGCGGCTATCCACGGTTCCATCACCTGGTGTTGAAGAGTCATTTGCTTGAGAAAGACACGCCTATCAAAAAGTTTGGCGTCCAGTATCATGCCAGCCTGGAAAGTCTTCGTCAAGCCGCTTCTGGCGGATGCGAGCTCTGCCAAGTCATCGAGAAAGAAGCCGATGCACTGATAGAGGAGATTGCAGGCCTTCCCGAGCCAAGACACGGTGTGATGCAGACCGAGCCCAGCTGGGATATGTGGTTGACGAAGCGCTCGGAACCCAAAGTCTCCGGCGATGGATTCTGGGTCGTGAATAGAAGCTCTTGGGAGAGTGACAAGTGGCTAATCCCCATCGCGTCCATTGGCTTCAGTTCCGACGAAGGTGAGTCTCTCTCGACTACATAGTCAACTTGAATCTTTTGATCTACGTGCTCAATTCGAGATTTAGATGATCCTCGCTCTGCCGGCTCTTCCGATCGTGTGTTGAGAGAGGTCCCAGACGAGACAACACTCCGCCGAGCCGTTGAATGGCTCGAAACGTGCAACGGCCATGAGTATTGCAGCACTCATGGGAAATCTCCTCTGCCGAGTCGTCTCCTCGAAGTTGGAACTTTCGAATCCGAACCCATCATCAAACTCGTCGAGCCAGACGCTGGTCTTTTCGATCGGTATATCACTCTCAGCTACCGCTGGGGCCAAGAGTCGAAGCACTTCACAACCACCAGTGAGACGCTGCAAGCCCGCAAAGAAGGCATCTTGATGGAACACCTGCCACAGACTCTCCAAGATGCAGTTTTCATAACTCGAACACTCGGAGTACGGTACCTATGGATCGACAGCCTGTGTATTTGCCAGAACGATCTGAAAGACTGGGAGCGAGAGTCAGCTCAAATGGCCGCAGTCTACTCCAATTCGTATCTGACTCTTGCAGCCACGAAATCCTCTGATGTTAACGGAGGCCTTCTCTCTCCTCGAAAGAAAAGATCATACATAAGGCTCCCTCGGGGAAGTTCAAGCAACGAAGACCAGGTCGTGCTTGCTTCTATACTACCTCTACACAAAGAAATCATCCACGAGTACCACCTGAAGATGGAAGAGGAGCCTCTGACGAAAAGAGCTTGGGTTTTCCAGGAACGCGTTCTTGCGCGGAGAATACTACATTTTGGGAGCGAGCAAATGTACTGGGAATGTCTCGAAGGTTTTCAAGCCGAAGAAGGCCTCAAACTCCCGCACCGACTTCCTTGTGTCAATCCTGACCCGGACGTCATAGCTCACGTGGAAAAGCGTGCCGAGGAGCGAGCAGAACAGCACAAAGACTTCAACCGCTCTGCATCTTCTCTGAAGTCTTGGCCTCGCATTTTGTGTGAGTACGGCCCCCGAGAGTTGACAAATCCTGCAGACAAATTGCCTGCATTCTCCGGCGTGGCGAAGACTTTTAGCAAGATACTCGACGATGAGTATCTAGCTGGATTATGGCGAGGGTCTTTGATCGAGGGGTTGTGTTGGCAGCCACTGAGCTGCAAGCCCGCTTCGGGAGGTTATCGCGCTCCATCCTGGTCCTGGGCCTCAGTCGACGGTATCCCCGGGACAGGATTTGTGGGGGAGATCGAACCTCTTGCCACGATCCTCGAGGCCAAGGTCGAAATTGACGGCGAAAACCCCTTCGGTCGCGTCAAGGACGGCTGGATCAAGCTCGAGGCTCCGCTTGTCAAGATGGTCGTGTCTGACAACAAAGGCCCAACGGGACACATCCTCCTGAGAACTGAGAAGGGCGAGACTGACTTGTACGCAATGCTGGACACGATTGACCGGGACTATGCTGCCAGCGCGAAGCTGCTCAAGTCGATGGACCTGCGGGCTGTGGTTCTGGCTTTTACTTATGGAACTCCTTTCGAGGCCGATCCCGAGCGGAAGCACCCCTGTGCACAAGCCCTTCTTGTGATCCCATCCGAAGACCGGCCGGGTTGTATGAAGAGAGTCGGGATGCTAGTAGGGGGCGGAGCAGCCTTTGGAGCAGACCTGCTAGCTTCTGTGAGGTCTACCACCACCCTGATCTAGCTTGCGTGGAAGCGTAGCATTTGTCTCAATCTCTCTGCTTTCACTCTAATGTTGTGTAGTTTCGCTTGCAAAACTGTAGCTTATACGTGAAGCAGCGTAGCGCCAAGTGGAGTTCCATTTTGGTTTAATTACTTTGAGTTAATAGTGACTCACTGAATTGCATGATTTACCCAAAAGCTAGCTGGAGGAATACGGTGTGTTGTTTGCATCAAGTGGGAAGCTGTTGAAGAGCATAGGAACGTGGCTCATTTTGATGGAGTAGTAGAGGATGGATCACTCGAGTCAACCAAGATACTCGACCTACGCATCCGCTCATGCCTTGTTGTTATTAATAGTAAGCCAAAGAAGCCATCTGATCAAGAAGATGACCGTTGGTTCATCATACTCTATAGGCTGGCGGTGTCTATGTCTGTACGATTGCTTCCCGCAATAATCAGGCTTCGTGACCAAGATAAGGGACGCCTGCAGGACAAGAAAGTGCAGTGTAGGGTATCATCCATATATATCAATATTAAAATCTGAACGTCATGTTGTTATGCTATGTTGCTACGCTCTGGGGCACATTTAATTGAAATAGGCACCCAGGTATATAAAACCTTTCTAGGGAGAAGTCATGTAGTGCGCTGGGTTGCCCGGTCTCGCCGGTGTGGAGTGCCGCACACTAACCTCCACTGTTTTGTTGATTCCTCCCAGTGATGTTGGTTCGATCCCATAGAGACCGATGTTGGATCTGAACGGGCCAGCGCTGAAGATATCTTCCTGGGAGCTTGTTCTCCTTCCACCGCGAACCTCAACCAGCCTCTCGCTGTTTTGTGTAGCAGTACACCAATCATTCTGCTTCTGATATGACGAAAAACCTCGAAGCGGCGGTCGTCTTGGTTGTGCAGGATGATAGACGTGTGTCGTGACGACAAGTTTGGATGCCAGGATATCAATGCTAGTATGCCATGGTTGTCAGCAGCAGCATGCACTACACGGGGGCGTATCGGGTTACCACTCACAACATGACTACTGGAAATAGACATTCTAGGGTGTATGCGAAGCGATCAATTTGGCTGGCTGCATTCGTAGCACTCTGGGCGGCAATCTGAGAAGAATACGTAACGGCTCTCATTGTCCCAATCAAGGCCAGTGTCGCAAGCCGGACTTCAGTGCTTCGCATAAGATATTTGAACAGACCTCCCTTCAGAGCTGCCCTCAAGGATGTCGACTTCACTTCAGCGAACGTCTTGAGTAAGAAGAAGGAGCTCAGACATTCGAGCGAAGCTATCAGCACAAAGTAACCGATGTGTAGACTGTTGACAGTGCTCTGTAAGTCCGTATTACCTCTCAAGATGAATTTTGCTCGCGAGACGGCGATCATGATGCGTATTGATATAATCGAAAGAACCATGAGCCAAAACAAGATGTTGAAGGCTTTCCATCCCAGGTCCTTTAAGATCTTTCGGAGGAGGACGTAACTGTAGAAGGACAAGCCGACTTCTTGTATCTGAAAGAGAGGTGAGTGATGTGATTATACGTAGGTTTTCGACCTTACCATCCAAAATATATCACCAAACACCGAGGCGATAGCTTTGCTTTTGAGGGAATACGAATCATCATAAAAGGCGTAATAGCAAAGCCCATTTGCAATAGCGCCAGCGATTGACGATATGATCGGCACCACAGTAATTTGGGAGAAGGTCGTAATTCCGACGATGAGGAAGCCAAGAAACACGTTCGCGGCGCCGATGGTACTCAGAATCGACCAGCTTAACTCGAAATATACCGGCAGGAGCGGCGTCGACATAATGGCGCTACTTGAGCAACTAAATGTCGGCTCATATGTCGCATGGCGGTTGCGGATGTGGAAGAGATTAGAGAAGTGTGCTACTTAGAACACATTAAGACCAATCTCGCGCTGGGGGGGCTTTCTCTGGCAAACCTGATGGCATCAGCTGGTGGTCAATCCGTAGGGCGACTTCCTCAAGTCGCGCAGGGTGTCAGAAAAATGCACTCTGGAACCTTCTCTCGGGAATTGCTCGGCACAAGGCGAATCGTTTCTAAGTCGGGCAGCTTTGGCGATATCAAAAGCTTCCGAGACGTGCCCATCATGGTCGACCCTTGTCGTCTACCACTGCAGCCGAAGTTTCTTGTGAAACTAAAGGATGATAGGCTTGGCCTTTGCTTCAACACTCAGAGTTTCCAGGGTTCAATATGGAAGAACCCGCGGGTAGTACACCCTATTTCCAATTGAGTTCCCCAAGGATACGGGACAATGCCCCGTGCTTCAAATCGTCGGAAGGAAAGTGCTTGAACTGGGATCCCGGCGAACCTCACGGTCGCCCTACGAATCACCACCACGCGCCCACTATCCGCTTCGATGAGCAGACACATTGTTCTACTCCCGCCGTCTTCGTAGATTGTGAGGTCTGTTAAGACGCAGTAGTCACGTAGTGTTTCCTATGACCCGACGAACGAGTGATTGGGGATTGGCGGCCAATTCGCCGACCTCATTAGAAACGAGTGTTTGAGTTCGAAGCACAACACTTCGGACTTTCCAGGAAACTTCGAGGGAATTGTAACCATGATCTTACCCACCACCTTCCCAAATCTTTGTGGATGGAGTTAGAGGAGGGTGAGATACCCTGTACGACGATCAGCATGTTCTGCATTCCTCCAACAAACATCGGATATAAGACTTACACGAAAAGTTGGAGGGATGTTGGTGGCGATCTTAAGCCGGCGAATGAATGTTCAAACGAGGCTGGGGGTACGACATGTCGCAGATAGCTCGCAGTAGAAGAGTTGGGGGCGAAAAGACCTTGACGACAAGAAGATGACGAGCTCTCGACTTGTGAATTCACGCAGGCAATAACCGGACCTAGCTCCGAAGGAAAAAAACCGAGCCTTCTCCAACTCCGAGCGTTCTGTTCAATATTATGTACACATAAGCAACGGTTTTATTGACAGCACTGAGTATTTAAGCGGGATTTAAATATCAGTTTGTAAACAATCTTTGGGAAATACGGTAACGAGCAATGTCTCCAATGCCAGAAACGATTGAACGAATGAGAAGAGAGTTCATTTCCGCCGGGCATGTGAAAGGGGGGCCTAAGTCGTGCAGAAACAAAAAGCGTGCGTGCATCCATGGGGTGAGTAGAGTTTGACGCTGGTGATTGTGCTCCGAATCTGGGCCCTGCCACAGGCCCCTCGGGTGCGGCCAATGCTTCAGCAACCATTTCCAGGCCTCTGTGAACCTTATGATGTGACCGGCCTCAAGGGAGGTAGTGAAAGTATACATGTATGAACCCATGACAATACTTACCTACCTTAGATACGGTGGATAGAAATCCTCAGTAAGAGGTCTCTGTGGAAAAAGTTAAGCAGCCGGCACGAACGAAGGCTACTAGTTAGACAAATGTGTGACTTGCACAGACCACAACCACTTGAATTCTGTGGTATCAAAATCATTCCTTCTACTGAAAAAAGCGATCGATGTCCTCGCTGTGCCAAAGAAGTTTTCGGAACATACCCAAGACGCCTGCGATGAGGTACTCAGGGCATATCTCATTCCTTTATTCCATCCCTGAACCGCCCCTGCGCGATCGCCCAAGTAGACAACCATCTGCTTTCCTCTACCTTATCCCAGACGCCATTCCCTGAAATTCGACTTGCCCCTCATTAGAATTTCGCCTCTAAACCACAAGGTTCCCCGTCCGTGACTATACCATCGAGCTTTGAGCGGCGATGTCATCAAGACCAGAATAGCTTTTCTCTGACTCTGAACCCATCGAGGGTAGATTGTGTGCGGGGTCCACATCAAACATCTCCCAGTCGAGGTGTGTTTCCCCATTAGCTCCATTCGGGCATGGCTGACTATTCATCAGCATACCTCCAGTAAGAGCCGGAGCTGCCCCCGCCATACTCGATTGTACCAAGTTTTGAGCCGCGCCGAAAATATAGTCTTCAATAGACGAGCACCCACAACCACCGTGTTGTAAGACCATGGTTTTCAACATGAGGATCTCACCGCGGAGCAACGCCGCTTCATCGTTTAGGTTTTTGTTGATGTTCTCGGCCATCGCTTCCTGAGTTTGCAGCTCCTCGACCCCCTTCTGCTTCTTCTTCCGGCACTTGTAAGCCGCCTCCCGATTTCGCGCGCGGATCTTGTTCTTCTTAGCTTCCGCGCCGCCCCGGCTGTCCACAGCGTCGTTGGCACCGCTCTTCGACGTGTCCGAGATTCGTCGGGTAGTGCCTTTCTCCCGTGACCCTGCCACCGTCGTCGATACACCTGCATCTCGTCCGCTGTCCTCGGAAAGCCTGGGCCGACCTCTGCGTCGTTTCGGTGATTCTATCGTCTCGATTGGAGTGGGAATTTTCGTTTCGCTTGCGGAATTGAGGATCAAAGGATCGGTCGGTGGCATTTTCGGTGATTTACTGCTGTTATGCGGCGATATGATGGGGCTGATTGGTGAAGAAAGTGTTTCAGCCCGATGACTGGCAGAAGAATCTCGCCATGGTTGAGGGCCTTCCGTTGAGGCCGAAGACTGGCGATCTGCCTCAAAAGGAGGGTCCACGGTCAAAGTCGAAGGTATGTCCAAAGCCGCTTGTACAGCCTTGTTGCCAGATGCTTGTTGTGAGTGTTGCTGTGGTTGGGAAGCACACAACGTGGGTTGTGGTTGATATTGCTCCACGTTGGCAGTAGTCTGGTCTGCATGTAGAGGTTAAGATACAGTCTGACGTATGCTTGATGGATAACCCACTTTGTTGAAGCACGCTCACACTACTGCTGGGAAATTCCATCATCTTTGAGCCCTCTTCTGGCCGGAAAGCGACGATGACAGGGGAGGACAGTGAATGGTCAAGGTTGTTTTGGCTGGCTAGGCTAGCCTAGTATTCACAGAAAAGCTTCAGCAAGCAATGGTGATATCACGAAGGTAATCCTGGGTGGTATAAATGGAACGTATGGATTCGAGGGAAAACGAGCGTGAGAAAGAATATCTGGCGTAGAATGACAGCATGGAGCAAAATGGAATTGGCTGCAGACGAGGGAATACGCACGCACACCGCATCAAGGGGTTCGCGAAGAGGCCATACGATCCTTTTTAAGGACTACAGCACAATCCGCAAAAGACCACGCGGGGGCAAAGAGTCTGTGGCCCTGCCCCTGGGCCCGATTGGGACAAGCACCTCATGGCACACCGGCAGCAAGGCAAGACATGGCAGGCCAGGCAGGCCAAGAAAAGGGATTCTGTGCGCTGGAACCAGTACCAACTACAAGATCGGCGTGCGGCATGTCGGCGAAGCAGCACTCCTTGAGAAGCTCGTGGACTAATTAGCGGGGTGGCTTCGGCCAAGCTCAACAGGGTCAAGGAGGGGCCGTTGTTATCACATCACAGCTGCCGAGGTGCGGGATGTAAAAGTGTTTGCCACTATGATAATAGCGTCTGATGCTTAGGTAGTGCGTGAATCCGCGTCCCTCCCGGCTTTTGCTCGGCTACATGAAGATGCTGCCAACATACCGTAATGGGTAGCGGCTTCGACGAACCCTGAGTGTTGATCAGGGACGACAGGGTAGGATGCTGGGGAGTTCGTAAGGAGTGTTCGCAATACCTCCAGTATTAGTCTGTACGATGACGAAACGTCACTGTCCTACGCGATGACAGCAACCTGCTTTCGTCTGAGTGGCAGGGGGTTCCGGAGCTTTCCTCCGGGCCTGGTGTGGTACGGTACATGGTTGAATCTCAGCCAACGGACTCTCGTCCGTGAACCAGTGAACCAATAGACGTTTCTGAATGGACAGATTTGATCAAAACCACGTCTGGCCGACCCTTGTAGTACCCTTGGCTAGTTGGGCCCTCTAAACCCACTGACTACACTACGGTGGAATTACACTACATGCTGTTCATGCTCACTCAATCATTCCCGTGGCATACCCACTGTGCCACTTTGATCTACAATCCCGAGTGTCCGAGGGATGCAATTGGACAATTCCAAGAGAAAGCAATCATAAATGTGGCTTGCTTCGAGTGGCAAACTTGCAAGGAAGCGACGCATCTGCCTCGAAGCCCCGACGGGACGCGACTACGAGCCACAGTTTCGACCCCGCGAGGTCGGGAGCAGGACAAACAGGCTTTCATCTTACATGTGCCGTCGCAGCCACGAGCAGCTGAGCATCAAAATAACCCTTCGAATCTCTGGGCTGTTCGTGATTCCCCACCACCGCGTCATTAGTGGGCAGCTTCATTGGGAGACGGGGGCTCTTCTCCGCGGCCCCAATCACGACGATTCCTGGCTGAACTTGATTGCATCGTATCCATTGAAATCCTGGAGCCGCATCATCCTATCTTGGCCAATGTGTCTTTACCCGCAATGAACGGGCCTTCTGGTGTCCAACAAGCCCTGTAAACTCCGATGGAATTCCTGATTTCGATTTGGAAGAATCCCATTCTGCTTAGCGATCAAATTTCTGGACCACTGGCCAACTAAGTTAGCGTATGGAAGATCGTCTTCGGAGCACAAGCTCCACGGACGCTGAAAAGTCTGTTCTTGAAGCTTGCCCCCTCCCCAATGCTTCCCACCCGTGCCACTACCCATGCTGCCACTGAGGGATGTGAGGAGCAGTTGAACCTCTCAGGTGCGGGCAGCGAACTGTCACATATTGACATTGATGACATTTCCTCGTCTTACTTGCACAGCAACTGATTGGTTTCGTGTGTTCGCCATTCGCCGAGAATTCGCCGAAAATGTCTAGTGCGCAGTCACAAGGGAACAAACTAGAGCCGAATGAGACTCGAACCACAGCTGCTCTTCTCCGACCGAGCCGGACGGCCTAGCCCGTACAAGTCTCGCCCGTATATCAGACCAGCCCTAGAAGTGAGGGGTTCGTAGATGTTTCTTACTGATCATGCGGTGTCGTCTAAACTTTAACCACATGAAAAGGTCGTCCTTAACGATTCGCAGCTGCAGTGCATAGGCCATTCGCTTAACCAGCACCATGCTATAGTTAAGCCGACACCCAAGTGTCGGACCGCGTTCTGCTTGGGCCATTCTAGCACTCGAGCAACGCTCTTCTCGTTCAAAACCAAGTCCCCATCATGTAGTTGAGAAGCCACCACCCAAAAGGAGGGGAAACGAAGTGCCTCGGCCTGATGACAAAGTCTCTCACCCAACCCATTCAGTCCCCTGACTTCTGCTGCGCTTTTCGCGAACGCTTCAAAGCGCTGGGTCAATCTACATCCGATCACAAGCCTCAACTCATTATGAGCACGATCGCGATGCCAGAGTCTAAGCTTCGCCGGACACTTTCCATATTCCCTCAGGCGGACTAACTATAGCACACTTCCTCAGCGAAGTTGCGTCAGATGAACCGCCGACTCACTCGGATTCCTAGCCTCGTTCATTAGCGATACGATGGAGACGAAAAACCTCGTGGGATAGTACAACGGCCCAATCTAGGTCCCATTTGCAAACGGCTTCTGTACATGTATTATCCCCAAGCTCAGCTGATGTCGTTGTTTTCGCTTTTCTCGCCAAAAGGAGGATAGATACAAGTACCGATAATGCGCTGTTGATTTCGTGTTGCTTTCATCGATATCAGACATCCAAGACTCGGTGATGTCAGGTTGACAGGTCGAACAGCCATCACAAGTGACACTAGGGAACTGCAACTTAAATTCATCATGCCATGGCCAGCTATATAAGACACGCTGATACTAAGCGATGCTTTTGACCTGGCCATAATGCTCAAACCTACTCAGCGATCGCTCAGGCCAGATGTCCGGTTACAGCTGGCTTCCTCAGCGACTCGGGGCCTTGACAAGGTCCTGGTTGTGAATTGCAAGTAAAATGAAGTAATTGTACGTAGAATTATGGGAAATGAACACATCATCACGTCTCCTCAAGTCTTGAACATGTCGTAGATCGACAAATGGTTGCTTTGGTCGACATTAGAGTCACGTTGCGCAGCTGCAATCGCTGCTTGGGGAGCAGATCACTACATGTAGCCATGGCACAGGCCGATTCGATTACTAGTTTTCCAGAGGAAATGCGTCCCTCATTTCATCCATGTAGGTTGAAACATGCATCACAGTGATAAGAGAATGCACCTGTAATATAGAACATAATTAAAAAGGGCTCACGATCCTCAGCTTCATCACTGAGGGTTCTGCTGTCAGAGAGAACAGTATCTCGTAGTCAAAGCATGCATTCAGTGGCCTTGAGACGAGCTTGAGCGTCAAATATGTGTCCGCTGTCTTTTGTTCACATATTATGGTTAACGGTACAGCCTTCGCCAACGCTGACCATGACACCTTCAAGTCGAACCCTCTTCTTAACTAACATGTACGTTCAGCCTTAGATAACCCGTTTTGAAGACATTCTGTGGATCAAATTTCTTTTTGATCTCCCTGAGCCTTGATAGAGTCTCCTCGCCGTAAGTGGCCACCCAGTCCATGTCTTTCTCGGGGCCCAGGTTGCGATTCCCGTATGGAAGCTTGCCGCCTTGCTCCGAGAGGGCATCCACCAAATCATCCGCCCATTTTTTGTACTCTTCATATTCCACTGCCTGTGAAGTAGTGTCTATGACAGCACCTAAAGGAGTCGCTATACGATGCCTCTTACGCAGAGGATAGCAAGCTGCTGGATTCGCCTCGATCGCTCGACCGTGAGCGGCATGAATAACTGTAGCAGAAGTTGCCCCTGGCGGCGAGTTATTGCCAAACGCACTGGCTATTCCCGGGGTGAAGCATTCAAACATCCTAAGCCGAGGATACCAGCGGACATTGGTTGGCGAGGGCATGGCGTTGAAGAACGTGAAGTCGTCGACTGCAGGTCTAGCAAGTTCTTGCCTTTTGAACAGTGAGAGTTTGGTGTGCATACCTTCTGCCACTGTGTTGAGAACTGGCGTGCCGAGCGCCTTCATCGTTTCGAAGAACGCCCAACCCTCTTCCAGATCATCGTTTGCTGACGTCCAGGCAAACAGCCAGGCAAATACGGGACCAACGCCGGGGAGAGCCATGTGGGTAGCTTCGCCAGTGAAGTTGATCGGCAGATCCTTCTCAAATTCGCCGAATTTCTTCAACACTTCGCCGATCTGGTCATTGGGGAACCCGAGAAAACCCGCCAAGAATCCCGTTTGTGGGTATACCTTGAGTTATATCTCAACTACGACTCCAAAGTTGCCATTTCCAGCGCCGCAAAGAGCCCAGAGCAGATCGGGATGGTCTTTCGTGTCGACAATGCTGCCATTTGCGAGAACCACACGCGCACCGAGAATTTGGTCCGCACCTAGCCCGTGGTAGGCATTCATGTAGCCGTACCCTCCGCCCATAGCCCAGCCAGCGATGCTGACAGTCGGACACAAGCCGTGGGGGGTGAGGAGCTTGTGCTGCTGCAAAAAGCGCGAGAGCTTGATGCCCATGATGCCGCCGCCAACGCGGACGGACTGTCTGTCTTCGGCGATGAAAATGCTGTCGAGGCCTCTCAAGTCCACGATAACACCATCTTTGCCTTGAGCCTGCCCGAATATCAAGTCGTGCCCACCACTTCTGAGGCCAAATGGGATGTCTTGAGCTTTCAGCTCTTGGACGATGGCCACGACCTCGGCATCGGTTCTCGGGCGGACGATCGCCAAAGGCAGTTGGGTCATGTTCGCGTTGAAGAAAGTTCGAACATTCTCGTACTTTTCGGCCGAGATCGTGTATACCAACAGATTGGGGAAGTTTGTCACAAGGTTGTGTAAGAGGGGCGCATCCAAAGAGATCTGTTCCAGCGTCGATGCTGTGGGATGAGACCCCCGAAACTCTGGTGAAGCTTCAAGTGCTGCCATCGCGCTCGACTTCGGGTTGTGTATGGATTATGATTGACTTTCTGAAGCATGGGGTAAGAGTGGCAGGCGCTTATGTATGTCCCGCAACTGCCGTGCGCGGAAGGTAATCTGTTGGAACGACATGCGGCTCTCATGCAAGAATCTGAATAAAGACTGGTAATTGGACAAGGAGCTGAGAATATTGGGCACGATACTGTGAGTGAGGGGCCCATTAAGATGACGTGAGATGGAAGCAGGGCAGTGTGTGGCTTCTTGAAGAAAGTCTTCATGAGAGGACGCGTCTGAATTGGCTTCTGGCCACAACTCGATCGGAAATAAAAGGTACTAATCATAGAGCTATTGAAAGCTCATGTAGAATTCCCCCAAAGATCTTCCTAGATAAGAGCCTTTGCGATAGGTCGAAATATCGAGTTGCCAACCGAGATTGAGAGGGGTAACGCTGGCATTGGCATGAACGGCAAATGATTTCGCATGGATGGTGTAGCCTGGGCCTTGAGATGTGTTCGAAATAGATGATGGGTCTCTGCCTTGGTTGCACAAGTCGAAATGGTGAAGCCATCTCCTTGAATCATCGTGAGGATTTGGGCAGGGTAGATTGGCGTACAATAAATCCCCCCGACTCGTCTCTATCGGACTTGACAAGATCCTAATACCGAGACTATTCGATAAAAAGCAATTCGACTTGTGGATAAGTGGTAAAGACTTGCATCTCGATACATCATGCCTACCTTCAGTTGCTGTTTCTCGGTACTTTGGCAACGTAAAGCACCAGCTTTTCAAAAACCTTAATACCTGCCGAGTCATGAATGTTCTCAGTCCAGATAACTTCCTCGAGCTTCGCCTTGGCTTCGGGCCATGTAGGTCCCAGAGAGTCTCGCAGGTTGGCCAACTTTGGCAACAACCAGCTATCGTCTTCCTCTTCCAAAACGGATATAGCACCGACCACAAGAGTCCAGGCTAACAAAAGCCTGGTCGTACTGCATGTGGACGCTAGTACCTCGAAGTTTTGGCATGCTGACCTGAGATTGCTAGCCAGGGAGGTGAAGCTGATTTTGGCTCCCTGAACTTGGAGGAAGAGGGTGGTGATGTAGCTAATCATCCCAAGGCGGCCAAGGTCGGCCAGTGGATTCTGTGTCGTCGCCTCCAAATACAGGAGACGGTATTGGACACAAGTCATGAACTGTTGAAACAGGTTCGGATCAATCTTGCGATTGGTTTGGTATAGCGCGGTCGCCAGGCGGGAGAAGTCGTGGAGATCTTGAAAGACGTTGCCCAAGCGACTGTCAGACGCGTCCAAGAGAAGTAGTATGTGAGAAGAACCAGGACAGATCTCAGATCCAACAGGTAGTTTGCCAAGTATAGGAGAAAAAGCGGGCTCCCATGAGAAGCTGTTCTGGAAGTAAAGCGGTGTATCGCCGGTGCATAGACTCCAGCCAATATCCACTCTTGACCACGTCAGGTTTTGGATAGCAGGGTCCTGTAAGAGTAGCACTTACCGGCAAATCTTGACCTGTAACTGAAGGTTGTGAGAGAAACTCTCGATCCCGCCTCTAAGCTTCACTATCTGCCGCATACCTTTGATGTGTGCTGCAGCGCTGTCTCGCTGTCCGAAGATTTCGGCTACCATACACATGGAGACAATCGTGGCTATCGTGGAGTCGGCCAAGGCCATATTTTGATTGGCAATGTTTTTGTTCAATAGGTGTAAGGTCTTCCAAACATGGAAGTTGGTCTTCTTGCTTGCACTCTCTCCTTTGACAGAGTCATGCAACAGTCCGACGGTGAAGAGGATGGAATGCAGAAACGCCGCGTCCGTGAGCAGCCAGTAGAACCATGGAGTTTTGCTCTCATCGTACTGCAGACACCACTCTATAGGGTACATTGTTTCTTTGATAATGGCGTAAACTAAGGACTGGTTGAGCATGGAGAAAGATCCGAGGCATGGGCCCACTCACATTCGAACAGCATGCCTCGAGACGCCGCGTCAATGTCATCGGCAAATTGGAACATGTACAGGTCATTGGGTGTGCGGAATACATGCTCGACCCATGCTTCACTGTATAGCCTTGCCTTTCTCGGCTCCTTGATGATTGTAGAAAGTGACCTCGGCGCAAATTGTTCTGTTTCCTGGGGAGGATCTGGGCTACTTTGATTGACCCAGGTGGTCGGGCGCTTTGGGCCGCTGTGAGACGCGCGTGTATTCTTGCCTCGCATTACATGGCTACGTATGAGTTTCCGATCGTCTGACTTGGGCTTGCCAGACGTGTCCGTGATGACAAAGGCGAAGCCCTTGCTGGCTGCAACAGCGTGATTAGACGTGGGCGTCTTCATGGGTGAAAGTGGATGAGGCAGAGATCATACTAGGCCGCTTCTGTTTGACCATCTTCGAGTCACCAAAGCCCAGGTGTCCTATCGTATCCCTCGATGAATAATCTAGCTCAGAGCTTCCTCGTAATCGACAGCAACGTAATGGAGATGACGGGGCTAAGTGTATAACCGGAACTGGCTCTGAGATGCTCCGCGGAGTGAGGCTGAAGCCTGGAGACTGCCGGAGTGGAATGACTGTCTACCTAAAGGGGAAAATGATCCAGATAATGGGGGTAGGAAGCATTCGAAGGCAACCTACAAGGTGCGTAATACGGCCGGATTTACCCTACAGTCTTGTGTTATCCCGACTGATCTCCCCTCACTTCGAGATGCTAAGACGGACGGCGTGACGACATGTAGAGGCTTAGCTGCAGAGACACGGCGCATTCAGCGCTCCGCTTTCGCCTCTCGGGCTCCAAAGGTCTTTCGCCGAGAGCTGATTGTTGCCTTCTTCCGGTCTAGCGCCGATCCTTCCGGCCGCAGCCCCACCTATTGGCGGTCACCCGGGCACGTGATTTCCGGCGATTAAGTGGACCAAGGCACTGGCGGGGGATCCGAACACGCCGACCACACACCGGTTGGCTTCCGGTCTTGAGGAGAATCCGTTTCTCGCGTTGATTGATGTCCATATTAGGTAACCAGTCACTCTTCCTTTTCGAGACAACAATCAAACATGAGTTGATGGCTGACATTCTCGGGTTCTTGTCCAATTGGCAGTCGTTCACGATGCTTCAAGTTCAGCCACCGTAGCATTCGGCGCCGCTGCCCCACAACTTGCATCTCCAGGACTACACGATGCCTTCCATCTTGGCATTGAAGATGTTTCTACCTCAGAAGTCTTAATGGCTATATATTTTGCACGATTCCGGCAATGACTCTCCAACTTGCAGCTCCAACACAACTAAAGCAACACCAGCAACATCTAGTTCTTCCATCACCGCATTATCCATCATGGCGAGCTCACTAGAACTCCCTCCTCTTTCCATGGGACCAGGAAGACTTTTCCTCACTTCCCAGTTCTGTGCCACGGCCCGAACGCCGCCAAAGGACCTCTCCCTGTCCGGAAAGACGGCTATCGTTTCTGGTGCCAACATCGGCCTGGGCTTGACTTGCGCACGCCAACTGCTCGACCACGATCTCTCTCACCTTATCATGGCTGTCCGCTCTTCCGAAAGAGGAGAGGCTGCCGCGAAGACCCTGAGAGGAAGCCACCCCGACGCTACGATCGAGGTCTGGTCTCTGGACATGCTCTCATACAAGTCCATCCAGGACTTTGTCAATCGCTGTTCCACCTTGCCTCGGATTGACTTTGTTATCTTGAACGCCGGCATGGTACAAGAAGAATTCAAGCTATCACCAGCGGGTCATGAGCAAATATTCCAGGTGAACTACCTATCGACTGTTCTTCTCGCCATCCTTCTCTTGCCTGTCTTGAAATCAAAAAAGACTTCAGGGCAGACGAGCAGGTTGACCATCGTCAATTCGGGCACTGCCTTCATGGCCAAGTTTCCGGAGCAGGACAAACGTCCCTTAATAGCGGCATTTGACGATGAGAAGGCCTTCGATGCTACCGACAGATATTCCACGTCGAAGCTTTTGGGTCAGTTGTTCATCATCAAGCTCGCTGAACACGTCCAAAGACAAGATGTTGTTGTCAACCTCGTCGACCCGGGCTTCTGTAAAGGGTCAGGACTTCACCGCCACATCGGCGGTGGTATCAAGGCGGTCATGGAAGTGGGAAAGACTTTGACGGGGAGAAGTCTCGAACTTGGGGCGTCAACATACTTTGACGCGGCCGTAGTCAGAGGAGAAGAGACGCATGGCAGCTACCTGATGGACTGGAAGATCTTTCCGTAAGTGCTTTCTGCCCACCCACGCCCTTTCGTTGATGTCTGGACCTCGCTAACGCTAGCTGACAAAGCTTCGCCAACTTTGTCTACACACCACGGGGCAAGACGACTCGTGAGCAACTGTGGGAGGAGACTCTGCAGGAGTTGGACTTTGCCGGGGTGCGCTCGATCCTTCGCTCCATGCAGTCGGACTCGCGATAAGGAGCTCGCCTCCTTCAGGGCCCATTTGTCCCGCCAGACTGGAATTCGAGCCTTAGCTGGGGAACATGTTGTGTTGTATGCAGAAAACCTAATTCCTGATTGATGCAATAGTTCTCGATGCCGGTCTGCCTGCTTTCGTGCCGAGTATCCGATTGGGTATATTGTATAGGTTTCGCTTAGATATGCCGCATCATATTTGGATATTTCCAAAGGTACTACAGTCTAAATAGAGTAATGAGTCAGTGATTTTACGTTCGTCTTGACATATCATTCACAATAACGTCCATTTGTGAGAGTCAAGGTCCCAGAAGGTTTGTGACTCATCACCCAAGTGGTCACCGTCACGAGCTTGTGGCAAGCTGTGACCCGAATGGGGAAGATGGACATCGCCGTCTCTTTACCGAAAACTTGGAAGTAGAGGCAAATTTCGAGACGGGCTCAACCCATCAAATTCCCCTGCCCTTTGAATCGAATGAACCACCAGTCCCAGCGTAATCGGCAACAGACGCAGGAAGACGTGAGAAGTGTGCAGATGGAGGCGAGAGCTTTCCATAAGGCGCAAGATCATCGATATGCTGCGTTTCCATTGGCACTGTGGACACAATCTCACATTTTTTCCCGGTCCTCGAAAGTCTGGTCTCGGTATCAGCATCCTACAGCCAGGCCGCGGCGAATCCTCGCTTGATGCGGTAGCTTAAGTCAACGCGCCTCACCATTCATCAGTGGTGTGGCAAAGCACCTTCTTAGTTAAGATGGTACGCCTTATTATTATCTAAATCTAAGGAGGGGGAGGGTCAATTCCTCCACGGGGTAAGACGAGTTTGCCATACTCTGTACTCAAAACGACGATGGTCTGGCGAGAGCTAGCAAACGATCCTCGAGCCTTGGCGATCTGATCGTTTGCAAGGCTCGCGATAGGGTATCACCGGTTGAGTGATATCGCCGGGCTGTTGGATAAATTCAAACGAGGTTCTCTCTGGTCCTGAGAAGGAAGTCATATTGCAGCTGGGCGTCAGCGGCGTGTGGTACTGGCCTTTGAGTCCCTCATTGACTCGTAGCTAAGTGATGAAGCGGTACGACGACCACTTCCGGTTGTGCGCCCGCTGCCAAGGCGCTGTATGATTTGGAGAACGCATCCAACAGACTTTTGTTCAGGCCAAGAACAGCCTGAGCCGGGGGAGCGTTGCGGATGATCCTGGGACAAACGTCCCTGGTGGTTTTGCACTATGGGTGGCTCACGACTTCAGGCGCAAACGATAGGGGCGATTCTTCGGTCACCCAAGACTTTTCCAAGACGGCAGCATGCGCCCATTCGAAGCATTGGCATCGCCAAGATGAAGCCAAGATGCCGCGAACCGAGGTTTCTGCAGTGGTTTGCGCATCGTTCGTCTTGGAAGAAGCTTCGTTCGAGCCTCTGTTACACACGGGCCATAGCATATGTCGAGAACGGCTTCCAAACGAATACATGTAAAATCTCTAAACTTGTGAGGCCTCTTCATATACCGTCGGATCATGGTGGTAGAGAAAAAGCCTGTCTGCACGAGAGAGTAAAAGCAAGTCATTGGGTTGATTTGCGCCAAGAAGCCATCTCGAACGCACATCAAATACGGAAGCTTCTTGACAGTCGGTCAGTCTGAGCCTGACACATGACCGATGTCTTCGACTCTGAGGATGCGAGCAATTCGCGTAGTTCCAGACTTGCCCGCTTGCCAAAGCCTGCCGTATCTGCTGCCCGGCCGCCCGCCCGAGAGCCAGAAATGGAACCCAAAGACAAGCTCGCGATGGCCAGCGCGGAGTCGCGCCGCACAAACGTCCCTGATGTCCCTTGGCACGCTTGGCAAGACCCTTTGCTTCGAGCACACCATGATAAGGCATCACGCGCCTATTGCGATAACAGTGGAGGGGATTACACCACGCCGGGTTGGTCAGCACCCATGATGCAACGAAACGCGTGCGCACCCAATCGCAGCGTTGGTTACTGACCTGCCGAAAGAAGAGTCGTCCCGGTCGGGAATCGACTATTGCAACGACAAAAAGCAACGGGCGGAGAAGCTGCTGCGTGCGTGCGGGTTGGAATGGCGGGTGGCTCGTTCCTGCAAGCCAAGACTTCAATGCCACAGGGGGGGGAAACGCCGCGGCAGGCTGTAATTTCAAGGGCTTATCGTGGCAGTTTCGAAAGCATCGCGATCCCGGGGGAGTTTGGTAGGGCGGACTTACGATCTTGTCTTTCGTATCCGACGCAGGTCCAACCCCCCGTCTGGATTCGAGATATGAAGCGTGATGTTTGTGGCCGTCCCACCTCGAACGAGGTATCTCGAAAAGATGAGAGAGAGCAGAAGATCCATGAGAGCATCTCGACCGCAGAATCGACAGCAATCTAGCCCAAAGTGCCCCGAGCGGCTAGCCAATCCAACGGCAGAGTGCTGGCAGGGATGACGGTCCTGGTTTGAGCATGGATGGTGTCCGTTAAAAAGTTCCTCCACAAGCAGTGTTCCGCGTCCCCGCCCACCTGGGTGAACACAGATTAATCAACTTGCCACCTCGTGGCTGGTTGGATGATACGACTCCTCTTTGTCCACTGTTTTTGAATGGTCAATTCAGTTGCAAATGCCCCGACATCTGGCCGATAAGAGTTGTAGAAACGGAGCAGGGAGTTGGGTGAGAGGGAACAGGGGTGTCGGTCTTAACGGAGCAGGGCTACAGTTACAGGGACAACAATACCCTCAGTTCCTCAGTTCCTCACTCAACTCTGACGTTGAACAGACGTGAGGCTCTGGTAGCTACAACGCCTCTCTTGGGGTTGCATAGGTGGCGTGCAGTCGTTCGGATGGCGTTAAGCTTTCGGGCAAGATCTCTTGATTCTCTTATCCTTCTTAATGGCAGGTCTTGGACGTCTTGGAAGACTTGGGGGGATGTCGTGCAAGTCTTGGGCGGCGGGCTTGGAAAGCTTGGGGGTCTTGGGAGTCTTGGGAGAGGGCGTCACGTCCAGGATGCTTCGATCATGTCCTTCTTGAGCCATCAACGCGAACTGCCAAGCGACTCGAGTCGCCTCTGTAGTCTGCCGTCGACTAGGGCGTCTCACAGTGAAGGGAGAGTTGGAAAAAAAGAGAAAAAGGACCGAGGGCTAATTAGGCCCAGCCAGAGACGGAACTAACCGTTTTCCACCAACAAACATTACGTGCTCCTTCGGCGCCGTTTTGACGGTGCCTCCCGCACTCGCCTCGCTGCGGCAAACACCGCCGGAACATTGTAGGTAGTGTAAATGTAAATGTAACGTCGTGGGTCCAACTACTATTGTAGTATGTCGGAGTCTCTTGGTGCGTGGGCGAGGTGCTTTTGCATTGTGCCCACCAGCTGAACGAAGCGAAGCGGCACAGCAATGCAACCAGTGATAAGCTGTCAGAAAAGAAAACAGAGCCAACCTATCTGTAGAGGTAGGTCTCAATGGAGACATGATCGAGTGATGGATGCCCTCATCAGCATGCTGAGCTGATGGGACGCCAGGCCCCCGGTCCTCACGTCTTATCGTGGGCTCATTTCATCCATACACGCTTTCTTGGTTTTCCCGTAGCGGCTCCCTCCCACATGCCGGTCCCACCAAATATGCTTCTTGGCGGGAGCTGCTGGCATACAGTGACAGGGTAATACTCTCTCACACGCGACAGTGTGCGACCAATGCTGAGGGATCCCCAGATTGGTATACAGAGTTGGACACTCACCTTGCCACCAGCATCCCCCCTGCCACAGCTATATTGCCTGCTTAGAGCCTGAGATTGGATGTTGGGGGCAGCATGGATCGAAAGTCTCTGTGCCAACTCTAATCCTCAGAGACTCGATCGACAAAATGTGAGCGAGACACGGCCTGCTCCTCATTCTGCACGCGGGTGTATCGCGCCACGATGGAGCCATCGCGATTACGACCAGGGCGGAAGTGCAAAAGAACCAACGTCCAAGATTCCATTGGCAAGACTGGATCTTGCGAGGGCGGCAGCCGCAATCGCTGACGCTCAAAAAGTCCTTAGAAGTCCCCCCCGGCTACTGATGTCTTGGACCTGCCACACTGGACCAAGCCACTCGAGGGCCCGACTGCTTGGCGTCGCTGGCGGAAGCGCACTCGATATCCCGAATAGGAGTTTTCCTGCGTCTTGGCCGCCTGGTCTGGTTCGCGGAAAGTCCAACACCAGTAACAAATAGTGAGCCCGTTCTCTTCTCCGTAGAGGCAGCCAGGACCAGCCAGGATGCGCTCATCTCTAGCGTAGTACAGTCCCATCCGCGCTGTGGGTTCGTGGGTGCCGAATGCAACTGGACCCCAGTGGGTGGCCGGGAGGAGGATTGGGAGGAAGTGGGGTGTTCTTTTTGCCCAGCGGCCCAGGACTATGAGTCTGAAGAGACCCAGGGAGAAGAAGCAGAGACAAGACGGACTGAGCGGGCATGTGAGAGAGTCATCTCAGACCTAGAGTTCGTTTCCAAGGAGTCTGGGTACGTACTGGATCGGACGTTATGGCTCTCGTCCTGGTCTCTCTCTCTCTTTTTTGTCTTCTTCCCTTCATGGCATCGTCTTACAGCCTCTCATCCCATCCAACTCTTTGATTGCAGCCGCCCCCCGGCCGATTGCGCCCAATACGGATGTAGTGAGAATGCAGACCGATCCCTCCTACCGCGTCCCAGAACCTTTGATATCGGTCTTGTCGCAATGCAGAAGGTAGACCTCCCTGTCACCAGGGTTGCACTGGGGTCTCCAGACGCACAACCAGAGGGATGGTGACGGGCTGGAGTTCCAGCCCTGAACATGATCATCCCTGCCACCTCTACTCTGATTCCAGAAAGGGGAAGCTCTCTGGCTCGACTGGCCAGTGCCATCTCGGCCCCCCATTCAGGCGCAAGAGGATCTCTGCTGTATTCTCGGGATCGTCTCGTGGCGAAACTGGGACCACCGTCGTGTACGTTCGTTGCCAGGCCGTTGGGAACCCTTGGCTCCACCGTCGATAAGCACCTGGGTGTGACAAGGATGGTTGCCTCGTGGCTCTTGGTTATTAAAAGGTCGAGATGTCCTCGGTTCCCTCCACATGCCTTTCGTCTGTTCTCGGTCACTGGCAACTCTCCAGCCCAAGCGTCCACGGGTCCACGGAATCAACTTTCGATACCTTACCACAAGGTGAAGAATACTGACCCAGTGCAACAAAATGTCTGATATTCGTGAAGAACGGGCCCCCGTCCACCAGGGCGGTGTGGTCTCGAATGAGAAGGTCTTGAGCGAGAAGCCTGCTCCGGTAAGTTGATCGAGATGTCCGAGAGCATCCACATACCTCACCTCCAGGTCGATGATCCATATACTAACGCTTGCCATCAGGTTGTCGATGCCCATCCAGATGGTGCCGACTATAACGAACACGTTGAGCATGACTTCAACGTCACCGAGGATGATTTGCTCGAGGCCAAGGAGCTCGCCTCGCAAATGACGCTCGAAGAGGTCCGCGAGATGATGTTCAACGTCCACAAGATCCACGAGAAGGACCCCAACTTCCCAATCGCCATTATCGAGAAGATTGAGGACTTCCTTCACAACGACGATGTCTTTGAGAACCCCGAGAAGCACGAGACCCTGATCCAGGAGATGAAGCTCGAGGCCGCCCTCATCACCGGTAACTCGCCCTACGCCGAGGTCCGCGCCGTTGTCGATAACCACGATGACCCCACCATGCCCAGCTCGACTCTCCGCGCCTGGGTCATCGGTCTCGTCTTCTCTGCTCTGCTCGCCTTCGTCAACCAGCTCTTCTCGGTTCGCTACCCGTCCATCACCATTCTGGCCAACGTTGCCCAGTTGCTCGCCTACCCTCTGGGTAAGCTTTGGGAGAAGTCCCTCCCCGATGTCGGCTTCACTGTTGCTGGTCACCGTTACTCGCTCAACCCCGGCCCTTTCAACCGCAAGGAGCACATGCTCATCACCATCATGGCCAACGTCGCCTACAACATCCCCTACACCAACTACATCATCTGGACGCAGTGGCTGCCCAAGTTCTTCAACCAGAGCTACGCTGCCAACTTTGGTTACCAGCTGCTCATCTCCTTGTCGACCAACTTCATCGGATACGGTCTTGCGGGTCTCTGCCGACGATTCCTCGTCTACCCCTCGTACTGCGTGTGGCCGGCATCGCTGGTGACCATTGCCCTGAACTCTGCTTTCCACACCGACAAGAACTCCACCGTTGACGGCCCCTTCAACAGCATCTGGCGCTGGAGCAGACAGAAGTTCTTCTACATCACCTTTGCTGCAATGTTCGTCTGGTTCTGGTTCCCCAACTACCTTTTCACCGCTCTCAGCACCTTCAGCTGGATGACGTGGATCGCGCCCAAGAACCGCAACCTTGCGACAATCACTGGCTTCAACAGTGGTCTCGGTCTTAACCCCTTCCCTACGTTTGACTGGAACATTCTGTGAGTTATCGAATGCCCTCGACACGCGAAGAAGTTTCACTTACTAACTTTGGCAGGTTGTACGACAACACCGACCCTCTCATGGTTCCCTTCTTCTCTACTTTCAACAAGTTCATCGGCACCTTCATCTCCATGTTCGTCGTGCTGGCTGTTTGGTACACCAACACGTACAACACTGGATACCTGCCCATCAACTCGAACAAGGTCTACGATCACTTTGGAGCCCTCTACAACGTTTCCCGCGCTGTCAACGAGCACGGTCTCTTCGACAAGGATGCGTACGAGGCGTACTCTCCTCCCTACTTGGGCGCTGCCAACATCATGATCTACATGTTCTTCTTCGCCATCTACACCGCCACTATCACCTATGCCGCTCTCTATCACCGACACGAGATTGCCCTTGGCTTCAAGGCTCTGATCGGTAGCTTCAAGAAGAACAGCGACATTGAGAAGGACCAGGTCCTCGATGTGCACAGCCGTCTGATGAAGGCTTACCCCGAAGTCCCCGAATGGCACTACCTCACTGTCCTCGTCATCGCTATTGCGTTGGGTTGTGCTGGTATCGCCGGTTGGCCCACCTACACCACCGTCGGTGTCGTCTTCTACGGTATCATCCTTTGCATGATTTTCGTCGTGCCGGTCGGTATCATCAAGGCCATGACGGGTATCGAAGTCACCCTGAACGTGCTTGCCGAGTTCATCGGAGGTTCCTGGGTCGAGGGTAACGCCCTGGCCATGAACTACTTCAAGTCCTTCGGCTACGTGACCTGCGCTCACGCCGTCTGGTTCTCCAACGACTTGAAGCTGGCCCACTACGTCAAGATCCCCCCTCGCCACACCTTCTGGGCTCAGATCGTCGCCACCTTCGTGTCGACTCTCGTCTGTCTTGCCGTCTTGAAGTTCCAGATGTTCAGCATTCCGGGTATCTGCACCGAGGACGCCAAGTTCAAGATGACGTGCCCCGGTATCAACACCTTCTTCACCGCCTCTGTTCTTTGGGGAACCGTTGGACCCAAGAAGATTTGGGGTGCCGGCGGCCAGTACACCGCGACTCTCCTCGGTTTCCCTCTTGGTATCGCCATTGTTCTCTTCTTCTGGAGCTTGAACAAGTTCTTCCCCAAGTGGAAGTGGGTTCGCCAGATTCACCCCGTCGCCATCATGTACGGCGGCCTCGTCTGGGCTCCTTACAACATGTCCTTCGTCTGGCCCTCCGTCCCCATTGCCTACTTCTCTTGGGTCTACCTCAAGAGCCGCTTCTTGGGTCTGTGGTCCAAGGTTAGTTGCATCCCTGATACCAACGCACTGCGTTTCAATGCTAATACTTGCTCCAGTACAACTTTGTTCTCTCCGCCGCTTTCTCTTGCGGTATCGCCATCTCTTCCATCATCATTTTCTTCGCCCTTCAATGGCAAGACATTGAGGTCGACTGGTGGGGCAACTCAGTGGTACGTTTTCGGTTCCCAACCTTGACAAAAGAATTCTACTAACGTTACTTTCTTCATAGGTCAGCGAGGGTTGCGAAGGCAAGGCTTGCCGTCTGCTCACTCTTGCAGAGGGCGAGTACTTCGGTCCCCGCATTGGCGAATTCCACTAGACGTGGGATCTCATGTCCGCGTGTTGCACAACTTATTGTGCTTGTGGCTTTTTCGAATTTCAGCGCATGTATGATGTGATGAAAGAACCTGGAGACTAGAAACATCGTGGAGACATACCTAGAAACGGTGTTATAATCAGAGGATGTAACGATTTGAAGGATGAAGAAATACCCAACCATTCGTTTATGACTTAGTGGAAGAATGCTATACCCCCATTGAGCAGTTTCGGACCTTTACATCTCATGCTTTTTGACTCGAAAGTGTCTCGAGATAAAAGGCCGTTCGATATTATGTGCATGACTTGGTCTCCCATCGAAGAGAAGGAGTAGCAGCGCCCCGCCATGCCCTTCTCAATGTAAGGTTCCCCGTAGATCCGAAGCCTGACCCATTGACGAGACGTAGGACTCATGAGATTTCGCGTCGTTTAGTATGATCGAGGACAGGGCATGATTATAGTTGCGGACATCTTGAATTCTGTCGCTCAATCTGTATTTAACGAAATTACCAACGCCGATTCCGTAATCCCTCGGTGCCGGGCCGGCGTGGCTATGCTGGGAGGGGAAGCCTTTTTGGGTCGCCTGCATGGTGCCCTTAATCAATCAGCCATTTCAACGATAAGGATCCAGGTCTCAGTTGGGAGGATCTTTTGACTCTATAAGTTGTTACTTGAAGAATCAAGTCTCGAGAAAGCGTTGGTGGCAATGCTGCAAAGTGGCACGGGAACCGAAGCCATGGCTCTGGGTGTGTCAATAGGAGCTAGCCACCACGGATTCATCATCCCGACCTTACATTGACCGAGAATAGACTTCAGGGTTGACATTTGATCAAAAGATGCATGCACTCTGCGAGTCGCTGTGCATGACTTGAGGGAGAGCGGGTTGTTAACGTCCAGGATGAAGCCAACTGGGCGTGTCAAACAGGAGGCACTGCCGTCCGAGGGACTTCGAACTTGGACCCTACCTTTGGAAGCTGCGGCGGGCTCTGCGGCTCGCAATCCTTCTCTTCATAATCCGGAGTCCTCCCTGGCATTGACTTCAACTTGGTCTTACGCCGCCTGCCCGAACCCGGTATCGCCTGCAGAATCTTCGTCGGATGGAATATTACAGCTTGCAATAGGTGTTGAAGCTGTCCATATGCGTATTGGATGAGGGTAGGTGCATGTAGTTTTTGATGCACAGTTTCATGATACTGAGGAGCAAGATCGAAGAATAAGCCAGACCGACATCAGCCACCGGGCCAAGTAAATGACTATGAGGACGGCGACTTCCTTTAAACTGTCCAATACCTAGGCACTCGGAGTTCTAACCAATTCAATCAGGTTTTAAAGGCAACCAATCAAGATCTTCACTGACAACGTCTTAGGACCAACGTTCGCCCGGCTGACATGGCCGTCCCCGCCGCCGACTTACCGGATCACTCCCGAGCGGTCAGCATTCTGACCTTGGCTTGGCAGAGTACCATATGGTGATCGTCTGTAAGCCCCTTCATTCTCTCCCTTCCGAAAGTGATAATCAGCTTTGCTCCGGTTCGACGAGGTGGACGAGGCTTATCGTAAGGCAGACAGGGCGGCGAGCCCAACCTGGAATGGTTGTCGTTTGCTTTCACGATGCCAAGATTCCATAGAGCTCGTGTCGCATTATTACACAATCTAAACATGTGGTAGGATGTCTTGGCGGTACTTTCTTGGCGAAATGGGCGAAGAAACACCGGTTGAGATCGTCCAAGCCAAGCAGCCATCAAAGGGGGTGGGGGTGGCGTTGAAAGTGATGTTGAGATGCCTCCAGTATGGTTATCAGAGAAAGATGATGCCGGAGCTAGGATGTCTGCTTAAATAGAGCCCGCTTGGGATGTACGAAGAATAGTACCATGGCCGCAATCCGCCATCAAAGACGTTGATTTCACCAAGTTGGGTATATGCGCCGCCTGTCGTAAGCCGACTGGCACCTTCCACGATATGGAGAGTTTTAAAAGGGCATAGAAGCAGGGTGTCTCGGACGACTGCTGACAGAATCATAGTGGTCGATTCTACTTCATCTTATAATACGCAAGCGGTACAGGCTTGAGCACTCATCTTCTCGCCCTCGGCAGTACACAAGATACAGCAGAGGCTGCACCAGCAAAGGCATCATGCCTTTAGGCAACACAGCCAATCTGACTTCCATTGGAGCCTAATGGGTACTTGAACTCCAAACCTGATTGGAAATATAAGAAGTGAAAAGGTTGAAATCGTGTGAGTCAAGGCACGCAGCTGTAGTGATCGTTGGCCACCGGCTTTCCCCTAGGCTCCGATACGTCTGGGCTTTTCCCTACCAGCGATTAACTCCCTCCAGTATTCAGCTGGCATAGATCTAGCGATATTGCAACAATGACTTGGTCTATAAAAATGGAATAGGCGAGTGATGAATTCTCCCGCCTCTGGAAAGCGTGCAAGAGTCATCGTGGAGTCGTCTGCTCGAAATCACAATCATCTTTTCCACGCCGCTACATAACTGCAGTCATCACCGAGAGGGATCTGTTACTTGAATCTGAAATAATAATAAATTCCTACCAATAATCCAAGGATACATCCAAAAAGCCGTCTCCATGAAAATTCTCAGTCATCCGGATGGAGGGCGCGCAGAAACGCTTTCGACATTGACAGCTCTCTACACACCAGACATTCACACTGGCATTGCCTCATTTCACCCAGGCCAAGACCAGCGAGTAAAACAGAAGAAAATAGAAGACATGTTTTGGTATTGTATTTCTAAAAGCAGACGCTGTAGCAAAATTCAAAGCCACGTAAAAGATCGCTGTCCATATGAGAGCTGAGAACACCAACACGCCCAAGTCTACCTACCCAATCTCACCCACCAACTCAGGCAATTTGAAAGAAAGGCAAGGCATATCAAAGCTGATGTCTCCCGTTGGCACCACTAAAGAAACACGCACCATCACTCGAGAAGCAGCACCCGTAGGTATCAGAACAGCAACACCCGCCCCGGTCCGAGAAACAACACCCTCCCCTCTTGGAAAAGAAACACCCGCCGCTCTCACTGAAACAGCAACCCGGCGTATCCCTCAGGGCCTCCCACTTGTCCTCATCGTCGCCGCCGCCAACGCTCATCGGCTGCGTCTTTGCGTACCCCCCGCCGTCGCTACCCTGCACCCCGAGCTGCGGCGTGAGCTTATACCCCTCTGTATACTCCCCACATGCACTCTTCCTCCCCGCAAGAAGTCGAGCCGCATCGTCTCCCTCGAAACTACTGCGGGTGCTGCGCGCTTCATCCACCTCGTCAAACTGATCGGCCAAGACTGGAAGGCGAGAGGGAGAAGGCGGGGTCAAGTCGGTAGCAGTAGTGCCAGGCTTCGCGGGTGCAGAGGTGGAGCCGGTCGAAGACGGCTCATACGGCGGAGGCGAGTCGAGCTGCTGCTGCTGCTGCTGCTCCTCGTCATCGTGCCCTTGCGTGCAGATCGTTTGCCGCTGAATGTCACGTCGTTCCGAAACCGGGATATTTGTCGCAAATGCCTTTGATGGCTCCATAGTGAATGATTTCAATTTGCGTTTGTTTATATCAATCGCTTGGGGAAGGTTCACGGCCAGCCTCGGATGTGTCACGACCGGACCACTTTGCGCGAAATCGCGGGGAAATGGAGCCGGTTCTCGTTCGCGTGCTGCGCCGTGCGTGCGCCGTGCGGGCTGGGGGGGATATTCCGCTGGGGACTGGAGAGACTGGAGAAACTAGAGAACAGAGATCCGATGTGGAGATGCCCAGGCCAAGTTTGAAGTCCGTACGCAATGAGATGCCGGCAGAAGAGTTTTGATCAAGTAATGGATGGAGTTTTGCTGGAGGTCCAAGCCGTGGATTCGCGGGGAAAGTGGCTTCTGGGGTAGGTAAATAAAGAAACTCTCGTCAACTTCCAGGTCATGCTGCAAAAAGCAACTTCGTTTCGCAGCTTGATATTTGTCGCCGGCGAGCCGTGAGGGCTCCCAAGGCGTCGTAATCACCAGCCAGGCCACTTTGCCGAATCGGGCAGTCTGGAATGGACAGTGACTGCGCCTTTCAACGTGGCTTGCTGCGAGCAAGTGGCACAGGAGAGCAAAACTCTTTCGACTCTAAGCTATTGCTACCCATTGGTGCATGAACGAAGAGAACGACGTGTACTGCAGCCATCAGCTCGTCGACGGTTACACGTCGGGCGCGGTCGCGGTCGCGGTCGCGGAGGTAGGTTATTGCCGTCCTGCCTTGCTCTGATCGGCCACTGACGACTGCCAGTCATTGATACAGACGCTGAAATGGCTCTCTGATAGGAAAACCGCACATTGAGGTTGGCGAGAGTCGAGGCATGACTATCAATCACCCGGTTCCCTCATCTACATGACTAGGTCGAACTCTACACCACTCTTCGACCTCGCCTCACACAAGCCATCGACGGCATCCCGGCCAAGCCTAGGCCAAATGTGAATAGTCAATGACTAACGTCTTTCTACGCCCTGCAGCCTCATAGGGCCTCGCAAACCATGCTAGGCAACTTGTCCGTCGGGAAAAGGGGAAAAGGGGGTTGGCTTCTCGTCACCCGCCCCGGTGCGACTCGCGAGCCAACATCGAGAGATAAGAAGCCGCCGCTATGCTACCGAATCGACCGGGAAGCAAGTCCAGGAAGCGCAATCGTCGGCCAAGCCGTCCTCCCGCCCTTCTGGCTGCGGGCGTTCAGCCCTGGAAGTCGAACCTGCGAACCGGAAACCCTCCTCCTCCTCCTCCTCCAAGGCTAGAGTATGCCTTATCAGTCTGCAGCAGCCCTTGGCCATGCCTTGGCGATCAATCAAACGGCCCAAGCCTCGGGGGGCGGGACCTGGGCTGGCAGCGTCATTCCTTCTTCGTCAACGGCCTCCCGCAGGCGTAGGTAGCAAGGGCTTCACTGGCAAGGACCACGGTCGCCTTGCCTTCAGCTTCGATTTCGGAAGAACCTGGGCGACTAAGTTGATGCGATCTTGGCGCATGTAGAAAATGCCCGAAGTCATCGCCTCTCAGCGCCTGTTTTTCAGCTGTTGATGCTAATGCCAGGGTGCGGCAAGTGTGCGGCAACAATATCAATGAAATATCGACGACGCCTGCTACACGCGTAGATGTGATGTTTTGAACAGAGAATAAACATTAGATAATCAACCCAAAAAGAAACAGAAAAGTATCTGTTGCACAGACAGTGTTTGTAAAGTCTACCTCAGAATGCGACTCCTCCAGATTTTACTCGCGACGACGGCGAGTCGTTCGTTCTCGTCGGATGTCGATCAGTTCATGATAGGAACCAGCACGGAAGAAGGGTTGCTGATACTCGTCGTCGTTGCTGATTTCCGATATCAGCCAAACCCTGTAGCCATGTGAGAGTACCCCACCATCATAGGAATTGTCCCCAATTCGAAGCGGGTCATCCATTCCGCTCTCTACACTACTTTAGAGATCTTCGGTCAGTCCGAATGCAGGAGACCCTCGTCTGGTCTATTGTCCCACTCACATCCAATTAAACTGGAGTCTGGAGAGATAAGAAGCGAGAGCAGAGGCCAACGTCAAACGTTCGCCATTACGTACGAGATTCGTCTTGCGCACGAATGAGGGCTTCAGACAGCTTCCCCAGAGGATGCTAATCCATCGCCGTGGATTGGATTGATGGTCCGGACACTGCCCACTTCCTTCACGCCTGCGTGTTAAGCGTGGGTCATAACACAGCGGCGTGGACGGATTCACCATGCCTCAGGTACGGTGAATGGTATTGAGAAACCCGGTATGCCGCCGTTTGCAAGACAACAGGACGTTTGGTGGTATGCTTCTGCTAGCGCCATGGCCCTTGGTCCCCGCCGACGAATGGATATCCCTAATGCTGTCACCCTGTCACGCCACTGGGAGCTCTAATGTCGGCTTGTTGGGCAGGCTGTGTCACAGTGTGTAAGGTGGCTGCAGTCGGGATGGACCGTCGCCGCCTTACCAACCCGCCTCTAAATTTCGCATAGCAAAAGAAGCGCTAATTTGTTGGCACTGACTGATGCGGCCATGGAGGCATGGAGGCATGGAATGCCTCCCGGAAATGCCATGGAATGGAGCTGGTGGCCGCTTCGAGGGCTCGTAATTCGGAGCAATCTCGAAAACGGGGGGCATCTGCGACTGCCGCGCCGCCGATGTGGATAATTTTCCCTCACTGCCCGTCTCCTGGGGCTGGGAATGCCATGTCGGCCGCGTTGACGCGCGTTGGCGCTGCAACCAGACGCGGGTTATAATACCATGGATCAAATAGTTCGGCGAGATTTTTGTGACTCTGGATGAATAGGTCACCTGAGGCTGACCGCGAAAAGCTGCCTGGTCAGCGAAGAAGCGAAATGTTTCTTGAAACTTGCCAACCATCAAGTCCAGACGAATTCTAACGAGCTCGAAAGGTTACAAGGCAGGGCGGTGGGCAGCAGTGCGAGATCCGGGTATCCTGAGTCGTGTGTCCGTAGCCCCAAACTGCCACACCAGTACCAGGACCAGGATCTGGAGATAGTTGAAATCCCAGTCCGAATACACAGTAGTGCCCATGGCGAAACCTTAAGAGGCCTAGAGCTGCCTACTTTTACGTGAGAAAATCGCGCTTGCGGTCTCATCCTCGGGAACGGCACCCTCCCACTCCTCCCCACTAACCGACATGCACTCACCTGGGTCAGGACTCAGCACACGCTCCTGGCTGTTTCCCCGAGTTCACCCCAATTAAACTGGACCTGACTTGGATTGCCTGCTCGAGTAAGGGTGTGGATGGTGGCACGGGCGGGCACGGCAGCCCAATGTTCGAATGGGATCCGCATAAATGTGGTGCTTCTGGGTCGCTGGATCCTGCAGCGTAGATAAGCATCCTGTTTCGAACTTGTACCTGTTTGATATCGGAAGCATAGATAACAAGCAAATGACTTCATCTGCTGACTTTGAGGGTGCGACTCGCGGGAGTCTCATCCAGAATCACTATGCCCCTCAGCTCAGATTAACGGATCGAGATGCAGCGAGGTGTGTGTGTGGGATAATTAGAGGGAGGGGGGCTGATAGAAAGACGCTAGAAGGTCGAGTAGAAGGTCTTGATCTGCCTGGCGTGCTTAGCTATGCATCTCGGGGCAACGATGCTGGGATTCGCATGTCAGCCGACGCCCGGAAGATGCGACTTACTGTAGCAGTGCAGTAAGGTGCTTGCAGGGGATGGGACTTCGTCAATGACCAGAGACGGAGGTGATCAGTTGAACATTGATGAGGCGAGGGTCGAAGATCTGTGGTGCTGCCACCATCGATCGCCCCCGGTGTGAGAAACCAGAACTTCTGCGGCCTGCCCCCAATTTGCCGTCAATACTAGGTAGGTAAGTAAAGTATTAAGGTACGCAGGCCAAGCTGGCGCACTGATGGCTCTTTCGAAACGCTTAGGCAAATGGGGTGAGCCGTGGGCACCATTGAACAGCTTATCGCATTGCCACCTGTCAAGTCGGTTGATGTTGGTTCCGACTGCGCCGCATCCTATCGACATGTAGCAGCACAACACCAGTCGTCATGGCGGAATTCCGTCATTGATTCGTCTTGTCGCCGAGGAATGGCTGTGGCTCCCACGCGCTCTTACCCGAGAACTGGTAGAAGCTCTGCCGGAAGGGAATTTGTCGTGAACATATCATGTCTGGTCAACCATATTACATTATGAGCAGCTTTCGCAATCCGTACAGCCGTGCGATAGGGCCTACGCCGGCGAAGACGTGGTGGTGTCGTGGTCTGCAGGGAGGAAGGGGAACACCTGGAGCTATCGGACAGGGATGGGACCGAATCCTTCTTTGCGTAACTTCTCAAGGCAGCAATCCCCCTGTTGATTGCGGAATAGAAAACTCCCCGTTCCAATTGCCCGTCATCGAAGCGAAAAGCGGTGCTTGACAGGCCGTATGCCTTTGAACCTCTCTTCCACTGCATTTGCGTACAGAGTGGCTCGAGTTGACTTTCTCATTCGGATTGAACATGGAGCCATGACGCTGCGAGAAGCTGAAGTAGTGGAAGATTCACACCGTCACAAGCCATCGCGCGGCAGCGCTGGTAGTGTACACTAGAAAGGCCAGCCGCGGTCGTTGGCTCTGCCTGCTGCAAGACGTCGGGGGTCTTCAAGGATGCGGGAAACCTGGGGCGGCCAAGTGCCAAGATCAGCCCCCCCTGTTCCACCCACACCACATGCATTCTCGGACCAGTCAGTGGCCTAGCCAGAGTCAACTCTTGGCAACACAAGCTCTGGAAAGGGAACGGCCAGTTTCCGTGGATGCCGTGCCGAGATATGTAGCAAAAGCCGCTGTAACCCCGGCAAGAGGCTTGGTTAGAACGCTATTGGTGTAGCTTGCCTGCAGGATTTTTTTCCCGATGAGCCTCCTCAACTTCGACCAAGCCTACTAGGTAATGAGTTGACAAAACGGCGCTAGATATCCGTACTGTTGTGTAGTGTTAGTCTGTATGCATATCCACAAGCAGATTGCAATGCAGCCTAGGTAGTCTCCTGGATTCGTCTCCAGCGTCGCGGACCTGGACTTCTGCGTGGGTCATCCCCCCTCACCGACCCAGGCCCAAAGACTCGTGCAGCGTGCTCTCCACTTCACCTGCCCCCTCCCCCCCGCCTCCGTTCCACAGACAGGTTCGAGAGGAGGAGGGTCGGACTGGATCCTGAGATAACGTTGAGGAGACAGCGCGCAATGGACGAAAGAAAGGGCGGCCACTTTTTCGGAGCCATTTGCTAACGGCTTCAAGTGACAACTTGCCCATTGGCCAACCAGCTCTGCCCACGCTATCTGGGGGCTGTCAGACTTTCTCAATCGCCCGGCTGGGGTGTACGTCTCGGTGCCACGGTGGAGAGCTTGGGGAGCAGGTTACATCCCATTGCTGTGGTCCTCGTTCCCTTCAGGGCACTGGTGTCTGGCGTGACTGGTCTCGTCCAAATCCATTTCGTTATGACTGCGACTGCTTGCCTTTCTTCGACCGAATATGGGGGTTGTACAGTACCCGCGCCTAGGTCACTCGTTAGTGCACCTTGGACATCGTAAAGCTGTCCGCGGCCAGCCCGCCTAACTTACCTCAGCTCGTCCACACTCGATGACGGGGAAGGTTTCGCTCGTTCCCGCTGACCGGCCCTAGCACTCGGTACGTATCGAAGCATGACCGAGAGCCAAATCGCCTCCATCCCTCCCCAAATCATATGCAACGAGTAACGGGGGTTGTTGCTAGGATGGCCTGCCACATCCTGCCCTTGCCACGATCTGCGTCTCTCGCCCGTCGAGAGAGGGGCAAAGTTGGATAGACCAGCCTGACGCTCATAGCGGCCCTGGACCCTCGTCTCTCCTTCTCTCGTGTGTAATTTTCCATCGTCAACCAAGTGCAGCCTATCGGCTTTCCTTGCATGACTGGATCCGCTTGCCGCCCTTGACAAGAACCCTTAGTCCCTGCGCGCCGGTTCCTGTCCTCGATCGGCGTTTTCTTCATAAACCTCCTCCTTCCCACCGTCTGATGTGCATTGTTCTGTTCGGCATCCCTCCCTCTCCGTCTTTCCTGTTCCTCTCGGGTCCTTCTCCCGCAGCATTCATCTAGAACAGACCCTCCTTGTCTGCATACCCCCCACAGCTGTCCATCGCCATGGCTGCTTCCGAAGGGGTTGTCCCCACCAAGATCGAGGCCGACGAGAAGGCCACCGGTGGCCTTCCTGGCTATGAAACTGGCAGTGGCCAGGAGATCCGAGGAGATATCAGCGAGGAAAGTTGGGCAACACGCAGTGGCCTGAACTTGAAGTCCTTCACAAAGCGCGATTATGGCCGCGGCATCGTCGAGCTCGACCGTTCCATGAGCTCTCGCCATCTCCACATGATCGCTATCGGTGGATCCATTGGTGCTGGCTTCTTCGTCGGTTCCGGCGGTGCTCTGAGCAAGGGTGTAAGTCTCCCGTCTCCCTAGTTGGCGGCGGTTTCTGACGCGAAAGTAGGGTCCGGGATCGGTTTTGATCGACTTCCTTATCGTCGGCATCATGATGTTCAACGTCGGTAAGTCTTAACAACCATACAATCCCGCCCACCTGGCGAAGCGGGGAGGTTCTAACATCATGCAGTGTACGCTCTGGGTGAACTCGCTGTCATGTACCCCGTTTCCGGTGGCTTCTACACATATTCGTCTCGTTTTATCGACCCTTCCTGGGGTTTCGCCATGGGCTGGAACTACGTCTTCCAGTGGGCTATCGTACTGCCGCTTGAGCTGACTGTCTCGGGTCTTGTTGTGGCCTACTGGAATGACAGTATCAGCGTCGCTGTCTGGATCTCACTCTTCCTGGTCGTCATTGTCGTCATCAACATTTTCGGATCCATTGGATATGCTGAAGAAGAGTTTTGGTCGTCCTGCCTCAAGCTCTCGGCCACCGTCATTTTCATGATTATCTGCCTCGTCCTCGTCCTTGGTGGCGGACCTAAGAGCGGTAGATACAGCGAGTACCAGGGCGCAAAGTTATGGTATGAACCCGGTGCATTCCGCAACGGCTTCAAGGGATTCTGCTCCGTCTTCGTCACGGCCGCTTTCTCCTTCTCCGGTACCGAGCTGGTCGGTCTCGCTGCCGCTGAGGCGAAGAACCCTGTCAAGACGCTCCCCGGAGCCATTAAGCAGGTGTTCTGGCGTATCTCGCTCTTCTACATCCTGGGCCTCTTCTTCGTCGGTCTGCTGATCCCCTCCAACGACCCCGCGCTGCTGTCCGAGTCAGCCTACTCCGACGTCAAGGCTTCTCCCTTCGTGTTGGTTGGCAAGTACGCCGGTCTCGTGGGCTTCGACCACTTCATGAACGTGGTCATTCTCGTCTCTGTTGTGTCAATTGGTGTGTCGGGTGTCTACGGTGGTTCGCGCACCCTCACCGCGCTGGCCCAACAAGGGTATGCGCCCAAGATCTTCACGTACATCGACAAGTCAGGACGTCCTTTGCCATCCGTCATAGCCGTCATCATCTTCTCGCCGTTGGCGTACATCAACCTCAGCGCGAGCGGCCCTGTTGTGTTTGACTGGCTTCAGGCTCTCTCTGGTCTGGCCGCGGTCTTCACCTGGGGATCTATTTGTCTGGCGCATATTCGCTTCCGCAAGGCGTGGGCGTACCACGGCCACACGGTTGACGAGATTCCGTTCAAGGCCATTGGCGGCGTTGCAGGCTCCTGGATTGGTCTGATTTTGTGCTTCGTCGTGCTTGCTGCTCAGGTATGTGAATGCATTGTCGATGAGAGAAAACGTATACTAATAGAAATCAACAGTTCTATACTGCCATCGCGCCTCCCGGCACCAGCAAGCTTAACGACGCTGAAGGCTTCTTCAAGGCATACCTCGCTCTCCCCGTTGTTATCGCTTTCTGGCTCGGTGGCTTCCTCTGGAAGCGCACTGGCTGGCTCCGTACCGCTCAGATTGACGTCGACAGTGGCCGACGTGAGCTTGACTGGGATGAGATCCACGCGTACCGTGCACACATGGCTTCACTGCCGGCGTGGAGACGCGCTCTCTCCAAGGTGTGGTAAGAAGGTTCGGTGTTTGCTAATGGAGGGACTGCGTGAGGCGGCTTTCCACCTTTTCATGTATAGTTTAATTAATGTCGTGCGCTTGAGGACGACCGCCTGGGACAGAACCACTATCCCAGTTATTGTTAGCAAAATGAAGATACCACGAGTGCTTTTACAACAAACTTAGCGTTCTTACCCAATCTGAAACCCAGTGAAATCTTTGGCTTTACCTTGGCTTTGGCTTCGTCTGGATGGTGAGATATGGAATGATACTCGCTCCTAACGGCAGATGCAGGGGAGGAGGCGGCGTCAGAGGTGTTGGGTGATTGAGGCCGTTATAATCTGCGCGGGATGGCCAAGACAATGCCAAGTGCCAGTGTGTGCCTTATCTCTGGGCGCAGCGGCCGTTCAACGGCGACCCATACCAACAATGGCGATAGCATACATAAGAGGTAGTGAAGATAAGGGCGGTCGGCCCAGAATAGCAGGTGATGGCCGACTTTCGGACAGCAGTAGCTTGGAGGTGGCTGGTCCGTACTTCTTGATATCTCTGGGCGTAGCCTCGTAGGGGGGGACGGGGGTTCATGATCGACCAACAGCTCTTGAGGGGAGGTTCTAGCCGAGTTCAGTGGTCTAGCCCGTTGTACTGACAGGGTCGAGAGGGCAATCATCTCGGGCACATTCATCAGTAGACATGGTCGTGGTGATGATGGCTGCATTTCGTGTCTGGTCGTTGTCGGCCGAGGCCGCCACCTGTGGACCCAATGTTGAAGTCGAACGGGAGGGCATCTCCGGGCCGGAAAGAAAGTGTTAAGGTTAAGGTAACTGCCCACCTTAGCTAAAGTAATAAGGTTCTTCAAGGTAAGGTAGGTTCCGGGGCTGAAAGGGAAGGAGCTTTTGACTCGAGGGGAGGAAGGTGCTCAGGCTCAGGAAAGTGCACCTTCCACCAGCTGCTCCATCGTATCGTTGCTTCCTGCCAAAAGAGATGGCTGCTAGGGTTCATTTTAACAACGCCCTCTTGGTGTGACAGGGTGACAAGAACGCCTTAATAAGGTAAAGTAGCACACCATAGCGGTTTGGCATGGTGACTGAATGTCAATCTGGCGCCCTTCGACCACAATTCTACCCACAACCGCCCCGCTGTCAAACAGGTCAGACCCCACGAGACACTAAAATTGCCTTTTTGGTGACAGCAAGGGAATCTTCACCTCATACTCTGTTTTCATCGTCCCACAATGAGTCGCTACATCTTCTCACCCTCTTCAAAAACAAATGCGCTTCTGCCGTATCGGGTTTCAGATGAGAGAATAGAGTGATGAGGCTTCAGTCATGCCTGTTTACCAAGCAAGGTGCACCATTATCTACCGTCTCAGTCTGCCAAGCATTGCATTCACTGTGCTGCCGTGGAAAGGTTCATTGAGACTTCGCCATAAAAACCCCCCTGGACAGCTTCGTATTTATAAGATGTGTAGTAGCGCGCCAGGGATGCCCACAAGGAGGAAGAGCCCATCGACATGTCCTCGCCAGCACCGTCCTCCTTACCAAAGCACTAGGTACTTATTTCCTTGTAGCTAAGATGGGCATTTAAGAAGACTACTGGATGCAAGAAAATTCCGAATCACGTTGAAATTACGCAGGACCGGTATGGGTCAACAGGCGGTGAATAGGTCCCCTCATTAACGTCAGACTCAGGTGCCTCCTCGAAAGTGATATTTGCAGGATGACAGACAGTCCAAGGTATGGGAGATTTTGATATCCACATCAGTTTTGGAAGATTCAACCTACTCTCATTCCATCACAGCTGCACAGCTCTGCAAGACGCAATCCAACCTCAAGAATCAATGCGGGCTGCAAATACGGAAAAGAGCCGGCCGGAACACCGCAGGTACTGGGTGGGAGCGAGGCGAGGCGCTCGGCCATGTGGGCCCCTTCAGCCGCAGTGCGCCGCCCGAGTTTTGCGCAGCGGCGTACAAGTTACATGGAACTCACCACGCCCATCATTCCCCATCCAAAGCCGAGCATATCAATCTACCCGACCCGAACCACCCCATCTCCAACCATCCCATTCCATCTTATCCGTCTTTCGACATCTATCCATAGTGTTCTTATTCGCTACGACTCAGCATCTTACTCCCAACTCTATTTTCTCGACTCGGCCCTAGCTTGCCCCGCTGTACTCGTACCGTGCCGGGGCCTGCACGCGAGACGCGACAATGAGCCCCCCGCCCCGCAACACGGGAAAGGCTCCCGTCACCGACGACGGAAATTCGTCCGACAGCCCATCTCACCCAGGCGATGTTGAGAACGTCAACGCTGAAGTCGTTTCCTCTTATGTCACCGAGGAAGAGGAAACACTCGGTTTGAAGGAGTATATTCAGTGCGAGAACCTCGTCAAACATGACGGGGATTCGCCAGTTCTGCGGCGAGAACGCTTTCAGGAGTCAGGCATGTTCGATGCCGAATTGGTTCGTTCGAAAGACAATCAAACACCTTCATCGCCTCAAATCAAAAAGAAAAAGAGGATGAAAAAGAAGGCTTTCTTCACAGACCGCCAGCGTGATGATGGACCAGGCGCAGTCATGGACTCTCCTGCATCAGGAAAGAACCTCCAGATTTCTCCATCGGCGCCATGGGGTAACATCAAGACAGAAGCTATGGAGAATGACGGTACGAGCCAGCTTGAAAAGTTCGCCGTGGTCTCAGTGCCTGCAAGATCAGGAAGAAAGTCCAAGAGCGATACCGAAGACATTGCGCCCAACGCAGATAAAGAGGCTATCCAGAAGAATGAAGATCCTACCAAAATGGCCCAAAGATTCATGGTTGACAGGATCATGTCCACATTCATGAGTTGGATGGACACGAAGCTGGAGGTCAAACAAGAGGAGGATGATGAATCACAGCTACGGGAAGCCCTAATGGAAGTAACCCCAGGCGGGGGTGCTAAAGATGATGATCTCTTCGGGGCTATTTCAGCGATGCCGGCAAATGCATCTCGTGATATGCCGAGCTCATCCAGACACGGACTCGAAAGCTTCACCTTTCACCAGCCTCCAGTTCCCAGTGCCCCCGCACCAGTTACTGGTCACAGGAATTCGAACTCGACTCTTCCATCGCCGCCATCCCAAGGCTTTTCAATAGGAGGACCGCCGCCATTAGTAGGACCGCCAAGAGGAGGACCGCCATTAATAGAAGGGCCTCCGTTATTGGGAAGACCACGATCATTGTGTGTGGCTTATAGGACGAGTGTTGGTTCAAAGATAGATTCAGCATCGACACCAAAAACCGGAGCATCACATTCGCGATTTGGCTACACTCCTAGGGGGGATTTCGAGGATAAAGAAACCTCGTATTCTAGTCGTTCAGCGGGAACCCGCTCCATCGTCTCGGCGACGCCGCCATCAAAGCCCGGCGCATTGCTGGGAGCAGCCACTCCCGCATACGGGGCATCGGCTTCGCAACAGCCGCCGCCAAATCAGCAAGCACACGGCGCCCGGAAATCGCAGGCGGCCAGTCTCAAAGGCCAATCGAAAAGGGCGAAGCGGTCCAGAAAGCATGACAGGTCTGCAGACGGTCAAGTGCAGGACGAAGACGAAGACGAAGAGGGCGACAAGAATCTGATGCCCAGTGCGAAACTGTCCAAAATCAAGGAAGACGCGATTGAAGGCGCCAAATTTGCGTGCCCCTTCTTCAAGCACAACCCAAGAAAGTACAAAACCCAACGACCGTGCTGCGGGCCAGGCTGGGACCACGTCCACCGTATCAAGTACGTTCACTCCCTCTTCATGGACAAATCTTACTGCTGACAGCCCACCAGAGAGCACATATATCGCAAGCACTCTCTTCCAAAGTTCTCGTGTCCACGCTGCTCGCAGTCTTTTGGAACTCAGTTGGACCTGCAAGCGCACGCCCGGTCCCCGGATGCCTGTGACGTACGCGAACCGGAGGTCTTGGATGGTATCACGCAGGATCAGGAGAAGAAGCTTCGTTCACGCAAGAAGACGTCAGCTACAGAACTCACCAACGCGGAGAAGTGGATACAAGTCTACAGCATAATCTTTCCCGATGTGAGAGAACGGGAGATCCCGTCACCATGTAAGCTCGCCTGTCTCTCTACCTGGGCAGGCTGGTACTGCACTGATACTGACGCTCGTAGACTATAACGCGGAGGACGCCGAGGTGAGCTTGGGAGGCTATGAAGACTATCTTCGGCGCGAGCTCCCACCGCTGGTCCGCCGGCAACTCGAAAAAGAAGTCAATCGTGAGCTAAGCTTTGTTGAGGAGAGTATGAAGCAAAAGGTCATCGACATCGCCCGGAATCTCCAGCTCACGCTGTTCAAGGGCTACCAACAGCTGGAGAACCAAGAAAGAGGGCTACAAGAACTTCCAAGTGTCGATGCTTCTTCAAATTTCGAGGCAGATGAATCCATATCCACGGCAACGAGCACGGTAACGAGCACGGCGACAGACACATGGCCATCGACCATGACGACCAGCGGCACAACGCCGGAGATTCCGGATCCTTTGGACATATTCGGGGATCCTACCATTCCGGACTTTGACTTCAACTTCCTTGCCGAGGTTCCGTATCCCGAGTCGCAGGTGCCTTTCAAGGGACAGGATATAGACTTGGGGACCAGTCAATCTTTTGATATCCAAGAACCAGTCACGATCAGACCTGGAATGGAGCTGCTCGGGGCACAGCAACATGGTCTGCTATGGTACGGAGTAGATGATCACCACGAAATTGGTAGCCAGAGGAGGGATACTCGTGCTATTGGCTATTTTCCATGAGCTATCGATCACGATGCTTTCTTTGTCACTATCTCTTTCCTCTACCTTGCCCTATGATAGCACCTCAGATACCCACTTAGTCATTTCATCATCGAAAACAGGATCTACCGTAGTTTATCGGGTTTCGGCTCAACAATGTCTATCGCAATCACGTAAATATTTGGATCCTAAGAAAAAGAGCTTGGTGTGATATGCGGGGCATTGGTGGCCTGGTGCAAATCCAAGACACAGAGTCCCGAGATGCAAGTCCGGAGATAAGCCGACCACCCAAAGGCCGCGAGCTGTGAGATCTCGAGTTAAGGTTTATCTTCTTACGTTGACTGCATGATATGGAGTCAATGACCAGTGAATTTTGGCTTGCTCTATTTGCCGTACTATTTGCTTTGGGCTCTGACCAAGTTGCCCAGACAAATTGTCGATGAATGCTTACGTTGGTTGCGGTGAGGCCGGCCGCAGGCCCAGTACTGGAAGCAGACTCAGGTTCGTGGTGCATCGCACAGCCATGTATACAGCATGAGCGGTCATTAACTGTGTAATTGAAATGGATCTCCTTTGTTCTTTCTTGTAACTGATATTGATTCAGAAATCGCACAACTGAGCAAAATGGGTGCTACTTGGAGTGCTATGTTCCCGGCGAAAGCCAGCTTCACTGAGGCAAATATGCCTGACCAGAACACCAAAGTAACTTCTTTCTTCATGACCCCCCACCCCCTTCTTTTCTAGTCCGCTTTTTCTCTTTCACTTTTTGTATAGACTGCGTATTTAGAGAAGCTTGCGAAACCCGCAAATAGACGCAACAGAATATACCATCCTTAGGTTCCTTGGATGTCAACGCCCCGTAAGCCCCTCCCACCAAGTGTTGGTCTGTAACATGCCATCTCGATCGCCCCTGATAACTACTTTCCATTTCTCTTGAAATCAAAGCATCGTTTCTCAGCTGCGACCGTCACAGGGAACGGCGTTTCCACGCGCATGTATTGAGGCCATCGCAGAGCCCCAGCAACGAACTCCCCCACTCAGCATATCGATGCAGAGACTTCCTGATCGATCTGTGGTGAGGCCTCCCAAATAATGCATCTTCAAATACCGGCCAGACCTTAGACTTGAAGGTTTCACTCTTACTACAAAAGATCCAAAGCCAAATGCGCAATTTCGGCAGGAACGAAAACGATTGGAGCCCCAAAGTATATATTTCGAGTGTTTTGATTTACTGGCTAAGTGTCGACTTCCATTCAGTCATTTACAATTTTCCCTGTCGATTGTCTTCACCTTGTTTCAAGATAGATGGAAGGTCATTCCCCTCAATGGCATCAAATAGACCCCCAAGGCCAGCAAGACGACGCCTCTCGTTCTCTTTGCGGAAAAATTCCTCCGCAGTCTTGATTCTCTTTGGGTGTATCTCGTCCAGAAGCGCGTAGTCACGCTTGATGACTCCCTTGTTGCCCCCAGAGTTCGCCCACAATGTCCAGAAACCTGAAAAGTTATCCCTGAAAGACATCGTTGCTGGGTCCGTGGGGTCAGCGTTGTATCCGGCAGGTTGACTAGAGATTGGGATGTGGTCGAAATAGACGTCCATGGGGGTGTCGATGTACTGAGCTGGCTTCCCCGTGACCCTTTCGAACGCCTCGGCCAGATCTGCGTAGTGAATGTGGTCAATTGCCACCTCCAGATCCATCCCATCAGATCTTTCGGGGTGGTCAAAGAGCCAACGGGCATAGTGTTCGCAATCATCGAGGGCGACATGTGGAACTGCGCCAGCACCTAGGGGAACTCTCCATGTGACAATCCCACCTTCAACCCGTGGTGTCATGATCGTCTTGGAGGAGATGGCCATCTCAATGTAAGGGCCAGTGGTGAAAATGGCGACGCCCATGTTGTTGCCTTTCCTCTGCTGCAGCATCCACTCAGCTAGACGCCCCTTGCCGTCGTAGTGCCCGCTTCGAAACTTGGGATTATAGCCGCTTTTTTTGTAACCGTAGTCAAGGTTACCAAAGACAAAGAACTTGATCCCGAGCTCCACTGCCAACTCGTAACAGCGGATCGTCCAGTACGTCTCGGTCTTCTCGCCACAGTTGAAGCCATCGATGTTGACAAAGGCCCCCCAGCACCCAGCGAATCCCTTGCGCAGATCGCTTTCGTTGGCAAAGGTTCCCTCAATGAATTCAACGTCTTCGAGTTTCGCGAGCTCTTTTGCCCTCGAGGAGCTGGAGTCGCGCGTCAAGACGCGCAGGCTGTAGCCTCCATTCCTAGCAAGGCCTCGACAGACGGGAAGGCCTTGGGCACCAGTAGCCCCGATGACGAAAATGCGGCGATTTGCCATACTGGTAGTTATTCGAATGGTTCAAGACTTATAAGTTGCGCTTGCTGTAGTATTCTTTGCTGATCTTGGTGGTCATATGGTGCTCTTTTTTTCTCCAGAGAGTCATGGGCATTTCCTTATAAGCTGTCCTGTCTCTCAGGATATCCTCCCCTACTTCTAGCCCAATCATCTTGTTCTTCATAAGCAACTTCGCCAAAAGGTAAATAGTGAGCTTGGGAAGGTTAATATTGATTAGTTATTCGAAGAACTTAATGATTAGTTATGTGAAGAACTGAATGATTAGTTATTCGAAGTACTAAATGATTAGTGATCTTGCTCGACTGCCAACAACGGTTCCTGAAACTTTATTACGACAAATCAAATGCTCTAGGTGCAAATGAAGCCTTTCACCCAAAATTCCATGTTTTGACAGGGAATGGTCACAAAGAAGACTATTGATTTCTTGACTTCGATCCACTGCATCACAATTCTGCGACTTGCCGACAGATGTAAATAGTTGGAATCGTTGTCGTAAAAAGCAGCAACAATCTCAACGCACTTTAATGCGGCAACTTTTCTCAAAGGAAGAGTGTTCACTGTGGTTCAGGGAAGACTCCGCTGGAAAACCTATTTCTGTACTAGTAACGTAGCTAGGAGACGCTCTTGGGAACGCGTGAAACATGTGATATTTGGATGCATGATGTGATCAGTAATCTGATCTCAAGATTGCTGAGCGGCAAGCGGCAATCGTCGGCTTATTTCGGAGCTACAGCCCTCGGAAGCTTGAACAAGGTTGAATTAGACAACAGAGTTGAATTATACCGCAGCCGCTGGCAATGGGCTGACAGCAGACTTCTTACACTTCGTCTACCATTGCAGTCACCTTTGAGCTCAGATGAGTCAGGACATTTAGGTGCAGGACAACAAATCTGCTTTCATACTTGCCATTTTGACTTGTGTACCTATCTTTTTTTGACCTCAAGGCAGGATTCAGCTTCAAGAAATACGCGCCGAGATCCTTGTATTAGATATTGCCGACGCTCATCTCAAAGTACCTTACTTACAATGGTCAGTCATGAATTGACAGACATCCTACCGAAACCAAGCCACCTCCTAGTTCAAATTGTCTTGAAGCACTCGATAATGCCATGCGGGTTGCTAGGAGATGTCCAAAATTTGATTCTCCCCAGGCCGGCCTTGGTGAGGACGTCTTTCCACACGTCTTTTGGCCGTTCCTTGCCACCAACACTCAGCATCAACAGATCAATGGCTGCAGTATGAGCCGACGGCGGATTGGGCGTGATCTGTTCCGCGATCAAAAGCTTGCTGTCAGGTGCCATGGCGTCTGCAATGGCCTTCAAGATTTCCACCACCAAGTCATCACTGTAATTGTGAAGACAATATCGGATGTAATACACAAGTGCGCCTAGTTTGAAGTTAGTTACAGTAAAAGAAAAAGGCTAAAAGTGACGAGGAACCTTTGACTGGCTGCTCCTTATGGAAGTCAATTGCCATCAACTTCGTGCCAAGTAAGCCAATCGAGTCCTGAGACTCGGAGACCTCGCTGATCACTGTGTCAAGATCTTGAAGAACACATCGATCCAATGGTATGCCATAGTTTTTGCAGATGATTCTCATAGCATGGCCGCTACCGCCCCCAACGTCGACGAAAAGGGGCCTGTCCGTGGGCCCCGAGTGCGCGGCATCTGAGATCCAGGAGAAGTCATAGACGCCGCATACTGGGAGAAGCATTCCCATGGCTTTCATTGACCGCAGGAAAATCCTCTTGTCGTCAGGGTTTTGCAGAGATACTTCCCAAACGTTCTTCTCCGGCTGACCATACGCAAAGGTGTATGGAACATGAGTTCGACCCGATGGCTCTTGGAGCCCGTAAGAATCAAAGTACTTTTCCAATTGAGCATACGCTACCATGCCATGAACGAATCTATATTATCATTCATGAGAAATCATGCGGATAAAGTGCCAGAACAAGTTACTCACACGATTCTGGTGAGATCTCCGTCTGGATTGTCATTGATGAACATCTTCGACTTCTCAGTGTGAGCCACGCCATCTTCGCCGACTTGCTCCAGAATACCCGTGGAGTTCAACATCCACGCGAGGCGAACTAAAAACGACAGCAGGGGCAAAAGTTAACATGCTTATTGATGAGCGAGGAAATCCAGATGGAAGTCCAGAACTGACCGAGTAGCTGCAATTCACACCCAACACTGCTAGCCAATTCCTTGTACGAAATGGATCCTTGTACTGGAATCTTTTGGAAGACCCCCCAGGCATTGAAAAGCTGCTTTGCGGTCATTTCACCGACCTTGATGCAGTCATTCATAGCTCTCTCCCGTGGTGTATCTTCAAGCTTGTCGATAATGGCTTGGGCTCTTTGTATGATGTTGGTCTTGAAGTCGCGCTCGTTGGCCGGAGTCAGGTTGCTGGCTGAGCCAAACATACCCACGTCATTGAGAAGATCCTCGGCGAGCTCTTTGAGCCCCTTTCGGGCTTCGGTCGCCATTTCTCCCATGTTGGCGGATTCGTCCAACGTACTAAGTATGTTGATGGTCAGTTTAGTCTGTGATTTCAAAAGCTTGTGAAGATTTGAGTATTGAAAACACGCAGATTGCGTGCTCGTGAACCGTTATATTTGTAGCCGAGAAGAGTCGACGGCTTGATGTTCGTGGGAGTTGACAAGTAAACATCTCAAACCAACACAGGATCAGTTGGAACAGGGATAAAGATTGCGGCAATAAAAACCTGGCAAACTGCATGAATCTGCTGCAGACACTACGCGCCTCGCAGGGGTGAAGACTCGCAACCTGGTAGCCGTTATTTGCATTCTTCAAGTCAGAGACCCCACGCTCTTCCCCTCGCCAAATGCAGAGAATCGATTCTAAGACACACTTCATGATCCAGTTGTGACTGAGACTTCATGTAAACCGCCTCACTCAAATGTAGGAGGAGTCAATAAAACAGATTTTCAACCACAACCTAAATGTTAGAAAGCGAGCGTAGAAGCGCTCCTGAAATGGATTGGTGCCGGACAGTCGCCGCGAATTTGTATCATCAATCTATGCAACCAACAGCTGCCAAGTCATTCTCATCCCTACACCACATGAATAGCGCATCCTGAAGGGGGCGCGGAGGCAACCCGCCTGCGCTACTGATAACTAGCGGCAGTGCACAAGCTGTACAATGCCCAAACTTCAAGGTCCATGAATGCTTCAGAAAGCAAACATTCATGGATGCTTTCTTTGGATATTGACGGACTCCCACCATCATGGACCGTATTCGCATTCCAAATGGCCAATCATTCCCTCAGGATTGCCATTTCAGCGCATTTGCGTGCTCGCCAAGCGTGTGACATCTTCATGGTGGGAGACCCATCGGATACCCGACTTGATCCGAGAAGCGCCAGAGATCCTCTTCGGACTTGAGATGCAGGAAGCCCTGCGGCGACACCAGCGGCGGAACTGCCCGCGAGTATAATCGGGCAGGCGCCCTTGCGCCTTTCCTGAGCTACTAAATATGCCGTTCGTCTCATGACCTCTCATCTGCCGGCTCGACTTCAGTCTCGTTTACCATGAGACCGAGTTCACGGAGAGTTGCGACGAGGTCAGAGGCTTGGAGAATTCCCAGTCCGGCGCCGGGGCCCTTGTTGCGGATTCCGATATGATACGGAGACCGGAGAAGAGGTGGTCTAGAGACAATTGCGGCGAAAAAGAAATATGGCCGCCCAAGCAACTACTCGTTTAGCCCATGGTGTGGGTATCATTAATGTGAACGTTAAACAAAGTGCGCGATGACGCTTCTTCCAGCTTTGGACCAAGGACGAAAAGACTACAAGTTCATATCAGATTTTATGAGATTGAGACCTCGATTGTTATACAGAATCCATGAAACGCCATCCCGTCCTACGAAAGGTACAACCTCAAGCAACTGGAAGAAGTATGGGAACAGCTTCAATGTAACGAAACACTAGCATTGCATCTCTAGGATATCTCATCGTGCAGCTTCGACAATCTGCTCGCTATAAACATAGGAAACGTCCCGAGGTATACTGCTCCAGCCTCTCAAGGCAATAGAAACAACACTTTTCGTACAATCATCCACTTCACCACTCAATAATGTCCCGACGACTTCGACCCTGCAACACTGACGGGACTCACAAGACTGATCCTGCTCAACACACTCCCTGCTTTTCTCCGTATCCTGCTCTCCCTTACCGGAGTCGGCGCAGTCGAAACACTCAACGGACTAACCACATCGCCGTCTTCATTCTCATTCTCCGCACTTTCGCGGTTCGCTTCGCCCTCCTCATCCGTACGACTGCTACCAGTCGTCATGCTCTCCATACTACTCCCGTCATGCTGAACCGCCAGACTCAATTTCGGCCTCCGTGGGCCCTCCAGCTCGACGGGCGACGCCGGCCTCCTCGCGCGAACACTGCCTACGCCGCTGATGGCGCCCTCGGTGATGGAGTCCATGGGTGGCTGCTGCGCGCTCGGGTTGCGATAGGCGTCCACGGAACTAGATGAGCTGGCGCTGGTGCTGCTCAGCACGCTTTGGTGAGAGGCCTTGTCGCGGATCACTGTTGTGCTCAGTCGCTTCAACCCGCGGCTCCACGCGGGGTGCGACTTGGGTGAGAGGACCTCGGCAATGGTCCTTCTCTTTGCGTCGCGCATCTTGCGCGCTACGAGCTCGAACTGCTCCGCCATTGTCGGGTGCGCCATGATCTCCTCCATGGAGATTGACAGGTTGTGAGTCCCAGGTAGACCCAGTTTGGGCAGCTCCTGCGTAAGGCACTCGGCGAGTTGAGATGCGGGCATCATGCTGCCCCAGAGATCGTAAAACGCCGCGTTGGGGAGTTGTGATTCTGGAACGCCGAGTGACCGGGGATCCAGAATCTTTGTCCAGACTTTGGAGATGCCTAGCTGGATAGCTTTACGGTGGTCTTCAGACAAGGAAGAGCCGGCATTGGTCGCCTTTGTCTCCATGTCCAGATGAGGCAAGGGAATCTGCGGTGCGACGGCGCAGTAGTCGGCCGAGGAGGGGATAAGCGGGTGAAGCATGGAAACCGAAGTGAGAAGCTCAATGCCGGAGCAGAGCGCTTTAAGTGTCTCGTTGGCAAACAAACTCGGGATGCGGTTCTCGCAGAAGGTAATAGAAATATCACCGCTGCTAGCATCTTCTTGGGTAGAAGTAACGTGCAAGTCGTAAACGTCCCTGCTGAGAGGTTCTTGGACGCTGAACTTGCACTTGGTGGTGCCGAGGTTGAAGACTGCTGCTTCCTTGGCGGCTTCCTGATGGCGATGCTCGACGACCGTGCTGAAGCGCGTCCAGTACGGGAGCTTGGTGCACTTTTCGACGATCTCGAGCCAGCCCATGTTCTCAAACGGAATGCTCATGACGCGTTGGCCGTGAACATATTTGAGAAGCTCAAGAGGGCTGCTCAGAGTCTCCGCAAAACGCACGCGGACTGGAATCGCGTTTGATACTGGGCCAAGGGTACCCGAAACATCGGATCCGTCGGCCAGCCTGAGGTGTCTTCCCTCGACAATCTCACCAAAGAGGACGTCGCCTGAGCCGGAGAGGTTGGCAAGAACCATGGCCCAGGCTGACTTGACTACAGTGTCAAAGGAGATGCCCAAGTTGGCCAAGGACATGACCGAGACCTTCTGCGTCATTACCTTGACGTTGGTGCTTATCGCTGGGGGCTTGCTGTGGGCAATGACTTGGGTCATCTTAGCGCCATCAAGCATGGACGACCAGTGATCCTGTGCACCAGTGGCATGAGCCAACTGCGTAGAGCGGACAAAATCAAAGTAGGTCGCTCTTCGCGGCGGACAGGACGGCGCATTGTAGATGCTCTTCAGATGCTGCAGCAAAAGCGAGATAGAAGCGTCGTCGTACTGCGCTCCAGACAATCGCAGGACCAGATTAGACTGCTTTCCGGCGTCGACGAAGAAGAACTTTGTCATGGGAACCTCGAGGTTGAAAGAGCCTGTTTGGTCTCTCTTGATCAACTTCTCCGTCATCGCCGATACCCTCCATGTTGGAACCTCGATCCTCTTGAACTCTGGGACAAAAGACTTAAAGGCGACCTGGTAAACCCGCCTCTCGTGAGAGACAAAGGCAGTCCGCAGAATGGGGTGGATCTTGGCGAGGCAAATGCAGACGGCCTCAAGTTTCTTTGTCTGGACTGCGCCGGTGAAGCTGAAGGTGAAGTAAGTGAGGCTTGAACTTCCTTTCAGCAGACCGGCCTCGAGGAATTTGAGCTGAGTAGCAGATGCTTCTGCGACATCTTTGATGGCGTCTCGTTCGACGTTGAGCTTTGGAGCAATCACATCTTTGATAAATTGCTCCTCAAAAAGCATCTCTGCGGTGGACCCCAAGGACGGGGCGGCGGTTTGTTCGGGTTCTGCAGTCTCAAGAGCATAGTCTGCGCTTAGCGTTACACCTTGACAAAGCTCTGTGAGGGTTGCGCCACGCAAAATATCAGGCAGGGCAATGATGAGTCCCTGTTTACGGCATGCGACAACAAGCTGGCCTGCGAGGAAGCTCTGGCCGCCCAGCATAGGGAAGCTCTGATTTCCTCGTATGCCTGAAGCATCTACTCCAAGGACAGTCGCCCAGATAGATCTCATACGTTCCTCGACCTGGGTAAGCGGAAGAGGCTTGATGCCAACCGCGCGGACTTCGTCGGGCGATGTGACTGAGGAGAGAGCCTGTAGCTGTTCCTGTGACAACCAACTGACCATCTTCTGGAGCTTGCGACGATTGACCTTCAATGAGGGCGTGACAGGAAGATGCCTAACGGGAACAAAGATGGTTGGCATCATGTGCGATGGCAGACTAGTGCCCAATGAGGACTCGATGAGCTTCTTCGCAATGTACGTGCGCTCTTTGGTGGTGATAGAGATCCTTGTCAGATCTTCCGATCCCTCAAACAGCTTCTCTCCAAGCTCGACAAAGGCAGCAAGTGAGGGTTGCGCGTCGCGGCTGATAATGGATTCAACAGCGAGATCCACGCCTTGGCCTAAACATCGGCGGAGCTTCTGCTCAACCTCAGCAACTGGAATGACTTGCCCATTGATTTCAACATCGTCGCGGCCACTAGAGACGAAGTCGAGCAGGCCATCTTCCATGTACCGTACACGGTGGCCTGTCTTAAAGTAGCGCGTTCGAGGCTTGCCATCCTCGAGCGATATGTCAGAGTCCTGAGGTAGGTGCGCCAAGGGTTGACCGGGAATGAATCGATGCGCCAGCGTGGGACTCTCGATGATGAGCTCGCCGATTGCGCCGATAGGCATCAGCCTACGATGATCTTCAGGGTTGACAATCCAGAATTTTCCGAGGAATGGAGGTGCCACACGGGTAAGATCGGCAGCTTTCTTGACCTCCAAGACGGAAACACCGAGGGGGCAAATATCGGGGGCACCGTAGGCGAGCAGGACTTTCGTCTTGGCTACCCAGGGCGCGCAGGTATCTTCGTCCAGGCGCCGGGTTCTGAAGCAGACGGTCTTCAGACTGGGGATCGCAGCGGGTGTCATCTTTCGTGCCAGGACGGGTGTCATGTAGGTCCAGTTGACATCCATCCTGCGAGCTGCCCCGACAATGTCGCTAGTTCTCTCGACAGAAGAAGGGACACAAACACAGCCGCCGTGCACCAATGTCGATAGTAGCTCGATCAAAGCAGTATCGACATTGAAAGACGAAAGCTGCATGACACGACTCTCCATGTTGAGATTGAGGGCGCGACCCTGTGTGACGAATGCTGAAGACAGGGCTGCATGGTGAAAGATGATTCCCTTTGCTTCTCTGCCACGGGACGAGCCTGGCGAAAGAAGAATGCAGGCGGCATCATTTGGCGCGGCCATGGGCAAGGGTGCCTCCAGTGAGAAGTCAACCTCGAAAAGAGTGTCATCCACGACCACGACTCCATCGACGATTGCCTCCAAATTCTTCCAGAGCATGTCCGTTGCGATGACGACCTTGGGCGAGAGCTGGCGGACGAATGTCTCAACATTGGCTCGATCTTCGGCGTCAATGGGCACGAAGCAGCCACCGGCCTTCAACACGGCCAGAATACTGATGACGGCCCATTTGTTCTTGTCTAGAATGACAGGTACGGAAACGCCGGGACGAACGCCCCATTGGGTGAGGTATATGGCCAGACGAGAAACGAGACGGCCAACCTGTCTATACGAGAGCCCGCCATCCCAGGCGCAGATAGCCTGAGCATCTGGGCGGAGTCGTGCTTGCTGTGAAATCAAGGCGTGGACGCAGCCAGGGGTAGGATCATTTGCATTCTCCGATCCCCAGTCCCGGATCAACAACTGGGCATAGTCTCTGTCGGTGAAAAGGTCGATGCTGCCGAGTGCACCCTCCGGGTTTCCAAGTATGGCAATGACAGCACGCCCAAAAGTATTTGTGAGGTTTTGCGCCTGGGAGGGAGTCATGAGCCTGTGAGAAACGCCGGTGACAAGCTGTCCATTGACAAGAGTCAGGGAAAATGTGACGTCAAAATCAGGAGTGTTGAAAGCTTGAATGCAGGAGAGCCTCATGGGTGGACGCGTGGAGCTGAATCGGCTCTTGAGCTCGTGGGGCTCTTCTTGGTACGATAGACAGGTGTTGAAGAGCTTGTCGCCTTTGAGGCCCAAAGCGTGCTGGATCTCCGACATTGGTACGTTCTGATGCGGTCTGCAAGCGGCAGCGTCATCCTCGACGGATTTGAGGATTGATGCAACGGATTTGTGGTTTTGGAGGCCAACTGAACATGCCGTTGTGTTCTCGAAAGCGCCGACTGAAAGAATCAAGCCCGCGGGAGCGTCTCCTGCATCTCGACCTGATGAGCGGTAGCCAAAGCAAACTTGGCTTGAGCCGGTGACGGCGCGTAAAACAAGACCCCAAGCCATGCGCATGACCGTTGATCGACTGATACCTTGCGATCGACAGAACTCGTCGATCTGAGCTACCGGCAATTCAATGTGGAAGTTTGTGTGTTGCATGGCGGTATTGTTCACTGTCATGAGGCGCGGGAACAAGCATGGCCGAGTCTCTTGAAGACGTCCAATCCAGAAGTTGAGACTGTTATCTTGTCGAGCAGATGAGATGTATTGTATGCAAGCCGCGTGTGATGGGTCAAGCATCTTCATCGACAGCTTGCTAGAGTTGTACATTCTCTTCAAGTCCCAAACAATGTTTTGAAGACTCAAAGCCTAGGGAGTTGTCAGCGAATGATTCGACTGGACAGATTATCAACTTACATCACAGAGCGCATGACTGATGTCAAGCCTCAGGAAAGTGCTCGCGTGGGACTTGCACACTGACACTCGGTGGCGCGGATTAGACGGCGTCGGACTCATCGGTGGCAAGGCATCGAGAACAGCCAAGGGGTCTGTTCCTGCTTCGGCGTCGACAAAAAGCATATCCGGTGAGCACTTTCGCAGGATGACTTGATCGAAAAGACCATCTTCGGAAATACTGTCGATGAAGACAGTCCTCAGAGCTGGGTACTTTGCGACGATCTGCTGCCAAATGGTACAAATTTGAGCCTGGTCAGCCAAGACGCCATTCGGTGACGACAGCTCGTAGATGGCACTGTTGTGGCAGGTCTCCAGATCTTGGGTTTGGCTGATGAGTATTTCTTGCTGCAGCGCTGTGACGGGGAGGACGTCCTCAATGTCCCGAGCACTGGATAGGCCGAGGGCGACCAATCGGTCGGTGTTGAGTTTCGCAAGGCCCTCGTAAGTGGTGTCCAGCATAGGAACATCAGATAAAGTGAGTTCTTGGCCACGGTACCGCAATCTGCCAATGGCTTCGTAAAGCAGATGCTCATACATTTGAATCCAGTCAGCAATCTTGTCCTGGTGCTTGGAGTTCTTGTTGTAGACAATTTGGACGGAAGCTGAACCTTGATCGACCATGGCGGAGACCTCGAAGAGAGCAATTCTGGACACACTAGAGCCAATGTCGGCGGCATCGGTAGACCATAGCCTTCCAGGAATGGTGAGTTGCTCAAGAACGCCCTTTTCCCGCTCAAGCTGTTGAACAGAGCCGGCGTAAGTGAACATCATCTCGAAAGGCCAACCTTCAGTACTGCGAGTGGCGGCCTCGGGACCAAAATATCGAGATGCGAAGTAATTCCAACCACGGCGGGGGATCGAGCGCCTTGTATCTTTCATCTTGCGCAAAATGTGAAGGAAGTCATCGGCCATGTCGACAGACATGGACACGGGGCACAGTGATGTGAACCAACCGACGGTCTCTGTGATGTCGATATCCTGACTCCAAGGTTCTCTGCCATGCTCTTGGTTCCACACCACAGGCGCCTTACGATCATGAAACGTCTGGCTGAATGAGAGGAGGAGCGCCGCCATGTAAATGTCGGACATGTCAGTCTTGAAGACTTGGTTGCATGCTGTGTGAAGAATCGCCGTCAGTTCCGGAGTGAGGGTGAAGCTTGCGACTGATATTTCGGCGTAGGTGTTGTGTGAGTCCTCGAGACCCCAGTAATCGTACTGGCCGCTGGGAAGATCGTAAGGCATCGCAAGCTGGTCCGGATTGCTGCTGATATATTCTTCTTGAAGCTCATTCCATCGTTGGAACGGCATGGAACGTTCTGAGAACAAAGTTCCCTCTCGCAATAACTCGTCGAGATCATGAATGATGATACGCCATGACATCATGTCCACGACGAGGTGGTGAGCGAGTAGGTAGACAAGCTGCTGGCCATCATGAGTTCGAAAGTGATCGACTGAGAATACCGGCCCGGATTCGATGTTGATACTTGACTGTGACTGCGCAATAATGTCCATGACCTCCTCTGTCGTGCTCACCGAGTGGTAGCGAAATCCATATGACCCGTCGACTTTGGGAATAATCCGTTGAGTCCAACCGTCGACGCCTGGCCTAAAACGAGCGCGCAGCATGGAGTGATGACCGACCACAGTGGCGATGGCGGCGTGAATATCTTCCAGTGTCGAATTGTTCTTGACGCGAAGCAATATGCTTTGGTTGAACCGGTAGCCACCACCAGTGTCCATTCGCTGCTCAATGCGGCCGCCAATGCCGGTATCGAAGTAAAGCTGCTGTACTGGCGACAGCTTGAAGCCCTCGGTAGACTCCTCGTTCCATGTGTCGTTGCGATGAGTTTTGCGGTATGCGAGTGATGCAAGCTGCCCCAAGGTCGGACATTGATGAACGTCCTCGGGTCTCACTATGATTGACTCGGTCCGACATGCCGCGACAAGCATCATGGCGGAAATGTCATCGCCGCCGAGTTGACCGAATGAGAAGTTCAGGCCAACTTGCCGCTGTGGTATCCGAAGAACATCGGCGACCTTCTTTTGCAAAACACGTTCCATCTCGGTCAAGGGCTCCTGGAAGAGCTCGTGAGACTCGAGACTCGATATTTGGTGATACATATCCTCGTTGATGTTCTGAATCCATGTTTGGAGCCGCCTCCGGTCGACGGAGCCCTCCCCGTTTGAAGGCATTTGGTCAAGCACGATCCATGAATTTGGCACCGAATGAGACCCTTCCGAGGTTTCGAGAGCCAGTCGGACAGCTGCGACCTGGCTCCCTGCAAAGTGCATCTGCGATTGGGGAATGAGTCGGATACTGGACAGGCTGGTTTGCGATATCCGGCCCGACGCCAACGTCAGGAATGCCACGAGCTTGCCCTCCAAGAAGCCAGCCTTTGGTCTAATTACGGCTGCGCTCCTGATCTGGGACGTAGACTGGATGAATCGTTCGATTTCTGAATGTGGTGATTTTATTGGCGCTGCGTCGGAACTGTTGCTGGAATCGCACGAGGAAGTTGAGCAGGCGCTGTTTCGTCTGGGACTTGAGCTGAAGACATCGGAGGGAGAGGTGCTGCTCTCTCCTTCAGAATCCTTGGACACAGACGCGGTCTGAACGAAGGGGGTGATGCAGGTCTGAAGCTCCGCCAAGGTTTGACAGCGTAGAATGTCGCTCGTCCTCAGTCCAAGTCCGAGGCTCATGCACCTTTTCCTAAGGGCGACGGCTGTGGGTCTGTCGCCGCCCAAGTCAGAAAACGAGTCGAATAATTCTATGCTATTCCTCGGCAAACTTAGCACGGTGGCAGTCGCTGATAGAAGTCTATCTTCGACTGATTCTGTCTGGAATGACGACATTGTTGTGTCGATTCTGGGGAGTTGTTTTGGGCTGACTGAGTCTATGGCGGCCATATTGGATGTAAGTGCTCGGTCTGGTCTGAAGAGGGTAGAGCTGGGTGAATGGCTCGGGAGGGGTATCTCAAAGATGCATGAACAAAAATAAAGGAGACGGCCGAGCAGAAGCGGCCAAATAACACGGATCAAAGGTTGGTCTCTGAGGAGGGTCAAAGATGCCAAAGGTGATGTCGTTGGTCGGACAAGATGAACAATCTCGAGCTTGGGGGCGCCGATTCTTGGGGCGTGTTTGTTGGAGCCCGTCTTTGAAGAGGTAACGTGATGAAAGGCCAACAGGGCGAAGGAATGTCACACACAAAGCCTTAAGGACATGACCCAAGCAAGGGCCGGAGCAAGAAGATCACAAAAGAAGAAATCGAGGTGGGAAGGGGGGGAGATGGCGAGGGTGAAATAATGCAAAGACAGCTTTTCTGGCAGCTCTATTCATCCTTCAGATCCTCTTGCTCACTAGAGGAAGAGTAAGACCAGCGAGACGGAGCTCTGATTTGCAAACAGATTCTGCAGAGCAAGTACCTCGTACCGTACGGCGAGGCAGGGCAAGACGTGAGTGAGATGGGTAGGTAGCTGGCAGCGGCCAGGAACCGGCATCATGTAGGTCGAGTTTCCATGGCCCCGGCCCCTCTGACGTTCTGGGGTCCAGCTTGAAGAGCAAAAGAAGGTGGGGGAGCGGTAGGCTTGTACGGAGTATTGGGTGGGTGGGCAGTCTGGATGAGTGACTAACGGGACGAAAGACAGGATGGATGGGAGAGGAAAGCGAGCTGTGGATGGTGTGCGACCAGTTGGGAGCGTACGAAAAAGGTGCTGAGGTCAGGTATGCCGCGCCACGCCATGACATGCCTTGTCACGGCCTGCCGCGGGCTGGATCTGCATACCCGCGTCTTGCTGGAGGTGGAACGCAACGTTGGGGCCGGGGGCAGGCATCCGCAGACGTTGGTGAGAGATGAAGATGCTACTCTGTACGGATACGGATACGGTGAGTGAAGACAAATTGGGAGTTGAGTGGTTCTGCAGCGGCCATGTGCTGCTGAACAGCAAGTCGAGAATAGGGTGAAGATGCGCGCTCCGCCTCGTCAATATCCTGTCTGGTCCGCTGCCCCGGACACCGTCCTAGCAGCGTGGTGGTATCTTCGCGTTGCCGTGCGGATGGCTATGCAGATACTCTCCCGTCTCCGAGCCACACGGGGAGGAACGCAGCCGTTCTCAGCAATCAGACAGAGGGAAACGCGGCACGGGGAGGAGTCCAATCGACAGGGTTGGGGCATGCCCAGCTTGCTTCTGGGCTGAGCGAGATGGTGAAGAATGGAGAGGCGGACGAGGAGGACGAGTGGGAAGAAACGAAACAAGAAAATGGAAGGCCAACGGGCGCGGCGTCAGCAGCCGGTGTCGTCGGTACGTGCCTTCTACTCTGAGGCCTGTAAGGTCAGGTACGTACCGTTGCCGTTTCAAGGACATTCTTCTCGCTCAGCTACGGATTCAGCTATTTTAAGCCAATCAAACCTCAGTAAAGCACCGTCTTGTGGTCTGTGTCCCGTCAGCCACACTTGCACGTCGCATTAGCCACAAAAGAACAATCAGCAACATTCGCGTGTTGGTTGGTGGTCGGTTGGTGTCATTGGACATGCTAAATCCAACAAGCGCCCTAAGGGACTCACACTCTCCCACAGACTGGACTCACACTGCGGCTATGCTTGCGGTGCCTTGCGTTAGCGGAGGGGGCTGAGCCCAAACACTGCGCAACTCTGCCGGTGTGAAGCGTCTCTTCATAATTAGAAACGGCCCGCCCAATAGTCTCCAGCTTTGTAAAGACTTTTCCGTCAATGTAAAGACTTAGACCGGCATCATGCTGGTAGCTGGGTCATCTCCGGTCGAGGACGCCGGTCTGTCGCCACTATTTCCCTTCGCCGACGGGGGCTGGACAGCAGCATCGCAAAAGCTTCGACACTGACGGATACTTGACTGTCTTCTCATATCTTTGGTGTCCCAAAATGGTAACAGTCTCTCAATTATTCTCATCAGCAGTCAGCTGCTTCAACTAAACTCATCCAAAACCCAAATCTCCAATTCTCTTCTCATCTTCTACTTAGCTCCCCCGCCGTTGAAACCCGAACCTCGCGTCCCTCCCTCTTACACTTTACACATGCCCAGAGGCTGACGGGTATCATTGCCGCAGTCAGACTGTCAACTTTTAAGGGTATGACAAAATGCGACCATCTTCTCCTCACTCGCGTCCTCGGTCCCGGTCCTGGCCCCGGAAGACTAAGCATGATTCGCAGGATGGTAAACTTTGGGAATCGGGAACAGTTAACTCTCGTAATCACTCTCACGTCTGTCCCCTCTCTGCCTCTCCCAGATAACGGCCTCCGGCCATGCTCGGACGAAATCTCGTGTCTTCGGCACGATGTTGCGCAGTCAGCATCAGTGTCCAGAACCCCCTCATATCAGGTCCAACCCTGCTGCTCGATGGCAATGTCAGCAAAGCCTCGTCAAATTCACATTCATAATGCGCATCCACTGCCGGAGATGTTTTTCAATTCCCATGTTTCAACCCTCCCGTTTCTCCAGTTTTTCGACCATTGCCACATTTATGCCATTGAGACATATGTGGCGTACGCGGCAGCAACCCTTTGGTGGCTTCAATACTACTGTCAACGTCAACCACCAACAGCACCCCCAAGGCACGATGTTACCGTAGCTTTGAGCCGTCTCAAAAGGGAAAAGAGGTCGTGTACCATGTGCAAATCCCCTCTCGCAAGATCAAAGACCCCAAGACCGCCCTAGAGCCCCAATACGCACTATATCATGGTTCCAAACCATCGCAAGAACTCTAGCAGCGGCGGCAAAGTAGACGAAAATAATTCTCCCACGAGACATGTATGCAAGCTCATCTGACCCACCTGAGCAAAAGTTTCAAAAGCAGGTAGGCCTGAGACCGAGGCAAAAAAAAAAAAAAGAGAAGGGGAAAAAAGACGGGCCAGTTGAGGAAAGCTTCCAAGCTGTTCACCAGCTCCAACAAAGCGTCCACCACACGGGCCTGTCCTTCATCTAGTTTGACACTCCCGTCCGACATTGACGCTCGGGCTCTCGCCCTTTCCTCCATCTCCTGACGGCCACATGGACCCCACAGATCTGCCTTGTTCCTCCCATCTTCCGCAGAGACGAGGCAATGGGGCTACTTACCCGGGTGACTCAGTGTCAGGCCCCCAAAACAGACTGCGCTTTGGAGACGGGTAAACCCCAACAACGGTAATTGGAACTCTCGCTCAAAAAGGAGTTTACGGGATTGATCTCGGCCATTATCGGCCAACCTTAACACAAGCAGCACATCACCCAAAGAAGACACAGGCAGTAATTCGGTCAATCACTCTCTCCTTGAAGCAAGCTCGCCATGTGATGGGGGAACTGCCGAGCTGCATAGGAGGTCGCCTCCCCTTCTGACTGCATGTGATCTTGTCGAACTGTCCCTACTCATTTCGTGCTTAGTTGAATTCCATTGCCGTGTATGGGTGTTTAAGCTGAGGTCTGGGTATAATCCCCAAGTCCTCAGCCGTGAGCTCATATAAGACGACCATGTTAGTCGTGCCAACACGTCTTGCGATACGAAGCGCTATCAGTGCCTGCATCGCCCTTGCAGGGCAATGAAATTGAGCGTATACGAATCAGATGACAAGGAATACTCCAAATATTGAATGGTCTGAGGTATTACTCGGGCAACCTTCAGCGAAGCGTGTCCAAATCCTTCCAGTGCCGATCGTTCAGTGCCTCCGGTTCCCGCACCTCCGAGGGTCTCCGTTTTCTGCCCCTCACCTCCGTCCCGCTCCCATACGGAAGTCCGACGCTGCCATGTGTACAACAACCTGATCACCAATCCTCCTCTGAGCAGCCGCAAGAAGGCACATTTGGTGTTGCAAGCCATTTCACTGCATTCTTGGGGTTTTTCATGAGCTATCAAATAGAACTGCCATGCGTTGCACTGGCTCATTATGGCGAGCAAGACAGCTGCCTAGTCACACACCACGATGGGCGAACTCCCTTTCCCGGTTTAACCTCCCACGCCAAGCGGCAATCTCACCAGCCCTGTCACTTTGGTCGCGGAAACGCGTAAAGAGATTTGATCTAGATGACTTCCCAGGCTTCTGCGGTAAACGGCGCTTATCGAATTGGCAGTGCGCCCGCCGTGTTAGTACAGTGGCCCAACAGACGGACAGGTTAGCTGCCACTTGCAGAAGTCCAATGTATCGGTGCAGGGCTGACGGAACGGACCCAGATCGACGCAGTCAGACGGCACAGCAGCAGCATAGATAGGTACAATGCTACATGTACGGTGACGGGCGCCTGGTTGAGCAATCAGATCGTAGGGTGGAAAGGTCTCGCAATTCTGATTTCTTGTCGCTGACCATTGGTTCGTCTCCGGGCACGTCAACGGTCACATCAAGCTAATCGAGGCAACCTTGCTTGCAACTCTTATGCCAGATTGCCAGGATGGACATCAGTGGTGTTTGCCGTGAGCATCGACATGGGCAATGTTGTTTCTTAGACAACATGGTACTTGATTTTGGTTGCTAATATCATCGGGGTGGATCTGCTCATTCCTCTGGCGGGAATGCATACTCTCTGATGGAGCTCCCCGAAAACATACCGGCTTGGCGAAGGCACATTGTCGATGAAGCAACAAATTTTAAGACAGACATCGAAGCGCAATTTATCTGGGAAGAGGTCTCGACTGTTATATGGCCAAGGATGCCAGAGGGAACCGGCACACGTCCCAAGCCACCATGCAGATCTGTTTGCCATGTGCCTCAAACACGGAATTACTTTTTGCAAATCTATTAAAGTAATTGATCCAAGATCTTGGTCCTCTCAGCTGTCGGTGAGAAGGTATCGAAATCCTGCTACGTCCGATAGCATCTCACTGCTGGTTGTAGGCTGCCCATACTAATGACGCAACGAAGTGATGGTTTTTGATGAAATAGTTCTCTGTCAAGTGTCTTAGTTCAAACCCCGATTACAGTGCAGCTCAATTTCGTTCAAAATTACTTTTCATGATTCAAAGTTGTACTTCTCAGTCGGTGGCTTGCTACAAGGTACATCACAGCCATACAGTTTCGGAATCAAAAAGTTCAACTCAAAGCAAGACGTCTTACTGATCTCACTCCCAACCAACCTCACCTCTATACTAGTCTATTGCATGTAAAAACGGTTGATCAGCCAGCGGTGGCGCTTTCTGTACGCCTACTGCTTAATTATACGGCTCACCCCTGCGAGCACCGGACGAGATCCGGTCCGTCACCACACTTGCCAATCCAAGCAAATCCCTTGCAAAGCCCCTCCCTTTTTGCTTTACTGCCCGAGTGAAGCGGTTAGAAGTCCTGTAGTCTTTGCCATTTTGAGTGATTCATGTCGGTAAAGGAGACAGAAGTTGGAAATCTTCCTACCAAATCAATAGTCACACGACGTCATATTTTCACCTTTGCCTCAAAGACTTGATATTCAATGAACTGTCGCTTGGAATCAAGTCTATCTTGCAACTCTTACGTCTCTTCGTTACACCCTTGCCCCCAACGCCAACGTACCCAGTCCAACGTAACATAACCACCAACAACGTACACCAAGCACCAACATCAGCCATACCTCCACCTCAAGCATACTCTACGTGCATCCAACACGAAGACTCATCCCCCCAAATCACGCCTTCCAAGCAGTCTTTCTCAACCACTCCCCAACAACCCTCATCACCTTGACCGCCTTCGCATTGCCATCCCTCACGCTCTCCGCATCCGACACCGCGGCCCCCATCTCGTGAAAATCAAACGCGTGAATCACATCCGGCACCAACAACCACTTGACACTCCCCCGCGCGTCCCTCGCCTCCCACCCAAACCTCTCGTCCCCAGACTCCACAAGCTCCTGCGTCTTGGCCACCTCGTTCCGGCCCGCCATCCCCGAGGTAGGCTTCCCTTTACCCCCGAGCTTACACGCCAGCTCCCACGCCTCGTAGGCCAGATAATCCAGCTCCGCGGCGACGATGCAAACATTGTCGGGAAAGTCCTCCCTCTCGGCATACAGCGGGGAGATCCGTGTGTCCCGCAAGTTTGTGCCGTAGGGGATATAACTCCAATCAAACACCTCTGCAAAATCCAGCACAAAATCCTTCTTCTGGCCTCGGATGCCCGGCAACTGCCCAACCTTGTACGGCCTACGATTCCTCTTGGACGCCGTCGGCGTAACAAAGTCCGTGGGCGGGTAGATGGGCACCACGGCTCTCGGCGCGGCGGTCGCGTGCTCCCTGACGGACTTCATCTGCGACAGGCAGAGCGTCAGGTTCCCGCCCGCGCTGAAGCCGCCCATGGCGATGCGGGACTTGTCAATGGGGAGGGACTCGTCGTCGACGATGGCGAGGTAGAGGGCCTCGAGGTCGTGGAGGGCGTGCGGCCAGGGGGCCCAGGGGGCTTTCCAGTAGTGGAGGGCGATGACGAGGCAGCCGTTGAGGTCGGCAAAGGTGCGGTTCCACTCGTCATCGTCGTCGGGGACGCCGATGGAGAAGCCGCCTCCGTGGATCGTGAAGAGGGTGGGAAGGGTTTGCGGGGAGGTCTGGTCGTAGTCGGAGGGGAAGAAGATGCTGTGTCGGGCTGGTTAGCTGATTTTGTCCTCGTGTCGTGTCTAGTCTTGTCTTGTGTAATGGAAAACATACCGAACGGGCAACGCCTTTCTACAGTCGTACTGCTTGATGAGATCGGGCCGTATGGCAGGGGGCCAAAAGTACGACCTCCATGCCTCGAAGCCAGCCTTTTGGAAGTACCAGTGCTGTAACGTGGAAATCTTGGTGCCGTACACGATGCGGTTGAGCATCGAGGGCACCGGCTGGTAGACCGGTTTGCCGGACTCTGCGTTCCCTGCTACACCCATATTTGACATGCTTCGCAAATGCCTTTCTCACTTTTTTGCGACACAGGGTGTTGGCCGACGTTATATGATCACCGCAAACGTCCGCACAATCTCGTCAAGAGAGAATCGCAGAAACACGAGTGATGATGATACCCTAGGTACGGAGTCGGAGAGGTCGATGGTCCCGAGACGACGAGAACGAATCTGCTAGCACAACAGAGCGCATTAGCCGACGTGTCTCCTCGCAACAGACGAACAACTTCAGGCTGGGACGGGATGGACCGGCAGCAATAATAGCCACAACGAGGCGTCATCGTGCGTTTGGACGCAAAGAGAGAAGGAGGCCTGTCGGCGTGCCGGACTCTCGGTTTCACAAAGCTTCCCCTTTGGCAGCAAAAGCGCCCGGCGGGCGGGACGGCCTAATGTACAAGCTTGCTGTGTCCGGGAATCGCCAAGGCACCGAGTACCCGGACGAACGATGGCCAGGGAATGGAAGAAGCACAGGCGGCGATGACGATGGAGCTGTGTGAAGCATCGCAGGACTTACATGAAGGCGCACGGCAGCGTAGATGAGTATGTGCAACGGATGAGAAGACGTGGACAAGAGCGATTTTAGTTGTGTAAACCGCACCCGTAACTGTACGACTCGACGATGGCTTGCTGATTCGCCTGCATTCTCGATTCCAGGTCCCTACCTCCTCTTTCTGCCTCGGCGTCATGCTGCTGCCGCTGTCCCAAGAAGTGCCGCATTGCTTTCTTTTCCCGTCAGGAAACAAGATGGGGAAGGACTGGAGGGTCCAGGGGTGCAGGGTGCATGGCCACGTTCATGCTATGCCTTGCTCCTGGCAGGTCAAACGCTAGGTGTGGGCTCAGGCACAAGGTCTACGCCTTGTCGGACGGATGCGTGTTGCCTGTGCTTGACTTCAGTGCGTGTTTCTGGTTTGTGGTTTTCGACCATGAATCGAGGGGTCAAGTTTCCCTCTAATAATGATAGAGCCTCCTATCATTATCGCCTACGACTGGCTACTAGTTTCTGGCGATAGCAGGGACCAGCTCCAAGCTCCTCGGAGAGAGAGCATGAAGGTTCCTGGCTTCGTCCCATCTTCCAGATAACCGAAACAGTCAGCCCAGGTGGCTGTGTCTGACTCATTGAATAATAAGGACACGCTGAGGACTCTTATACGGTAGCGAATTACTGTTGCTTGCTCCTTGGGCTGCTGAAAAATATAGGTCTCGGCATGGCGCTTCCGAAATGCGTCCGGAGCTCCGGTGGGATGGCCGGATCGCTCCCAGGCGAAGCCGACACATTCGTCGGCTTCCTTTAGCGGAATCTACGCAGGACGGCTCACCTCCGCTCAGAACATGATTGATTCTCGAGTGACCTTGAAAAAAAATCCAAGATTGGGTACGAGAGGGGACTGGAAATCAAGAAGAGGAATGCCAATGTCACATCAATAGAGCCCAGCTTCGTGCATGTTCTCCATTCAATCATACTTTACAGATGCAGCGTAAACCAAACAAGTAATTGTACAAAACGGCGACTCATAACCGTCTACTCGTCGCATTGAGCCATGGGCGCGTCTATTCATCTCAGAGGCTCGTCGGCTTCTGCACCACAACCTCTTCATCGTCATCCGGATCCTCGATGCTTGTCCGCCGAGCAGCCTCGACAGCCGCCTGGACCGGCTTCTCGTCGTCTCCCGCCACCGTCTCCTCAGATGGTCCCTTCTCACCTTCCGCCCTGTCATCTTTGCCGTCCTTCTTGCCTGCAAACGGCCACAGCCCGCTGAAGGGTTTGCCTCCTGAACCTCCTTGCGGCGGATGTACCGCAAGAGGCTTCAGAATCACCTTCTCATTGGGATCCGTGCCCGGCGCCGGCTCCACTTCGGGCATGGCGAAATCGCCAAATTCCTCATCGTCGTCTTCTTCATCAGAATCATCTTGTCCGTCAAAACGTTGCTGTCCCTGACGTCCCCCTCCTCGCCACCACGAGCCACTTCCTGGTTGACCCCAGACACCTGCAACTGCCGCAGCTGCTCCTGGGCCATGGCGGTCGCCATCATCCTCGTCACTGGAGTTTTCCTCATCATCTTCGTCATCGGCGAACGGGTTCTGCAACCGCTCGCCCTCACCAGACTCGGCCTTGTCGTCATTGTCGTTGTCTCCATCCTCTGCTTGAGAGGCAGCGGCCTGGTTCTTCTGGTGCATAGCCAAACGAGCTGCAAGCTGCAAACGCGCTCTAGAAGGAGGGTTGTTCAGTGGGGGTGGTGGCGGTGGAGGCGGAGGAATCGACGGCGGATTTAGAGACGACGAGGAGTTGTTCAATGGATCCGTGTAAGCCCGGAACTAGAAGATAAGTATTAGCCGAGGGAAGCTCATTCCGGCATTCGTGCATAAAATAAGAAAAATCCCGGGAGCAAGTTTCGTAGTTGTTGTTTTGTTGTCAAAGACGACCCGGATCGCAAGCGGCTGAAGTGGATAAGAAAAGTCCAAAGTTGTCTGGTATCCCAAGGAATTGACGCCGGCATGAACAAGGACGTGTAATCCTACACTACTCGCCGCCTCAAGATATATCATGAATACGCCCAACACCATCCTCTCACACATCCCTCTCAGGCCCCCTCTATTCTCCCATGTTCTCGTCTTGTGCATGTCTATCCGTTCTCCGTCTAAGCCATGACACAAAACCACGAGAAGGCCGAATCATGTGCATCTCCTCGTCAGACTCCACGTTTCCGAGCTCATCGCTCCATGCATCATCATCATCCTGAGACACAAGGACTGGTGAATCGTTGCGCTCTTCCTCTACATCTTTCCCATGTCCAAAGTCGTAGCCGGCACCGTCGATGTAATCCTCTTGGGTAATTTGACTGGCGTGGGGTCTTCCGTCCTCGTCTGCGCACTACGCATCCTCTTTCCGGTCTTTCGCCTCAGCCACATTGGGCTTGTTGTCGTCGATCAGAGATTGGGTCCAGGGGTCCAACGCAGGTGGTTCCATCTCACGGAGCTCTGAGAGCATATCACTCACCTCATTGCTAACATCATCTTCGTTCTCTTCTTCCCCTTCATCCTCCTCGTCGCTGGAGCTGCCGAAGCCAGACATGAGAGTGCCTGAACTGATGGCAAATGGACCGATGCCATTACCGCTGCTTTCCTGAAGGTCCGCGTTCCCGTTGAGTCCCGCATCAGCCAGCGCGTTAGACCCGGTGTTGCTTTGAGAGTTGGAAAATGATGATCCAAGGCCAGAAAGGCCGACTGCTGCCAGTCCGTTGCCAGACATGCCGGCCCGGTTACCCAGAGCCACTTCGGGGCGAACTCCGCCGAGGATGGCGTTGTCTCGCTCGCGAGTCTCGGCGAGGGCGCCTTCCACGTAGCTAATCCATCGCGGGTCCATAACCCGTTCAAGGACAGTCTCAGACAAAAGTTCGGGAGGGTGACGTTCCGTAAACTTCACCACCTCTTCAGCGATGAGAGTGAGATGTCCCATGTAACCCATGCGAGTCTTCATTCTGGCTTGTGACTCGTCACTAGCGAGCTGGCCTTTGATGATGGCTGTCGTTATATCTGCAGCCTCGAACAGCGATACTGCCAAGGTTGGGTTATAGCCCCTGTCCATGGGCCCGTTGAAAACCTGCTGAACGATATCATATACCACATTATGGAGAAAGTTGTTCCACGGGTAGGCGAAGAAGAAGGACTGGTCCATAATTAGCTCAGTACAACTACGTACAATGATAAACTCACCAGGATCGTAGGCACAACACGATATTCGACAAATTGCACCTTGAGGTAGTCGCCCACCACCGGCTTTACGCTGTTAGGATCGGGTCGCTCAGGAACCGCAGGTGGGAGGTCTCCAGCGTTCTTTGCCGCGCTGTCGTCAGACCCTGGAGCTACCGGAGCTTCTGGCACCTCAGAAATTGGAGGGGCCATAGGGACTTCCGGAGCTGGCTCGACTTCGGGTCCGGGCTCCTTGGCAGCAGCGTCGTCGACAGCCTTGATATCGAAATCATTGGTGGACTTGGAGAACAGAGGAGCTGGCATGTCTTCGGGGTGTTGGGGAGGTTCAGGAACTGACGGTGCTGCCTCCGCTGGCTCTGTCTTTGCCTCCGAATCGGTGGCGCTAGGAGTATAGACAACAGAAGAGTCAGATTCGTCGCCCTTCTGGTTATCCTCAGAAACAATGGTTTGGTCAGCCTTCTCGTCGAGCGAAAGTTCCTCTACCTTGCTAATGGTAGCATCATCTGAGGCCTTGTCGCCTAAGGCGTCTGGGTCCGAATTCTTCTCAATCTCGAGTGCTTCCGCCTCTTTCTCAGCCGGCTCCTCAGCCTTGACTTCAGCAGTGTCTGGCTTTTGCTCGGGCTCGGACTTGGATTCAGAGTCCGCTACGGCAGTCTCATCAATGGAGGCGGTCTTAGGCTTGCTGGGCGAAAGGGGAGCGACGACCAAATCGGGGTCATCAAATCGCTGTTCCTTGATTTTGTCATCTGCGATATTGAGTCGGGGAGAACTAAGCGGTTCGTCCACAAAATCATCTTCGTCTCTGTCCAGAAAAGATGAGGCTGGTGCAGTGACAGGAATCTCTTCTTCTGCTTTTACGAATTCGTGGGACGTGTCCTCGTTCATTTCGCGGCTGGGCTCAACTTCTTCGAATCCGTCATCGTCTGAGATATTGGTTACCTCTAAACGACGTCCCTCCTCGGGAGAAGAACGCCCCATGCGCATTGTCAAATCATCCGTAGATGAAGGCGGTTCTTCTCCTCGGTTTGGGGTAAGCTTACCCTCCGTTCTTAAGCGCTGGCGCTCAGCATCTCGCGATGCAATTACATCTTCGGAACCAACTTCGTTGAGTAGGCCCATGTTACTGCAGTGAAGCAGCTCAGCCATCAACTCGCACGTCTTAAATCGGTCGAAACCGAGAGGCTCGATCTTTTCGCCAAAGGTCGACTCCAATGGCCCCTTTTGCACTGGGGTGTTCATGATGAGGTTGACGAAATCGGGGATATGTTGCGCGAACAAGCGGAGCAGGGTTCCGAGGTAAATGGGGTCTCGGCTCGAGGGAACGGAGTTGGCTTCGGTGCCAACATCGGGGTCATAGTCCGAGTTATTCTTCCTGATCACTTCGATGATGATACCGACGCCCACGGTCAGCGGGTTTCCACCTCCTAGCATGTACTGGATTAGCTGTTCTACGCAGGGTTGCGACACCAGCTGGCGAGTAAGTTCGTTCGGGCCGATGCACTGCTGCTCGTTTTGCGATGCGTTGGCCGAAATGGTGATGATGGCCTTGATAAAGTCACCTGCAGCTGTCTGGACAACCCAACTGTGCTCGGGGCTGAGGCAGGACAACAGAGTCGGCACGACATCTTGACCGTACAGCCACTTTAAAGATGGGTTCGATTAGCTCTCAACATCATGCTTAGGAATGCCCAGCTGTACGCACCTCTACAACGCCCTGGCCGCCCTCTGTGCGATCTAGAGCAATGATCTTCAGGAGCAAGTCCATAATCATTGGGCACTCGACATGACGGAGCAAGTCAGGCACGGCTTCGGGTAGAGCCTTGAGAAGGATGACCATTTCCTCCGTCTTCTTATCGAACAATGCCTCGTTGACTTTTGTGAAGTAGCTGGCTTGCAGAGGGTCAAGGGGCGTGGGTCGCTTTAAAAACTGCCAAAACTCTCGAACGAGAGCTTGGTTTTCCATCATAGCCTCGTAAATGGACCACGTGTCGGATGACAAGACTTCAGCCGCGACGTAGGCATAGCGATTACGCTTCTTCTCTTGCTCTTCCTCCTCATTGTCGGTATCGGTCGCTCGGGATGAGGCGCGAGGTCTCGAAAAGGGAAGGAGGCGACCCTTGCCCTTGATCTCCTCGGCGGGTTCATCTGGTTCCGGGGCCGCGACCGGTTCTAACTTGGGGGCGACGACATATTCGAGCAATGTCTTGAGTACGTTGTCCTCGCGGAGGTATTCGATAAGCTTCGTGTTGTGCTGCTTGAGCTCTTGGATCAGATCGCTCTCGTCGAGGAGGTCTTCAACGGTGAACTCGGGCTTCTCTAAGATGGTGTCGATGGTGGATATGCTGGCGTATCCGCCAAATCTCCAAAACATGTTGGCGGTATTTGTCGGCTGGCTATGTCACGGCGCCGGACGAGTCGCGGCGACGATTGACAAAGAGCGATAAAGCAATCAACTGGACAGCAATCCGATGACCGGGCATGCGAAAGTCGGTATCCTAGCGGGATAGATAAAGGGCGGGTGTCGGTTGAAGGAACCGAGTCGAAGCGAAAGTACAGGGTGCCCAGCCGTTGTCTCAATGGAGAATGCTCAGCGCATGCGAAGAATGGGGTTCAAGGGGGTATCGGTCGCTCGAATAATTGACGGCTGAGCGAGGAGAGAAAAAGGGTCAGCAAGGAGGTTGTCTAGACTGTGTTGGTTGGCAGGCGAGGGCGAGGGCAAGGTCAAAAGAAAAGGAGGGCCTCGGTGGTGAAGTCTGCAGGTGTTGTCGCCGGCGGAGTGGAGGGGCCGGCGCATCGGGCCCAGAAAAGAGGAGCTGATTGATAATGGAGGGGGGGAAGATGAGGGAAAATTGGCGATGCAATCCTTGACGGCAAAACAGCCGCGAAATGATGGGCAAAGGAGGATGTTCGGAGGGTAGTCAGCAAGGCGCGTACTTGGCCGGAGCAGACAAAGCACCAAGAAGCACCAAGAAGCAGCAGTGAGGCAGTGAGGCAGCGAGTGGGAGAGGGCAACCGGGCGAAGGAGGGACAAGGGTACGTACAAAAGCGGGAAAAGGGTCAGGTCGTTATGTTGTACAGAGGTCGCTCTAAGCCGCGTGCGAAGACAAGGATCTATGGAGAGCCTTCGTCAGTCGTCGGATGTCGGGCGCTCGAATGTGGTCGCGTGGTTCTTGTTCTATTTCTCTGTGTCTCTCTCTTGGGGGGAGGGGTGTGGTGGTGGTTTGGGGACACGGAATGCGTGTGGTGAAGTGAGGTGAGGTAAGATGGACCACCGGACGTCGTCGAGGTTGGATTGCGCAGCAGCGGGTTTGAGGTAAGGTTAGGTTAGGTAAGGTGCTTCTGGCCAATCGAATCGCTGGCTCCACGGACGTCGAGTCGAGTCCAGTCGAGTCGAGATGAGTCGGGGGTCGGAGTTGGGTTGCAACTTGCGGGTGAAGGGGGGGGCAGAGGTGGGAGAGATGGGAGAGGTGGGATGGACAGCGGGTGCCTTGGTGAAAGAAAGGACCAGACGGATTCAAGCGTGGTCAAGGTCCAAGTTCAGGCCCAAGTTCAGGCCCAAGTTCAGGTCCAGGTTCAGTCAGGTCCTTGTTCACACGCCCAGTTCCAGCTGGCAACGGTGCGATGCTGCTGACGTCGGGTGCTGCTGCGCCTGCACCTACGGCAAGCGGTGCGGGTGTGTTTGGTTTGTTTGTGTGTGCCTGTACGGATATGTGTACCTAGGTACTGTACGCGTACCTTAATGGGCCCTCGGAGCTCTGTACTGTTCCCTGCCTTAGGTAAGGTAGTATTCATGATGCGAGAGATACTGGGACGGGACAGACCAGTCCGCTGTGTTTTTCCATTGCGGAAAAGTACAGTGGGAAAATCAAGTTATTGCTCCCTGTCCCATTTCACAAGAAATCGTCATGTTTCCAATGTACTAAGGGCAGATTCGGGCCCATATTAGGTTACCTTGCCTCCCGCCTGTTAATTAATTCCTCCGTACCAAACTTGCTGCCGGCTGCCGGCTGCCGGCTGTCTCTCGGAAGCCACGAGGTGAGGCAAGTCCGGATACCTATATGTAGGTACCTTGTGCCTGTACGTGACTGCCAGGCTGCCATGTTGCTCTGCGCGAAGCAAGCTGGTGATGGACTGGTGGACTCGGTGTTCGATTCACGGCCTGGCCCAACGCCCTTCGGCGCCACGGTACGGATCCCTACTTACACAAGGCGAGACAAAGAAAGTTGGCTAAGCTGAAGACGAGTACTAAAAGCCATGGTGGCGCCGCCTCATTCAGGTTCCGGCCGGGGTGCTCTTTCTGAAAGACCGACGCTCGGGTCAATTGCTCAATTCCAATCACCAATGTCAGCGACAAAAGCAATGGTGAGAGTGAAACTGCCCTTCCAAAGAAATATCCAGGGTGCGTCAGTGAATCGGCCGAGGACATCATCGTCGCCGTGGTCCTCTTCGGATGGCATTAGGTAGACCAAGGATATCAAAACCAGATACCCGTACTGATACTCCGTACCTTACGGAGTACTTGTACCCGATTTCACCATTGAGGCACCCCAAAGAGGGGCCGTGAGGGCAAGGGTCCACGGGTCCTATCCGCCGCAATTCTGTCTATTCGCGGGCGTCCAGCATGGTGTGATGCCAGACAGTGTCAGGCCCGAAATACCCCTCTAGTGCCCTCTCCAGGCAGAGGGGGAAAACTGGAGATTGAGATGCAAGAGCCGCGCAGATTATGTGACTCAATAACCCAGTTGGTGATGCAGTAGCCGTCCATTCTCTTTTCTCTGTTTGGTTTGTGTGTGTTGGGTTTTTGCGAGCTAGACCAGGGTTTTTTGTTGAATCGAATCGAGACGAAACGCACCTAAAGATCCCTAGTCTTCAATCTGTAGATGATCTCCGATCCAATGAGGAATTGCCTGGTCCGTGAGATGGGATTTTTTCCATGTGCCAATTGCTGCTCCGTGGCACGCGCGTGGGAAGATGGCAGAGTCCTGTCGTTGGTAGATTCCCGAGTCCCGTGCCCCTCAATCTCTAAAAGGTTAGTAGGTACTTATCGGAGGTTCCTCGGCTGAGAGAATTGCCCTGATGCCCCGCAACACATGAAAGAATTGGGACGAGACGTTTGTATCAGGCACCAGTCCACTAACAGCATCAGCTCTGCCTTTCCCTCCGTCTCGAGTTGCTCATCCAAGCACATCCGACCCCAGTTGTTTTTCTTTGGAGAAAAGGGGATTCAAGGGATGGGAGAAGAACTACAAGAAAGAAAAAAAAAAAAAAAAAGAAAAGAAAAAAGACAAAAGAAGAAAATCGTTGTTGTTCCTTATTCGCCTCCCTTTTCGTTTCTCTACTCCACCGGCAATCAGGGGCTGGTCTTGTTCATCTCATTTCTCCTCTTACCTTTCGTTTCCCCCATCTGATGGGAGATCTATCTGGCATGCCTGGCAAGATTTCTTCTTCCATTCCGTCGTGTGTTCCATTTCTTTTCTGGATCGCATGTGAGCCCTTCCATATCCTGGACACCCAGCAACATATCCGTAACTCTGCACAAATTTATTTCCTTGATTTTCACACAGCCGGAGCTTAGCCCGCAGTCAAGTCTTCTGGGCTGCACGGCTATCACTCATCGTTCGACATGTCCAGACTCCGCCGCTCAGGATGCTCAGTACGGAATGCATCCACAAATCAGGACCAGCCCAACGGCTGGGCCCTTGCCTTGGCCATTGCTCCTCTGCAACCCCCGGCCTGCCACGTTGCCAGACTCCCTGCAGAATCCTCCCACGTTGTCAGCCGATACCCCGAGACGTCTTTCCCCCAAGCAACCTTAACCCTCGTGCTGCTTGCCGCCCGCCGGGCATTCTCTAACGAAGGTGGGTGGTCCTAGCGACCCTTCCTTCTAGCCGTTGCTCCCGCCCCCTCTTGTTCCCGACGATGCACCGAAGCACGTGAGATCGTCTCAAGTGTTTTCAGGTCCGCTCACTATGGATTCATTCGCACTCAATGTCTCATAATCTAATCTTTTTGATTAGAAGTTCGATGTCACGATGACTTTTGAAATAGTTGCATAGCTTGATTCTCATAGCTTTGCCTGACCATCTTCTATTTCTCATAATAGTCCATGAGATAGCTCCTGATATACCATCGAGAAAGTAATACCAGACAGGCCCCATGTGCGCTCATCGCATTAAGTACAAAAAGCAGAAGTCGCACATTGGATTTACTTGGTTGAGAGACGTCCTGGTACATAACAGATAATTAGACTAAGCAGCTGACTGCCAATAGTCAGAGAACGAAAATATCATTTCGTCACGAATACGCAATAGTTACCTACTAACCCTCAGTAATAAAGACAATTCGCTTCACATTTATTCCGACTGGATAGAGCAAACATGACTAACCTGCGGCTCGTGACATCTTGCAGTGTCTATCCTGTCAATCGGAGGCAATCCAACGTGCAGCATACCAAAGCATACATGGTCTTCCAAGCCACCTACGAGAGCCACGGCTGGTTCGACGACAAATAAGCGCAGGGCTTTTAATTGTGTCGAATTAATAGCAGACTGCTGGGACCCATAGAAGGCAGTCAAATTGCCGTTTCTTCGACTATAGATAGAGCTTCTGACAGCAAATTTTTGTCACGATGAGGCACGTAAGCTTGCAGGTTTGTAGGCACCTCGACTAGAGATGTTGATTGACAACTTTGATACAGCCTTGCAGACTACATCAATTTTCCCAGGAGCTTAATATGATAAGTGCCGATGCCGATGTCGATACCTTTCACAAAGCAACTTGCAGCAGTTCTCTTTACTTTACTTCTATGGTATGAAGAGTTCAAATTGCGCGGGAACCACTGACTAGCGTGACCTAGTTTAATAGTCAACGGTTTGCGGAATGTCTTTCATTGTGGTCCTGGTTAAAGTCATTACCTATGGCGAGTTTCAATATTGTATCGACCGAGAAGCGCATAAGTAGCTGACGTGAGAGGTAGTACCCTCGAGAATCTCTTCCACAACCTGAAAGTCCACGGCAAATTCCATTACCAAGCTAGCCAGCCACCTCGCGGCTTCTACTTAACCTCACTCATGGGATTTCTAGCAAGATACCTACATGTCAGCAAGGTAGCCATTTTAGGAAACATGCTTCGAGATGCATGCGTGATTCGTAAGCCACAAAGTAAGCTCATTCTGTGGCATGCGGCCCAGCCAGTATTGGCGGTATCTTATCACGTGCTTGTCAAGTCTGACGCCAGGATATATAGCAATTCCGTGGGAACAGGTTTAACTCGCTTTAACCCGATGCAAAGTGACCGCTGCTTATTAGGGAGATTCTAAGTCGAAAGGACATTGCAGACGGCAGCTTCAGTGAGTGGGTGTCATGCATACGTCATTACCAAAGCGTCGATTTGAGTCCACATCTGCATATATGGTCGCAGTGAGACACCACTTCGAGAGAGGGGTCGTTGTTTCTAAGCAAACCCGCTTCTAGTGCAATCCGTGAATGTTAGTAATTCTCATTCTCCACCGACAGCTACAACAGCGGGAAGCTCGGATTCTCGTCATCCCCGTCCGTGTTTCCAACATTGGATGACAACGTTATATATTTGCCTAGTCCTTTCATCAACTCAACCTCAATTTGAAGGCTATCAAGGCATACAATTAGTTTGTCCAGATAGATTTCCAAATTCGCTCGCAAACCCCGCTATCGAACACAGTTGAACATCATGGCCGGGCTTACCGCACTGCCCAAGGGCTCTCTCATCCTCGTCACTGGAGCCAATGGTTACATTGGATCTCACCTTGCCAACGTCCTACTTGGGCTTGGCTACCGGGTGCGCGGTACAGTTCGATCCGAGAAGCCGTGGCTCAGCGAATTCTTCCACAGCAAGTATGGCAAAGATGCCTTTGAGCTAGTTCTAGTTCCCAGCCTCGAGGACGAGGAGGCTCTTGGTCAGGCTATGACTGGTGTTTCTGGTGTTGCTCATGTGGTATGGCCTAGCGGAAGAGACCTGCTGGAGAGGCTGAAAAAGGCTGACGCTCAAATGACAGGCATCGGATATCTCAATGAGTGACGATCCTAAAGCTGTCATTCCTTGGGTTGTGAAGGCGACTGAGATTGCCCTTTCGGCCGCGGCAAAGCACCCAAGTATCAAGCGTGTCGTTCTCACATCTTCTGCTTTTGCCGCCATCATTCCCCAAGCCAACAAGGAGGGCGTGTACATTGACGAAGGTATGCCGTGCTGAGAATCGAGGGTTGTCTCCCCATCATGCTGACAGTGCGAAGGAACCTGGAACGACGCTGCCATCAAGGCAGCTTGGGATCCTAACACGCCCAAGGAAATAAAGCCCGCTGTGATTTATTCCGCCTCCAAGGCCGAGGGCGAGAGGGCTGCGTGGAATTGGATTGAGAAGAACAAGCCAGGATACGCCTTCAACACCGTGCTTCCCAACTTCAACGTAAGAACTTTGGCCATCACCCGTTGGCATCGCTAACTAGTTTCAAGACTGGAGAGATTCTTCATCCCCAAATCGGAGGTTCGACCATGGTATTCGCCCGGGGTTTGTTGAAGGGACAAAGCGGCACGCTTTTTGGCTTTATGCCCCGTAAGTTCCATTCACCTCTGAGGCTGCACACCTTTCTGTAACCTGAACTTACCCAATTCTTGCAGAGTGGTACGTTGATGTAGTTGACGTCGCGCGTCTTCACGCCATCGCTCTGCTCGCCGAACCCGTCAAGTCTCAGAGAATCTGGGCCTCCGCACATCCCGTCAACGCATCCGACTTCATAGACGTCGTGCGCGAGCTCAGACCGGATAACAAGCTAATTCCGGAGAAGCCTGTGGATGAGGGACGCGATCTCAGTGAGCTTCCTCCGGCTGCCAAGGCTGAGAAGCTGCTGCAGGAGTACTTTGGACAGGACGGCTGGACTCCGCTGAAGGAGAGTGTGGCTGCGGGTATTCGTGACTTGTAGGATGAGAGTGATTACATCCAATATTCGGCTTAAGCAGTTCGACGTGTCTAGACAGATGTTTTCAAGACGAAGACAGGTGAATCAGAAACCACTTTAGTACAAGAGAAGATGAGACACGGATAAACCTACCGTCAAGACCGATCGATATGTAGCTTGATTTCAAGATTTACTAGAGTATGGGATTGAGAGAGCACTGGAGGCATTTTGTCAAGTATTATGTGACATACATTCATGCTACTGTAGAAACATGGAAATCTTGGACAATTGTGCTTCTGTGAGCTCAACGAGGGAACGAAAGAACCGAAGGCGTATTGCTCTTTGTTACTCACTTTGTCTGAAATTTATGTGGACAATAAGTGATCGAATAATTTGATTCCCCTAATTGAGATTTGCGTCCTGAGCTACCGCAGGTAACATCGAACTCCCTTACATAGGGAGGTGAAATCTGCTTAGGTACCTGAGCAAGTTGGTAACGGTAAGTGGTGATTGGCCTCAAGGAAGTCGATCTTGGGACATTAATCACGTGAGGATAAGATAAGACATGGACCCGCCCGAAGCTCGGAGTCGGTGCCTTGAACGATGCATTGCCTCCAAAAAGGTAGCAACACGCCGTCTCTCACGTACGCTCACTTCTCTGCGCCGCTTTGAGCCTGGCTAACAGCATGGCCAGCTTCCCGACTTTCGATCCGTCTCGCTTGACGAAGAAGACTGCTGCCCACTATTCTTCGGAATCAGAGGACGAGGACGAAGATGACTACCTAGCCCCCGTTACAGACCCGTCACAAGCCGACGATTTTGGCGACCTGAATCCACGAAAGCGCCGTCGCGTCGGCAATACGAAAGAAAGCGCCGCGCTGGGCATTTTTGCCTCAGACAGCGAAGATGACGGCCCCGGGAGACGATGGAAGAAGAAGACCCTCCGCAGCAAGGGCATGAATTTTGTTTCCACGGGCACAACCACACTCGACCAAGATGACGAGGCGCAAGACACAAACACGAAAGAGTACTCAGACGACTCGAACGATGACGACGAGGAAGATGAGGAAGACCATGTTGGAGGTGTTGGTCTTGGATTCGGCGGAGCCCGGGTTGGCCTCGGTTTTCAGTCGGCGCAGAATGATAACGAGAGCGATGAGGACGCAAAGGCAGCTGGCGCTCCCGCGCGATCTTTTGCGAAGACCAAGTTTGACGGCAAGAACATCCTCGGCCGCGGCTTCGTACCATCGTCTGCGAACGTACCGGTTCTGAACCCCGACATCCAGGACACTCCTTCGATGCCAAAGATGGCCCGCCCGAGCGCTTTCGGCGCAAAGGGAGCGAACGCCAAGCCCAACCCGAAATCGTTCGGTGCGCGGATGATGGCCAAGATGGGTTACCAAGAAGGAACAGGTCTCGGAAAAGAGGGACAAGGTCGAAGCGTCATTATCGAAGCTCACCTCAGACCACAGGGTGTCGGTCTGGGTGCAGTCAAGGAAAAATCAGTGCACGAGAGGAAGGAGGAGAAGCGACAAGCGAAACTCCGAGGCGAGGAGCTTGTCGATTCGGAAGAAGAAGAGAGAAAAAAAAAGCGAGAAAGAAAGAAAAAGGCTGCAAGCGCTGGCGGCAGCAGCGTCAGCACCCCCAAACGACAAAAGCCCAAGTACATGACGGCAGAGGAGATCAAGAAGTCTGCCCCGGGACTCCATATCCCAGAGGCTTTTGCGCCTATACTGGACATGACAGGGCCTGGGAACAAACTTTTGACGACCGCCTCTGGGCTCTTGACGCCGACTTCTGCCGCAGTTGTCGAGTCTCCCGAGCTGGCGGCTGCGCGCAAGCTGGTGAAGCGAGCACATGCCGACCTAGCAGCGTTCTCGGAGGAGTGGAGAAACTTGGAAGAGCGAAAGACCTGGGTAGATTTGGAACTGCGCGAAAGGGAGCAGGAGATGGCGGAACTTGGCTCGGACTTAGGAAGATTACAACTGTTTTCCAACATCGTCACCAACGAGCTTCCCTTGGCCACAGAATGGGAGGACGTCATCCGCTGTCTGGAGAAGGCAGTCCAAAAAATTGGACCAGCCACGGATGAAGTCTCGGACCTCGCGGTTGCGGCCATCTACCCCTTCTTCCGCGACCCCGACTGGGACTTACTGGAGCAGCCTACCCGGTTTGCTACAGAGCTCAACGATCTCAAAAGTCTACTGATGAAGTCTGGCGAGGGCAACAAGGCTATGGATAATTGGAAAGCGACCAGCCTGAACACCAACGATCTTTACCGTCAACATCAAAAGGCGACAACGCCTTACGAGACCATGATGTACAAGTTGTGGTACACAAGGGCAATGTCAGCCATCCGAGACTGGGATGTCTTCAACCCCGCACCGCTCCTAGCTGTCTTGGAGGCGTGGGCAGACCTGCTACCTCCTTTTGTTCGGGCACAGTTCCTCGATGCTGTCGTTCGCAAGTTGGAAACAGCCGTAGCGGAATGGAACCCGAAGAAGAAGCGACAAGGCCATAAATTGCCACATCTCTGGCTATTTCCCTGGCTTCAATATCTGCCCTCGTACCACTTGGAGCCCAAGGGTACTGGGTTGGTCGCCGAAGTGCGGAGGAAGTATAGACAGTTGATTGACTTGTGGGATTTCGACCGCGGCATAATCCCTGGCCTGGAACAGTGGCGCGATGTGCTTGGCGAACAATGGCGCTCCTTGATCATGAGCCATGTGTTGCCGGCCATGGGCCGCTACTTGCGCAAGAACTTCAGAGTAGACCCGAGCGACCAGGAGCCGTACCTACCTATGCTCATGGGCGTGCTGAAGTGGTCTGACATCTTGACGTCCAAGGTCCTGGGTGAGGTCATCGTCACAGAGGTCTTCCCCTTGTGGCACGAGAAGTTGAGCGAGTGGCTTGGTTTGGAGGATGCCAATTTCGAGGAGATCATAGCATGGTATGAGTGGTGGAGGGACGACGTCTTGCCCGACGCTGTGAGGAACCTGAAATCAGTTCAAGCAGAGTTCAACAAGGGCATGGGCACCATCGAGAAGGCATTATAGGACATGACGCTAGCATAGCAGCCACGGTTTTGGCTTCAGGATCATCACATAGAAGGTATCATGTTCAATGTTCAGTAATACCCTTTCCTACTTACTTGCACTTCAGCCCACGAAGAGAATGGTGGCCCCTTGATTTGTTCAGCCGGGATCATGGTCACATTTGTTATTGCTATTTGCTAAGAAGATAAGCAGGCTTGAGACCAAGCTTTTGGAGTAACAGGATACACAAGGCGGCGTTGACATGGGATGCGGGTGTCATTGCAGCCAAGGACCAGTCAAGCACGAGCCAAGCTCGCCATGAAGGCGCATTCGCTAGGCTATGGTCACTAAAAGAGGAAGAGGAAGCATTTGAAGGCTTTCTCGGGATGTGATGGCTGGACTTGGCGGTCGATAGCTTGTTCCGTGCGGCAGATGCTTTCAGCGGCAAGTCAATATGGCGTATACTCGTGGATGAGTGTAAGCTTTGGTGACAACCGTCAACCGAGCTCAAGAGCTCAAAAAGAGAATTTCGAAGTTTGTGACTCGCTTCTGTCAATTCACACAGGATCTCCGACTCGAGCAAGATGACGAGCGCCTATTTCTGAAGTCGGCTAAAGAAACTCAGACTGGAACCCCTGAACATGGTGATCTTGAGGGCCAATCACATCTAATTCTGTAAATGGAATCCCTTCATCAGAAAAGGAGGAGCTGAAAAGCCCCCAAAGAGCTAAAGGCAATCAAAATCCGGGAAGTGGGAGCTTCATCCCTCCATCACCCCTACCGCGTGCCCTTGCCACTTCTCTTTCGAGCCCACATCGCCATTCCGAAACATCGACAGCCGTGAAACCTGGGGGAATTCTGACCGACTGGGTTCAGACGAACGCCACTTTGGCACAGGCCACTTGAGATCTCCTTCAATAGAGGTTCGCTTGACGGTCACATCGGACCGGCACTGCCCCTATTCATCGTGCTAAACATGCGATGCCCAACCCATGTAGTAATTGCCAGACCGCAGCTAACCATGAGATAACACGAGGGGTTAACATTGATGCGTGGCTTTGTGCTATGTAAGAGCATTTTGTCTATAATGGTGCCGACAGGTTCCTTACACAACGCAGGGAGCGCAGGGCCATTAACGAGATTGTCTACTCGGAAAACCCATCGGCGGGCCACATCGCCCAAGTCAAGAATGTCGACACTCTTGTTGCTGATGGCATATATTTACCAGTCTTTGACTTAGGTAGGTGTCACAGCTCAAAAATCTTTTTTCGAGCCGAGAGGGTTGGGTCGCAAAGCGGGTGGATGGACGGCTACCTCGATGCCGAGTATGGCTTCTGCGTCCCCGATTCGAGCGAAACTACTGGAGCCCTTGCCAACTGCCCTGGCCGCGTCTGGTCCGATCTTTGCGAGAAGATATTCGGTTGCTTTTCGCGACAACAAGTTTGAGAGTCAGTCGCGGCGCTCCCGCTCATCGAGGGAACCTAGAAATTTATCCCGGATCAAGCCCTCTGGGCTGCTATCGTGGCCCTAGGCATGTTGTGCTCCATCTACCGATACGAGGATAACAATGACGGGTATGACGGAGTCATCATCAACTCGATCGCTGCCAAGCCCCGAATCGAAATGAGCGACGACCTCGTACCGGAACTGAGAGGAACTCCGAGAAATGCCTAACTGCCTTGCTGAAACGTTCCGCCACGTATTGGACGAGCCATCCACCACCTGACATTCTTTGATCAAGCGTGCTATAACATTGAAGCGCGAGACCCGACTTCTGTGTACCGATATGTTGGCCGACTTGATAACACCGATCTGAGATGGCCCATGGCCTGTCAAGGGAGATGATTAGATTCAAGGAAATCTCCAAAAGAATACCCAACGCCTTCTACTCCATCTCAACCAAACCTCAACTTGGGCGACAACTACGTCTCAGCGGCCGAGTGGGCACATTGGGGGCAAGTTTTCCGCACCGCTGTCCAAGAGATGCCCGGTCGCCTCTGTTCCTTCATTCCCGCCGTTTCTTCTCGAGGACGGTTTCCATAGCCGCAACAAGTACGTTTGCTTCCTCGGCAACGAAGGCTTGCACCTGCGCGCGTGGCTGCCGACCAACCTGCGAGCTTTCATCGCCTCGGTAGAGTACTACTACTGGATTCCAGAGTACGTCAGGGAGTCTGACGATGCGCAGCTCATGGGTGTCCTCGACGGAATTATCGAGGCTTACGCTGGCGAGGAAGGGCTCATGGGCACGCATAGGTACAAACTGTTTGGTGTCTAGGGAGATTCACCCCCAATTCTCAGATGTCATGAAAGAACGCTTGGAGCCCTACAATGGAAACATTCCCGTCGAACCCCATGAGGTGCGCGTAACTTTCGAGGAATGTCGTTACAAGTCACGGATTCTCTTTGGATCTTCTGTCGACTCAAACCATGGTCAATTCAGTTCTATGATCGCGCTTGATCTGCATAATACTGGCATTGCCCTCCAGCCAGGCGACCGACTCGTCATCATGCCTCTCATCAGCTGGGAGGAATACGCCAAGATAGCCGCGGGGCTCGGCTTGAACACGATGCTTGATAGGCCTGTTCTTCTCGACCGAAGGTGGTCTCGATTTGCGGAACCCTTGGAGACAGTCTCTAACCACGGTGTCGCGGCTCCTTGCACAAAGACAAGGAAACTCATGGTCAAGGATATTTTCCACCGAGGTCATCTGGCACCGCTGACCCAAGATCCACGCCATGCTGATAGCTTCGTCAAACGCGGTGTTGCAGGTGCTGACGACAGAGGAGTAGCGTGTCCGTGGTTCACTGGGTGATCTGCTTCAAGATGCTGTCATGGACACACCAACGAACACCTGGGACCAAGTATTCAAGCTCTCAACTGACGCGGCATGGCCTGGCAATCTATTCTCAGTCAAGATTCCGTGTCATACTCCATCTCTGACTATCTCGAGGAGCTGCTCTCAAGCTCCGTAGGCCTTACAATCTCAATGACAGAGTAAAAGCTATGCGCCACATTTGCCGAAAAGTCTGATATCTCAGGGCCCGAAGTGAGCAGCGCCTACCTCAACCCTGTATAGACAACTTGAAGCCCCAAACAGCCAGGACCTTATCACATGATGGCTATCATTCATAAAGAAACATAATTAGTGGAAGAACCTAGATACGCTCCTCCCCATCCTCCGAACCAATCTCGGTAGGAAGTATCAAGCCACCAACAATGTATAAGAGAGAGAGAGGGAGAGTCGAGACCGGCCGAAGATCGTCCAAAGTGTGGCGAGTGCAAACGTGGCTGACGCACATGACTGTGGCTGAGCTCTGCACCCCGCAGTCCACTTCAACTAAGGTACCCCTCCTCCCCGGTCCGCCGACGACTGCGCATCACACACTTGGCTCCAATCACTCATCAAGGAACTGAGGCGAGCACAACATCGCCACCACGAAAGCTGCCACAGCTGCTTCTCCCTTGCGCGCCCATGTTTCCTTCAAAGTCGTCTGCCAATACGCTGGGCCGGCCAAAGTCCCATCTCGCAGACAAACAACCAAATCAGACCAACAACCATGATATCACCCGCCCGCTTGGCACGCACCCGTCTCGTCTCGCATTTCCAACCCACCACGCTGGGCTGTTTGGTGCGAGCAGCATCGCCCTCTCTGTCCAGTCTCAGCATGATTGCCATACAAGGGCCACCCCCGATTCACGGTGTCCTTACCCCCCGACTGCCCGGTTCTCTCTGTGTTCTCTGCTCCTCTACAGGGCCACCACATCGAGCCACTCCCTTCTGTTCCATCCTGTGCCACCGTCTCGTCGGAGAAAAAAAGAGTAAAAAGCAAAGGGCTGTATGTGCTCAAGTACTCGGTCTCGCCATTCGTAACCGTTTAACAGCGTTTGAACGGGATATGTGAAATTTACCCTAACACGCCGTGTTCCGTGAGAGGACTCGTGTAAGTGGCCGGTGTCACTGTGTACATTTCTCCTCGTCCATCTGAACCTCCGTACAGTGCTGCGCTGTGCCTGCGTCTGTCCTGTTCGCATGCACATGCCCATGTGTATGTGTGGCGGCAACTTGGACTTGGCCCAGCAGCACCCACGCCTTCTCTCTGCCTTTTTGCCTCCTTCGGCTCTTCCATCTGATTTTTTCCACAAGAATGCGACGAGCAAAGGAAGCGGCGGCGCCCGGGTGCGCCGGTACGAGTGTACACGCAACAGCTCTCTCGCCTTTTTTGGTGGCCCAGAAACAAGGTTATTACGGCACCTTCCCTTTTACTTTCCTATTCGTGTCATTGGGCGGAGTGGGATGAGGTAGGCAGTGCCACCCATCACAGAGTTTGGATATAAGTCGCCAAAGTCTGGCTCTCTGCGTCGTCATCACCACCCGTCTTCTGATTCACGCAGTTCTTATTTCTTTCACTTGGCGTGTCCTCTTGTCTTTCCCCCTCAGATCCGTGACTTCAATTTCCCTCTACTGCCCTCTATCATCACCACCGTCACCACCACGACACAACCCGAGAAATCAAGCCATCAAGCAGAGCAACCATGGGCAACCCAACCCAGCAACCCGCCACCTCGGCCCCAGCCTACGTCCCGACACCGGACGCGAACCCATCAGACAACTATGTGGCCTCCGATCCGCCCCCAGAATACCGACAACACGTCAACCAGCAACCCACCGGTACATCGATGCCAAAATACGGCGGCCCTGCGATCAACCCTCCTCCTCCTCCCCAGAACTACGACGGCGGCTACGCACCTCCCCTCCAAGGCGGGCCCCAAAACTTTCAGCCCTACGGCACGCCGCTGCCTTCCCTGGGCCCCCACCCGGCGCCGGTCGCGTGTCCCGAGTGTCACGCCCGCGGCATTACATCGGTGGAGTATACCTCGGGCGGCTTCACGCATTCTCTAGCCGCTATTGTATGTTTTGTGAGCTGTCTGGGTTGTATCCCGTACTTGTTCTCCTCGTTGAAGGACGCGAGACATAAATGCTCCAAGGTATGCTTTCCCCCTCCGATCTTTGCTTTTCAAATATTGGAGAGATTCGTGGAACTAATGATACTATAGTGCGGGATTCCTTTGGCAACATATCATCGCAGTGGTCGGACCGAGGTCCATTGGCACCAGGCCTATAATGGCTAGGCAGCTGGGCATGACGGCGCATGGACGAGGTAGTTGGACCGGATCAAAGTAGGACAGCGGTGGGTGATTTACTATGTGGGCATGTGCGAAGTCGGTTGAGGCTGCGGCGGATGGCCTTGAGCGGTAGTATTCTTGGGTCGAGATAGTATGATTATGCGAGGCGTAAAGGATACCCATTCTACTTTCCTCTTTGATGACGTGGAATGATGCTTGAAATGGTCTAACTAGTCACCACTTGATGTTCCCAATGTGCTGGCACAAGGTCTTCTTGAATAAGTTCTCCCCTCAAGCAGTGACTACTAGCAAATAGTCGAGACACAGGAATAATACAGACACAGCTTGTCTAGATAGTCATTGTTCATTGTGTAGCACCGATCCCATGCTGCAACACAGAAAATACCACAGTTGGCTATTATCATGCAATTAAACGAGGAACCGAAATTGAAAGCCCAGCGAGATCGTGTTGCGGGTATCTATTCGATTTTGTACAAGCTCCCCTAAAATCTATATCATCAGCGAAGGCATCACGTAATCGTCAGATCGTACGCCGTACTTTTGACCCCTTTTGACGCCTGCCTCCGGTTTGCCCATGCTTCTCGTATGAATCGTTACGCCATGATCCTGTATTTGCTCCCGTCGCGGTCGCCGGCGACTCGGCATCCTGGCCGTCCACCGCGACGCGAGTCGGCCCGGCAATCTCATCTTGTAGCCGCTCTTTCATCTGTCGTCAATTGACCTATCGTGAGGATGCTTCCTTCAGTTGGCGAAGATGCGCACTCTTAGGTCGACACTTCCTGTTGCGATGACGCAGCGTATTGAGACATCCTGAGGCTTTGCTGCCGCTTTGCTTGGTGTTCCGTTGGCACCATTGGCTCCGTCGCCGTTCGTAGCCGCCTCCCGTGAAATGCCAGGGGCCCAGCGCAAACAAGAAATGAAGTGACCGTGAACGTCGTCCAGAACCTTGACACACTTGCCCTCCTGTGCCAGATCCCAGCACCGCAGAGTCTTGTCATCGGACACACTGAGCAAGTACTTGCCACCGGGGTGGAAGACCAGTGCACGTACCCAATTATCGTGTCCCGTAAGAGTTTTAATGCAGTTTCCACGAGCGTCCCATAACCTGATGGCCTTGTCTCGGCTTCCCGTTGCCATGAACTCGGCCGTGTTCGCGGCGGGCGGGGCCTTCTTCAAGCCAGCCAGTGATGCCAAATGACTGTAAGCGGTTGGTGGTGCCAGCGTGCAGCATACGACGACGTGCTCGTGGCCGACCAGCATTAATTTCACTTCAGGATTTGAGGCGCTGATATCCCAGAGGCGGCCCGTCTGGTCGTCTCCTGCTGATAACAGATAGCGTCCATCCGGCGATGGGCAGACGTCCCGCACCCAGTCCGCATGCCCTCGTAGTGTCTTGAGGCAGTAGCCCGTTGAAACATCCCAGATCCGCAACGTCTTATCGCGACTCGCCGATACGAGAAGGTTTCCTGTGGCGCCTGCAGCCCCCGAAGGAATAAACCGAACTGCACTGACGCTGTGATCGTGGCCGGGTAGCGTCCGGATATTCTTGTACTCGTCTGAGGGGTCCCATAGCTTGATCGTCAGATCACTCGAGCATGAGGCGAGTAAAGTGGCGCCCCGGGGCCCGCCAAAGTCGACATCCTGCACTGCCTTTGTATGCCCCTTGATCGTCCTCTCGAGTTCGCCCAGCTCCCAGTCCCAGATTTTTATGGTGTAGTCTTCTGATCCCGAGGCGAGCGACGAAAAGACGGGATGGAATGCGACACAGGTAATTGCATCACGGTGGGATTGCAGGGTGTGTCGGGCGGGGGAACGTGGAAGCCAGCTGGTGGGGTCCTGGTTTCGTCGGGATAGCGAGGTCGGTGTCGCACTGTCAAGTTCTGATTGAAGGGAAGCACTTCGAGACTCGAGTTCCATGATCTAGCAAGGTCATCATCAGTCAGAGCTGCTCGAAACAGGAGTCCAAGATCGGTCAACAAACCTTCTTCTGCAGCCGCACTACACTGGTCCATTTCTTCTCCAGCAATCCCTCATATTTCTTCGAGGTCGCGGCATCGAAAGTGTCACCGATTTGCAATTCTTCCCGGAGTGCATTTGCTGCATTTGGGAGATTGCTCGAGGAGAGGTACGCAATGATGGCCTTATGCCTATCACGATCTGGTCAGTATAGCGCAAACTTGGAAACTTTCTGGGGGAAGAGGAGGGAGGAGACCTACAGCTCCTCTGCTTGCCGAGGGGTGAGGATTTGGCTCATCCTGGCAGACGGTGGAAGCTACCCAAGTAATGTGTTGCTTGCAACTAAGTACAATGTTGAGAAGCACTGATGGCACAACAGGGTGGAACAAGAGCAGATGGAAATGAAGAAAAAAGGCGTTGGTGGGTGGTTTGTTATCGTGGTGGTGCGTCTGCAAGGCGGTGCTCGGGGCTCCGTCTGTCGGTAGTGGTGGTGGTGGTGGTATCGCAGCAACCGCGATGGGCGCGCCACGTGCAGTCGAAGCTTGGGGAAAGAGACGAGGCTGATGGATTTAAGAGGCGGTCGGAGAACCCAGGAATTGGCAGCCTCGTTAATCGGATATTTTGTTGCAGCGACGGCAAGATGCAGAGGTCAGGGCCGAATTGAGGGTTACCAGGGCCCCGTGGCAGATATTCGTGGAGTTGTAAAGGCGGTGTCGGTGATGTTGGTGTCAAAGCTCTCGAGATTCTATGGCTACTGCACAAAGTCCTCTCTCTCTTTCTTGCGTGTTTTCAGTCAGGGGTTGGGCTCCCAGGCGTCGGGCAGCATATCTGTGTGTTATAACCGTAGATTACAGGATTGAGTCAAGTCTCTGACGGAGAGCTCGAATATGTCTACAAGCAGGCACTTTTTGCAGGAGAGACAAGATGTTTAAAAATGCGAGACGAGGGGTGCAAGGCTCAGCCAAAAGGTGACGCTTGAGGGTGGGCAGAAGCCGAAAAGGCGAATGTTTCATGTGCTTCGGGCTGCGTAGGGAACACCCTGATGTGGTGGGAGATGAGGCGTGCGTAAGGTAGGGTGCTGTGAGCCACGGCACTGGCGGGACTCCTCCGATATGCGAGTCTACCTCAGTAATATTCTGTAAGGTAAGTGCAGGGACGGGGACCCTGGGGAAACTTCTTCGCCAACAGCGTCGAATCGGGTGGTCTTTGCAGAGGCCAGAGGGAAAAGACGGGAGAGAACTGTTTGGTGGGATGAAATGTGGCTGGTGCAAAGCACATTTGATACCTTCTGGACCCTTTTCTCGCTTAAGTAAGGTAATTTGGAGATTGCAGTGTGGCTGGTGTTGGGACTGATGAGCTCAGCACCTGCCAGCTGTGGGGGACTGCTGAGGTTCGTCCTGCTTTCCCCCAATGACATCACACGCCTGATGCGTTTCTATGGCAATCGACAAAGCTTTGATTGGCTTGAGATTCTTCAGCAGCAACATGTGGTGCAGCCAGTGGTTTTCCACAGGCGAGAGAAGAATTTCCGAGAGGGATGGGATATTGCCATTTGGGTGTCTGATTAGTCTACTCAGCCAAATCTTGTAAAGGACTGATTCATGCCATTATTTGCAGCCCTTGAATGAGTGGATATTTTAGAGTGGCTAACGGATACAACGGCCATTAATGCGCAAATTGAGCAAGTGCATCTTTCGCTGGGACGAGAAGAGGAAAAAAGAAAGCAATTTGATTAAATGGCTGGCCCGGGCTGAGTGACTAAGGCTTAAAGAACCAAGGTGAGCCCAAGGTGAACTTAGGTGAAAGGGGAGCTCAGAATCGATGCTCCGCCCTCAGCATTATCTCCTCTTATCCATTGGCTGAGGTCAAAGTTCTGTCATGTGACCTGTGTTGACCCGGGCAAGCAACGGCCCAATCATGCCCAACCACAACTGCCCGATGTGGGCCCAGAAGCAGGTCCCCCACACAAAAACATGTCAGGCCAGGAACAGGGAGAAATGCGCCCAATGCAGTCGACCCCATCCAAGCACCAAGCACCACGCACCACCTACGCACCAACCCCAAATACCACCCCTAGCACAAGAACGAACGCCTGCTGGGCCTATCCGCTCCGCCCTTGTCCCGACAACCAAAATTCCCTGTGCTCCTCGGACCTGGACAAACAAAAGAAACCCCGGCCGTACACATTCCAGTCCAACCCTCAGACTAACGACGTTGGCTTTGTACCTTCGCCTGCGACCACCACACTGCGACCTACGGGAACTACCTCTAGTCTCTTTTTCTCTCCAAGACCAGATTTAACTTCCTACGCTTCGGTCCCTTGTTTCCACGAGAACCATCGCCGCACATACCTCAGCACTCCCACTACTCCTACACTCCTAGGAACCATCTCTGCAATCTTCAATCACTCACAAGATACCTCGCTGGCTCATACCTACCTCTCCCACTGTCAGGTACCAATTCTCTATTGACTTGACGACCAACAAGTCCTTGACTGCTGCGACAACCTCACCTGATCTTGTCCAGCCTGACGATCACACTGTAAGTCCAGTCTCTTGCGCCCATATCACCAGAGACATCGCCGGTCACTGCGTCTGCAGCTGCCCGCCGCCAGTATGCCTGTCTGCAGCTCGTCCTCCCTTCCCACTATGCACCGTCATCTCAAACATACTCGTTCCCTCTCCAGGCTAATCAAACGTGTAGCTAGCTTCAGAAAGCCAGACATCCACGACAAGGAGAACTGCTCTCCCGATCCAGCTCCTCCTCCAACCCCTTCACCAGCCAAATCCGTCCCTACGCCAACACGCCAGCAAACCTCCACTCCGATGGCTGAAGAAGAAGACTTTAGCTCCCTTCCCCTCCAGGACAGGTTTGTCCACAAGGTATGACTTTGCCGCCTCTTCTGCGCCGTGTTTGATGCGCTGACGCGCCGCAGGTTTGGAAAGTAAGAAAACAGGCCTACGAAGACGCCGCAAAGGCATTCGCTACCACCGCCGACGAGTACGACAATGTCTTCAGACCCTTCCTTTCCGACTCGGGCCTGTGGAAAGGCGCCGTCGCCGATTCCAACGTCGCCGCCCAACAAGATGGCCTGGCAGCATACTGCGCGTTTCTCAAGTTCGGAGGCAAGGAACACTGCACAAGGACGCGTGGGACTACGATAGGGCCCATTTGTGAAAAAGGTCTGCCGTCAACCCGTGCGGCCGCCAAAGAGTCGTCACTCGAAGCGCTCCTGCTGCTCGTTGAGCTCGATGTTGCCGCTCCCGTCATCGAAGAGATTATTCCTGCTCTCTCCAACAAGCAACCCAAGGTTGTCGCAGCGGCCATTACCGCCCTGACCGCAATTTACCATAACTTCGGATGCAAGACCGTCGACCCCAAGCCCGTGTTGAAGGTCCTCCCCAAGGCATTTGGCCATGCTGACAAGAACGTCCGTGCTGCCGCGACGACCCTCGCAGTCGAATTCTACCGATGGCTGCGCGAAGCGATGAAGCCCATGTTTTGGGGCGACCTTAAACCAACCCAGCAAACCGATCTCGAGGCTCAATTTGAAAAGATCAAAGCAGAACCGGCCCCGAAACAAGAGCGATTCTTGCGTTCACAACAAGCCGCCATGGCGCGTGCGCCGCCTCCAGGAGCCGACGACGAATACGATGACGGGGGAGACTATGCCGAGGAACCGGCCGAGATGGACGCGTTCGACCTGGCGGAGCCCCAGGATGTCTTTGGCAAGATTCCTGCCAACTTTAGCGAAGCCTTGGCCTCGTCCAAATGGAAGGAGAGAAAGGAAGCAGTGGAAGGTCTGTACGCGGCAATCAACGTGCCGAGAATCAAGGATGGTGACTTCAACGAAATCAACCGAGGGCTGGCAAAATGCATGAAGGACGCCAACGTTGCTGTCGTTACTCAGGCCGCGCAATGTATCGAGGTCTTGGCCAAGGGATTGAGACAAGGCTATGCGAAACACCGAACTACTGTCATGCAACCTATCCTGGAGCGTTTGAAGGAGAAGAAGGTGACTGTCGCGGATGCTCTCGGCGCTGCCCTAGATCAGGTCTTCCTGGCGACGAGTCTTACTGATTGTCTCGAGGATATCAACACCTACCTTGTCCACAAGAACCCTCAAATCAAGGAAGGTACCATGAAGTTCTTGATTCGTTGCCTGAGAACGACACGCGATGTGCCGAGCAAGCCAGAGATTGCCTCCATTGTCGAGTCGGGCAAGAAGCTGCTGTCCGAGTCGAGCGAGGGCCTTCGTTCAGGCGGTGCTGAGATTTTGGGTACCGTCATGAAGATCATTGGCGAGCGCGGCATGGGACCGCATATGGAAGGCTTGGACGACATTCGCAAGACCAAGATCAAGGAATTCTTCGAGACGGCCGAAGTCAAGGCAAAGGAGAAGCCGAAGCCTCCCCCGCCAGCTGCGAAGGCACCGCCTCCGAAGAAGGTCGTTGGGGGCAAAAAGCCACTGGGTATGAAGAGACCGGCCATGCCAGCGGCAAGTGCGCCGCCTCCCGCTGACCCGGAACCCCTCTCCCCGCAAGCCTCGTCCCGTCCGAAACCCGCTGGTACCAAGATGGGCATGCCAAAGCCATCGGGTCTGGCTGGACTCAAATCGAAGCGCCCTCTCGGTGCACCAGCGGCCGGTTCCCCTCGACGCCCTGCTGCTGCGCCGATTATGCCCGATGATGATGAACCTGCTCCTCCACCACCTCAACCTCGCATTGGTCTCGGCCGAGGTGGTCTTGCAGGACGATCCCTGGCGAAACCTGTTGCCGCTCCTGTTCAGATGCCCCCCGCGTCGCCGCCCCCATCAAGTGGACTCACGGCACTGGAGCGGGCTGAGCTTGAAGAACTCCGGACAGCAAACGAGCGCCTGACACGCCAAGTGGAGGAAATGCGGCATGAAAGGAGCAAGTACATGTCTGAGATTCAAGAGTTGAAGAATCAGAACGCCGGCCTCATCGAAGATCACACCCGCGATGTCCTCAGCATCAAGGCCAAGGAGACGCAATTGGTCCGTGCAAGAAGCGATGCAGAGGCCACAGAGTCGACGAACGACCGCCTCAGACGGGAGCTGGACCGCCTTAAGAGAGCGCTCAACCATGCTGAAGCCTTGAATTCAAGAACAGGTATGGGCAGTCCTGGTAAGACAGGTGCTTCTTCTACTACCATGCGATCAAGTACTGATTCAGTCGCAGGTCTCGCTTCGCCTACATATGATGACGCTGGTATCTACCGCGACGCTTCTTACGGATCATCTTCTGCTCGACATAACCGCGTTAGTTACGCCAGCAACATGTCTGAGGAGAAGGAAAACGGAGACCATCACTACCCTCGTTCAAAGGCACTCAGTCCTGAACTTAGGTATACCGGCAGTGCATCTTCCGGGCGCGGTAGCCCTGCTAGAGGCTACAGAAGCTCTGCGGCCACTCCCATTGATGACATGCCGCCGTCGTCATTCTCGTCCGGTGGCGGCGGCGGCGGCGGCGGCAGCGGCGGTGGCATGAATTCGAACAACAATGGCGTGGAAAGCTGGAAGCGTGCAGCTGAGGTAACCAGTCAACTAAAAGCCAGGATCGAACAGATGAAGGTCAGTTCTCCCCTTTACCTAGTAATGTATTTTCCACTTTACTGACAGTTACTAGGCGAAACAAGGATTTGCCCGTCCTTGAGCTCGACCAGTGTACTACCCGGTGCCAGATGTCTTGTCGGATACTCACGTGAACATGAAGAGGGGTTTTGTTTGGGGTTCGTAATGGTCACGGTTCAAAGGGGGGATCCCGCGTGTTCATGGTTGCATATCACTGGCGTCGGAAGCATACCCATACCTCATCTCCGGCCTGCAGTTGGGACAGGCAATTTCCGTCTGTATGAGTTATGCATTTTCGCCTCCATTATCTGTCAGCTTGCTTGTATAACCTCGAGGGGGCGAGTGTACTTAATTAACGATGATTATGAATAAGAGTTTGCGATACCATGAGTGAGGGGAGTCTATCGCTGCTACTTTGCCAGCTTTACTGTGGTCACTTTCATCCGTATGGTGGTCCCTTTTTTTATTTGATCTCAGTATCTCATTTTGCATTTGCACGACTGCGACAGCGACAGCTGGCTAGAGATCCCCCCCCTTCATCGAGTTCTTGTTCATCCAGTTCTTCCTTGCGCCCAAACTAAAATTAATTGTCAAACCCGCAGATCGTATGACGTTGACCATTCTCAGTAAAAATTACACAATGAATCCGTTTTCTCCAAACAGACATGGAAAAAAGTTCACAAGAAACCCGCAAGTAGCAATGGCTCAAAGCCCATATCTGCCTGCAACCAAGCCAGATTATCTGCGGCCAGCTCCCCATTTCAATCTGAACCATCATCATATTTGGCGAAACCACCCGCCGGAGGCGAAGTCAAGTCTGAAACTCTTAGGAATGTATTTAGGCTTCGGCTCCGCGTTCGCCGCATTGTCGGGCTCCTCCTTTGCTGTCTCCCTCTGGACCTCCTCCACCTTGGCCGCCTTGGTGCTGGGCATCGTGTGAATCGAAGGCCTCATAATGTGGACGTCGACCTCGACGGGGTCGACTTGGATATGCGAGCGCTTCTCTTTCGCTATGTTGATCCTCCCGTCTTCCTCCTCCCGCAGCACTTCTCGTCGTTTCGTTAGTGGAGACGGCATCATGCGTGGGGAAGACGAGATTTTATCAATGACGCGCACAGGGTCAACGCGGAGGTTGGAGAGGTCGACATTGTCCACGCCGATTCTGCCCGTGTCCTCGCCAAGATCTTGGACGGGTGTTTCATGGGGCGTTGGGGCGAAGACCTTGTTGACTTTGGCGGTTGGAAGGGCGAGGGTTGTTGTTAGGAAGAGGGAGAGTAGAAACGCTCTGAGGTACATATTTGGAGGTTTGCTTGATATACTGGATGTTTGATTGTTGTGGTCGTTGATGTCTTCAGAGTGAAGTGACGGCCGTCACGGTCTCGTGTGAACCACTCACGCATGGTTCACATAAGGGAGTGCCACACCGGGGATTTATAAAGTGCCCTCGCCGCAAGGGTGGGCAGAAAAGAAGGTTTCTCCATGATTCCATCGGCACATCAAAGTTGGGACAGAAGGAGGGGATCGCAAAAAGTTCAAACAACCTGTGCGGGCGGGCGGGCCACAACGGTGTCAAGTGTCATCGAATGGCGTCGCTGCCAGTTTGACACCTCTTTTGGTGCAGACCGTTGGGGAAAGTTAATCGGCGAGTTTGGCAGGCGTACCAGTTGAGTCTTTGCTAAAGACTAGGGGTGCGTGGGTTGAGGAGGGGGGGGTTACGAAAGGTTCGCGATGGATTTGCTCGTTTTAGGTGAGGTCATCATGTGTAGGGACATCAGACCAACCTACTCTCTCCATGCTAGTTTCGGAGCGTTGAGCGTGTTGGAAGGTTTTGGAAGTCGGGGGATTCCCCCTACTTGATCTATGATGGACTATGTGTCCGTGTGAAAGGAGGGGGGCTTTGACGTTGAAAGATCGGATGAGAAAAGCTTGGTTTGCTTGCCGAGAAGTGCATCGGAGTTCAGTCCCATCTTGCGCGGGTGATGTGTTGCGAACTACCATTGACTTATGAGGTATTCTAGATCAATCACCTCGAGGTCGAATGTTACTGGTTGAACATTCGATCTGAGATAATGATGCCTTGGGTTCTTCAGCATTTCTCCGTGCGACGTCGTCGCTCAACAGGGCTCTCTGATTTGATTTGATTTCTTCCTTGAGATCATGATAAATCAGTCCTTCAAAGTCGTCCTGAGACGATCGACTGTCTCTTGCAGGATATGTCATTTCGTGATCCTGATTAAATCACCTTCTAACGACTTCAATTTGCGGACAGTCAAGTTGGCAACTTAGGACACCGTGATGACTTTTCTAAATTCCCAGAAGATTTCATGGAAGTTTGTAAGAGCAGTTGGTGAAGGAAATCAAAGGATACAGGAATTAAGATGCGGCCGATGGTGATGGCATGTGACACAAATCTGATCTTTCATGCTTACCGGAACTGCACAATCCTCGGCGGATGTATCGCTCTTTAGTCGTATGAATTCAAAAACATTGATATCCCATGCGATTAATGTCGTTGAGGAAGCGGCACAGTGGAACAGAATATCATAACTGCAGAACAGGTAGTCGTTGCTAGAGAGTGGACAATTTAGTCACATCAACATGCATTCGTGATCGATACCGGCTGTGGTGTGGCGGAGTAGCTGCTTTTCAAGCCTCTCTCGCAAATCACCTCTGGGCCTTTTCACAGGCGTGGTTCGCCACTGTGTGGCCTCCCGGCCGTTTGAGGCGACCGGCTCGGTATTTAAAAAAATATAAGCCAGTAATGGTTGTCCACGATGCCGACCAAAAGCTGACCTGCAGGTATTGTTACTTGGCCAGGGGTAAGCGCGTCCAGGCCTCCATCTCCCCAGGTTCCAGTCACAACCAACCAGGATGACACAAAGCTGAGAGATGAAACTGCATATGCGAGTCAACAGCCTCGATCTCCGGTAACAGCTTCGCTGGGCCGCCTTTCTCCATGCAAATTTTGGTGCGAAGAGTTTTATGAGAACCCCTTTTCCAACCGATCGTCCCAAGATAATAGTATTCTTTCTTCAAACTTTTGCTTTCGTCCCTCTCGAGATATCCACCAGCAATCATTATAAGCAGAATGGCTGACCCGCTCAGCATTGCTGGCTCGGTTGGTGGCCTGTTGGCTATCGCAGTCAAAGTTTGCAATACCACTGCGAGTTTTGTCTCAAGCACCATCGACGCTCCCGAGTCGGCAATGCAGATGTTTCAACTTGTCGACGAGATGAGGATGACTCTGTTTTCGGTCGACAAGAAAATTGGCTCTCTCTCGACCTTGCCCAGCTCCCGCAAAAACATGATTCAACTCGACCACCTTTCCATCGTCATAACCCACTCGGTTCTGACTCTTTCCAAATTGGAATCCATTATCTGCCAACAGGATGGATTGCGTTCTAGAATCCGATGGGCACTATGGCATGAAAAGAAGGTTATCAGCCTCCTTCCGCGGCTGGAGTCTCAGAAATCAACGCTGGCGTTGATGATGACGGTCCTGAACAGGTGAATGACATATACTCGAATGAACATATCTTTCAACAATGGTTGACCCTGGACTGCAGTGAAACCCAAGAAGAAGCTGCTCGCTCTCACGTCACTATGCTAGCCAAAGTGAATGAAGTTCTGGAACAAAATCGGACCTTGGCCGAACAGCTGAAGCTACTTGGCAGTGAGACGTCGTGGGACACGAGGTCCGTCAAGTTCATAGACAGCGCTTCATCAAGAACGAGCCGGCCCGTGTCTACACAAACTACTACCTACGGTCCTATCACTTCCGCGTCGGCCACCTTTCAGAGACCAAATTCCATGGCAGGATCGATGCTTATGACGCTGTCGAAACGGAACTTTGAGCTTGCCCTTGGGCAATCGAGGGTTTACAACCGAACTCAAGGCCGCGAGACTGATCGATCATCATTCACAACTTCCAATGCACCGACAACTGCGTGGAGCATGCTCTCAGGGCTCAGCCTCAATGATATTTCTATCGTGTCAGCATTCAGGCTTCCGATAACTTTGAATGAAATTAATAAGATCGCGCCGGGATCAACATTCTCGGTCATTTTGACGAAACAGCAATCCATTGAAGATAACATGAAATTCCGACCAACATTCACACGCAATGAATCCATATCCCGAATCATTAGCATGCGCAGAACAATACCTACATGGAGTCTTGAAGATGACTGTGCGCACAGAGAACCCGACTCAAGCCAAGAGTTGCCAACCATCGCGTAAGTAAATAAGAACAGCCTGTCGTTGATCTGATGTTGAGTGGCTTAGAATCATGGTGGTTGGAGATGAAACATCGCTCAACAGTGAGATGATCAACACATTCGTCAGCCCTAAACCATCTGGAGAAGATGCATATATTCCAAGGGGTGTCGATTCCTCTAAAATGACAGTGCGGTGCGTGCCGGCCGGTGGCTCAGTCCCAAAGATTTCTTTGCCTCTGGTACTCAAACGGAATATTCGGAGGATCCTTGTACTAATAATTACAACTAGTGTGCGCGAGGAGTTGGTAGGAGTTATGCTGCGCGACACAGTAGGACTGGAAAACTTCGACTTTCTCCGACATCAACTCTATCAACATTCAGATGCTTTTATCGTTCTCTCGAGCAATCCAAAGCTGTCAGGGGCGGCTCGTTCAATGTCTGAGATCTCTACAGCACGGCAAGATGCTCCTCGTCTGTTAATAGGGGCTTATCGGAGTACCGCCGATACGGAAAGCTCTGATTATTTGACATACGAATCGCACGGCCTGGGTATGAGAACTGCAGACGAGTTGGGTGCTGTACAGTACCTTGACTGCAATGTCAAGGACCCACGAAGCGTTGGAATAGTGCTTGGCCAGGTAAGTCTGGTACAGATTTGAGCCATTCCATTGCATGGCAGAAGAAGCTGATGATTTCTGCATAGGCCATACTAGCTGCGAAGAAAAGCGCCCAACAAAAGAAAACTCGGGGTTTAAGGCTCAGAGTCTAGGCTTCTCAGCTTGGTCTTGCCCCATTTGAGGAGAACAACTTTGGGGACTTGACGGAAATGTCTCTAGCAAAGTGGACGTAATCGGATACCAATTGGGGAAAATGTAAAGATGTGGGGGATAGGGAGAAGCTGTATTTTGAAATTATTAAGGCTGAATAGAAGGGCATAGAATTCCAGAATACATGTACTAAGGGCGCGTTAGAAACTGTGACCATTTGTAGAAATATTCAAATTGAGTGGACTTTGCTGGGCATGAGGAAGCCGAGCGCAATGATTCACGTACTCTACTGCGCTGCTTTAGATCTGTTTGGCTTGCTTTCCTCAAGAACTGCACTCTCACTCGAAAGACTATCCATCTCAACGTCAAACTGCGAGTATCTGCTACGTGGCCCGCGAGAGGCGCTGGCATGTGTGCTCTCCTTCACTCTCGACCCTTCTGACCCAATCAACCTGGGGGCCATTGCCCGGAAGAACCTACGCAACGTAGGCATTGAGTCACATATTATGAAGAGATTGACTTCGACAAAACTATTATTGCGCATCAGTACTTAAGTAAGTATGAGCTTGGCAAGCTGAGAAGCCTTGAGGGGCAGATGGTTGATGACTTACGACCAGACGTTTGCAGGGGCCGCGACCCATAGAATATAGTTGGTTGAAAGAAGTGACTGCAAGTAGACCATGCGGACTACAGATGTTGTGACAGTTCTGGGAGGTGGATCAGTATATCGCCCCTTAATCGACTTGAATGTGGTGACCATACATGGATGCGATTCCAAACATGAGCACAGCACCAATCTTGACCGCCGGTCGCATTTGCAAACGGAGAACCATGGGAATGGGGGTGATGAAAAGAACGACATCAGAAACGATATTAGAAACGGCGATAGCCATGTAGAGTACTGCGGAGTTGAGACATGTTCCGATTGTGTATGGGTCCCAGTTTGTGCGAATGGGTTGGCATTGAGATAGGAGTAAAGATGCGATGATGACTGTGTACGTGGCTACCATTGCTATGGCTGTCAAGATCGCGTTGCGGTACCTTTTTTGTGGCGAGATGTTGAGGTAGGCTGGCAAAAGCGACGTCTTAGTAAAGCCGTTGCACATAATAAACACGGGGGCAACGATGTAAGAGCTCTTTAAGACCGGTTCAGTAAATGTTCAGTATGAAGTCGGTCAGCACACTCACCAGCATATGCTTCTCGTAAGTCTGTATAGACATCTCGAAAGCATGATGGCCCAAGCCTCCAATCGATATAGACCCTGTACGAACGAGGTTAATTTTCTCTAATTAAAGCGAGAATCAGGAAGTTCCAGGTTCTTACAAGTCTGCACTGACTGCATAACAACAGAAGCGATCCGAGAACATTAGTCTCCTGGAAGTAAACCAAAGCTGTAGTTTAGGAAATTACCCAAGCGAAGAATATCAGGACTTTGGGGAGGGCAAGTTAGTTACAGCACAGACGTGGTTGCGGGGTGCCAAGTCACGTAGTACTTACAGTCGTCAATCTTTAGGCCGTCGGAAAGACAGAATTTGGTGTAGAACCTCTGTATCAATGTCAAGAATGCCAAGGGACCCAGGATGCCGAATACAAGGTAATGTTCGAGCACTTTCTGTTGCTGCGGATGCTCAAAGTCCACCCGGTAACCCTCGGGGGCCTTGATGACCGTTATGATGCCATCAGTGACTGGGAACTCGGCCATGAAAATAACAAAGCGTAGGCAGTTTCCAAAATGCCAAAGAAATCAAATAAAAAGTTCAGTAAGGACCGAAAGGCCAAAAAACCATACCGGCACATGCGAACAAACAGCTTCAGCTTTGCAATATTTAAGTAGCACTCACATTCCGCTCTCTGATCAGTTGGAGCTCCTCTTCTCATATTACTAACCTTATCCTAGCAAATGCCGATAATTCGGCCCTAAAATTATGTGAATCATTCTGATACGACCGGGACAGACTCTGAGCCATCACATTATCGTTTTCACTCAACCAACACGAGCATCGCCCCTGCCCCGAAGAACTGCATGGGCCCTTGGCCTGCACACATATGCACCAAGTGGGCAAAGAACGCGGGACAGGGCTACCTAGATCCTGTGGATATCGCGAATTCGCGTTGGACCTGCATATGGAAGAGATTCTTCATTACTCAAACCCTTGTATTCTCAACTGAAACGGTGCAAATGACCGGTCTGAGAAAGTGGGTAAATTCTCGACCACAAATCTAGACGCTTCATTGCTCAACCGCGAGATCCGAACCTTGGAATATCCATCAAGCAAACGACGCAAAGGGAAAAAAACCCTGGAAGACTTATTGCAATGGAGCATGATATTGTGAACAATATTGGTTGCTGATAGCCAGAGCTCGAGCACTAGCATACAGCCGCTGCAAGATCGAAATACATAAAGGCTCGGATCCATTCCATTCTTTCTGTCCAAAACCCCAGAAGACACAAGTCCAGGTACTCGGGCACCTATTTCATCCATTCTTACCCTCATCTATCATCTAATCTCAGCCAGAATGGTCCGCCTCCCTGTTCCAATCACCATCGCCGCCACGCTGCTCGCCAGTGACATGGCCGCTTGTTCCAACACTGGGTAGGCGCAGATGGTAACCTACGTCAAGCGAACAGCTAACTTCACCCAGGAGCAGTTCTGGGACTACTGGCAGACCCAGCACGCCCCAAAGGTTGCCCCCCTGGCTGTGCACTTCAACATCACACGTTACCAGCAGGTTTGTGAACTGAGCGTCCCGCTTGTCCTGGCAACATGCGTTGACTGATTCTGGCATAGATTCAAGTTGGTGGCCAGATTCTTCCCACTGAATCCGGTTCAACCGTGCCAGCGTCCACCGTTCCGGTCGCCTTCGATGATATTGCCATGTTCCTCTACAAGTCGCCCGAGGTTCTCACGGCAATGCTCTCTCATCCCTACTACCTTGCCGTTGTTGAGCCGGACGAACACGTGTTCATCGACAAGGGCGCTTTTGGTGCAGGCATGGTTGCAACATTTGTTGGAACCGACATCGAGATCGTTGATGGGAAGCAGGATGTGTGGGTGGGCAGTCAGGCAACGCGGGAAAAGTACGAAAAGATCTTCCAGTCGTACCTGTAGGGGGTTTGGTGTAATCCTCCTTGTTATTTTAGAATCCTCCCAAGAGATAGAGCGATTCGTCCGAAAGACTCGAGTACAAACTGAGACCTTCTGAGTTGACTTTTGAATCTTGTCAAGCCATCAGATAAAGCCTGCCCTGCATTCATTCCGCTAGCAATCTGGAGCAAAAAAAGAATTTCTTTCTTTGTTCTTTAAAATGACTCGTAAGATCTTGGCAATACTGGCAACAGCAAACTTGACAAGGTTCGCGGAAGCTTTCCGGAATATCTTTTGAACTGGCAGAAACTTCCAACAGGAGCCGTTGGTTGTTGTTCAATCATCGTATCAAATGTGACCGGTCATATGCGGTCGGAGTACCGCCCGATTTAACAGCCATCCCCCCGGGGAAAGTGGGTCTTCGACGATGGAGGCTTTATCCGCCTCTCCGGTTGAGCCTTGAGGTGCTGGGATTTCAAGCCAAACCCCATAAGTGTGTAAAAGAGAGGCGCATAGTGGAGTCCTCGGAGAACCTTTCCACTTAGAAAAGTGATGATATTGAGTGTCTTTTGACTCTAGACAAGGGCTAAGTAAACCCTTGGCCGACAGTTTCTGTTGGAACCGGGGGCAAGTATATTACACTGCTCAACGCTCAGCCTCTTGAACCTGGGAATTCTGGAATCTTCCTATTACTGCCCATTGAACGAAGGAATATATACGGACAATTTCGTGAATTGAGAGTAAGAAATAGGTAAGATGCATAGAATCGGAGTTGGTGATGTGGGCTCAATGGTCAAGTTGTCAACCTTCGGGGTCTAGCAAAAGTCCCAAAGGCAACATACACACAAACATATTTTGTTAAAGAGAGCGACCTGCATGAAAGTCTGATAGGCCCTCTATTAGTCTGACAGCATGTAATCAGGGCCCTTGCTCAGTTGTCGTGGGAGCTTCTCCATTTGAGCCCGTGGGTACTACTTGGGCATAAGTATGAGAAAAGGGGAGATTGCAGGCGGAAAGAGCCCCAAGATCGGCTACCAACAGGTTAGTTTGGGGCATGATCATACCACTTTCTTCACATAGCCAAGAAACAAATCCTGTAACCAACCTCTCTCATATCACACCGTTGAATCGAAGATCCGTGATACCCCGTGGCGGGTCATGTTCCTCCCACAATGACTTTTGCGAGCTTCTATTACTTCCACCAATCACGGGCTAGATGGCCCAAATGACCAGGAAAGTCATTTCTATGGAAGCTAGAGAAGACAACCGCAGATTCATTGCAACGAACGGAGAGGTTCAGGGGTATGAACTTGTCACAACTTGCAATGATCTTGAGCTATCTCATAGCCTAGCCCGAATAGCATGTAAGTTAAATCATTTGTTTTATCAACCCATGAAGCAAGTGTGTAAACATGAAGCTGTGGATACGAGAATAGTGCCATCAAGATCCTTCTTAATCATCGGTATATCACAATCCCGTGTTCGTGACCACCGAGGTGGCGCCTTCATCTCGGCGCTGATCTTGCATGCTCAGGTACCTTACATTAAGACATTTACTAAAGCGCAGACTGAACAACCGGGTACTTGGGGAACGCAGGTGCGTAGACCTGATTTATGATCAGTAAGATGTATGAATCCCAAAACAAAGAAGTCACATGATACGTACCGACTTGCAGCGAGCATTGTAATCACCGGTTGACCCCTGAATGACGGACAGCTCATCACCAGGGACTCCGAGCTTCACCAAAGGCCCAGACTGCGGCGACCCCTTGGCCCATCCAGTCCCGGCAGCTGGGTTCTTGATCCAGTCCACGAACCAACCATGAATGGAATCTGCTAGCGCCTGCTGTGCCTCGGTAACGCCCGCAAGCGAATTGAAGCACTCGTTGCCTCCGTGGAAGAAAGGTACCTCGGTTCCATGCGTAGGTGCTGTGCCCGGAACTCCAACGACGTTGTCGTAAGCTCCAAAGAATCTGTAGACCCAGGTATCCTGCTTGGCGCTACGCATGTCGAGCAGATAGTCGACCGCGCAATTGAAACGAGCATCTCCATACTGGGCACCACTTCGAAAAGAATCCGTCTCAAAATCGGAGACATTGTACGCGGCTAGAAGGATATCGTCTTCTATATGCGCACTATCGGCATCGAAAGTATTGATCCAAGAGCTAAAATTGCTGTTTTCGGCGCCATATACAATACTGAAGATGGTGCCCTCACCGTTGGAATTTCCTACAAGCAGCGGCACGTGCGATGCATAGTGGCCAGCTGCGAATCTTGCAGCGTAATCAGAGTGCCTTGTGATATTATCGATGACAGGAGCGAACCACGCGTTGAAGGTCGAGTTGAATTTGGCTGTCTGGAAGGCGTACGCATCCACTCCGCGCAGGCAGTCGATCTGGCCCTCCCCTGCCTTCGGGCAGCCAACCTCAGCAGCTACGGCGTCGAGTACTTCGTTGACTGGTGCATATGCGGGCCCAGACATGGCATTTGCGCTCATCTGTACCGCTCCCTTGAGCCACGAATCCGGGTGGTTCCAGAGATAGTGATCGACCTGCACGGCTCCGGACGAGTGGCCACCGAAGACAACGTGGTCGGGGTTGCCTCCGAATGCATGGATATTCTCACGAACCCAGTCAAGAGCCTTTTCGACGTCCAAAATACTGAAGTTTTGTGACTCCTCAGGAGATGCCTCGTTGAGTTCCGCCGAGTACGGCGAGGCAAAGATACTCTCGCGCGTGTTAAAGTTGACGTACACGACGCCGTTGCGGGCAAAGTTGGACCCCTGGAGTTGAGGATTGCTGCTGGATCCTGTGACCATGGCACCTCCATACATGTAGACGAACACAGGCAAGTTCTCTCCCGTTGAGGGTGCCCAGATATTGAGATTGAGGCAGTCCTCGTCCTGCTGGCTATAAAGAGTGCCAGAAATTGCTTGAGGACAAGTTGGACCGTAGGACGTTGCGACCACCGTTGAGTTCGATTTCGGCACATTTTGCGGCGCCCTCCATCGGTTTTCGCCAGCCGTTGTCGCAGCAAATGGGATACCTAGAAAAACCGAACTGCAGCTTGCATCATGGAACCCCTTGACAAGGCCCTGAGAAGTGAGAGCATAGGGTTCCGGTTGCGTGGCGTTGCTGCATGTGCTTGCCAATGCCGAGGGCAGCAGGCCAGAGAAGATCATGGCGATGGCCGCAGCCGAAGGAGACATGTTGGTGAGGATCATGATGCGTCGATCAGGCAATACCTCCAAGGAGCAGAGAACGCAAAGGTCAAGTTGACGGGATGGGATATCCAAGGAAAAAGGAGATGAAAAACAGGGACCGTTTTCTTCAAGGTGGATATTAATTACAGAATACGACCTCAAAGCCTTGTAAGCCCCACTGAAGATCGTCCTGGATTAGCCCAGCGCCACTGTGATTTCGTGATGTTGCAATCTGACTTAGCCCCCGCAGAACCCGGTTCCAACTTCCCAGCAACATTTATGCTTGTTTTCAAAGTTTGGATTATCTTACCTTTCCCAGGAGTCCAACCACTCTTTCTCTCCAGGATAGGCATTTGTTTATAGGACTGCCAATGACAAGTTGCAGATTTCAAGCATCATCAGATCCGCCTGAACTGGGTGATGAAGTTACGTAAAACGCGTCCTTCAACCACTTGGCGTGGCCGCTAACTCGCTTAAAAGGGGTGATTGAGGGAACGAAGAAACAAACGACCTGTGTCTCGAAATCCATGCCTTCGTAGCCCAAGGACTGCATGAGCGGTCAACTAGAGGGGAAGTAACGACCCTGCCACTCCCATCTTTCCTGGGCAGCAAATGTTATCCTCACAAAGCACTTTCTTTTTGCGCGAAGGACCTAGTGCTATTCATTACGTTGGGACACAGCGGTTACAACTCGTCTTTCTCGCTTCTGGACGGATCAAAAGTCTTCTTCTTCGTCATGCCAGCCAGGATATCGACAATCAAGTCAGCGGCAGCGACGGATGTTGTCTCGGCCACAGAGTCATATGGCGGGCTGACTTCAACAACATCAGCACCGACTAGGTTGAGCCCTTCAAGACCCTTGAGGAATCTCTTCAGCTCTCTCGTGGTCCAGCCGCCCGACTCTGGCGTCCCAGTAGCTGGAGCAATGCTTGGATCTAGAACTGTAGCTATGTTAGTTCCATGTACGACGCCGGAGCCGAACGAACTCACCATCGATATCGATAGAGAGATACACTGGCGTGTTGCCGACTGCATCTCTGACTTTTTTGATGATGCCGCTCATGCCGATATCGTCGATTTCGTGTGCTTCTATTATTGTGAATCCGACGACGTCTCTGTCGATCTCGTAGTCTTTTGGGCTCTTCTGTTGTCAGATGAGAGTATCACATCGATACCAACTCGCTACTCACAAAAAGCTTGGTCCTCAGGCCACCGTGAACACTGGTGCCCTTGCTGATGCAGCCCTCTCGGCTCGCATGCCAGAAAAACGTCCCATGGGTAATGGCCGACTGATTTGAAACGATCCCAGTGTAGCCCTCATAAGGATCCCATCTGCGCCGGCGAGATTTGTTAGTAATTGATAGCCTGAGCCTGCAGCGGGTAATGAGAAGAGCCTCACGTATCAAGATGTGAATCGAGATGGATGACAGAGATGGGGCCATAAACGGTCTTCAGACTGCGAAGAATTGGCAATACTATTGAGTGGTCGCCTCCGAGACTGATGATGCGGGGGTGCTCCCAATCGTCTAGAATGATGCTTAGCGGCTGTGGTATCTATACATGCATCATTGTCAACTGCTCTGAACTTACTCTGATCGCTGGTGCGATGGTAAAGAATCTGTCGGTATGCTTGTTCCATCTGCTTGAAAGCGTGACTGGCGTCAAATGGTGTAACAGGCACGTCTCCGCAGTCAATCTTTCGGTAAGGTGGTGCGTGAGTGACTACACGATCCAGTGGAAAGCACTCATGGGTAGGTACTCACAATCTCTAGACCCTGTTCGTAGGGATCAACCTCCCACACGGTGTTGTAGCTTCGCCCTTTCTTCTCCCTTGACGACCCAGCACGAATGCCTCTGGGGCCGAACCGAGCCCCTGGGCGGTAGGAAGTGGAGGTGTCATAAGGAAAGCCTAGTACGGCGATATCTAGAGGCTGAATTCAAAGTCAGGAGGAGTTGTCGATGGTCTTCGAGTTGCAGATGGCTTTACCTTATTATGTGTCTCCGCTAAACAACGTTGCCATTCCAAGTGCGCAAATGTCACAGGCTGGGAGAACGGCAGATCTTTGTCCAAATCTGGGGAGAAGTTTAGCACCTTTGGGCCAATGGCCGAGCCATTTGTACAAACCTTCGAGGGGATATTGATAGTTCGGACCAACATTCAGGGTAGCAGCAAGGCCAACACCGGCACAGAGTAGGACTGCCTCTGCAAGACGCATGTCGAAGCGATTATAGGTTTTTTTTTTTTAGCTTAAACGTTCTGGGATCGATCTAGTTTTCTTAGGTGACTATTTCTACGATGCCCATCCTATGGTTTGCTTAAATAATAACCGACAAGACGTGCATGTTCAGATGACGAGTGAGGGGAACCAACGCCGATCAGAGGCCGACGGGTTGAAGCGCCTATGAGATGATTGGGGTTAAGCAAAAGGCAAGAGACTCCGACGGCTCCAGCGGCCGGCAATTGGGCCCACATCGGCCAGGCCGACTCTTGGAAGTCGACTCCGATATCTCTGGAAGTGTTTCACGCGCTACCATGGGCTAAATCGAGCCCTTAGATAAGAGCTTGGCTTATCTATGCAAGCTAGACGAGACAAGTCGCGAACATGATCATTGTATCGATGATTATCATGTCTGAACGACAAGTATAAATGTAAACAGGAAGTAACATGTTGTTTGGTGGTGTTGAGAGAATCAAGGTGAAGCTTTTTGAGAAAGCTCGTCCAATGAACCCTATCAGCATCCCTGTCTCCGAACTTCTGCATCATTGACCCTCGAGCCGTCACATTTTCGTCGTTGCAACATCAGCAAACAAACATGATGGAGGCAAAGACAGGAGGCGACAGCGAAACCAAGGTCGGCGGCGACGTTGTGGCTTTATCCCACCCGGAATCGATCGAAGCTACGGAAACTGCAGAGCTGTCGACCAAGCGCGGCCTTTCTGCCAGACATGCACAATTCATCGCCCTCGGTGGCACTATTGGCACCGGCCTCTTCGTCGGTTCCGGCAGCACCCTCGCCCGCGGCGGGCCGGCCTTCCTCGTTGGCAGCTACGTTGTCATGTCAGTCCTGATCTACCTGGTCCTGACCGCAGTCATTGAGATCTCGACGTATCTTCCGCTACCGGGCGGCACCATGAACTACTACGGCAGTCGTTATGTCTCACGAAGCCTCGGCTTCATGATGGGGTGGCTCTACTTCTACTCTTTTGCCATCTTCGTACCCTTCGAGCTCACCGCGTCAGCCCTGGTCATCGAGTACTGGCACCCGAACGTCAACAACGCGGTCTGGATCACGATCATGCTGGTCCTTGTCGTCGGACTCAACCTCCTACCTGTCAAATTCTACGGCGAAACAGAGTTTTGGTTCGCTGGGCTGAAGGTTCTGACCATTGTCGGTCTGCTCATCCTCTCAATCGTTCTGTTCTTCGGAGGCGGCCCAACCCACGAACGTCTCTATTTTCATTACTGGAAGGACCCCGGCGCTACCAAGGAGTTGATTGTTCAAGGCGACACTGGCAGGTTCGTGGCCGCCTTGTCGACTCTTCTCAGTAGCGTTCTTCCATTCACATTTTCGCCCGAGATGGTCGTCGTAACTGCTGGAGAGGTCCAATCTCCCCGAAGAAATCTGCCGAAAATTGCCCGCAATTTCTTCTGGCGATTGATCGTCTTTTACATTGGTGGAACCATTGCCATCTCCGTCATTTGCCCTTCCAACGCACCGGCTCTCACCAGCGGAAGCTCAGGTGCCGCGGCTTCGCCCTGGGTTGTGGGAATTAAGGACGCGGGAATCAAGGGGCTCGACAGCGTCATCAACGCCGTCGTCGTTACAGCCGCCTGGTCTGCCGGTAACTCGTTCCTCTACCTGGCAAGCCGATCTCTGTACTCGATGGCCTGTGAAGGAAGCGCCCCACGGATCTTCAAGCGGTGCACCAAGCAAGGAGTTCCCATCTACGCCGTCCTTGCGAGCTCATTGTTCTCACTACTGGCATATATGAACGTCAACTCCAGCGCGGCAGACGTATTCAACTGGCTATTGAACCTTGTCAACACTGGAGGCTTTATTTCTTGGGTCTGCTGCGGTATTATTTACATCCGCTTCCGCAAGGCTTGTGACGTTCAGAATTTGCCAACATCAGCGCTGGTTGCGCGATCCTTCCTACAGCCAATCGGTTCATATATCTCGCTATTCATTTTCGGTCTTCTCTGCCTGCTGAACGGCTTCACCGTCTTCTTTCCATCTCGGTGGTCTGTAGCTGATTTCCTATCTGCGTATATTGGACTGCCATTGTTTGTTGTTATCTACTTTGCTCATCGTTTCTTGCATCGCGCCGATTCTTGGGCTATTTCTCCCCATGCGGTTGATCTTAAGAGCGGTCTTGCAGAGCTGGAGGCAGAGGAGTCGTTGGAAGAACCCAAGGAAGGGTTGCGAACACGCCTTAAGCGTCACATAGGTCGATCCTCTTAGAGGAAATTTTAGGTGCATGATCAATTGGACATCGTAGTATCCTGCTCTACTTCAGCACGGGGCTTAGCCGGCTTGTGGACTAGAGAATGGATTCGAGTCCCTTGATAAAACACTTAGATATCTCAGATACAGGGTCGATAATATTAGACAAATTCTCATCTTTCCTACCCTGAGGAGCCATCATCTTCATCTTCTTTGCACTTTGAAGAGTTGAATGAGTCTTTCATGACGCAACAAGCCCGGATTTTGATAGTGAGCAGTGGCTTAGTGGGAACCATGTGTGCCTTTGCACTTCAGAATTCCGAAGACGCGCAGGCCACTTCTGTCCTCCATTCTAACCGTGAACTAGTGCAAGCCCAAGGCAAAAAGATGTTACGCTAATAAATTGCGAACTCAACGGTCGTAGGATGCTGCACAATAATCCAGATATCCTTTAGCTAGGCTCCTAGCGTGATGGACGAACCCAAATATTCACACTTGAGGACCAGAGCAGCGCTTACTCTGCATTTTCTCGGATCAAATATAAAACAATGGTGGCGCTAAATGCAACATCCAGACGGACATCTAGTGGCTCCGGTGGCGGATTCATCTGGAATGCTTCCTTCAACACCATCGGTGCCATAAAAAATCTGGACTCGGGCGCTATACAGGATGCTGCGGGCCTGGACACCTTTCTCCGTCTGGCTATGAGAGACATTTTGAAAATCTGCTTAAGCAGAATGTTATGTTTTTCCCGATCATGCAAGATGCTTGATTCTATGTTATTAAATCTAGGCTATTCTATGTTGATGATACTGTGTAATCACGATTATCTATTCGAGGAGGCAAGCCTGACAGCCCAAGTGTCGTGATCAAACTCAAACTATTTGTGGTTGGAGAAAAGTTGATGCTCAACCGAGGATGCCGGCCACAGCAGAATTGTCAGAATAAGACGGATTACTGGTTCCATTCTTGAGCCAACAATTCCCATTGTTTGGGCCGACATTAGCAAGATTAGAGTTGAAAACCGCTGCGACACATATTTTGGACCCTGAGTTGCGATTGTACGACGCACAAGCCCTGAGGCAGTCCAAGTACGAATAGACCACAACCGCAAGTATGTCGACAGACCCTTTTGATCCAAAGCTCGCCCTGCAACGAATCCCAAATGTCGCGAGCCCATCTGACAGTATTATTGATTTCGATTCGCCATCTATGTCGGGGCAGGGAAGCTGGATTTTCCCTTGTGTTGGAACTACTATTGGGCTATCACTATCCGTGGATGCGGGCACTGTCGCAGTTATTGTAGTCGTGACAACTCTGGTTGCTGATGGCGCGGGCGAATTTGCATCTCTGTGACTTTATTATTAGAAAATATCAGAGAGAAGAAAAGGATTGGAACTGAGTCATACTCGCTCGCTTTCCTGACGGCCAGTGAACCCCCAACGCCACCACCAACAGCTGCTATCACTACAACTATAGCCAGCAAAACGCTGAGAAAAAAAGTTGCTGGCCTCAACCCGCAAATCGTACGGTCTTCTTTGACGGGCATCGATGGGTAAGATTCAGGTGTTGTTGGTCCGTACGCTGGTCCATATTGCTGCGGTTGGTCCAGAGCTACTTGCTTATGAGATACCTGAGGAGTATATGTCTCGGGGCCGGTAGAGTCCATAATGTGTCGGGATCTTCGTTCGCAATGAGAAGGGAAGGTCGTGGATTTTGGCCTCGAGTGCTTCACCGAGAATAAGAGAAGAAAAAGGGAAACACAACAAGCGGACATTGAGCGCGTAGGCATCAACTAAACCAGCGAAGAATATTTCGCGTATGTTACCGACTTTTGAAGGAAGGAGACAGGAAATTGAAGGATTCGAGGGCATGGGCACACTTTGTGGAGGTCAACGATGAGGCATCCAACCAGAATCGCGGACATGTCTCACTGCGCCATGAGGATCAAGCAGGCCGGACTTGGCTGCAGAAGCTGTGCCACACACCATGATTGCATCTAACGTATCATTCGTTCGGTTTGATGCAGGTGAGACTGCTTTGTATTGAATTCGTTAATCAGGGCGAATCATTCTCATTTCAGGGAGCAAAAGGTCTGACGCAAAGCTGATGCCCAGAGTTTGTTGAAATAGAAGTCAACCCCGGTGTTTGGCCCTTGGGTGCCTAGCCAGTGGCTGAGAATTGGCCTTTGAACAAGCCTACCTGTTCTACCTCGGGCAAAATGCAGGTGTCAATTCAATGTCACCTTGTCACCCCTTTAGCGGTACGGTTGCCCTACCTTGCCCTTGATGCAATACGTACTGCTTAAGCTGAGCAATTTCAGCCTTTTCAATCTCATGCTTACTTCTGACTACATGGCTTACCCTGACTATTTGCTCGGTGCATTAGGATTCTCCATATGTTGGAATGGTGAAGTATGTTGCATTGAAAGCTAATTTTCGAGAAATGTGTACAATTTTCAGGGCAAACTGCCACAATGCCTTTGTGCTAGTCCGCGTCAAAGACTATCACTCACTTTGAACTCCCTCGAGCGTAAACCAGAAGCGAAGGAGCATAGGTATTTTTGTACATAATATTGCCCAGAAGATTGGGACGTTCGCAAGTACCGTTCACAACAAGAAGTCCCCGCCCGACATAGCCAGTTCATATTCGTGGTTCGGCAGGAACTCCGACCAAATGGCCGGTGCTGTTGTCAACCAATATGCATTAGTACTCAGCTTCCGTATCAGGACAGAAGTGCCTCTCGATTCCTGATGCTGCAGCAGTCCCCGCAAGAAGCGGGATGCGGCTAGAGGTTTCCATCAAGGCATATGGAAACGCGGTCTCGTGGCATGCAGCGTTGAAGTCTGGACGGGCTTCGTGGAACTCAGAGTGAATTTCGAAGCCCGCATTATTGATACATGCCTATAGTAAGCACTACCAGTCGGTTCATGGCCCTGGTTTTGTAGAAATCATGATTATTTGGACTAATGGACTTTCCACCGATGACTTCCCCCTTGATGTTGACGTGAACTCTGTCACTAATTTTAATAAGGCCAAAATGGCGAGCAAGGCCAGGTTGACTCATGAATGGGTTCTGAGATATTCTGTGTGTGATGAAGGGTCGAATCATGGGTTGATGCATAAGTTGTCGGGATCGACTGCATCACGGATCAAGATATGACCAGCTGTGCCTTCGATGTATACTTGGCGATCAATCACCCTAAAGGCACCAGCCATGCGCTCCAGCATCCAATTGCGTTCTTGATATGGATCTAAAGACGTAGGAATGCCTGAGACGCGGGCACTTCCACCGATAGTTGCACCTGATCCATCGATATTTGACAAGCTGTCCACAAATGTGCATTCGACTCTAGGAGGCTATATTTCCATCTCCTATTCCCCATTTTATGTCATCAAGACTCGCTTTTGGATGGCAGGCGCCCTGGTTGTGATTGTAACCATCTTCAGAGACTTTCGTAGCTCACAGCATTTCCCAATAATATTCAAGGAAGTTGTCAAGAAACGTTGAATTGATCCAGTAGAATATTGAGCACCAAATCGGCAGCATGAAGATCCGGTGAATCATAACATCAATCTGGGATTTCAGTGAGAGCGGAAAAGGAATTACTCACCTACCTAAGGTAGGCTAATCACCAAGTTGTGATGCCTCAGGGTTTGCCCAGCCGAGATCGGGGACGCAGACCGATCATGTGGAAGCATTCAAGCCATTTGCCATTACTTTTACTTCAAGAGATCCCGATATCTCACACCTTTTTGAGACTACATGTGGATGTAACTAATATAGCTGATAGCGACGCCCTATCTTGACGCCATCTTTAGCCCGAATTGGCCAGGGTGGATCCTTTCGGAGTCTCTTTCCTCATGGAATGGTTGCGGGCGTTGTCTTATACTAGCGTAATTTAGTTACTGGCAACATCGGAATGACCTAACTCAACACTTCTGTTCATTCACATTGTATCAACTAGTCTTTTCACTTGAACATGGGTGATATCTTTGAGCATGTAGTTGAGATGAGATGATATAGCCCCACGACTGCTTTCATACCTTCCCAGGATTTACACCGAATGTTCCTACACCGAAGGAATCAACAACGCTTGAAAGAAACATTCTGTTTGCATTTCGCTCCTCTCTCACCATCGAGTACATACTATATCAATGGCACACCCGACGACAATGCCAGCCTTATCGTTCTAACCGCCGAGGCAGGAACCGTAGAGCACATCGCAATGAACTTTCGATAGTAACATCTCTCTATAGCCCCCTCCATACATTTCTTCAAAATATCTTTGACCTCCATAATGTCTACAACTATCGCCATGTTTACAATCACTCTACCTCGAGAGCCTTGAGACCGTGGCCTTGAACTCTGCTCCGGCCAGCGAGAGCCCGAGTACGTTCTTTTGCAGCCCTTCGATACCGTGCCTGAAGATCTATCAGGTCGAACCGTCTTGACAAAGGGAGAGCTAGATCAAGACATAGCGCGCTGGCCCCATCATTTCACTGAAGACGAGGTTGGACACATTGTTACCGCCATCCAAGACATCGAGCAAAGAGGCCCTCAGCTCTATGAAGTCAGCAAGTCGACCTTCGAGCTCCCCGACACATTCGTGAATATCTTCAATCGAATTCGGGACCAATTGATCAACGGAGTTGGCTTCGCTGTGCTTCGTGGCCTTCCTGTCGACAAATGAAGCACTCGGCAAGCCTCAATCGCATACCTCGGCATTGGTTCTTACATCGAGCGCTGTTTGAGCCAAAGCCGGCGAGGACACACGCTTGGTCACATCAAAGGCCTCTGGTTGCTGAAGGAAACGAGGTCAACGGCGAGGACTGAATCTGTCGCACGCAGAAAGCTCAGACACATCATCACACGGATGAAAGTGGCACCGTGGGTCTGCTTTGCCTCCGTCAAGCGATGGAAGGTGGAGAGTCACAGTTAGTCTCCAGGCACAACATCTACAATACAGTGAGAGGCGAAAGAATGGACGCACTGCGCCAACTTTGCTTGCCGCACTGATTCTACGATCGAAAGTGGGAGACAAAGAGTGGATGCGCACTCCTAGTTACTACTACTACGAGGGGAAACTCAACATGAAGTGGGACCAGACTGTAACAATTTCGGACCTCTACAATGCTTCTGAGACGCTGGATTTCTTCCGCAGTACACGGACGCTCAACGCAAGGCGATTCAGGTGATGGAAAAAAATGTGCTGTCGGTTATCACTGGAAATGATACTGCAGCAGGGCGATGTACAATTCCTCACCAAAACTCATAGTATACAAGAGAGATCGGCATACAAATACGATGACGATAGTTACGAAGAAGCGCTTGTTACTTAAACTTTGGCTTGCTGCCTTGGAAGAGGAGAGTGGAAGGCTGTTGTCATTTGCTGACTCTCAATGTGCCATAATCGGGGGTGTTCAGGTCAATGAAATCTGTCCTACAGAAGCCGAGGAGATGCTGGCTCTGCGGCTTTTACCCTCATAACTATGTATTATCCAGACTTGGATTTTCGACAACGAGCTCCGGCTCTAACCATCACATATAAATCATCAGCTAAGGTAGTGAAAGCTAAAACGTTCTGCAATGGAATATATGACAGGTACGTTTAGGAAGAATAGAAGAATCATACAAGCTTGTCTTTGCAAGTTAGCGTCTCTTTGCATAGTGCCCTCCTATCAAAGTCGTTGAAACCTTTCTTTTCGTAGTCTAGACCGGATGTGGTGATCGCGATCATTAGTCACCAGACTTGAGACAAAGCTAGAACATCGCACTGTGGTTTCAGTATTTTTTTGCGCAAGACTTGGCCTTCGCAGTGTCTCCAGACAGTGCGTTGTGGGAGGATCTCGCATTGATAACACTGTCTTCTCCCCAAGATGGATGCTGCTTATCTCGACGCGGTCTGTTTGTGGTAGTGTCTGCCCGCAAACTCTCGGTATGCCGTCTGTACCATGCTCAACTTCTTCTCACATCAATCAAGTCTCTGAGTGCTGACCTTGAATTCAAGGGTGGGTATCAGCCCGGATAATCACGGCAAGCGCCTTGATGATAGCCCTTTCGTGCCATTCAACGGCGATCCGCTCCCGAGCATGAACCTCCGATGCCGCCTAAATCGGGACAACGGTCAATGACCTTTACCGGGTACGTTTCATTCGAGTGTGGAAGAATTTCTCGGACCACTTGACAGAGGGCTGACTGTACGCGAGTTATTGGGCTACAGATGTTGGACCTGCAAGAGGCGTAAAGTCAAGTGTGATGAGAGGTCCTCTAGTTGTGGAAACTGCGAGAAGATGAAGATTCCTTGCGAAGGCTACGGCATCAAACTTCAGTGGATCAACGTCTCAAATCCGTTTTTTGAGAAGGAGAAACATGGCAGAAGCAGTAATGGCAGAGGAAGAATCCGGATTGGTAGGCTCTCAACCTTGTTCCGGCTTCTGCCTACATGTATAGGTAATGGCGGCTAATACACATGGCAACTTCGGGTAGGTCGTAATGCAGGGCCACAATACCCGATGAAAGACATTGAGTCCTTCTTGGCATCACTAGAAAAAGCAACAACGTCAAGGGGTATCGTTCAAGAGGGCCCTTTTGCTCTCTTTCAAGCCCACGACGGCAATCCTGAACTAAGCCAGAATTGCAACCATGGAAGCCCCGATGTCGCAGTCTCTGACTGTTCACTGGTGACCAGAGACGATCACAGTTCAGAATCGATCCATTCCCGACAAGAGGCAACGACCTCCTTGTATTACACTGACTCTTCAAGCTCAACCCCTTCTTTCTCAACAGCACGAGAGGATGGATCTCCTAACCAGATTGGATATGACGTGGAGCTCGTCAGAGTTCCCGAGGACGATCTTGCCACGCCAGATCTTCAATTTCAAGAAGAGTTCGACTGTTCGCTGGGTGGAATCGCAGGGCTGTTGGAAGATCATATTGAATTGTTACAAATGCAGCCTCAGACCGACATCCCATACACGCGATTGTCCCGACGGATATCAACGAGCATTTCAGGGGACGCAGTCATCGACAGACTCATGCATCATTACGTGGAAAACATCGCAAGTCTACTCCAGCCGATTCCACATCCCCAAAATCCTTATCGAAAATTATACGTCCCGGCAGCTCTCCAGGCAATATCGGAATGGTTGCCGAAAGCGAAGATGGCCACACCTACCGTTTCTTCAGTCATTTTCCACTCTTTAATAGCATCATCTGCCTTCCATCTCGGCGCCTGTGGCCCCGAGCAGGCAGAATACCTCACACTCGGGTCACAGCATCGCCAACAAGCGCTGCACTGTTTACAATCCGCCATCAACCCTGCCATGGCAACAGCGGAGTACAAACTTCTCATGGTGGCCATGCTGTCAATGGTTACCATTAGCAATGTGAGCTCTCTCATTTTTCCCCCGAATTTGTCGTAAAGTATACATGTATGCTGAGCCTCACCGCACAGTTCACCACAGGGAGCGATGCAGACTTTGTGATACACTTGCAAGGTACAAAGCAGCTTCGGAAAACACGGCGCCGATGGAAAGTCACTAGCAGGGCCACTCGGCAGCTGAATGAGATCAGTGACTTTCTATACCTCCTCACTCGTACGGTCTCTTTCTCCTTCACACCCGGGCCATGGCCATCTGAGGGCGTGGAGGATGTAGACGAACCAATTGCGTCGCAGGCGGAACCTGACAGCTGCTTCGGATACATGTACGGGATCACACCCGCTATTGCTGTGGATATCGAGGAGACCTGTCGACTGGCAGAGTATCTTCTATGGTACGAAGGCACTGAAGAGCGCATTCCGGAGGGACTCCTCGAAGCCTGCGAAACCCTCGGCGACCGGCTTTGCAACTGGTCTCTAGATCTTGAAGACGTCCGCCAAGCGATGAACCAGGATGCCGAAACGCTAGAAATCTTCCAGCATCACGCGAACGCGTGGCATCTAGCCGCGATAGTCTACTACCACCGACGGATCCAAAAGTGCTCCAGCGAAAACCATCACCAGCTCATTGCCGAAATCGCCGAGCACATGCATGCTGTTGAGGACATCAAGACGCGCTCCAAATCCACCAAGACCAACTTCATGGCTCCCATAACGTGGCCCGCCTTTGTGGCCTCGTGTGACGCCCGTGATCGCGAGCCTTGGGAGCTCTGGTGGGAGAGGATCAAGTGTTACCGGGTTGCGAATAGCCGGACGCAGTGGAGAGTGATCCAGCGTTTGTGGGAAAGAAGGGATGAACTAGAGCAAGCGGGAATTGGGGCTTTTGATTGGATCGAGGCCTTTAAAGACTTTGGGATTGCTTTGTTTCCAATCTGATATATCATGCGGGCGCAAGGGGTGGGAGGGAGAATCATTGGCGCTTTGATACTCCCCTATACTTCTGAATTTCAGAAACCAAATTGAGTCTGATTCACCTCGGTAACTCATTGGGTCGAAAGCCCGACTTCGGCTTGGCTTAGTCCTGCCAGCTATTCTCCAACGCCTTCCTCGGACTCCAGATCTTGAGCCCGTTGAGTTATCCCAATGCAAGTCAGCGGAATGGGTGCCGTCGCTGCTCACAGCTACAGGCCGCGGGCCGCGCATGGCCCTCTTCCCCCACATTCCCCAAGTGACATCACGATCATAACTAAGACAAACCAAGACGATCTAACTTCTCCGCTCCGCCGATCCCTCTACACATCTAAACTAAGGCGACCCAATCCCATAGCCAAGCTGGCATCACCACGTGGGTCTGTTGCCAGTGCGGCCAACGTTCCGCTGGTTTCCCCCAAGCTTAGTTGAAATAAGGCTTGACCAACGCGGGGTAAACTCCCGCCTCGGCGCGAACGCCCTTGCTTTTCCGGAACGGAGAGAATCCGTACCCCCTTCATTGGACGTTTCAATCTGCCGAGCTTGTTCTCCGACGCATACCCCCCAGCCACTGACGCCAGCAACCTTTGGCAACCTGTTTGGATCCTATGGGTTGGGTCCGAACCACGGACAGCTACCCGAAGGTTTATATTGAGGCCACAAAAAGAACCATGGTGGCAGGCATTCCATGTGATTGTGCTTGGGAAATTGTCAACGCACCTTACAACAGCTTGGCGACACCTGAAGCCCTAGTGAAAAGTCGATCTTGACGACAGCTGCGTTCGAGGCTGAAGTCTGTGACTATTAACATCATCAAGGAACCCGACACAGCAACGCCATAATGGACTCCTCGTTTGCGCTGCGTCACGAGAAACTCGAGGTTTCGGAGCTAGAAAATGGGGAACGGGAGCCTACGACAAAGAAGGGGGAGATTGAGCGAATCGATGCCATAGCCACGGCTCAGGGCACAACACTAGCTTCCTTCGCGCACCTGGATGAGAAGAAGATTCTGAGAAAAGTGAGTATTGCACCTCGTTTTTTTGATCGGTCTTGAGCGATGAGGCTGACTTCTTGATTCTTAGATGGACATTCGACTCATCCCGATGCTAGCCTTGCTCTATCTACTCTCATTCCTGGACCGTGAGTTTTGGCTCCTTCTTTGGGGATGAAGGCTTCTGACTGATAGATCAAACAGGTGGAAATATCGGAAATGCCAAGATTGAAGGCCTCCAGGAAGATTTGGGAATGACTGCGGATCAGTACAACTGGTGCCTTACCGTCTTCTTCTTCACCTACGCCGCGTTCGAGGTCCCGAGCAACCTGCTGCTGAAGAAGCTCCGCCCGAGCGTGTGGCTACCCACCATAATGGTTGCGTGGGGCATCGTTATGACCTTGATGGGGATTGTGCGAAACTATCATGGCTTGTTGATAGCCCGCATCTTTCTGGGAGTGACAGAGGCCGGACTGTTCCCTGGCGTTGCAGTAAGTCCTCTTTTTGACTCCATTTTTATGTTCTTTGTCGGCGCGGGCGACAGGTGGCTGACATGCAGACTAGTACTACTTAACCATGTGGTATTGTCGGCATGAGATCCAGCTCCGCCAAGCCATGTTCTTCTCGGCCGCTTCCATCGCCGGTGCTTTCAGCGGCCTTCTCGCGTTTGCAATTTCCAAGATGGACGGCATTGGCGGGCTGGAGGGATGGCGCTGGATTTTCATCCTCGAGGGCATCGTGACCGTCCTCGTGGCCGTACTAGCCTTCTTCGCCCTCCACGACTTCCCCGAGACCGCCAAGTTCTTGACCGAAGAGGAGCGAGCATTTATCGTGTTCCGACTCAAGTACCAGGGCCAGGTACAGGGAAAGCAGGAGAACCGCGTGCAAGTCGCCGAAGCGGAGGAGTTCAAGTGGAAATACGTCTGGGACGCGTTTACCGACTGGCAAATCTGGATCAACATCTTTGTTTACTGGGGTGTAAGTTGCATGTGATCACTGTTGGAAACAGATGGACGCTGATTTCGATTTCCAGGTTGTGTGCCCTCTGTACGGAATCAGCCTCTTCCTCCCGACCATCATCCGCAACCTGAACTACACGTCCAGCACGGCGCAACTGATGACCGTCCCGATCTACATCACTGCTGCAATCCTTGCAGTCCTTGTGGCCTATCTATCGGACCGGGTGGGGAAGCGAAGCCCGTTCATCATTGGATTCTTCTGCCTGATGATTGTGGGATTCTCAATGTAAGCTGTCCGCCATGCTAGCTGCAAAGAACATTCGAAAGCTGACCAACTCACTCCACAGGTGCATATCCAGCTCCAACCCGAAAGTAGTCTACGGAGGTGTTTTCATCGCTGCTTGTGCCATCTATCCCGCCTTTCCAGGAGTCATCAGCTGGCTCTCCAACAATCTGGCCGGAAGCTACAAGCGCAGCGCAGGCATGGCACTCCAAATCGGCGTGGGGAATCTTGGTGGAGTACGACCTCGTGTTCTTGGACATACTAGTCTATAGAATAGACGTGCTGACTTTGAGTAGGCCATGGCATCAAACTTCTACCGCCAAAAAGATGGTCCACGGTACATCCTGGGCCACGGACTCGAGCTCGGGTTCATATCGGTTGGCATTATTGCAGCGTTGATTCTCATTTTCAGCTACATTGGCATCAACAAAAAGCGTGATCGAAAGATGGCAGCTGGAGAAGACAATAGATTCACAGCAGAAGAGCTGTCGGGACAGGGTGACCGAGCGATAACCTTCCGCTACATGTGGTAGAGCTCTTATTCTGTATGACTTGGCTCAGTCCAAATGTAGGGTGAAATATCAGTATGATTTCAGAACTGTAGGAAAGCATCAGGTGATAACGATGACACAACCATGCCTGTCTAGAACCTTACCTACGACATTGTCCTTTGACCCGTGCGTGATATGATTGATTCCGGAGTGGACAGCTCATTCGGCGCGGTCCAAGTGGGGCCGTTGCAAGGCCCGGAGCCGAACAGTATCGCGGTCGGCCTCGACAGCCTTGGTATTCGATAACCACCTCAAAGATGTACGCTCTACATCTTGATAAGGGATGTGATATTAATGAAACGGCGTATCTGGGTGACGAAGTCAAGCCCGACATTGGTTAGTTGCCAAAGGTTTTGTTCATCCCAACTGGTCGAACCTAACCTTGCTTACATTCTAGCACCCGCACATCTTCCACAACAAACCTGATACGTGTCTCCTCATCCGATCAAATTCATGTAGAAGAGAGTTGGTTTACTTTTGTTTCAATTCAGTCGATATTTAGCTTTCTGTTTGAATGCCACAAACTTGCACAGGAGTAAGGCATCTCACAGAAGTAACCGCATCGAAGTAACCGTCTGTCCAGACATCCCTTTAGAAATTCCATGGTCATGGCCCAAGAGGAAACCATTCGAATTGGCTGACCTGGATATTGATCTACCGTGAATCACACGATTGTGCACATGCAAGATGGCCCAATATTATAGCAAATAATCTGCACGCCAAGTGTGAAGGTGATCCTACCACTTACCGTCCTGAAGCAACCTGTCCTCCCAAGCGCACTAAGTGGTGGGCGGAGCACCGGGATTCGCAGGTGCGGGGCAACCGAATCCGTCCGTCTCACTAGCCCCCGGACTCGGCGGCAGCCCGCGCCCACGCAACTTTCCCCGGGTCACCTCTCATCACTCCGATATAGAGACGTGGCCTGCTACCGTGTCCAACGGGTCGAACTTGCAACGTCTCCTGATAAGTCTTACATCAGGCCTCGTGGTCTTCTGCTTCAATCAGATAAATACCAGCTAAGCCCAAACTTGCAATCGTCTTGCTCAACTCTGTCAGCGGCACCTCTCTTACTCCCCTTCATAGCCCAATTCTAAAAACACGATGGCTTCCACTTTGGACGCAGTCCTCGCCAAGTATACTGCCTCTGGCAACGACACAAACGACAAGCTGCTTGGCGCATCCTTCATCGTCGTAAACAAAGATGGTACCATTCCTCCCTAATGCAGCCCCAATACCTCCCAATTCTAACCATGGCTGCAGGGACCCTATACAGCAACGCGGCGGGCCGAATTGACTTTCCCCTCGAGGCGCGCCCTTGGAGTCTCGACACCTTCACCTTCGTCGCGTCACTGACCAAGGTCATTACTTCCACCGCCGTCATGCAGCTGGTTGAGCAGGGCCGACTAGGTCTGGACGACGACATGCGCAAGATTGTGCCAGAGCTCGGAGGCATGCAGATCCTTCGTGGCTTTGACGAGAACGACAAGCCCATTCTCGAAGATAATACCAAGCCAATCACACTCCGGTACGAAAAACACCTGATCCATTCTGATTTGCGACACCTTGTCGTACTACGTAGGTACTGAACGCGAACTCTCTAGGATGCTCCTCACCCACACCGTCGGCCTGGGCTACGATCTGATGCCAGACCTCCTCCAATGGTCCAAATCCATCGGCCGCACCGTCACGAACCTCTCGGGCACCCTCAAGGGCTTCGAAACGCCCCTCATGTTCACCCCCGGCGAAGGGTGGTACTACGGCACGGCCATCGACTGGGCAGGCCAGGCCCTGGAGCGCGTCACGGGCACCACCCTGGGCGCCTACCTCTCCGAGCACGTCTTTGGCCCGCTCGGCATGCGAGACACGGGTTTCTGGCCCGAGAAGCTGCCCCACGTCGCCGAGCGGACCGCCGCCTTCCAGATCCGCGGCGGCGACGGGTCCTCCCTGGCTCCCGGCGCCAACCCGCGCACCGAAAGCCCCGACGCCATCGACAGCGGCGGCGCGGGTCTCTGGACCACCGCGCAGGACTACAGCGTTTTCCTCCGCGCCCTGCTGAATAATCAGCTCGTGAAGAAGGAGACCGCGGACGAGATGTTCCGCCCGCAGCTGGACGTGAGGCAGGCTAGGTATTTCGAGAAGCTCTCGGCCGAATGGGGCGGCGCGCTGGCGGTGGAGTTCCCGCTGGACATGGAGCTCAATCATGGGCTGGTGGGATGTATCAATATGCGCGACGTGCCGGGGAAGCGCAAGAAGGGAAGTCTGCAGTGGAGCGGGATGTGCAATAGCCATTGGTGGCTGGATCGGGAGACGGGTGTCGCTGCGGTGCTTATCGTCCAGTCCCAGCCTCACGCCGAGCCGGTCGTGACTAGGCTTTACAATGATTTGGAGAGGGCGGTCTACGGCGGGCTTCTGAAGAAATGATAGGCTTGTATCAATGGGTGGGTGGTCAAGGTTACGTGTGGGTGGGTGTGTGTGTACGAGGGGGTACGGAAAACCAGACGTCTCCTTTTCTTTATGCGGTGACCTCGTCGGGCATTTCCATAGACTCGAGTACATTCTCCAATACCTTCCTGCACTGTCTCCGGTAGTGATAGGCCATGAGCTGGTTCCTCGTCGCCTCGGACTCGTCCATTTCAAACTCGGACTGATCCAGCCGCTCAAGCTCCTGTAGGACCTTGTTCTGGATAATGCCAATGGTCTGGAACAGCAAAGGCTGGGTGGCTGCGGGGATCCGTCCAGTCAAGATCATCCTCAACCTCTCCAGATCCGCCCGGGAACCATCATTATCATCATCATCATCATCAACAACACCACCGCCACCACCCTCCGGCACCGGGAGCATCTCGCTCCGCTGCTCAGCCGTCGTCTGCGCGAGAACCAGCTCCCACACCATGCTATCCTGCACATGCCTAAACGGAGGCAAGATCTCGTCGCCCCTAACATCGCTCAGCAACCGCACGGATCGCGCAGCCACAGAGCTCGGGTCAGCGACAGGCCGCAGAGAAATCAGATAATCCTTGGGCTTATTGCCGGCCGCCCCGGCGCCATCGGCACCGGCTGCCTCTGCCGCGGCCTTGGCGCCACCGCGCTTCTGGACATGGACGTAGTCGTTGTGTACGCCCTCGGATTCGGGGATCCGGAAGCCGTACGCCAGCATGAGTTCGGCGTTCGTCTTGGTGGTGCCGTAGTTGTTGAAGACTTGCGCGCCGGGGGCGTACGGATCCAACGTGCGCAGGCCGACAATGTCCTCGCCCGCGGCATCACTAGTGGAGGACGTCGCCCACGCGACCCGGGCTGTCGGGCTGTGGTTGCCCACGTCGAACAGGGGCAGCAGCAGCGAAAAGTCGTCGACGGCGCAACCCTCTGGCAGCGAGAGGGTGTGCTGCCTCGCCGCGGGGATGACGAGGGAAGGGCGGAAGCTCCGACTGGTGAAGATGCAGTAGGCCCAGTTGTAGAGGAGGCGGGTGTAGTCATGCCGGGCGGGGTTGTCGCCAAAGGCGGCGAGGGCGTGCTTGTGTTCGGATCTCAGGCGGGCTTTGATCTCGGCGATGGCGACGTGGGCGTTTGTATCCTCGAGGAGCTCGACGTCGTCCGAGGGCCAGAGAGGGGGGAGGGCCCAGTGGGCGAGGTTCGCGGGCTGAGGGAGGGTTCTGATGTAGGGGTACCAGAAGGAGTCTTTGCCGAGAAGGTATTGGCGAATTAGGAAGAAGCGGCTGATGACGTGCGGCGGGACGGATGCGAGAAAGGAGGAGGGAAAAGCCTCGTGGTTGTTATTGTGGTGGAAGCCTGGGTTGGGTGTGGTGGTGGCGTTGAGGTAGGAGAGCGTCAGGGCCAGGGGACAGGTGACGACGGTGTCGCCAGGGCTGACGCCGGCGCTCTCGGGGGAGACGCGGAAGGAGTTGCCGGTGTTGGGGTCGTTGTAGACCTCGACTGACGGGTGGAAGGCGGCTCCGTGGGACTTTGCCCAGTCCACTAGCTCATCCATGGTGGCTGTCTGGGGCTGGCTGTGTTTTGCACGTGGGTGAACGTGAGTGTGAGTTTGAATGTAAGTGACTAGGAAGTGAGTGAATGAGTCTAATAATGGCGGATGAGGACGGATGAGACTGAGGGTGTGAATGAGTGAGTCTGAGAGTGTGATAGAATGACAGGGTGTGAGCTAAAGTAGTCGCCCTTCCCTTTTTGGCGCCGGCAATGCGAGTAATTCGACGTCTAGGTCTAGTGTAGACTCAGGACGCCACAGACGATAACAAAAGGCACAGATCTTGGAACTTTGGACCCTTCTTGAATTAGCTCATTCTTCAGCAAATAGGGTTGACTGGCTCTCAATTGTCCGGAAAGTAGTGTGGTTGATGTTCAGACTTTTTTCGTCTTCAGCTTCGGCGTCAGGGTCCGGTGTGCGGGGTACGAAAATCAAGGTGAAGGTGGGGTGTTAATTTACTCACCGAGAAACTAATAGTAAAGTGGCGTCAATAGAGGGGGATGCCGGTGGAGACGATGATCCGATGTTTTCCATCAAAAGAGCTTGTTTCTCTGCGGATACCATGTTGCTACCGACGCTGCGATGCAGGTCCATCCAGCCATCCGTGCGCTACGTCTGTCTGATACTTGCGCCGGACATATGTTCTTTGATACATCTCATTGTTCGTGATATGAGCCTTTGTAGTGGTAACTTTACCAATCAGTTTGGCAGATTGAGCTGCAGAGAGTAGGTCGGGTTGATCGATGGACAGCGGACGGAGTCTGAATTGTTGCCTGTCCTCATCAGATAGTACCTCATCCTCTGCATACCACAGAAGATCGGCGGCGATCGGAGTGATCATCGAGTCCCATCATGATTAGATGCGAGTCACAGAAACTCTTGGTCGAAAGCCTCGAGATCGGCCTGAAGTGAAATCGTCAACACGTTACAGCTATTGCTCTTGAATGACTCTCATTCCAGCCAAAGGCAGTGGCATTCCTACATGAATGTCCTTTCGAGACCTCTAATCTATAATCCGCAGAGCTTGTGTCCACCCGGACCGAAGATACCTCGTCACCGGGCCCAGGTTACCTTAATTCGATGTTTTGGTTGTTTCTCACTTCCTTGAATGGTATCCTAGGTTTTCTCTCACCCGAACTCCACAATACACATTGAATCTGTCTCGGGACCAGGCAGGATGAACTGTAAGCTCGCAAAATATCCAGTGAATTGAGGTGTCCATCATCAATGCGATGACCATCTCACTCATGCCTTGTGTCTGCTGAACTTATTTAACGTTCCACAATATGCCTAAAACCGTAAGCCGTCTTCATTAGAAGCAGCCTCCCCAATATGCAAAATTCAATGTCCCGCGAGTTCCTCGCCCTCTCCATCCCCGTCCCCAATCGCCAAAGACGCCGCTCCCTCCATCGCGAACCCAAATATACGCGCATACCACCCCTGAGACCAATAACTCATTTCGATATTATGCGACGCCCCAGGAATCACGCTCCCCTCCACCCGTCGACTCCCCGTGAACGCAGCTATGTACTCCCTCACATCCTCCTCCTTTGAAAACCACAACCCATCCCTCCCCGCAAGACCAATCAGCACCGGCGCCGCAATCCTCCCCGCAAACTTATCCCGCCAGCCGGCGAGCCACTTACTCCGCAGGTCGGCCGTCTCGCGGTACGGCATCGGATGGTCCAGACGGGCCGTGTGCCTCAGCAGCGACGCGTCCGCCGTGCCGGGCGGGAACATTAGCATGTCTTTGATGTGGTGCGGGAAGTGGACGTGCGACGGCGGCGGGTCGTCGGGTGGTGTGAAGTCCTCGGTGCGGTAGTTCTTCACAGCGTTTCCGAAGCCCGAGATGGTGATGGCGGCGAGCGGGTACGCGGGCGATGTCTCCTCGGCGTGCAATGCCGCCGCGACGCAGGCACCTGGGGCGCCGAGTGAATGGCAGTGCAGAGCGATGGCGGAGCACCCGCTTGGCACGGCGAACTCGTCCCAGAGGGCCGGGAGGATGGTGCGATGGAGGACGGTGCCCCATTCCTCGTAAAAGGAGGACGATGCCGGGATGGCGTCCCCGACGGGAGTGGTGTCGTTGTACCCCGGACGATCGAGGGCGATGAAGGGCACGCCGGTGGCGGCGCTGATGTGCCGGGCGCTGTAGGTGTCGTCGATGTCGAAGTAAGTGCCAGAAAAGGTGCCGCCGTGCAGGCCGACGATGAGGGGACAGTGAGCTGGGCGGAGTGGGTTGTCGGCGGCGGCGGCGGCGGCGGCGGCGGGCGCGGGAATGCTGTGGAGCCCGGAGACGGTCTTGCCGTCCGGGAGGGTGAGTTTGAAGGCCTGCATTGCGCACTGCTAGGAACCGGTGATTTTTTAGATACGTTGTGTAATTCTGTACAACAGAGAGACAGCTGACTGAAAGAACTTAACTAGATTGAATCAGGAGAGAGAAAGGCAGTCCCTGAATTCCGACCGCCCATGTTATAACAAACCTACATGTACCAACCTACCTAGTCCTCAACCCTGCGTCGCATTCCCCCTGGCTCCTGTTAGGAAGTTGAGGGCGGAGATGGGGGGTTTATCGCTCCTGGGCTTTTCCGGCTGTTGGTAGCGGATGCATCGTGTCTGGTTCCGGCATGTATGACTCGATTGCCACGGAAAAGTAGTGGGCGATGGCGCCAGCAGGCCGCCCTCAAGACCCCATACATGCCCGCCCAAGGTTGCAACCGCATACTCCCATCCACTCGGAATCAAGTCCGCCTTTTGAGATGGGGCTATTAAGACCATGTTGCTGCTCAGTCTGGTTTACCCCGGCCTTCATCGCCATTCGTACCCCCCCAGCATCGCCTCAAGAATAACCCGTTCCAAAGCTCCTCCTAAGCTCCCTTCCAAGGACGCTTCTTACGCGCTCACAACTCACTTTCTTGCTCTCGCGCCCTCGAGGTTAGACAGCAGAGCCGCATCGGCGGCACCCAAAGACCCCTCAGATCCCTCGCCAGCCGCTACCACCACAACTACAACTATCGCACCCGCCCCCACAGCAGCACAATCTCACGATGATCACCAACCCACCTCAGAGCCCCATCGCAGCCGACGACCAAGTGGCCCCGGCCCTGGACCTAAACTCGACGCCGGGCCTCTGATCCCCAGAAGACGGCTACTCGAGCGGGACCGAGTCGGGCTCCTCGCGGGCCTCGACGTCCCTGGCCTCCAACATGCGCGACTACAGCTTCAAAAACAGGCGTCGGTACTACCGGTACAAGAAGGTCCAGTACCACTTTCCCAATGACGACGACGACGAGCATGGGTTCTTGCACGACACCACAATAACGGCCGGCTAATGATCACGATGACCAGTGGGCAATAGGTTTCCCGAAGCCGACTCCAGCGGCATAGATCCGAGCCCGATCTAGCCCGAGTTCGTGCCGCCAAATCTCCGGTTCATGGTCGACGACGCCGATGTGAAGTGGGTCTACCGGGACAACCACTTTGACCTTATCCACCTCCGAAACATGGCACACTCCATCCATAAGTAGCCGAAGCTCTTCGCCGGAGCATACCGGTAAGCCCCGAATGTCTCCGTGTCTTCTTCCTAGCCGTTCAACGGACTCACCCAGAGAGCCAAGCCGGAATAGCCTCAATCTCTCACTCCCAAACACTCAAACCAACACCAAAGTTCATATAAAAAGAGACCAGCGTTCCAAAACCAGGAGGCTAGGTTGAACCCCGAGAAACGCGCTGGGTCTACGACTGCGACGACGGCACGATGCCTCCAGATTTCAACCCTCGTCAAAATGGTCGCCAACATCAAAGAGACCCTCGTCAAGCTCGACATCAAGATGAACGCCGCGAAGCTCTACCCTTCCCACGTCGCGGCGGCAGGTTTCGTCAACCTTGCGCTCCAAGTTCAAAAGGTGCCTGTGGGCCCCCTGGCGAGAGACGACATCCTGAAGAAGATTAGGAAGTAGTACTGTTGCGCGGCTATTCATGATGGCCTGAACGCTATTACAATTGGCTCGTTTATCAGGGGTCTTGGGTGGGCGCCTGACGAGGTTGAGGTATTTCTGATTCAGGTGACGGGGGATAGGGGGGATTTATTGGATTGGAACTTTCATCCATATGTTCACTTTCATTCTGTCGCAGCGCAGAAACCGCTCGAGGTGTGAGATGCTCCGGGTGAGATGTGGTTGAGCGGGACGTTCTTGTGGGTGGTGAGCGTGGGCAACGGAGGGTGTGTGTACATGTCTGATGTCCTGAGCCAAGAGAGTAAGGAGATGGAATGGATGAGGCAAGAAATCAGAAAGAACGACGGAAGTTCTCAATCCTGCCTTTGATACACCTACCCATGATTCCACTTGGAGACTCTTGGTTCAATATGTCCGCCGCGTAACGAGGATGAGCATGATGAGAACGCTGCGTAGGGTCTCCATGGACCATGCCGATACTGCAAGGCATTCCCGTACACCGTCTATCACCCACACGCCTCAAAAACGATCCAATGTTTCCGATTCCTCAATCTTTTGCATTGTGTCAGACTCAATGAGTATCACAGAGTGTTCGTAGGGGCATGTTGGAATCACCGAGCCACTTTTGACGCGCTCATATAACGTGTAGGTTGAAGAACGATACAAAGTTGTTGCAGTGATAACCTTGGTATGTAATGTGTTGCAGCCTCGGGTTACCTTCGTTCACCAAGGAAAGCTCCTCATTCGACTCTACACACGGCCCGACCCGTCATCCTGAGCTCCAGCACGGTTATGAAATTACCAATTTTTGCTTGTGCTAATGGAAGATGGGATCTAAAACAATCCTAGCTCCAATCAAGTAGATCATCCGCAAATTCAAAAGAGCCAGATGCCCCCGTCGACACCATCAAGAAAATATCTCGGAGATCTTCAATCCTTCGGACCCATCTAGATTAGCCCACACAAAAGTCTTGCATCTGACATATACGCACCTCGCTCGATCAAGAGATTGCTGTCATCCGAAAGGTAGACTCGTCGTGTGGTGACTGCATCTGGGCGGGCCGGCCTTCAGGTCAGATGAGCAGACAGGAAAAGGTGCCACCATCGACTTATAGCCGGGGACGCTGCAGTGAAGCATGTGAATGTGTGGCTGATAGCCACCACTTTAAAGCAACCTCGTGATGGAGCAATCGCGAGATTATAGACCGGCGGCCATGACGTGACCCATCATCAAAACTGTTGAAATTTGGCAGAAGCTGCGGCGCTGACGTATAGCGCTGCAAAGGCTCAATTCATGCTCGTGAGAATGACGCCCAAATAGTGGCGTGTGATGGATAGCGTGGGAGCGAGCTGCCAACACCAAGTTGTCGAAGGGCCGTCCTTGAATAGCCGTGAGGTGTTCGAGAACGAGAGCAAAGTAGCCCTGGTCCGGAACCGAGCTAATGAACGACATGATCTGAGGAATGTTGGGGGACGCGGGAGCATTGACCGAGATGATCCGTCCTGTAGATACGCATCCATCGTATGATCCCGACGGCAATGAGAGGCTCTGCGCCATGGGCTGAACTTTGCTTGTTTCCGAGAACTGCGGCCGGTGACGTTGCTCACGGGACCCGAAATTTGCAGCCGCGGGGTAATTTGCGCATTAGGTCTGGCCGGAAATATGTTCTGCGCAGCTTATTTGAAACTGAGAAACGTTGAAATGAGCAGTGAGAATGACTAAAAAGACCAGAAGAAAGCCTCCGCTTCAACCACGAGCCCTTGCGACAGTGGACAGCGGGGTCGAGGTCGTGATGGGGCCGCGAAGTTACCCGCTACAAGGATAGTATGCAGCATCCTGGTCCCTGCTTTTGGGGGACTTGCAAAACCACCTTCGGGATGCTGTGCTATCAGAGTAACAGGGAGCCTTCAGTTCACCGGAAGACGTGAGGGAAGACGCTATCCATAGTCGAGCAGCTTGGTTGACGAAACAAAGGTACTTTAGGGACTGACCGAAAGGCTCTGTGCTATTATCGATACAAATTCAACAAGAGCGTCCTGCGGGAACCTCAACGACCTGCAGGATCCCCACATACATGGCATTTGTCCCCGTTACACTACGACCCGGAACTAGCCCCTTCCGCACTACACGGGGACCGAGAATAGCGTCGTGGGCCGTGGTCCTTTCGGCACCGGGGGCACGCTAATGGTTGGGGTGCAGGTCGGGTTCTAGGTGAGCTGGCCCTCGCCTCATTCTCCACCTCGGTGTGCTGGAATAGTTCAACCACTCTTGAACATGAGCTAGGTCAGAACTATCGGCTGACGCTTGGAACAATCACCGTGTCTGGGATACTTGAAGATGAATGATGTTGGATGAAGTGGACTAGACAGCGCCCAACGGGGAAGAGTACGTATTGTCAGCCAGAGCCAGCTGAAGGGACTGCTGGTCTTCCTTAGTAGCGCTACTTTGCAATGAGGGGCAATCCCGGTGTCGGAAAGTTGGCGGATAGTGATGATGCTCTTCTGCTTCTCGTCAATCTCGGATTGGCAGGGGAAAGAGGGTGCGCTCTGTCGAGAGGGCTGCCGGCAGCCGCAAGTCGGCCGCAATGTAAGATGAAAAATCGATGGGAGTCGCGTGGACTTGGTTACCATTCACCGGCCGCTCGGGACTCGTCGAGTTCTCGCCAACTCGAGATATTGTGGTGGGTGGTGTGGTCCAGTAGGAACGGGTTTCCGGGGTCCTCACACCACAATGGCGGCGTCCCCCACGACTGTTAGGATTGACAGCCGGTGGCTCGAAGCTTGTAGTCTGCTCACCGACTCTTGTTTGCGTGGGTGATGCAGCACGCTGGGCATGGTGATGATTAGCATGAAGGCACCTGAGATGACATGCGGTGTGGTGCTACGCTGGGAGGCATGGCTGATGCGTTCCGCCGTGCTGGCTCGTGTCTCCGTGGTGGTGTGCCATTGGTGTGCTGCTTCAAGCGACGTTGAAACGGAGTGGAGACGAGAAGATTATTGAAACTCATTACTATGGCTCTGCGTAAAGTCAAGAAACGAAGAATGGGAACACGAGAGCCATGCTTTGCTTGCGTGTCGAAAAACGAGGTACGAGTAGTGGGGTAGAGAGTATTGGTAACATGTCGCTTGAAAGAGGAGCACGTTGGAGGCAGCCTTAATCCTCTGTGGGGTGGTGGCACAGTGGCTTATCGGACGGTACGTATTTGTTTGGGCCAAGGCTGAGGTGGTTTGATGTATCACAAAGTGGCAGCTGGTACTCAAACTGTTCTTAACTTGGGGTGATATTGGAAGGTGCAGATGCCGGGCCAAAGCAAGCAGAGGAATTGGCCATGATGGTCCAATGGTCCAAGTACAGAAGAAATGCTGCGTTGTTGGCAAGTCCATGTATTGAGTTTCTAGTCCTACATGCTCATGTGCTTTTGCGTAGGTAGTCCTCGCAGGTGAGCAAGGCCGTGTAACTGTGGCTTCCAACAGCCAGGTAGTAAGTACCCAACGGCATGACCCCAAGAGAGTAAAAACATGGTACAAGGTGGACAGTCACGTTTAGCAAGAGGGCGGGGACAACGAGTACCTACCTCTAAGGCACTGGAGCTCTGTTACAAGGTACCTTACCTACCTTATAGAGCGAAGAGAAGTTGCCCACGCTGGTCCACGGGGACCAACGGCCCCCCCCTCCCGAATCCCCAGCCGTGGCTCCTCCCCCATGCCAGAGTGCTTGCTCCCACGCGGGGTGTCGCCCCTGTTTTAGTTTGCGTCACCTGCGAGTTGAAAATCTGAGGTGGTGTCCTTCCTACCTTAGGTAGGCCGCGCAGATGCATCCAGGCCGTACTCTCAACGAGAGAAGTCAAGTGAGATACGTACTCGATCTGGCCTGACGTTGCGTGACCTCACGGTGACCGTTCGCGGCCGGCCCCACTTGGCCGTTACCCGTCCGAACGTACCGGTCGGGGAAGGGACCCTGCCTCGCCTCCTTCCTTGGCCCTGTCCATGCAAGACACCTTTTTCTCTTCTTTCCCCTTGGGCAGGAGGCAGTGTTCGTCGTCCATCTACCGCCTGCCTCGCATTGTCTGGTACCCTGCCTTGCTTATTGCATGGCATCCCGCGTCCAAATACTGAGATACATTAACACCGCATGTTGAACATGCGCCTGCGGCAAGGCACGGTCGGTACGGTCGGTACGGCTCAAGAGACATCCAATGCATGGCCAGGTGAGGTGAGGTGAGCTCCAAGCTGTTCCTCCCCCATCAACATTGTCTCCTGCCCGAAGGTGCAGATACGGCATGATCGTCCCACCGTGGCTTCCCAACCCGGTCATCCTCTTCGGCTACCGGTAGCTGGTGTGCTCACCTACCTGACTTGGGTAGACACTGCCCGCGTCTTTTTGTGCCTTACCGTCTTGCTTTTCCCTTGAGATGTTGACAATTCCGTCAGCTGACTAGGTACCTACCTTAGGTACCTTATTCATTTGATCCTTCCCAGTCATCTCGCATTCATCCCGTCTTCCCCTCCCTCACCCAGGCCAGCCAGCCTGCCTGCCGGCCACGCCTGCTAAGCTTCACTATTGACCGTGTCTGTCCACCGGCATTACCTCTTCTTTTGCTCCCAGATCCCAACCGTCGTCAACACAAAATCCTTCCGTCCCCTCGCCTCAAATAATTCTCCCCCTCCTCTGCTTCTTCTCTCCGTCGACGATAAAGACCCAACATCTACCACCTCGCATCGTAAGGTAGACAATTGTGCTCAACTTAGCTCCATTTCTCCTCCCCAAAGCCACACAGTCCATTGACGAAACCCACCTTACTACCTTATGCCAAACAGCTCACCCTCTACAAACACCACCATCATGGTCAATCCTAAGCAGCCGGGTCGCCAGTTCTCACTGGGAGCTTCAGCTCATCGAAGGAGACAAATGAGCACCATGCACGAGCAAGGCAATCATTTCGGTCCAGCTTTGACTGTGAGTTGCCCCCTCACGACAGTTCATAATGTCAACCTTCCATGCTTGTCTCACCTTCATGGCCTGATGCGTCCATTCACACCTGGCCCAAGACGATGAACCACAACCCTGTTCAATTGATTTGCTTCTGCTCTGGTTGGGCTTTTCGGTCCGGGAGAATTTGCTGTTGTATTTGGGTTCTTGCTGTGCAACGACCAAATGAAACCGAATTGACTGACAAGACTGCCACAGACCCTCTACTGCGGTATCTCTGCCGTATTCGCCGACTCCCACACTGCTGTGGTTGCCCTGGCAATCCACGATACCGTCTACTTGCTCGACTTCACTGTCAAGCACATCAACCTCGACGATAGTTCCCAGACAGGCAATGATGCCATTGCCGACTATGTTATCAATACCCTTGAGGACTATGAGCATGCCAACTTTTCAAAGTTCATTGGTGCCGGTCTGCCCATGACCCTCAAGTACATGAGCCAGACCCTGTGCTCCCGCCTCTGGCTTGATCTCGACATTGTCCCAGTAGTCTTGCGCCCTGATGATGAGCACAAGGAGAAGAGTTTCTGGGACATCAAGCGCGTTGACGAGCAGGCCGACTCTATGGCTCGCAAGTGCATCATGTAAGACGCAGCCCTCCCAAACCGGCATGTAAAATCTTCCTGACAATGTCTTGCAGGAACTTTGGTCCTTCCCTCGTTCCCCTACTCCAGGTTGGCTGGAGAGGAGTCGTCCAGACCGACGCTGGCTTCCGCGTGCAGCTTAACACAATCCAAAACCACAAGGATACCTGCGGTGCTCCTACTTGGGATGCCACCATGTTCTACGCCAAAAAGCTTCGCGAGAACAAGACCAAGGTTGCCTTTTTCAGCAGTACCCCTCAAGGTGGTGGAGTCGCCTTGATGCGACACGCTCTCGTCAGGTTTGCTCGTACCATCGGGGTCGACCTGACTTGGTATGGTACGTTGTTTTCCGCATTGAAACAAGACCACGTTGCTGTTGGAGAATCGTATGGAACTGACATCATAGCTAGTGCCCAAGCCAAGGCCCGGCGTCTTCAGGGTGACCAAGAATATCCACAACATCCTCCAGGGCGTCAGCCACCCTGACCAGCGCATCTCTGCCGAGGAGAAGCAGTCCATTATCGACTGGATCACGGACAATGCCAACCGTTACTGGCTTTCCGAAGGAGGCCCTCTGCGACCCCCCGAAGAGGGCGGTGCCGACGTTGTCATGGTGAGCTTTCCCCAACCCGTTTCCCCCGCTCGGCCCAGCTGTCATCCCCAAACCGGAAGTCTTGCTACCCCTCCCCCCACTTGCACGGCTACCCCTCCACGGGCGCATCCAACATGGAATCATCTCCACAGGAGCTCCCTCGTCCCACCCTGTTTGACAAGACACCTCTGCATCACATCCCAGCTACGATCATAGTGTAGACTGCTGCTAACTGCCTGCCCCATCCAGATTGATGACCCGCAAATGCCTGGCTTGATTCCCCTGATCAAGAAGCTGACACCCGATCGACCTGTTCTCTACAGATCCCACATCCAGATTCGCAGCGACCTGACTGCAAAGGCTGGTTCCCCTCAGGAAGACATCTGGAGCTTCCTGTGGAGCAACATCCAGTATGCGGACATGTTCATCAGCCATCCCATCCCCATCTTTGTGCCGCACAACGTGCCCCGGGAGAAGGTGGTCTACCTCCCAGCCACCACTGATTGGCTGGATGGTCTGAACAAGCCTCTCAACAAATGGGACACTGGTTACTACGGCCACATCTACAACACCGCGTGCCGCAACCAGGGAATGACTGAGCTTGAGTGGCCTCTCCGCAAGTATATCATCCAGGTGGCTCGTTTCGATCCTTCCAAAGGCATTCCCACTGTGATTGACTCTTATGCCGAATTCCGGCGTTTGTTGGAGGAGAAGGGCGAGACGGACATCCCTCAGCTCGTTGTCTGTGGCAATGGCTCGGTCGATGACCCCGACGCAAGCATGATCTACGATCAGACCATGAACCAGCTCGAGAAGCATTATCCCCACTTGGTCAAGGACTGCAGCATCATGCGCCTCGAGCCCAATGACCAGCTCCTCAACACTGTCATCGCCAACGCTCACGTTGTCCTTCAACTCTCTACCCGCGAGGGTTTCGAGGTCAAGGTTTCGGAGGCGCTGCACGCTGGCCGCCCTGTCATTGCGACTCTCGCAGGTGGTATTCCACTTCAGGTAAAGGACAATGTCAATGGCTACTTGGTCGAGCCCGGCGACTACAAGGCCGTTGCTGGTCACCTCTTGAAGCTCTTCACCGACGATGAGCTGCACAAGAAAATGAGCCATGCCGCCGCTACTGGCGTGAGCGACGAGGTTGGCACGGTTGGCAACGCACTGGGTTGGTTCTACCTTGCCGCCAAGTGGGCGGAAGTCGGTGTCAAGCCTGGTCTGCGCGGTGACGAGCGCTGGGTCAACGACATGGCCCGCGAGGAGGCCGACAAGCCATACAGCGACAGCGAGAACCGTCTGCCGCGCCATTTCACACAGAAGAAGGAGATTCCTGTCGTTTCTGGAAAGACCAACGGCCAGAACGGCGATGACAGTCAGTGAGAGCGTATGACTGCATATTTGCGGATGAAAGCACCATGTTGTGACATGTTATGACTGGGACTTGGACCATTCAAAAGTTATCGCAAAAGAGAAAAAAACGGGCGGTTCGCGGAGTCTCTTATAGACTTGAGATGGATGGTTGCTAGATGGATTCCTTTTGTCAGTATTCGAATTGATATCACCTCACTTTAGCTTTTAAGCTGTGGACGTGGCCTTTGATTGATGGTGTGTAGATGCGAGGTGATGTTTCGTCGCAGATATGAAAAGGTTTGGGCGCGGCTCAAGGTGCATGAAAGTACCGGGGTGAACCCAGATGACACCAGGTGACAGGGTGACAGGCGCTCTGCCGGACGCCGAGTACGCCGCGCAAGCCCCGGTCGGATTCCCGATTGCTACAAGTCCAGTCTCACCGCGAATCAGTGAGTTGTCGCGGCCAGCCGCGCGTACCAGGTCCCTTGCCAGAAAGGGGAAGGTAATTGAAGTACTCCGTACGTGTATCCGTAATTGGGGTTCGAAAATCACTGGGTTGCCTAGATATCTTTATGAGTGCGGGGCCACGAGTCATTTTGCCAGATCTCTTTACGGCTGATCCTTCCGATTGATAAGCCCAGCCATAAGTTGCCACCTCCCACGTTGCATTTTTCCCGTTGCTTCATCTCGACATGGCTCGACAGAGTTTCTCGTTTTGGTTTCCTTAGTCCTCAACTTTCCCGGCTGAACCCGCCTCAGCGTCTCAATCTTGGTGGGCATTATGGTTCACCTCGTCTCGGCCGCCGCCGTCTTGGCACTGTCTGGCCTGACCTTATCTCCGGCAACGGCCCTCGTCTCGGCCGAACCCATTTCGGCGCCGCGACTGCCTGACCATCAACCACCGCCGCCGTCGTCGTCGTCGTCAGTGGACTTTGCGCCGAGCGCGCATAAGGCGCGGGAGAATGCGGTGCATATATTCAACGCCGTGCACTCTGCCATGCGGCAATGGGGCTCCTCGCTGCACCACAACGGACTGGGTCTCATCCCGGCTACGGTGCCCAAGGGTACGCTGATGTACCACGGGAGTACGTCGAACAGCACCCCCGACGGGTTCGAGTGGCTTGCGTTCGAGATGGAGCACTCTGAGGGGTTTGCGAGGAGTTCCAAGAATGGACGGGGGACGTCGCCTCCGAGGCCGCCTCGGAAGGGAAAGGGTCCTGGGAAGGTGCCGCCTGGTGAAGGAGGGGGAGGGCCGCCTAGGGGTCCGCATGGTTCGGAGCCTATTATTCGGGTGGGAGGGGAGGGCAGTCAACACCCGATCGGGGCGGACGACAACGACGACGACGACGACGACGACGACGACAAGAAGCCTAATCCGAGGAGACCTGGTGGGCCGGGTGACGGTAGGCCCGTCCGGGGGTACTTCCACACCTACCGCGCGAAGCGGGACCTGAAACTGCTGTACATTGACGGCATGGCGGCCGGCAAGACGGGGATGGGGACGCTCGACACGCAGGATTTCCTACTGAGGGGCCTGCGCGAAGCGCCCGGGTACGGGGAGTGGGACCGCGCTGAGGACGTGTGCGACCTTGTTCAGGGTTGGGGCCTCGACGGCGTCATCCGGATGGAGATTGGGTTCGAGGCGATTTATTGCGATTTTCACAATGGCGGGCTGGATCTCGTGAGCGTGTTGAGGAGGCCGTGGAGCGACGTGCCCGAGGGCGCGGGCGGGATCGACATGTTTGAGTGGGCGAGGGCTGTTGGGCAGAGGTATGATGGGATCGGAGGGGGTAGGGTGAAGTTGGGGTTCGGGGGCATGGTGAGCGGGTTTTGGTATCCTTTGAATGTGAGCAACCCTGACGGGCGGGTTGCTATGCCGCGTCTGGGACCGTTGACGGAGGAGGAGAGGGGGGTTGTGCTCGGGCGAGTTGGGGAGATTGTCAGAGGTGCGGGTTGGGGTGATGGGAGGTTTGATTGGCAGGGCGTGGTTGATATGATTGTCACGAGGTATGGGGATCGGATCGAGACGTTGGCGGATGAGGGTGCTGATGGTCGGGATGAGGGGTTTGTGAGCCAAGTTTTGACTGTTACGAATACGTTTGTGGATTATCCGAGGGACGCGTCTGACTCTGCTGTAAAGCGGGCGGATGCTGTGCGAGAGGAGGAGGAGGAGGAAAAGTACGTGAGGGAGGCGAGGGAGCGGTGTGTCGGGCACTATTTGACGCCGGCGACGGTGTGGAGGGAGGAGTGGACGCCAGAGGACGGCATGGTGTTTTTTGCCGTCGAGGCTGTTGTTCAGAGGCTCTGCGGGGATCTCTTTGACGTCCGGGGTCTGGTCCTGCGGGCGATGCCGGCGTTGGCGGGGGCGTTTTCCGAGGCGGAGATTCGGCGCGTCGTCAATGACGGAGACGAGGACGACGAGAAGCTCGAGAATGCGGTCAAGGGCGGCCGCAAGATTATCCAGACTCTCAAGGAGGACCTCGGATGGAGCTCGTGGAAAAAGTGCAAGCCCGGCTGCGACGTGGGGGAGATGTGCTTCATTGCCATGTGGCCTTTTGGGCTGAAGGAGGATCACTTCCACCCGAGTTGTCAGAATCGGAGTTCGTTGGTGAATAGAGGGGGTAGAGGGAGTGACAATGGGTACTGGGAGTTTGAGCCTAGGCCTTGAGGAGTAGAGAGGGATGGGTGAATGTTGGGATTGTGTCGATTTTGGTTGTTTTGTTTGTTTGTTTGGTTTGGCTTTGGCAGTTTTCGCTTGAGAGAGAGTGTGTGTATGTATACAAGGTATTGTAATGTTTCCTAGATTCTAGATTGCTTCTCAATTGGGATTCTGAGACGAGCTTGCTTTGTACCCTTTTTGGCTTGTTCAATCCTATCCCGCTATTCTTATTGTCTTTCACTTTGTTTAGATGCTGGGGAGGGTTATATCGCCAGGTGGCCAAACTGGTCGGGATGTACACCTTCCTCGGTTTGAATAATTCGCACCTTGCTTGATGGCTGACAATGTTTGTCAAACCCGACGCGTATTGTGATTACATCCCGGCCACGAGAGGCGGATGTTATGTACCCTGGTGCATGCATTCTGACGTCGAGGAATCGATATTGCCAGCCCTTGCCGAGCCCGGATACTACTCACGCACACTACTGCTCAAGAATGTCAAGGTATTGATATTGGCCATGTGCTTCGTCTATAGGCATATTCGGAGGGAGAAGGTTCTCACAGGAAGTAGCCAACCTCAATCTCGACCAGACGGCTCTCACAATCGATACTGGAGCTACCCACCTTGCATTGGAGAACCAGTCGTAGTGCCCAAGCTGCTGCGGCGTTTCCCTTCCATTGGACTGGACTTTTGCAAACCGGCGGGGATGGGCGTGAGAGGGGTGACGCCAGGCTTTTCTACCAACGGGAAAGCGAGAACAGGACAAGAAGACGAAGACCCCATTGACGGAAATGGGATCTCTTTGACACTCTGGGAATGGGTCTCCAAAAGGTTGCCTAAAGAATCGTCAAACTTGGAGGAGTACACAATAAGCCGGCTTTGGTCTCAGTACACTGTCAGATCTCAGCCGCAGTCTGCTCCCACGAAGGAAGGTTCCGACTTTGGTGACCAAGAATCCTTCGTCTTTTGCCGAGGAGATGCAAAGTCCACAAAAGATTCTTTCTCATTACAAATTTACCAAAAGTTCTTTTTTCTCCAAATTTCTTGGATTTTCCATTACGAGACCAGGCCCAGGTCCCATTACCCCCCGGTTCGTCTTACGTTTCCATCTCTGGCGCTGTATCGATTCTTGGTTTGTGGGCAAGTTTTGGGCAAGTCTTGGTTGAAAAAAAAAAGTCGTCCCACCTCGCACCTCGGACATTTCGCAACTGCGAGACCTGCGAGGCCATGACTCTTTCAGACTCTTCTCAGCAGGGGGAGAGTGGAATCATGCCAAGATTGGGGTACAGTAAGCGCGCATGTACTAATTTACACCGCGTTTACACTGCTACTGGCAAACGCTCCTCACATGAAAAGCACCAAGACATCTAACGAGCCGCCATCGAGGCGCTGGCTGCGGGAAATCGGAGCGTCTTTTGCTATTGTGAATGGAAACAGACGTTGTTGGATCCCACGAAGGCATGAATTAAAGATTTGAACATTTGATCATCTCCACCGCACGTGCTCATAGTCATAGTAACTGTACGGAATACGGGCCAGGGTCTTCGTGATGGTTGTCTGGGCCGATCTGCCGGTTCTTCCCCTGGCACGCTGAAGCTTCCCGTAACCTTGAACACGATCCGGTCCGCGGAGAAGGTTTCCCCAGGTACTGCAGTGGTCAGGGGGCTTGCTTCCGCTGGGGTCCGCCGTGATGGAAACCGCGAACTTGGTTTGCTTTGATTGCCCTACTATTTTTCTGCGCATGGGTGACTCTCTCCTCAGCATCCCGGGAAATCCCTCCAGGTATTATGTAAATTCACGGCCACGACGTGGTCAGCTGGGTGGGCGCAAAGTGCACTGATGTGGCGGCGGGACGCGGAACGGGGACTACCGTTGTAGCCATGTTGGGGATAGGCGCCGTTTGGGTTGGGGAGGAGTTGGTCATGGGCTAGAATTGTTTCGAGGCGACTTAGTCCCCCCATTGTAGACACCGCAAACGGGAACTGCTACGCTTCATGGAGTGACTGAATCGGGACTGCAATGTCATCAAAGGTACGAGAAACACACGCCAGCCTCCTCGTCATTTCATGGCTACTCATCGCATGGAACTCTGCACCTCAGCTGGGATGGAGCTTAGAGGCTGTCTGATGGAGGTCTGTCCCTTCGGCTGGGGGGAGGGAAACCGTCGCGATGATCTCTTCAGCCCTAGTTTTTTTGTCGCAAATTTCGTTCCGTGTCCGTATCGCAAGTCACTGAGCTGTGCACTGATTAATTACTCTCTCTCTGTACTCACAGCAGAACCACAAGCCACTCAGAACGGGAGTGGCGGTGCGACATTTGTCTCTCGTCTCGAATTCATGTTTCTCGCCTAGACTGTGTGAGGCGTTCTTCACTCGGCACACCTCACCTCATGTTCCATCGTCCCTCTCCTCTTCATCTGTCATTTTCAGACACGAATCGATAGCCGGGTCGGTAGTAGGCACACCACTGTATTTGTGCAGAGTAATCGAACTGACGATGAAGAGAAACTTGTGTCTGGCATCCCATGTGCCCGCCCGCCGTCCAATACACGCCAGCTTTTCATCGCCTATAGAATTAGGCTTTGACAAGCGAGGGAGGTAGCGTTGTATATTTAGATTAGTGTCAGGAACCACAACGCCACCAGTAGCCACCAGAAGCTGAATGCGGCTCTGGCTTGGGGTCTGTGTTGTTTAATCTATCGCCGCCGCGCTTGCGACACTCCGACAGAAAGAGGCTTCTGTATCTCTCAGGCCGCGGAAGCGAGTTCCCATATCTATCTCGCAGCTTGCATACTGTCACAGGGCAGAGAGGATAATGCCATCCATCCCGTGGCGACGAGTGACACTTGGACAACTCCTCATTCTTGGCGGCTCACAACGCTAGAAGTCTCGCAAGTTCATCCACAGCATACTACTACCGCCAACAAGTGCCAACAACTCAGTGTCGCTGCGTGGATATGATATTTGCCCAGGAATTGACGCAATTGCAAGGCAAAATGACCCAGACTTGCCTACTGCGCAGTATTGTGACATTGTGACCCATTGACCCAGTCGGCAGCCCTCGCGAGCCACGCGAAAGCAGTTGAGCCGCTGACGATTCCGCTCCCCCGTCGGCGTGGTCTTCACGTCAGGGGTGAGCACCGGCCGCTGGGCAATCCCGCTGCCGCATCGTGGCCAATCGACGAGGTGCGCCGCGGAGATGCAAGATCCAACAACGTGTGGAACTCCGACCCGATGTCAGACCACCGGAAATGGAGACGTTACGGGACGCCCGGTTTTTCTGTGGAGGCATGGGCGGCGATGAGCGGTCGGCAGTCCCATGGACCATTGAGAAGCGCGACATTTGTCAATCATAACCGTCATGCCGTGGAAATGATGCGTCTTAGTTGTTGAAAATAAATACTGCCCGAGTCTCCCGCTTCTGAAACGGAGAAAAACAGAAGTATCGCCATTCAGACATCAGAGTTCAGACGTTCGTCACACAGACAACAGGAAACACCATACTTCAGACTGCTGAGCACTAGCTGCAGTGCAATTCATCATCATCATCATCATCATCACCCTCGACATCAACTCCGGCTCAACACCATCAGTAGATGTTCTCTCTTTCCAAGACCTCTCGTCTTTTGCCAACTTGGGCTCCTTCGACAAGCAATCTTGCCCGATCCTTCTCCATCTCCACCACCAGAATGGGTCTCACTCAAGACCAAATCAACATCGTCAAGTCGACGGCGCCCGTGCTCAAGGTGCACGGCGAAACCATTACAACTCTCTTCTATAAGGAGATGATTGACACCCACCCCGAACTCAAGAACATCTTTAGTCTCCGCAACCAGGCTTCAGGAGAACAGCCCCGGGCACTCGCCCAGTCCGTTCTCGCCTACGCCACATACATCGACGATTTGCCCAAGATCAAAGCTGCCATTGAGCGCATCGCTCACAAGCATGCTTCACTGTACATTCGCCCCGAGCACTACGACATTGTGGGCACCCATCTCATGAAGGCAATCGGGGACGTCTTGGGCGACGCACTTACACCCGAGATCGCCGAGGCCTGGACGGCAGCCTACGGCCAGCTTGCGCAGGTTTTCATAGGTCGCGAGAGCGAGATGTACCAAGAAGCTGGCAAATGGACAAACTGGCGCAAGTTCAAAATCATCCGCCGCATCGACGAGTCCGACTCCGTCACCAGCTTCTACCTCGCACCCTCAGACGGCAAGCTGCCTCTGCCCAAGTACCTCCCCGGCCAGTACATCTCGGTGCAGATCCCGGTCCCGCAGCTCGGTGGCATCACTCAACCAAGGCAGTACAGTCTCAGCGACGCCGCGACACAGGGCGAGCACTACCGCATCAGCGTCAAGCGTGAGGCGACAGTGATAGACGCACCAGACGACAACTTGAAGAAGGGTCTGGTCACTGGCCTCATTTCCAACCTATTGCACAATGAATACCAGGTCGGCGACGAGATCGATGTGTCGCATCCGCAAGGTGACTTCTTCCTGGACGCAAGACAGGCCGACAAGACGGACGTGCCGCTGGTGCTACTCTCGGCGGGTGTGGGTGCCACGCCGCTCATTTCGATCCTTAACACGGTCCTGAGCCCGGAGTCCAAGACGCCGAACCGGCCGATCAAGTGGGTGCACGCGGCACGCAACAGCAGTAACTTGGTATTCGCCAAGCACATCCGGAACCTGACGCGGGAGCGAGACAATGTCAGCGCGCATATCTTCCTCAATGAGGTCAAGCAAGGGGATGAGAAGGGGCAGGAGTACGATTACGAGCAACACCTCGACCTGAAGCAATTACCAGAGGGGGAGCTCGGCCTCGCCGACAAGAGAACCGAGTACTATGTCTGCGGGCCGAGGGATTGGATGCTCAAGGTGAGACTCGTGCTGGAGGGTTTGGGCGTCGCGAGGGAGAAAGTGAAGCTTGAGCTATTCGCAACTGGTGACGTCGAGCAGTAGTCGACAGCAATGATTTGAGTATCGGGTCAGACAAGGCTGAGAAAGAAGGAAAAGGAAAAAAAAGAGGTTTGGCTGGGATCTTGCGAAGGGATGATTTGGCGGGGCGGCAGGTTTCGGTGCGGACTGGGAGAGGCTTTTTCTCTCTCGCGCCTTGCTTAGACTGTAATTGTATGGATAGGTAGATACCTCTCTAAAATTTTCAAGATTTTTACCTGTGAATAGTGCGATTCGTGTCAAAGAGTTGTTACTTTTTTGCCCTGTGTCCTTTTTTCGTGACTGAACCCTCCCTCGGCCGTGCGAGTTCAAGTTTTTCTTTTTTTCTCCCAGCTGCGCTGTTTCGAGGCGATGGGTTCTGCAAAATTTTTCTGACGTGTAGAATTTTGCACGATCTTGCGCACAGGCTGAAAACGAGGCTTCTAGACGCCAAGCCGAATCTTGGGCTGTAGCAAGTTGATGAGGTGCAGAGAATGAAGTTGATATTGGCATCATCGAGGAACGAGCGTCGATAATACGCCTTCTATCGACTAGCTATGGATCGGAAACGGGACGATCCGCTGGTGAACCAGAGGTTGAGATCCATGAGTTGTGCGTTGCAGCATAGCAGCCAAGCAACTTGTTGGTGCCATTGCTATAATGCGTCAAGTAAGCAGCCCGCCGTTGAGATGAAGCCTAAGTTCAAGCTTCATCGAATAAGGCGAAAGGGTTTGTGGTGTGGACGAGGCCCGCGGCGTTTGCGAAGAGAGGAGTGGCCAAGAACAAAAAATGGGTTGGGTGACACAGAGAATTCGTATTCCTGGTTGATTTTTGCTTTTTCTTAGCACAGAAAAGTGATCAGTAACTTGGCTTTGGGGCCCAAGTCGTGCATCGTGACGAAGAATGCCAGGGCTAGGCGTCGAAACACGGCATACAGGCCGGCTTGCCTCCCCGAGCGGGAGCTTGCGCGGGAGCGAGCGGTTGCGTTCCGGCAGGGAAGTGATTTGGGACCAGCAGGGAGGGGAAGTCATGGCTTTGGGTCGGTCGATCTGTGATCTAGCGACCCAACGATCCAGCAGATATCCACGGAGCATCAGGTCGACATGGATAGTTGAGAGGCCAGTTGCATATTCCCCGTTCATCAGGGTCCGCGATAGATGAGACTTGGGGTTCAATGTGATATGCGATGAAAGTCAGCGCAGGGGTGGGAGGGGTGTAGAGGAAGTGATACATGATGAAGCTACGACGGCATACCTGAAGGGAGGAGAAGCCGAGACGGCTGGCGATAGATCCGGATCAAGGGTCATGCTAGTTTGGTAGAATTCTGTCTTCAATGTCTGAGTCGTGGGAGGAGATGGACGAGGTGGACGAGGTAGACGAGGTAGACGAAGCCCAGTTGATGGATGTGAGGTCAGAGTAAACAATTAGCAGCCAATGGAGAGGAGGCGTCGACATGATGGCCTACAAGACTGGATCGGCCCAGGGGTTCACTTCGGCCGTGATTGGTGAGACCACGTGCCCGGGGAGTCGGGGCCCCGGTGCCGAGCGCTAAGAATAAACCAGGCAAGACCTACCTTAGCAATGCTACAGGTACGGCCACCTTCATCCGGGAAGGGCAAGCGGGAGATCCGGCAGGCGGGAGATCCGGCCAACGGGGGAGGGCAATGTGCAGTGTGAGGAAAGTCACGAGGGAAGACGTAGGAAGGTGCGGTCAGCCAGTCAGTCAGGCTGCCGTGTCAGGTAAGGTAGGTACCTAGGGCATTTCGCCTCGGCGCTCAGCTGTTCCAGGTTGCTTGCGCCTTCCTTGGGGTCCGGCAAAGGCTCCACCTACCGTCGCCGTGCCCCGGATCCGTTGGCCGGAAACAGGCACGTATCGCGTGCCGTGCGCCCGGGCGTGCCTTCCTACCAGCTTTCGTCTCTTGACGAGAGGCCTACCAGGGCCTCGGCGTCCTTCTCCCTCCCGTACGACGCTGCCCTCCAGCTTCCGCCCTTCTCAGTCTTCAACTCATTTCTCGACTGACTGCTGTTTTCCCTCTGGAATGTTGGCCCCACGCTAGAGATTCCGCACCGCAAGGTACCTTACCACCTTACCTACGTGGCTGAGCGCGTGCAGTCGCCGCCTCTCCATCTTTGCCCATTTTTGCTTCCCTGCGTCAGGACAGGGGCCCGTCGACACGACAGGGGCCTAATTCCCATCGATCTGGCACCACTAATCTTTTCCTTTTCTTGTCATCTTTCTTCTTCCTCTTCCCCTTCTTCTCCTTTCCACTTACTCGGCTCCATCGCGCGACCCGTCGATTATATTCATCGCCTCCTAGATTCTGATGGATCACCTGCGCTAATTCTCTCGCAGTACGGCGGTATGGCCTCGGCCTTGGTCATATTCGACTGCTCAGTGCTCACATCGACCCAGGCATCTTGCTCGATGGATCTCCGGAACGGCCCCGGGATGACCAGGTTCCCTGTCCAATGATCTCATTTACTTTGATCATGTTCCAACATCGTCGTCATTCCAAGGGGCCTCGTGAAGAAATAATCGAGCAGAACCTATACTGAGTTGTTCGCAAGGGCCTGAATTCTGGAAGAGTCTGTTGCATTCCGCCGCAGTGCATCCTGTCATGCGACTTGCCGAAACCCATCGCCCTCCCAGGGGGATACGAATCACAAGGATGGCGACTGTGGAATGCCGGTACTCAAACTCTATCCACGCATCTTGAGCCACCTCATCCGTCTGCCGTCCCTCCCTCACCACTGGATAGTTGGAAGCTGCGAGCTATTCGTACATTTTGGTAGAGTGGCCTGGAGCTCGACACTGTTCGTGCACCGCATGGGCACTGGTCTTTCCATGCCCAGTCTCCAACCAGCCCTTTCGCATTTTCCAGAGATTTGGGTCCGACGGCCTTCGTGGTCGAGAACCCCCGCTCAGATGCCAGCCCTCGCCGAGCTTGACCGTGATTAAGGAGACTATCTAGCACCCCACGCTGCGTGAGGGTCCTTCAGCGCGCCTCTCTCCATCATTTGTTCGCATCCAGCCGTCCCCAAAGCCGCCCAGGAAACTCTTTTGGGACTCTCCCCCGTCAGTATTGCACGTCGGCGCCAATATCGTTCACCTGATGTCGCAGTGCACCGTCCTAGGGTTCTCGTCTTTGCCGAAGCTGAAGAACTATTCCGCGGGCGCGCGCATCCCGCTCAGCAAGGACCCGATAGACGACAAGCCAAGTCCGAAAGGGAGGGCAGCTGTCACCATGCACCGCACCGCAACCCCCATCATGCCATGCTGCCGGGTCTTACGGCTGGCCAAGGGCGATGATACCTAGTAGCTTGGAAGATGGGACTGATGGGAGCTGAGCTATCAACATACCTCCGCGAGTCGTGGTCCATCAGCACGGGCTGTTGCATGATCTGATGCCTCATTCCGTGGAACGGCCCGCATTCGCGCACCTGGCACTGCGACGATGTTGCATCGTGCCGGCACTGCTCATGGCACTGTCTAGAGACTGGAACACCTGTTCATCCGACCCAATTTTTGTCATTTCGTTTCGGCCGCAGTCGCCTCAACAATCGCAATCCGCAACATGCAAAACAAAGAATTTGGTTCTTTCAAGCAGAAACATCAAACGACAATCTCATTGACTGGACGGTGGAAGGCGTCATGCTCTGAACGAACGGTTGGCAAACCAGCCTTGACGTTACCCGGGGCTACGCAGCCAGCACCCAATCACGACATCCTACTCAATCTTGTTCTCAAGGATGGGGTGGTGACGCTGACTGACTTCTTGGTGATCCCCCAGAGTAGCCGTGGAGACTGGGCTGCCACGAGTCGGGAGGCTGGGCGACGCGGCCTCGCCCGCCTTTCCCACCTTGTACAACGCGCCTCGGTTTTTCCGTGCCTTTTTAATTTTTTTTGTCTTGTAGTTTTTCTCAAAGCCCCCTTGGCTCGGAAATGCAACTTTGTCACCAGCCAGAGCAAGTTCGTTGGCTGAACGAGTTTCGGTTGTATCAACCGTCCGTCGTATGATCCCCTTCCCGCCGTTCCTATCGAATTACAAGGGTCTGACAGCCCGCACAGCGAGTGTAGCTGTGCCAGATCGCTAGCCTTCCATAAGCTATTTACGCCATCGCGTCGGGTCACCCTCTCAAGTCCGGATTTGACGATGGCACGGCGGATACCAGGAGCTTGCAAGGGTCCGTCTTGAGGGGTAGTGTCGATGATCCTTGCTAGCAATCAAGCCACCCACACCTTGGAGCTCCTTGATATCGCGCACTAGCACTGCATTCTCCCCAATCCGGCACGCAGCTCTAAGGGAATGCACGTTACTCACCGTCGACGGCGCGCCAGCCAACTCTCTTGCTCTGCTCATCATCGACATCGTTTCCCGCTTGCTATCCAACCGCGCCCGCCAACTGCCCGCCTACTGCGCTTACTTGGTCTTCCCGCACGACAAAGAGACGGCGCCTTCCTGCCACCTTCTCGGCCGTATCCTTACCGATCTAACCTGCTTAAACCCACAACGGGCCCTATTCAACGGCCTCTCGTCGCAAGGCTGTCTCCTAGTCCACGACAACTTCCACCATGACTCCTTTAGTCGTCCACGGCATTGCTTTTTTCTTCCCCGATGAAGATGCTGTCACTAGGCCGCCCGTGTGTTAACTTCGGGTATGGTTGTCCCCGTGTTGCCTCCGACTTCACCGAGCGAGGCAGAGGAGGTCAGGCATGCTCGCCCGCTTGGGACAGGATGCATCCCCTCTCGTCCTAGCTGATCCGCGTGCCTGAGGTCATCACAGCACGGCATGAGTACCCCCGCCCCTGGCAATAACGCACTGTGGCAATCTTGGGAACCCAGATTGTATCGATCACTTGGGGCTATCATCTCATCTGGTACACTGCGGCAAACACGGGGTACCCTGGTCGAAAACCCAGATTACCGGGTTCGCAGCCACCAACAAATATTTGGGGACAAACAATACGCAAGCCAAACGAGCAAACAACGCTCGCACTCTTACAATTTTCACGCATAACAGGCAAACATGTCTGCAAAACCGTTGGACAGGTTTTTTTGGGCTTGATTTCTGGGCCATTGCTGAAATTGCTCCATCAATCGGCTAAGCAACAGCGGCTTGGTTTCATCCCGCTTGCCCGGTGTCGTGTCGTCAACCTCCGAGTCCTCCGACTCACCAGTTGGCAATCGAACTGAATCTGGCCTCTACTCGAGCCAAGGCGGCTCTCTCCATTGGCTGTATTGCGAGAATCACGGCGACTACGGGGACTAATCCAAGCCGTCGTGGAGTCTACGACGTGGTCGGCTGGCGTGTTGAAGAGCTTCCCGAAGTCGCTTGATAGCTTGATGGATCTTGGCCAGAAGGCTTGATGGGACTAGGCAGAGGCAGAGGCGGCAAAAAGGGGGGGGTTGCCGTTATCTATGCGACTATATGACATCTGACACGAGGCAAGCGATCTAACTCGAACCCGAGGCTAGGCGTCGAAAGCTCGAATCGCGATCATGGTTGCACAACATGCGGTGCCTGCGCCGTTTTCCTGAAGAAGATGGGTGCTAAATGTGACGTCCATCGACGACGCCGTCGAGCCAGGATCACCACTCACCCCTTAGCCATTCCTTGGCACACAAACTCTGGTTAGCCACTTTCTGCATGCCCTGCGGTCCCTGTCGACCACACAGGAGACCCAGGCCGTGCCGCGCGGTGGTGGGGAAGAGCTTCGACTCGACGGTGGGTAAGAGGGTCAGACAGACGCCACGCCTGGCGGATGTGGCCCGTCATGGTGGGAAAAAAAAGGCCTTTATGTTTTCTCTCTCAAGAGAGAGCTTTCTTTGTCGTTCTCTATACCACATCTGTCCAACCTTTTCTGACACTTCGTTTTCCATGTTTCATCGTCTCCACAGACAGGGACCCTGGTGGATCTTCCGACCCCTTGCAACTGACCCTGGGCTGTCTAGTGCAGCTCCCGTAGAGATGAAGAGAGAAGACTGGAGCAGCGTATCTGTCTTTGAGCTAGTGGAGCAGTTTTCTTCTTTCAGGCATCTTCCTCATACTGTATAGGAATGGGCATCGGATCGCTGAAGTCACGCAGGTCTGTACCGTGGTGCTGGGCCGCCGGGGAAGTGCCCATTGGTTGCCCGGGCGAGCAAGCGGTGCTGTTTGAACACCTCAGTCGGTAGTGTACACCCCCTTTCCACTCCTACCTTACTCCCAAATCCCGGTCCGCAGTTCTGGGGAGGTTAGCCCAGTTGCTATTTCTTTCCAGTCCGAGGGACAAGGTCCAGCATCCTCGCCCATATTCGCCATGTTTTACTATCTCGCTCCAAAGCTAGCCGATGATTGTCCAATCAAGGTGGCCCGGCACTCCAGTGCTTTTTCGACCGAGCGAGCTATGGTTGCGGCGAGGAATGGATCAGCTCGGGTCGTGTCGATGTTGGTACCTCTGTCTTTTCGCCTGCACCTCATCAACGGTTCTCTTGCCCCCGGTCGAGAGAAAAGCATTGCTGCGAAGCTGTCTCATTGACCAGGGATCGAGCCCACTTCTTGGTTGAATGGATCCAGGCCTATTTGACTACACACCTCCCCTCACCCCCGACTCTCTGGAATTCCCTCGCAAATTGTTCTTGTTTTGCAAACGCCGAACCATGGCAGTGACAATGCCTGACGGTCCGATTCGGAAGGCATGCGATCGGTGTCACAGGCAGAAGCTCAGCTGTAAGCGCGTCGGCGATGAAGCCTGTGAGCGTTGTATCAGACTCAAGGAAGAGTGCACCTCGAGCCCTTCTCTGCGTTATCGAAAGCAACACCATCAATACGGCTCAACAGGAGAGGCTGTAAGAAGAGCTGTCCCATCTCCCAAGCGTCAGCGTACGCAGAGCGGGGGCCAAGCCGCACAGTCCGACCAAGGTGAGTCTGGTGTCTTTGACTTGTCTAGAATCCTCCCTTTACTGACGATTCTTGCCTCGTGTAGCTATCATCAAGACCCAACATGGCGGTCCCGTCTGTGGTAACACGGCATTTGGAGACAATGCTGTCGTTTCACCTGATGCCATGCTTGACATGGTCGACTTCGACTTCGGCTTCGGCAACTCTGCCGGCCTCTATCAACCCAGCACACACCAACAACAATTACCCCAGACCTTCACCGGTGCCATGGATGATCTGATGTCAGGACATGGAGAATCCATTGCCCATCCTTGGAGCCCAGTTCACTCTGCAACTTCAGAGTCGGCATTCACCTCACCCATGGCCCCGCAAGCAGACCAGGTTGGCCGGATCTATCTCGGAAGCCCTGCTTTGCAAAGACAATCTTCAAGAGCCAGCAAGCCACATGACTTTACTCCACCGCGGAGGGCAAGGAAGCGCGTCAAGCAAAGAACAAGGCAGATCATGCTCCGGCCGTATGCTGCTGGCCAAGGGTCATCGACTGGAGAGTGGATGCCTCGGATCACCGAAGTCAACTCGCGGCTCTTTGAGCTGTCGTCGAATCTACCCGCTCAGATCGACTCATCCGAGGAGCCCGGCCAATCCAGCACAGCCTCGACGCCCGATGACGGAAGCTCGACCATGGCACCTTTCCCTGTTGATGAGATGTTCAAACTCTCTCGACACTTTGCAGACCTTCTTGCGGAAATGTCTCCACCGATGGAGGCCGCCTCTCCCGCAAGCGATGGCGGGAACTCTGTACTAGCCAAAGGGCTCAACTCCTTGTCGGATCCGGCGACCTGTCTCTTCGTCCTCTCGACGTATGTTCGGCTCCTGGACATGTATCAGAAGGTCTTCAGCTGCATTCACTCAGAGCTAAAACAGCTTGAGTCGGGCAACCTGTTTCAGTCATGGAAACTTCCTGGCGTCACTGTGGGCTCCTTTGCCGTCGAATCGACGCCGTCTTTGCAGATGTCTCTCACGATTCAGCTAGCGGAGGAGTTCCTTCTACAGATGCGGCGAGCATCTTCGTCGCTAGATCCGACTCTGCGATCGGATGGTTCACCAGCGGGCAAGGCGCCTGATGCAGCTTCCTCCATGTTCTCTGGAGTAGTTGATGTCTCATTTCAGGCCCTGAAGAGGCAAGAAGAGAGCCTAGGCAAGGAACTAAAGGATCTACGCAAGGCGATGGAGACTTTTCTCGACGGATAAAGAGGAAGCCAAGGTGTACCAATGTTAGATAGTGCAAATGGTTGTGTTAGTGGCCTTCTCTCGATATGCTTAGTGGGAAATGGATGGATGGAGTTGTGTCATGGAGTTCATGGGATCGGATGGAGTCACTTTTAGACATGGGGGGCCAAGGCAGCCTCAAATCTGAACCACGCGGGACAAAGAAACGTCTTTCATGTGCAAGTACCCCATATTCTCCACGAGGAAGTTGTGCACGTTACTACATTGACTTTGTGAAGGTAACGGAACGGATCGCGCTTCCGAAATTCTTGAGCCCAGAACCGTTTTCGTCGTTAGGTCTTTCTGATGACATCGGTTGCTCCCAGCGCCGAAACAACTCACACGCGGTAGATGAGCCGTCGTTGAAGAAGAGGGGCCATCTTATCAATCCTCCCGGGCGGCCGATGGCGCGCGCCAAACCGAGATCGAGAGACCGGCTGACTAAATACTCGGAATCCCGTTTGCTGGCAGCTAAAGTAGTCAACGCCGAACGTGTACGCCTAAATCCCGGCGACCGTTCGAGACTTTCGGCCACGGAACTCCGAACCACCCCTTTCAATCCACCACCATCGCCGAACCTCATCCACGCCCCCACGCCCCCCCCCCCCCCCCCCCCCCCCCCCCCCCCCCCCCCCCCCCCCCCCCCCCCCCCGCCCCCCCCCCCCCCCCCCCCCCCCCCCCCCCCCCCGTGCGCCCCCCCCCCTTCTCCTCTCCGGCCCCGCCCCCGCGGCTTCCCCCCCCCCCCCCGCCCCCGGCGCGCGGCCGCCGGGGAGCGCGGGGCGGTGGGGGGGCTGGGGGCTTGGGTCTAGGCAGAGTAGGGCGGTTTGCCCGCGTACTGTTTTGACATGGGGCACAGGCGGCATGGTATCGACACTGTCCGCCGGGGAGGGAGCATCGCGAGGTTCGATATTCTTGCTGCCATGCAAGTGATTGTCTATATATCCCTTCACAGCGCACCGTACAATGTGATGACTTTCTCTCTG